CCCACCCCCCCCCCCCCCTTCTCCCCTCCTTGTTCCCTATTATGACGATGCATTGGTGATACCAGGGAATCTACACGACATTGATCTGCCTCTGTGCAGATTTGGTAGAGGAAACGCTCAGCTAACAAAGGCCGCATCTCCATCCCATCCCCTCCCGTCTGCGAGTTGTGGGCGTGCGTGCTTACAGTGAGCGACTTGGCGGCGGGCAGCGGCGGCGACCGCCCACTGACTCCTCAGGGCATGCTAACCACTGTATACATACATACATGCAGTACATACATACATACACCTGTGGTGCCTGTGCCGAGTTACAGGTGGCAAACAGGCAAACCACATGATCAAAGGACAATTGTGCTATTCACAAAAAAAGAAGAATAAAAAAGAAAAAGAATAAAATGGATAAAGAAAGACAACTAAAAATAACAGAACAACTCCTCGGACTGACCGTGGTGATTACCCACAGAAACAAACGGCTGCTGGCTGGCTGGCTGGCTGGCCGCTGTTGTTCCCGTCCGTCTGCCTCTGTTGGGTGTGTGCGTGTGCCCCTGATGATAGCTACTGTATGTAGGTATGTATGTACATAGGTAGTTAGTGGGTGATGGATGGGCTTTCCTCGGGGATCGCCAGAAAGGAAAACAAAAAAAAAAAAGGACGATGGGATGGGGAACCTTTGCTTGTGTCCGTTTCACAAAAGCTGGTGCCCTCTTTCCCAAGCCTCAAATCCTCAAAGACAAGAGAAAGCCGTGGAGCTGGACTGGGCAGGGCGGAAATCCCCCCCCCCCTCCTCCTCCCCTCTCTTCGTCCCCTTTCTAGGCGTAAGCCGGTGGGTAAAATAACAAGGGAAGAAAGGAAAGGAAAGCCAGAAAAAAAAAAAAAGAGGGTTTCGGTTCCTCACAGCACACGACAGCTCCTTTTTTAATATATATATTTTATAAATATATTCCAACTTTGGCGAGGCGAGAGCCTTGGAAAAAGAGAAACGCACTGCGTAACTCTCACTAGATGCTAATTATGGTCTGGCCTTTTTGGTTTTTGGGGGAGCACAATGCACCAAGAGAGTATGTGTACTCGTACCAGAAGTAACCCCTCATCAGTGTGCGAATCGCCGAATACAAGGTTTGGTTCGGCAATTGTCTTGTCTTGCGCGTCCTCTTCCCCGGAGGAGGGAGAGAGACATCCATCGAGCAGCTCCATAGACCCCAATCTGATGTCGTGATGTGACAAGTCCCCAGTAGTCCTCCTGTATGTATCCGTATGGATGTATGGATGTATGGATGTATGTACATACGGCCAAGAATACCGACCGAGTCGCTTGCTTACTTGGTACTCGAGGGCTCAACTCGAATACTCCAAATCCTGACCAATATTCCCCAACTCGATAATACGATAACAACGCACAATAATAATAACCTGCACCTGCTATTATTCCGGGCTGCGCCGTAGAGGCTCGGCTGCGTGCTGCTTGCAGCTGCATGTGCCCTTGCCTTCCCTCCCCTTCCTTTTCTTCTCCTCCTGCCCTTCCTCACACCACCTCTTCTTCGTGTTTTTTTTTTCTTCCCTTTGCTTCTTACCCAGTTGCCCGCTATCATGCACAATGCTCCGCCACCACGCGACACTGACCAATCACGCAAGCTCAGTTCCTGACCTAGTTCCATAACTAGTTCCAGGGGTGAGTTCCCTTCTGCAGCTCTCCTCTCGACAACTCTCCATCGCTGATGAGCAGCACTAACTAATAAAACTGTTAACTAACTAACTAGTCAACTAAACATGCAAGCCGTCTGCGTCATGGCTTCATCTCCACAACGTATCCAGAGTTTCTCTTCGCCTTTGTCAACTTGTTGCCTAGCTTCCAGGGCGAACCCTAGTTGCCCTGCCTTTTTTTTTTTTTTTTTTTTTTTCGAGTTGTGGACTGTACGGAGCTAGCTAGTAGCTAGCTAAGCAACTACGTAGGTTAGCTGCCCAGTGTTGTTCGTATCAGGAGCTGTCCGTCTGTCCGTTCTTCTGCGTGTCTCACTCGCCCCGGGCCTGCTGTCGACAATCATGTACCTGTGCTGAAGAAAAAAGACAGAGGCCCGGTCACCGCTTGTTGATCAAGGCTCAAAGGGAAGAAAACAGTAACACATGAAGCGAAGCGCAGCATTGGTTCACCCCGTGGCGGCTAAAAAAAGCCAGACAGTCCGTCAGTCAGTCATTGATCCATCCATCCATCCATCCATCGGCTAGGCCTCAGATCAAGTGCGGGCTGAGCAAACTGTGCGTCGAGACATGTCGAGACAAGGACGAATACAATGGGTCTGTCTGTCTTACTACTGGCAGTCACTGGGAGTCACGAATAGGAACTCTCTATCATCAGTATCCGTACAGATTAGGGATGCCCGTTCTTTCTACGCATTACATACCAATAACTAATAATCCGGACAGATACACAGATATGCAGATAACTAGGGAACTCGAGATATTCGTACTGATACTGGTCTACCAGCCTGTTCCTTCCCTTTCCCTTTCCTCTTCTGCAAGGGACTAACTTCCGAATTCAACCGTCGTCCAATCGCCATCCTTGATTCTTCCCAGGATGCTGGATTTCCTCTTCCCTTCGCCCCTGTCCTTCCTTGCCCTTCCTTTTACTCCTTCAACCCCCTCCCACACGCACACATCTACATACACCCCCCCTTATCCCCATCCCATCCATCCATCCCCTCCCCCATCAAGCCTCAAGCCGCCGGCGTAACCTGGCTTGCTTGCTTGCTCTGCTTCATGGGTTCTTTTCTTTACCCTCACTCAGCCAGCCTGCAAATTACGCCAATCTTGCTCTCCCCCCCCCCGGGATTTTTAGTCTACTTGCAAAATTATATCATCTACTCGTAGCCTCCCACTCTCCTGGTCAAGGAAAAAGGGCCCCCGAGAGATCTTCGCATCCTTCATCTTACTTTACGTTACTTACTGTTACTTACTGTTACTTACTTTGTATCCTTGGTCACTCTTTCCCTTCCTTGCACGCGTTTGTCTGAATGGGCTCAGTCCTTGTCTCGTCTCCACGCGAGAACTGCATTATTACCAGTATTCTTGTTACAACGACACCCTCCTTTCTCCTAACAAGCTCCAGCTCAAGCTCCTCATCCTTCTCCTCCTCCTCCTCCACGACCGCGCCTTACGAATAGCTCCTCCCCTCCTCTCCTCCATCTTAACAAGACCCGCAACGACAAAGCTCTCGAGTTACGGATACTTTTTTACCAGGGCCCAAGGATTATCCTTCCAACCTCCACTGAGAGACACTACAATGTGGGCCAATGGCTCCCCTGCGTACTTGTCTGGGCTCTCCAGCGTCCCATCCGTGCCTTTGCTCAGGGAGCGGCCTGTCAAAAAGGTTGATAATAAAACTGGCGCCTCCCAACGCGGCCAGACCTCTGACTCTACAGGCACTCTCATGGGCCTCGCCGGATTATACATGCCAGCCGGATACTACCTGCCTCCTGTCCAGGTTACTCCGTCTTCAGAAACCAGTCGTCAAGTACAGGCCGACATGAAGTTGTCTGCCAGTCTCCGTCGCGGTCAAGCCAACAAGGGCCATAGAACCGCTGCCTCGTCGTCCTCGTCCGTAACCTCGTTGGCCGGCGATCTCGACCACGGACTACACAACATGGACCTGGTTCGTCGGTCCTCTTTCACCTCAACCGAGAGCACCAGCGTATCCAGAGACGCCTCAGAAGCACTGCAGCAATTTTCGAAAAGCCTCTTCCACCGCCGTGGCAGGTCCAAGCAGGAGAGCACCTCGTCTGGCAGTTCCCTTTACTCGGCCGATGCCCCCATGGACGCTTCCTCCTCCAAAGACTCGGTCCTTCCCAAGCTATTCTCCCGCCGAAAGCCCTCGCGGGACGAGCCCGCCACTCTCCAGAAACGCTTCCAAATCTCAGACCCCTACAACTTCCAGCATGTCACTCACACCAACCGCGACGCAGTGGAGGATGCCATGACTCTCGACGACGACAACCAATCAGACCCCAACCAACCCAGAGGCAGACCCAGGGCGGCCACGGGTGCGTCTCAGCACACGTATACCAACGTGCTGGCTGAACCTGTCGCCGAGAACGAAATTGCCGCCGACTTTGCTCCTGCAAGACCAAGCCTCGTGGCCCGTCACACCGGCAGCTTTCACACCATGCGACGCTTTATCAACATCAAGTCGGGCAAGATGCCGGAGCTCTCCCCGCCATTGCCGCCACCGCCACCACCACCAACATCCGTCCCGGCCTCCGCCACGGCGGCCCCGGTCAACAAGCCACCACCGCAACGTCCTCCGAGGTCTCCCCCCATCTCACCCGAATCGCCGCCCGTGCCTGCCCGGGTATCCAGCCGGCAGAGGCTCCGTTCCGCCACGGGTGAGTCGAGGACCAGCTACTTTGCCGAGCGCCACATGATCGCCGCGGGCTTCCAGCGCCCCAGGCCGTTCACGCCATCGAGCCCTGTCGAGCCGCCGCCGATGCATCACGCATTCCCGCCACCTACCGCCGACCTCCCCGCATTCCCCCAAGAGGCGCTGCTCTGCCGTCCCCGAACTGCCACCCCGGAGCCCTCGTGGCCCCTGGCCAGCCCGACCATTGCCAGCTTCGAGGCGCCGCTGCCGGAGCTCGTCGCCGACGACGGCCACACGAGCTGGTCCTCCGTCACCGGCGCCGGCGCCGGTGACGGTGCCAGCCCCAACCCCAACCGCCTCAGCGGCAACGCATCCCTCCGCGGAAGCAAGTCCGTCCCCACGCTGGCCAAGCTCGCCGAGGAGCAAGACGCGGGGGTCGTCAAGACGCAGTACGTGGAACCGAGCGCGTGGTCCGCACAGATGAGGATGGAGCTGCAGGCGTCGCTCTGCGAAAGCCCCGTGCTCGGCCGCGCAAGCTGGGAGGACGACATCGACTACTGCTATGAGCACGAGGCCGAGGCCGACTGCGACTACCAGTGGGAGCGTCCCTCGATGGACGTGGCGCCCGGCGGCCGGGGGATGTACGCCGCCGCCGCTGCCGCCGCCGCACTGGACAAGGCGCCGCTCAGCTCGCCGCCCTCCGGTATGCTCTTCTCCTCCGCGTCTGGTGTCGAAACGGTGCCGGAGCTAAGTCCCCCCATCAGCCAAACATCGGCCATGGTAGCTCACGAGGCCATGACACCGCCACCGCTCGCCCGCTCCGTCGACTCGCAATTTGTGCTCCGCCACAAGTGCACCGAGCTCATTATTGGCGTCGCTCGCCACGACGCTCACGACTCGGAGTTTTCGCCCTCGCTTCTCGTCCCGCGCGACGACTTTGAGCGTGACTCGTCGTCGCCCAGCGCCCTCACGGCCTCGTCCCTGCAGCAACAGCAGCATGAGCAGCGGGCTAGCACGACCACGGTGGCGAGCAACTACACCTCGAGCTCCGACTCGGTCGGTGAGCGTCACGCCTCGACCAACTCGAGCTGGACGGCCCTCACTCGGCACACGGCGAGCACGTCGTCGCTGAACAAGCTCGGCATGTCGTGGGTCGACGAGGTCGAGCCGGTTCCCGCACTGGCGGCTGAGGAGTCTCGCATCGCAGGCCCGGACGAGACTCCGCTGCTGGCTGCCGGCGCCGAGGAGGACGTCGTCATGGCGCTTCCCGCGTCGCCGCCGCGTTCGCTCGGTCGCCGCAACGCGACCTTGCACAAGAGCCATGCGAGCGAGTCCGTCCTCGGCCCGGCTCCTTCGACGGACTCCCAGCAGCATCAGCTGCCCAAGTCGCGCCGGCCGCGCGCCAGGACGTCCAGCATGGGCCAGGCGCCTCCCGTCGGCCAGTATGCCTTGTTCCCGCGCAGCACCATCAAGACGCACGGCGACAAGATTTGAGCAACTTGTTCCATCATCATACACACATTCTTTCTTCCCTCTCTCTCTCAAGCATTGACATTTACAACTGCATCTACGGCCCCCGCGGGCCTTGTTTCCAAACACACAAAGCATGGCGACTCTTACTGCACTTGCTTTCCACTCGCTATTCGCATCTCTTCTCTTTTCAGTTTGGCGTTTTGAGCATTCTCTTCCTTTTATTTTCATTAGACGGCACACATTGGGTCAAAAAAGCAGTTAGATTTTTCTTTTGCAGCACCACATGCGGGCTTCTTCTCTTTTTGCATGGATTGCACAAAAGCCCGCCTCTTTTTTCTCTTTTTTTTCTTTTTACGTTATGCATCGTCACGGTCGTTACAGAGGCGTACATCATCATCATGAAAATTTGGGTATTTTTTTGACATATATATACATATGTACAGGATGGGAGGAACAATACTGGAAAAAAGGACTGGGATATGGATTGGGTATATATAACTGAATTTAGGCAGAGCATATCTCTTGGAAAGCTGCTTGTGTATACAAAAATGGTGACCTGAAAGTTACTTGAAATATTCTACGTCGCAAGTCTCGTGCATGTGTGCTCTAACTCGGTATATCTGTTCTCACTCAGCACATCTTCATGCCCTCACTCAGTCATGATAATGGTGCGCGCATCAGCTGCACATTGTAGCAAAACTGCTTGCTGCTCTGCAATAATATTACTCAAAAAATAGCTAGACTCGTTTAAATTTTTAAGCCAACCATAGAATACAAACGCATGACCAAAAAAAAATACCGTGATTCCCAAAACGCCGCTTTTCATCGCTCCCTCGTCTGAACCTCCCAATGCAACTTGGCTCTCCCATCTACCGCCCTCTCAGTGGCGCAGACGTGCTCAACAGCCGATTCAAGTAAATGGGCACCGGCAGAGTCTAATTCGTCTTCTTCTTCTTCTTGGGACGCTCGTCTTCCTCCTCCTCCTCCTCATCGTCGTCATCGTCATCCACCTCACTCTCCTCGCCAGCATCGCTGCCCGAGCCGGCGTCACTCCCATCGCTGGCCTCGGGGTCGCTGATGTCGCTCTCCGTGTCGGCGTGAAAGTCCTCGTCGACGCTCTCCTCGTCCTCGTCGGCGGAGCCGCGGTCCGCGCCGCCGGCGCCGGCACCCTTGACCACCTCGTCGTCCGAGTCGTCCATGTCCTGCTCGCGCAGGGCGGCGGCGAGCAGGTTGGCGTCCTCGTCAATCTCGTTCTTGACGCGCAGGCCCTTGAGCTTGAAGAAGGTCTCGAGCGCCTTTAGGTCCTCACGGTTAATGTTGCTAAACTGCGACGAGCCCGCGCCGCCCTTCATGGCGACCGTGATGTCAAAGGTGGACAGCGTGGAGACGGCACCGCCCACGCGCGAGAAGGTAATGGACTGCGTCTGCTCGTAGGCAATGTACGTGGCTGGCTTGGGCACGAACATGAAGGCCTTTTCCAGGCAGTACAGGAATCCTTCGCTCGCCTTGATGGAGCATTTTATGCCATACTGACTGCGGTGACTGCGAGAGGATTAGCGTATGCAATGGCAACAAGGTTCAGCAGGGCTACATACGTGATAAAGTCCTTGGCGGGCGACGAAATTTTCTTGTTGGCAAGACCGCGGAAAATCTTGGCGACGACGTGGTGCAGAGGCTCCTCGTAGTGTGCGTCGAGCTTGTCCTTGTATTTGCTCTCTAGCGTGGCCTCGTCAAGGTTGAGGTCGATAGTAACTTCCTCGTCCTTCTTGAACTGCATAACCACAAAGGGATACCTGGTTTGACCCTGGCGGAGAGGCGGGTCTAGACCGATACAGAGCATGCAGTGCATCTCATCGGGCTTGGGGAGAACCATGAACTTTTTGATGGCGTCGTATTGGATCTTGTAATCGTACGTTTTACCGCGGAGTCGAAAGGACGCCTCGTACATGTCGATATCGAAACGTCCTCTGTTGTTGACGGTTAGCAAAAAGCCACTTGCGCAGCGGTGAAGCAATGTGACGTACCTGGGAGTAAGGTGCAGAACATCGAGAAAGGTGGCGATGGTATCGCCAGCCATCTCGCCAATTTCTGCCTTGTCCATTAACGTTTCGTAAAAGAGCGTGGCGGCATTCTTCTCGGCCTCTTGCTCCTGGTCACTACCCTCGCCATCCTCGCCGTCGGCGTCCTTCTTAGTAGTGGTGCCGGGGACGTAGAAGCGCATCTCGACAAGCTGGTCTCTGCCGGCGGCGGCCTTCTTGCCCTTTCCGTTGGCCGTCGCGGTGTCGTTGCCATCCTGAGGCAGCGACATCTCCACGGCGACTTCATTGCGGCCGGCCAGGTTGGTGTTGCCGATCTCGGCGTACGGGAGCTCGAAGGCGGGGCGGTTCTGGACATTGAAGACGATCTCGGCCTTGGAGAACTCGGCCTTGCCCCAATTCCAGCCGCGCAGGGCGTGCTCCTTGGTCTCGAGGGTGGTGCTGTACCAGTTCTTGAAGACCTTGCTCAGGCGGTCGTAGTCGTCCTGCTGGAAGCCGTCGAGCTGGATGATGCCCGAGTTACGCTGGAGGATGCGAACTTCATAGCCCTTGGCGACCTTGCTCCATTGCGCGCTGCTGATGTTGTTGTGGTCGAGTGTAAAGGTGTCGCCACCTCCGTTTGGCTTCCAGCCGAAACCAGTCTCTGCGAATCGGCATCGGCCGCTCTCCTTGGAGAGGTCGAGGTAGATGCTGTCGAAGCTCTCACTGCAAAAAATTCCAAAGTCAACATTCGTACAGAACAAATTGTTGGCAGATGCGGCGTCATCATCGGCGAGCTCGTTGGTTGACGAAGCCGCGAGCGCAAACGCTGCCAGAAGGCAAGATTTTAGGCAGACTCACATGGCAGTCATCTTGAGTAATGTGTCCTTGGCTCAAGTAAACTTCGACGAGGGAAGACTCCTTTGCGCTGCAGTCTTTGAGATGGAAGCGCAACGCAAGGAGGGAAGCTTGGTGGGAGGTGAAAGCTTTCTGAATGAATGGATGGAAGCAATTCAGCAATCCGATTGGATTGGTGGTGGCCCTGGTGGAAGTTGAGTGGGTGTGGAGAACTTGTGCACGTCGCCAGCGCGTTTTTGGGAGGGCACTTTAAATTGGCGACGCGCCTGGAGGCTGTGGGCCAGGTACTGGTACTCTTTTGCTGTACCAAGTAACCACCGATACATCAGAGTATAAAGTGTAAAAAGAAGTAGCTGTTGTAATTTTATAATTTTGTATCCGTACTAGTCATCCAGTCGTAATCTGTACATTCGCATTCGGAGATAATGTCAAGTCGGGCAGCCCTATTGTCACTCCCCCATCGCCCACTCACTCCCCTGCCTATCGCTTGCAGTCCAGAGGCACAAAGTCGCTACTGGTCCGGTCACCTTGCTTGATGTTCGTCTGACAATTGAAGTGATCCAGCGTCCCTGCTACGCCTGCGTATGTAATGACTCGCACCTTGAGCGTAACTTCGCCGTTGTTGAACCGAAACAAGCCAGGCATCCGAACCTGGTTCTCCCCCAGTTGGAGAGCTAATTGTGGTTGTCTGTCAGCGCGCGCACGGACGGGTGCCAATTATTTCGACTTACTTTTCGCATCAGTGACGGTCAAGATCTGACCCATCTCATTGTCCGGGCTGTTGAGGTCGTTGGGTAGCTCGCCCCAGATGTATGCGACCTCACCGCTGCTCATGCCGCTCTGGACGTGGACAAAGGCCGCGAAAGACTCGCCCTTGCGGACCGCCTTGGGCACCTTGATATCCACGAGAGATGCCTGCGCAGAGGCCGCCAGCAGCGACGCCTGTAGGATAGAGGAGAAGCGCATGGTGATTGCAGAATGAAGCGTGGGTTTTGTTTTTTACTCGGATAGATTAAGGGTCGATATGCAGCTGCACCTGCTTATATTTATACATGCTGAAGATGGAGGAGGCTGCAGCCTGCACTGCAATCCAGAAATAGTTCCAAGTATTGCTGTAAGTGGCGGCATTAACAAAGATACGAGATGCTGCATGTCATGGCCGATCGCACCTGTCTCGGCATCGTCACCGCTCTCTGGCACGGTAGGGGTGGAACTCGTTTAACAACCAGCATTCAAGCAGCCATTACCGGAAGAAAGGAAAAGAAAGCATGTCACCAAAGGGTGACTGTGGACTGTCTTCTTGGCGCATGTTGAGAAGCAGCTGAGTACTTTTGCCTCATCATTAGCAGTGCTGAAAATGGAGCCATGAAGCGCAGCCCCAAGGCTCGGATCCTTCGGGCACCATGCACACACAATACGATAAGCAGAAGAAAGCAACCTTATATGACCATTTTATTCAAGGATGTCTATTCATCTATTGCTCGTATTCCACCTCGCTTAGGAAAGCTACGTCACCGGTGCACGCGCACGGTGCAGTGGCGTTGCCCTCGCCTGTCAGACACATGCAGTGATACTCGGTGGCGACCTTTCTCGTCTCCTCGCCGCCGCATCGGCATCGCCTGACCGCATCAGCTCCGGCTGCCTCATCACTCTCGACTGGACACATGCAGTGCGGCGGCGTGACGGCGCGACGACCACCCCGCGAGGAATAGTCACAGGCATCCTCGGCTGACGTCGTTGGCTCACGCTTGGCGGACGTGACGTATCCCTCCCAGCCGCGCGAGACTCGGCAGTGGTCGGCTCGCTTCTGGATGCTGCTGCACCATGCGCTCGGCGCCTTCTCCGCGCGCCTCGAGACGCGACAGTGCTCGTCCCGCTTGCCGCACCAGTCGCCGGGAAAGTCACCCTCGGGGCTCCTAGAGACAAGGCAGTCTCGCACTAGACGCATGACACCGCCGCACCAATCGCCGGGAAAAGGGTCCTCGGGGGTCCTCGCAGTGATGCAATCGATTCGTCGACGTCCGCACCAGTCTGGCGGATAATCGGTTCTCTTATGTTTAGTCGCAGTGATCCCGCAGCTCTCATGGACCGCGTCTATGGCGCTGCTGCACCAGTCGCCAGTGAAAGGGTCTTCCGGGTTCCTCGAAACAATGCACGCAATAGCGCCCTTTTGGGCCGTCGCGCAAGCATCGGCAAGCTGGGTCTCTTCACTGGCTTCCTCGGCACTCCTCCTTCTCGTGGGAGAACACTCCGAATCGGCTCGTTTTTGGGCACTGCCGCACCATTCACCGGAGAAGGGCTCCTCTGGGTTTTTCGAAGCGATGCATACAACGTCTGCGTATCGCCGGGCCACGCCGCACGTGTCGTCGGGGTAGGGTGCAATCTTGCCACTCTCCAGGTCGTGGGAGGCGCCACATTTGGGCACAACGTCCAAGAGGATCTGCACGGACTTTTCGGCGCCTTGGCAGTGACAGGAGCTCGTCGCGGAGGAGCACGCGCATGGTCGGACATCGAGGTGCTGCTGTGGCGGTCAGCTCTGCCTGCGTAATCGAGGGTGTGCGGGAGCAACTTACTTCTTCAGCGGCCAAGACAATCGTATAAATCGCTGTCGCAAACAAGATGGCAAGCTTCATGATGATTGTCTTGACCTCGTTCAACTGATCTATAACCTGTGTATGAGGACCTGTGTCGGAGAGAATGCGAGTTGAGTACGAAGCAGAAGACGAAAGATCGGGCAACGACTAGTGGCAAAGGATCATCGGCAATTATATATCATAAATGGAGAGTGTCCGAGCATCTGAGTCGTGCTGAAGCATCCTTGCAAGGCTGGCTGAGCGCGCTTACTGTGGGCAATTCTCGTCCTGGCTTGCAGCCTGATTTGAACGCTTGAAAGACTGTTGTCCAATCGGCAATGATCAGAGCAAGGCTGCAAGCTGAAACCGGGTCACGAATGCTACCCTGCTTCGTTTGTTGATTAATTTTGGGTGTTGGCCTGCATGATGTAACACGTGGCGGCATCGCGACTTGGCCTCGAGCTGTGTAAATGTTATGAGATGCTGTAGGATTCTTCAGCCACGCTCGCGATCTGGAAGCTCGGGGTCCTCCACATGGCAACAAGCTATTAATTTAGCATCGATTTGTCGACGATGCCTAGTCCTTGGCGCTTTTCTTAGTCGAAATTCGGCATGAACTCTTCGGGAATGTGCCGATCCGCCCTGGGAGAGAAGAAAAAGGGGCGACTTAAACGAGCCTGCCCAAATTAGCAGGCAGGAATTGCGGTCGTTGGCTCGGAACGTGGCGAGCCCGACTCACTTGTCTCATGCGGGTGATGCGGCCGTTGAGTGCCAACTCAAACCAAACTCAACAGTTGCATTGGATTATTGCATTGGATTGATCTGTTTGAAGAACTCTTCTCGCAAAAGGCAAACGTGGTTGTCTCGTTTCAAACGGCCAAGTGCGCCCGCAGGAACGGTGGATGTTGCATAGCAGCTGGCAGCTGGGCAGCTGGCAGGTCGAGTTTCCCCGCACGGGTTACCTTCTTAAACCTCCCAGACCTTTTTTTGGCACGGAAATTATACACCATTTGGTATCAATTGCCTGTGGCCCCATTGTTGCAAACAACCAGCCAACCCAGCACAACCCAACCCAAACCTAACGCCATCACCATCATCATCACCATAAGAATGCACCATCTACGTGATCCCATGATTGACACCTCGCGAAATCGCCTCCCTGAACTCATGTCGCTAGATGGAGCCACAAGGGACAAGGAGGATGTGCGAGCAGCCGCCGCGCGGGGTGAGTTCGAGGAACTTCAGAAATTAGCCTTGTTCAACCGCACTTCGATTGTCAGCGAACGGTATTGTACCGTTGGGGATGGCGTCGACTCCCTTGAAGGCCACCTTCATTCTTTGTGGCATATCTACTATCAGCTCGGCCGCCACATATCGCATGAAACACCAGAACACGACAGTTTGGCTTTGGATATCATCCGTATCCAGGGGCTGGGCACGCTGACGCGGCCAGTGCAAGGCGTGTACGGCATTGACGTCGCACGAACAGTCGAAGGCACACTCTGGGGCGATGTTCCTTTTCTCGTCACTGACATGGCCGGTTTCTGGAGCATGAGCTGCGCGTCGTTGTCCGGCACCCATCGCCTCAACTTGGCATCTTTTTTGGCCAAGCTGGCATCCACCCGCATCAGTAAGGATGGAATGTGCCAGATTGCCCTCATCCTATTCCGCGCTACGTTTGAGGAAGAGCGAGAACTTGGTACCACGGACGAGCCGGATCATGAAGATGCACAGCGAAACATCAAGTCTCTTGACATTGCACATCTGTTGCCATCTGCCTGTGCTTGGATCAAGGAGGCGGGTCACAATCTTATTCAACTCTCGGAGGTCTCATGGGATGATGGCCCCCGCACGACGAGCCAAGGCGGCAGCATGTTCGTCGAGTCGGAGCTCGGGAAGCGATCCCCAAAGGGATTTGCACCTTGGAGGTGGATGTACTGGCTCAAGCGTCTCCACGAAATTCGTGACGAGGCAAAGGAGGCGAAAGAAAAACAACTGGAAGAGTATGCCGCTGACGCAATTGACTTGATGGTCTCAAATGTGAGGGAACGCAATTCTGAAATTCTCAAGGTGTACAACGCGGCTGGAGATTTGCAGAAAGATGAGCATTTGTCATGCTTGGGTGATCAGTAGCAGGGCACGTGGACGAGTGGTGAAGCAATACGAGTGTGGAATTGAACTATCTCTTTGTACACTGCAAATCGCCAACGCCGCGGCGTCGGGCTGGCCCTCGACGCGGAGACCGCAGCTGACCACGCGACATGTACTGGTATTGGCTTTGATATGTACCAAATATCATATATCAATTGGTACGAAAAGTCTTGGAAAATGATCCAAAGACCCGGCCACGCTGACAGTGTCTAGTGGCACACCACAGCTCGGCTGACGCTGTCGTACGAACATTCGTTGTGGTCCTTGGTGCACTAAAGAAAGCAGTCAGCATCTAGACAATTAGCAGCTTGCCGAGGGAGAAGCACATACTCTCTTGTTGGCAAAGTTGGGGCACTTGACAAACGTATCCCTGCCGTTCTGGCCCTTGAACTTGCATTCGTTCTTGGCCTTGGTGCAAATCTTTCAAGGTGATTCGATGGTTAGCTCTGCTCCGTAGTGAAGATGGATTGGCGATTTCTTGCTCACTCCGTGGTACTTGATCTGGGCGCTGAGTCCATCTCGGGCATCAAACTGCTCAGGGGTGGCGGCGGCGACGGCGCCGGTGGCAGTGAGAAGGAAGAGGGCGATGGAAGTAATCTGCATTTTGCAAAAGTTTGAGATGATTGTCTTGGGAAAGCTTTCAAGTGGTGATTGGGAGAGATGTATGAGAATGTTTCTTGGGAGAGGTGTTGCTTGTGAATTGATGTTTTGGAGCGGCCGCGACGCCGTCTTATATAGAAAATGGTGGCATAGTCTCGGACGATGACAGTCGGGCTTCTACCGGCGAATTTGCCGCAGAATGTCTTTCTACGTACTTATTCGGGCTTGATTTGTCGATGAAGGAATTCGAAATCAGGCTGGGAGCCTCATCGACACTCACGTATATGTGCAACCCTATGTCACATCACAGATCATCTCTAGTCTCGGCCATTCCCGCCCCATGTTATGATGCACGCAGGCGATGCACCAAGGATTTGTGATTGGCCCCGATGGAGCGAATGCATGAGAGATCCTCCGGCTCATCGCTCCACTACGCAACAGAGTGACAACACTTTAGTAATACGTACGCTGCTCATTGCTGCTTATTGCTCGATGCCGGAGGGCCTCGGTCAGACGTACATGAATCTATTGCGTCGATTGTTATCCGGACCGTCACACCGAGCCAGCCTGATATTATTGACACCGGAATTGGCATGCGCCGGTTGTCAATCGTCTGTTTCCGCGCGCTGTGATGTCGCGTGAAGTTGCAAATCGTGTGGAGACACGAAAGAAAGAGCCGGGTCAAGCAGCTTTGAGAGCGATCCCGGGAACATCAGGCAAAAACTGGGCGAAAGCCGTTGCCCCATCAAGGTAGTTTCTACTGCCGCTCGCGGCCAAGGAACATGTATGTCTTTGAGCTTTGTAGCCTTGTAGACGTTGCCTTTGCTGAATTGTTCGTTTAGTTATGTGATGTGATGCAATGCCGTGCATGGTGCGGAAAAAAGACTCCAGTAGACTCTATAGGGAAGAAAAAAAAAACTGTACACGTCATTTCTTTTTGGAGGTACAGCGCTGCCTCCGGGGACCTCTCTTTTATACAATGGTTGACCTATTTCGGCCTACTTGTCGTGCGCGAGGCTCTCCCGCTCTATGTTGAGCCTGGCCAACTCCCTCATCTCCTTCATGATCTGCGCCATCAGCACTCCATCCCGCGCCCTGAGTCCAGCTATCGTGGCGGCGGCCTGGTCGATCCGTCCTTGCAAGACAGTGCGGGCGGCGTTTCTCTCCGCCGCACGTCGTCCCCTGGCTTCTTTGACTTGGGCCGACTCCCCTGACGTAAACCAAGAAGTAAGCTTGAACTCGCGCTTTCCTCTTGCCGCAATGTCTGCTGCCTCCTCATCCTCCTTGTCGTTCAAGTTGCCCAGCTCAATCTTGATCTTGGCCAGGAGCCCCTCCTCTGTCCATATGTCGTGATCCACGGCGGTTTTCTGCACCTGTAATTGATCGAGGCTCGCTCCTAATTCTGCGATCCTCTTGTCCAGTCTCTTTTCGCCTTCACCGTCATGATGAAAAGAGGACTTGGGTGGCTCTGGTGGTGCGCGCGCACGAGGGCCGAAGCCTACTGGCCGAAGGGTCCGGTCATACTGACGGCGCTTGAACGGGTCAATAAGAGTATCATACGCATTTTTCAGCTTAGAAAACAGGTTTTCATTAGTGTACGGGTAGAAGTACTTGGTTTTATTTTTATGTGGAAGCGGGCCTCACCGTTTGGAAACGAACAGTCGCCTCTGCGCTATTGGAATTCTTGTCTGGATGATGTATTTTGGCGAGCCGTTTAAAAGCTGCCTTGATCTCAGATTCGGAGGCTGATTTCTCAACCTGGAGGATCTCGTAATAGTTTTGAGTCATCTCGGCCAAGACGCGGCAGTGCGTGAGAAGGAAAGCAAGGCAGGGTTTTTGTAGGCCGAGATAATGAAGATGAACAAGGAATAAAGTTAAGGGGCTGTGAGTGCGCTGTGTAACCAAAGCAGAGACCCTGTAAATTGTACTTGTTTGCCTGCGAGATTAGCCATAGCCAGTCAGCCAACACTACAGCCTCGCTCGCCACCCAGCCCAGTATCTCCGTAACTAGTACATAAAGCCCGACAAGGCAAATTAGAGCTCCCTTACGCAAATTAATTCAACGAGAGATCTAGTTACCATGCCATTAAATATCGTGATCGGAACGGGCCGTGCCGAACCAGGACTTCCCGCTTCCGAGTGGAGCCGCATTCAGCCGAGATGACCTAGTCGCCGCTTTCGCCACTTCTGACTCGAGTAATCTCAGAGAGAAGGGAATAATAATGATGTATACTATATTAAGCCGACATGGTACGTGTCAACCTGTCCTCCACGTGTCCAACCTTTCCCTCGGTGTTGCTGATAACCCCAGCCTTTTCATCGCAAGCCACGTCCTGCATGGCGGCATCTTGGTTCCCTTTTAGACCTATCTTATACCAGGGTAGATCAAACAACCTATCCATGCTTTCCAAAGACCTCCCGGCCGTCTCAGGCACCGAGACGACCACCCAGACGCCGCCCACCACCAGGATCGCCCCGTAGCACCAAAACGTGTTGCCTGGACCGATGCCACCCTCGGATGCCGGCAGGAGCATGTTGGGCGTCGCGCGCGTGCTGCCGTACTGGCACACAAAGTGCGCCGTCATCGCGATTGAGCCCGCCAAGGCGCGCACGCGCAGCGGGAAGATCTCGGCCGTGAGCACGTACGATATGGTGTTGAACCCGAGCGACCACCCGATCCCGGAAACGTAAATCATCGCCATCGCCGCGCGCGCGGCGGCCGAGGAGCCGGTGGGATGGGGAACGGCGGTGAGGAAGGCGGCGATGTAGGCCATGGCGATGGCTTGGAGGGCGATGCCGCCGACGAGGGCGCGCTTGCGGCCGATGACCTCGATCAGGAACAGCGCGCAGACGATGGCAGAGACGAGCTTGACGATGCCGAAGAGGCAAGTCACCAGCAGGCCCGTCTCGGATCCCTGGACGCCGAGGATCTTGAACAGGTCGGGGGCGTAGAGGGTGATGGATCCCGCCCCGGACCACTGAGCCAGCACGTGGACCATGGTGGCGAGGTACAGGCGGTAGAGGTTTCTGCCGTCGAGGAAGAGCTCCTTGCAGGTGCCTACAAAAGACGCGCCCGTGTGCTCGAGCTCGTGCTCGTGCGCCAGCCGGATCGCTTGCACCTCGCGTGCAACGTACTCGGAATCCGGCGCCTGCCCCCTCAGCCGTGCCATCGCCCTTGCCGCCGCCTCGTGCCTGCCGACCTTGACGAGAAACCGCGGCGACTCGCACTGGAACAGGCTCAGCACCAGGATCACGCCGGCAAACAAGAGGTGGACGCTGATGGGGACGAGCCAGCGGGCGTGCGTCGCGTCGCCGAGGGAGACGGAGCACCCGTAGTTGGCAAAGTAGGCGATGACGATGCCGAGGTAGACAAAGCCGGAGAAGATGCAGGTGCAGAGGCCGCGGACCGAGGCCGGCGCGATCTCGACGAGGTACACGGGGCCGACGACGGCGGTCTGCCCGATGCCGATCCCGGCGACGAAGCGGCCGGCGTAGATGGCGGCGAGGTGGCCGCCGTTGGCCATGAAGATGGCGATGCCGACGATCCACAGCGCGCAGAGCTGGCGGGTGGCCCAGATGCGACCGATCTTGTCGCAAACGAGGAAGGCGCTATCCAAAGGTTGATTCATCAGTCGTCTGGCCACACCCTTTGTTGCAGAAGTCGGAGAGACATACACGAGTGCACCGGCGACGCAGCCAATCTGCACCATGGCGGAGACGTTGGCCTTGATGTTGGCCCGTTCGACGCTTGAGTAGCTGTCAAGGTGAATGTACCGCTGAAAGTCCTTGGACTGGAAGGCGCCGGAGATGAGGCCCTCGTCGATGCCGCGGGCCGCGCCCATGAGACCAAAGGAGAAGACGGCGAACCACAGCCGCCAGTTGAAGACGCCGCTGGGCTCGCCGAGGTCGCCGAGCTTGAAGACGTTGACGGGCTTCTTGACGACGTCGCCTCCAGCCATGATGTAAGAATGAGCTGTGACAGTGTTGATAAGGAAATAGTATTGGGTAATGGTGAGGCGCGACGACAATAAAGGCCCAAGGTTGGAGCCTTCCGTCTTATATGAATCTGCGAGCTCGCGTACATGGTGGGAGGAAGCAAGACGCCTCAGTCTATTCCCGTTTCCTGTACTAAGCAGGCAAGGTCTCGCACGGCCAAAAGGCCCTTCAGATTGGGGCAGACAGGGCTTCATTCCCCTCCCCATGGGGTTGATTGTGATGAACATTGGGGTAAGTTGTGCTGGCTTCGGCCTCAACGGCAACAGCTTGGTCTTCCCGCGGGTAGCTTGCCGAACTCGGCGGACTACCCAACTACCGAAATCGGTGGCGTTGCGGTGTTCATCATGATGCCCAGCGGAACGCAGCAAGTCAATAGCCGTTTGAATAGCCGCATGACAATTTGCTTGGGACTAGCAATCGACAGTTACTATGCCGATTCGTTATTTGCTGTTGACTGATGCGATGGGAGTGTCTTAGCGCTACGATACATCAAAGAACCGCCAGAAATGCATTGCTTTTTGTAATGTTTTTCCTTTTTTTCCTTTTTTTTTGGAAAAAGTTCCGATATGGTAGAATGTAAATATCAACAGCATCTAGGTGTAGAAAAGAACATTACCCTCAAACAGTCTCCTTGCCGTACGAATGCCAGTCACCCGCTCAATCTTGATGCCATTCTTCGTCATAGTCCTTGCAACATCCATCTCCATCACTCCACGACTGTGCTCCAGGCGCACGGTTTCTGTACATTTAGGGGTACCTCCGGTGTTCAATTCGCTGGCGTCCAGTGGTGGTGTAACCAGTCCGCCGCTGCAAGATGCCACTTTCAGACGATGCGGGATGGTGTTCTCGACACAAGCAGCTGCAGCAAGGCAGACGCCCCCGGTCAACTGCAGGCTTGGGTGCAGCTTGCCCATGCTGTATGCTGTGACCCTGATGTCTGACCTCGACGGGTGGGCGGATTTGGCGAGAATGGCCGCCTTGGGAGTCCCGCTGGTCTTGCCTGCTTCTGCGACAGTGCTGGCGAGCCCCATACGGACGGCAGCTTCGCAGCGAATAGCTTCAACAACCTGCCTCTGTATTTCGTTTCCATCCTCGGCTGCTGCAGTTGGAAGCGATCGGGAGTCTATCAGGACAAAAGGGTTGGCGCAGTCAACAATGGTCACCTCCGCAGTAAACCCCTCCAGACCCTCAACCGTGCTGACCTCGATCTCTTCCGAAACGCGGTCGGTCGGGAACATCTTGCCCGTCATGCTACCTTGAGGCTCAACGAAGGCGACCCTGATCGGGGCACCAGGGGCAGCAACGCCTGGAATATGACACGCTCCATCTTCCACCACCGCTCCAGTCTCGTCAACCTCGATTGTCTCCACGATGACTCGATTGGTGTTCGTATTCAAAATTCGGACATCCACGATTTTGGCTCCGGGCTCGGCGCTCACAAGCCCCTCCTGTAGCGCAAAGGGGCCTACGCCGGAAACCATATTGCCGCAGTTCCCGGATAGATCAATCCTCTCCTCTCCAACCGCAACCTGAATGAAGGTGTAGTCAACATCAATCCCGAGATGGGCAGATGGACCAATGACAGCAACTTTGGAGGTTACGCTGGAGCCACCCCCGAGACCGTCGATCTGCTTGGGGTCCCCGTAACAGGAGCCCATGGCCGCCACGATTGCTCGAGACCAGTCGAATTGGGAACCGGGGAGGGTGGCACGGTGCATGAAAAGCCCCTTGGAGGTCCCGGCACGCATTAGCACGCAGGGGATAGATCTTTGCGTACGTCGGGGCGCCATGAGTGGTGGCGCTTTTGCGATGAGTGAAGTAGGTGGAATGCCTTGAGTCGGAATACGCTCGAAGATTGATGCGGGTGTTGATGGGCTGCTGAGACCTATAAGTCGAGCGGTCATGGCTGTGGTATAATCTCAAAGATGAAGTGCATGTATAGGCCATGTATCGGCCCGTTGGGAAGGTTGGATACCTCTGTCTCCTTTAGTAGAGTTGGTGAATCGCATGGGGACGACTGAATCGTCTCAAACCCATTGGAAGGAAAACCGGCAGAGACTCCGGCACGACATTGTTGACGCTCCATGGCAACACCAGTTTTGATCCTCGGCTCCAAGCGATGGCAAAACGGAATACATCCCCATCAGGAAGGTTGTTACCCGCGGGAACGATAGCCTCTGCTGTCCGCCCTACCGTGAATCCCGCGGCACGGGAATAAAACAGTGGAGGCAACCCCACGAGGCGCATTCAGGTAGTGACAATATCCAGGAATATCCTGATTCCTCCAAAGGGCCTCTCATTAAAACTGAAAGCTGTCGAGCGCAGCGCTGTTTAGACCGAACAACAAGTCATCTATAGACACGGAACCATCCGCCATTCCCTGCGGCCACGGCATGTCTCTATCGCTCGTAGCCAACCCATACTCTGGCTGTGGAAATGTATTTTGTTGGCTCCGCAAGGTGTTCTTATAGGTAAATCTCTGTGCCCGTGGCTGGCCCATGCTATTGGGGCCGCCCTCAGCACTTCCTGGGAGCTCGTACGTCAAGTCTATTCCTTGCTGCGAGGTGGTCTCTGGGGCTCGGACGAAGCTTTGGATGATGCCATCAATATCAGACCACCCTCTTGCCGGGGAATCCGAGCTCTCTAGTGCCCCGTCTGCAAAGTCTGAACGGGGGGAAAGCCGCGGCTCCGGTGGCTGAGTGACAGAGGCATCCTGCTCGCAAGCGCCGCCCTGCTCACTTCGACCGCCCGCAGCATTGGACGTCGCTTGGAGGATGGGTTCGGATGTGCCACGTGCCGCTAGCTCTTCTCTCCCGCTCCAAGCCGATATAAAGTCGGGCCGCGGCTCTGGGACCCCCAGCCGCTTCATCAGGCCCTGGATGATGTGCTGCGCTCGCTGAATGGCTCTGTTTGTCTCCTGGTTGCGGTTAAAGACGGCTAGGCATGTGGCCAGGTTACTGTGCGCTTCGGAATCGGCCCTCCGTTTGGCAGCAATGCGCACATGAATGGTGGCCGCAACGTAGCAAGCATATGATATTAGGTAGGGTGCACGCGCTACCGCAAACGCGTGGTCATAGGCGCGCAACAATGTGACGATGTGGTCAGCAGCGGAGGCGCAGGTAATCAAAGATTTGACCGATATGTCTCTCAAGTTTCCATAAAGATGACCGTCTGCCACAAACGGGCGGTGCAGCAGGATACACAGGACATGGTACATAGCGCTGCGCTTGGTCAGTACTGTTGTCTTTCCAGATGCATTTCAACCAACTCACTTGAGACTAAAGACGTGTGGCGGCTTTGCCTTCAAGACATTCTTAGAGTCCATAGTAAGGTGATCTGGCAATGACGACTTCCATGCCTTGAGTTTGTTGTCAAGGTTCTCGAGAAGCGCTGACAGCTCGGATGGCATCTTGTCAAAGGTTCGCTCTGCGTAAACGTCGCTTAGAATGTCACTCATCACAACGGATAGGCGGCAGAGCGCTGTGAAAGTTGATACACTGTAGGCTGGGGTCCCCTGGTACTCGGTGCTCTGTAAACTGAATGCCATCGGCCTCCAGTACTCAAACTCTTCGTATGTGTCGAGGAATTTGATGGGCATGAGTGTGTCGGATTCTTTCAAGGTCACCGGTCGTCCTTGATAGAGACTCTGAATTTTGTCAACAACTGGACACAATTAGCCATCGTCAAGTAATACCGCCGCAGCGTGTAGGCTTACTAAATGCAGCCCAGAAGACGCGTCTCCGGATCTCCAAGTCCTCGTGGGTAAACCTGCGCGCACTGGCCTTGCCCTCCACATCGACATGCATTCCCAAGTCAATAATCATACGGAAAGCCAACCCTGCATACAGCCAAGCAGCGCTTCTCTCGTCACCCAATGCAAAGAGGGAGTTGGACATGACGAGTAGGGCTTGGATGGTGGTTATGTCACTCTGATCCAGCGCACTGCCCAAGAGCTTACGCACGCGCTCCCTGTACTTCCATCCCGCAGTGCGAACATCAGCCGGGTCCTTCCTTACTTCGAACCGCGGGGAGAATTTGGAGGCGCCAAAATAAAGTGCATTCAGCAGCAACTTGGAAAAGTAGGGGCCGTCGGACGCCATGTCCCGCATGAAAGCCGGCCGGTAGGTGATGTTGAATGAATGGTGCTGGCGATTCCAATGCAGGTTCAGCAGATGCATGCCCAGGTCGGGATCCACGCCGTCAAAGTCTAGCTTCCCAGTGTGGAAGTTGAGCTCCTCGAGCTGACGTTGTCGCGCGGCTTCAGCGACCAGCCCTTTCCCAATCCATTCGTCGGGGATGCGCGGTCGACCGTCCCCCTCCGGCGGTCCTTGCTCCTCATACAGAGTGCTAGTGTGACCATGGTAGCTGGAAGTGCCGTTTGAGGAGACAACGATGCGCGAGTCGCCAGCGCCATGCCTTGGGAGTTGACCCTGGGCAAGAGAGCTGCCCCCGGCCCGAGATGGATCGTTCTCGACGGCGGCGAAGTCCCGCGCGCCTATGCCATCGTTGTAAGCGCTTCCAGTGGTAGGCCGGCCGTGGCTGGCCGATGTGGCGGGCGTCTTGCGACTGAATGGCACCGCGACCCTGGCTGTCTTTCGCCGGGACGGGGTACTGGGGTGTGCTGAGGGAGAAGCTGTTGAGCCGGCTGCGTCGGCGCCGTCTCTCCTCCCGTCACCCGGCTGGTTTAGTGGGACGTATACGCATGCTTTGTCGTAGATTTTGCAGTTCGAGCAGATGGGTTGTTCGTTGTTGCACTTGATCTAGATAGCCGGGGGGTAATTGACAGTCAGCACTTGAAAAGGACTTCCCGCGGGAGCCACCTTGCGGGGACGGCGGATCGACTGGTAGCATCTTTAGTACATACCTTGCGCTTGCGACAGAAGGCACACGCTTCGGCTGCTCGCCTCCGCCGACGGCCGTCGATTGTGCGTGGACGGTTATCAATTGTGTCAGACTCAGACATACGTGGCTACCTGTGCTGGTGCTATCGCATGCTGCATTTTGACCCTGCCGTGCTGATGGGTAGCGTCTGTGGAGGTGGGAAGTGGGAAACTCCCTTCCCGTGGCAGACGTTACACTTGCCACGGAACGGATTTCATTAGCCACAAATAAAAAGTGGAGTGTACTTCAATTGCCGTGTCTGTTTCCGCGGGAAGTATTGGCGGACGGGAGCAAATACATACAGCCTCACCACGCGAGCAAAATTGCATTGGCAGAGAGGAGAGGATTCCGGAGCAGCATAACTGGGGTCAATTGAGATCTCAAGCTCACAAAATGGCAGTGCCGTCCCGTTATATGCAGCAGCGCGAGCATGCTGCATACCACCTATCCATCGTCCTCTCTTGACAAACAGACACAGCACGAAGGGCAGCCATGTCATTTGCTCAGCCCGCTACACACACTATCCATGAATTCGATTCGCGAAATGCTGCCATATCCAGGTCTAAAAAGAAAAGCCAGACGACGCCCTTGGTGTCGCTCATCTCAGGAGGGATTGCGGGTGGCATGGAGGCTACAATTACGGTAGGCGGCCGTCCACAAGCTCCCTCGCTCGCTGCGTCTGACCAACAAATAGTATCCCTTTGAGTATGCCAAGACGAGAGCGCAGCTACAGACAGTAAAGTCAGGCCGCGGTAACCCCATCTCTATCATTGCTCAAGCGGCTCGGGAGAACGGCGTCCGCTCCATTTACACCGGCTGCTCAACTCTTGTGCTGGGTACTACGTTCAAAGCTGGCGTTCGTTTTCTGTCTTTTGACTACATCAAGAATATGCTGGTGGATGACAAAGGCTCATTATCTGCCACGCGCGGCATCTTGGCCGGCATGATCGCAGGAGCTGTGGAGAGCTTCCTCGCGGTCACGCCTACGGAGCGCATCAAGACCGCACTGTACGCCCTCGGCCCTCTCCCCGGCTCTCTCCAGCGCATCGCTAACATTTTACAGCATTGATGATGCCAAGAGCGGCCGTCGACGATTTCGGGGCGGCATGCATGCCCTTTCACTCATGGTTCGGGAGAAGGGTCTCGGCGAGGTCTACCGCGGCCTCGCCTCGACAACAGTGAAGCAGTCTGCCACCTCTGCCGTCCGCATGGGCACCTATAATATTCTCAAGGAGCTTTCTAAAAATCACAACGTCTCCCAGAACACGGCCACCACCTTTGCCTCCGGTGCCGTCGCCGGAGTAGTCACCGTATACGCCACGCAGCCGTTTGATTCCGTGAAAACCGTCGCGCAGAGCGCCAATGGAGCGTCGACTGGGGATGCATTCCGTCAGATCCTCAGGGATCGAGGACTTCAGGGTTTTTGGAGCGGCAGCACCATGCGGCTGGGTCGCTTGATATTAAGCGGCGGTATTGTTTTCTCGGTTTATGAGCAGGTTGTCGGGGCTCTTACCGCCATTCGAAATGTGTAGTAAGTTATAATCAGTATACAAATTCCTCTGGAACAGAGGCGTCTAGAACAATATAGACTGGTGAATATATATCTTCGAGTTATTCTTGGCGCAACAAATAATTTAAATAAGCATATCGCCCAAATGAGTACAATTGGAGAGGATCCTCCGCATAATCTCGACAGAGCTCGCGACGATCAACTCACGAATTCCCAGAAATGGACAACAGCGGCAAAGGCCATTAACATGATGGACCGAATGAGCATTTTCACCAATTCGGAATCGGGCGCTTTTTTTTTTTTTTAAGAAATTATGTAAGGATAAAACACGACTGATTGCCTACCGGCCAAAGCCGTGGAGCGAGCCAAGGCGCTGAAGAGCGCCGCGCACACGTCTCAGGCGTCTAAGTCTCAATTCGCAAGGGTTTTTCGGTCAGCAAGGTCCGTAGCATGAAAGTTCGAGCGTTTTTTATGATCAGTGCGGCCTGCAAGGGAGGACCGGAATGAGGCTGATGATAAGATTAATATAGGCTCCTCCTACCACCCGTCTGTTCCTCAGTAACCACTTCCAGCGGGTAACTCCCGAATTCTAAGAATTCATTGGTCCTTGATATCGCCGGGCCACTTTGCCGAGAATCTAACCAAGTCATGTGGTGCAACAAATGCTCCCATGGAGAGGGGCACAATACGGATTCCCTCTGGCTGCCTTGGCTTCCCAGAGTGTACTGGGCAATAATACTTGCCACGGCCTCCTCGCAGCTACCGTAGTGTTACGAAAACGACGACAAACAGGGCTGAGTAATTTGTGGGAGGCCCGTTGGCTTCTCGCGGGATCGCCATGTCGGCATATACTGAACGATAGAGCATCCTCCCAATCCGTCTCAACAAACCGACTCTAAACCCTGATGGCCATGATCTCATGTTATCCACAAATTGTGGAAAAATGCAGAACAAGACTTCCTGTCATAGAGGTACCTGAATTGTGGTGAGGCACGACTCATGTATTCTCGAGATTATTGTCTACGCAAGAGCAAAAACGGTTCCCAATAGTAGAACTGTACCAGATGTCCTTATAAGTACACGAAGTCCTCACTCATGGAGAGATGAACCCCTGAAGGATCATTCGCCAGTGCGACCCAGTCACTCCATTTCTCTGGTTTATTCAGCCGAGTTCCTTGACATTCTTCTTCAACCATTAAGATTTGCATATTCAAGTTGCCGCGATGAGGTCGATCCCAGTCATCGTCACCGGTCTTGCTGCCCTGGCCGCCGGTAAGCCGACGGACAAGCGGGCCACGGCTCCAACCAAAGAGCAGCTTTGCGTTGGCTTCAACGACGACTTTGACGCCTGCCAGCGCGAGACTACCACTTGCATCCGCGAGGTTCAGGGCGAGTTTAGCTGGGACAAGGTTTCCCAGTGTCTCGAGGGAAAGCGCCCGCCTCCCACCAAGGAGCAGCTCTGCGTTGGTTTCAACGACGACTTTGACGCTTGTCAGCGCGCGACTGTCGCGTGCGGCGGCGAGATCCAGGGTGGCTTCACCTGGGCAAAAATCTCCAAGTGCCTCGAAGGAAAAAGCCAGGGCACTGCTTCCGAGACCGGTACCAAGACCAACAACGACTTCAAGGCCGATCTCCGCGTCGACACGAACCGTGATGGAGTAGTCGACATGGAAGGCTCCTCCGACGTGGAGGGCAAAACCGAATGGACCGAGACGTCGGGCGCCATCTTCCTCGCCAACATTGGCGACTCGGGCGATCGCTGCAAGAAGCTTCACGCCAACCTGAAGCTGAACAACTTGGAAGACATCTTCGGCAAGCTCGCCAAGTGCCACGATGCTGACGACGACACGCAGCGCGCTCCCCGCAACATGGCCCCAATGCGCACCGTGCCGATCCAAGGGCTCAGCGACTCGGCCACCGGCAGCGTGTCCGTCTCCGACACCCAGGCGCGCTCCCTCGTCCGCATCTTCCGCGCCGTCAAGGACGGCAACGGCTGGGAGATCGTCAACGACGACACCGTCTTCTCCGCCCAGGACCTGAAGCAAGGTCTGACCCTGGGCATCGACGCCCGCGACACGCGCCGCGCCGGCGGCTGGGACGGCCGGGTTACCGTCGACTTCACTGTCCGGGACGGCGCCGCCTCGTCCACGGACAGCGTCATGCTCCGCGTCGCCCCTGTGCTGCTCCACCACCACCGCCAGCCCATCAAGCAGGTCTTCGCGTCCAGCTTCCGCGGCGGCTCCATGGCCGCCTCCATCACCGACTACGTGCAAGGCCTCATCCGCGGCATTGAGAACAGCATGCAGCGCGCGGGCGTCCCCGGCCCGATCAAGCAGCTCGAGACCGACGACCCATGGGCGCAGGACTACCTCGAGCCGGGCTACACCAGCATGCCCGGGCCGGACGGCAGCGTCGTGTGGCTGCGCGTCGTGATTGAGGGCCGGCACCGGCCGGAGCGCAACTCGACCGGGCTCATCTACACCACGCTGCGCGGCGACGGCGTCGGCGCGGTGGCGGCGTACACCCGCGCGGACCTCCAGAAGAGGGACGCCAAGTACGACGCCGGCGGCAACATGGAGATGCTGCCCCCATACGAGCACAACGGCGCCAAGTTCCCGGCCGGTCGCATCATCGTGGGCGGCGACGCGCGGGTCCAGCCCAAGCAGCTGGACTTTCTCCAGGCGCAGGAGGTGCAGGCGCCGCTGGTCCTCGACTCCACCTGGCTCTTCGTCGAGCACATCGACGAGATGGTGCAGGCCATCCCGGCCAAGACGGAGCGCGGCTGGGCCCTCCTCGCCATCGACCCGCAGGTGGGCCTGAGCTGGCTGCGCATGGCCGAGGAGCGCGGCCTCGGCGACCAGCCCGTCGTCAACGGCAAGTTGGCCGGCAGGTCCGGGCCGACCATCTCCCAGTTCCTCCGGGAGCCGGAGAACATCCGGGCGGCCGAGTTCAGCGGCCAGCGCATGGCGGCCAACCTGGACATTCTGAAGAAGGAGACGGGCATTACCGACGCCGAGATCTTCCGGGTCCCCTCGCTGATCACCACCAAGACCGTCGGGAAGAAATATCTGGGCCAGAAGCGCCGGCGTGACGTCGACGCCCGCGACGAGGCGACGGAGGAGGAGGAGGCGGCGCTCGATGCCGAGTTTCTCGAGTTTGTCGACTCGCTCGAGGAGGAGGGAGGAGACTTGCGCAACGGGACCCAGATTCCTCGGCGTCGTCGTCGTCAGGTTGATACCTCAGAGTCACCCGAGTTCGATTCGCTGCTACCCAGTCTCGTCAACGGAGTGCCCTTGAGCGACTCGCACTACGTGGCACCCAAGCCGTTCGGCCCCGTCATCAACGGTCGCGATATGTTTGAGCTTGTTGCTACCAGTGTGTACAACAAGGCTGGCTTTACCACGGTCGACTTTGTGGACGACTGGAGACTTCATCTGGCCAGCGGAGATGTGCATTGCTTCACCAATACATACCGCGATGCCTCGCAGCCATGGTGGTCCGAGTGAGAGCGGTGACTGCAACGCCTTGGCACGCTTTGAGGTGTGTGCTGACCACAACATGAGGGAAACTTGTAATCGTGTTTATGGGATCCCATAGCTTTATCCATTCATTGTCTTCTCAAAATCTTCCATCAACAGCGGTTCTTGCTAAACTTGCACCCAGCTCGCCAATCTAGGTTTCTAAGGCTTAACGATTTTTAGCGAGGGATTCTTCTATGTGGGCGACGTCTCGGCAGAATCTAAGCACCGACCCCGCCCGAAACAATACTATAACTGCCAAGAGCTCACCAGCTATAGAGCGGCGGGCTGTAAAAATCCATAAGTCTGTACTAGGTGCACACAGGAAGGTTATCACTATAGGGACTATACCGAACTCACACCCAAGTGTGTGCCCTACGGTGGTCCGTACGAATCGTTTAGTGAAATCTGCAGGCTGCTCTATCCCGCTAGAAATGAGTAACACACTGCGCATTATTTAACTAAACGTCCATAAACGAGGCGAAATACATAATAGTCTAATGAACGACGATGAGATTGTTAATGCAGCTGTCGTGGCCATTCAAGAGCCGTAGGCCCGTCTGATCCAAGGCCGGTTACTGATAACCCTAATGACATATCATAAGTGGACTAAGCTGGTTCCTACAGTATGTAAAACGGTTAGAAGATGGGCGATTTAAAGTATAATGTGGGTAAGGAGAGACCTTTAAGGTGGAATAAGTGGTAATAGAGTCGTTGGACCTAACGGCCACGATAATCACGCTCCTAGGACGAAAAGTACTAGTGATCTCTGTTTATATATAAGGAGTAGACGCGTAAGCATTAATAAATGTATGTAGTCTGCTTAGAGCTACTATTACGAAAACGAGGCGAGACGAGGGGCAGGTAGTGGACGTGGTCCTTATTGGAGACTTTAACAGGCATAATCATCTATAGGGAGGTGAAATGTGTCGCTAATTAGGTAAGGAGAGGTGAACAAAATTGTTAATCTTATGAGCGACTACAGTATGAGTAGCCTGCTCCCCAGAGGAACAAAAACCTGGTAAGGAGGAGAATACGAATCGACGGTGGACCTAGTTCTTGCTTCTGAGGGGCTGGCACAAAACTTCGTTAGCTGTAGGACGTGTAGCACGGAGCACGGCTCGTTAGGGCGGCAGTTAGGAAACAGCCCTAAAGGCGAAAGGTAAGGCAGAAGAGTAAAGCAAAGGAGAGCGATAAGAAAAGCAGGGTAGACAGGAGAAGCTAAGAGATAAAGGCAAGCAACGTAGTAAGCGGGTAGGAGAAGCGATAACAACCGAAGCATAAGAGCCAAGAGGCTAAACCAGACAGTAGCCAGCACGATAAGGAGAATAAAACGGGTTTTATAGCACAAACAACAGAAGCGCAGGGAAACCACAGTATAAAGCGGAAGCTAAGAGCAAAGGTACAAGAAGAGCCAGCAACCAGAGCCCAGGGTGACCCGAACCCCAACCAGACCAGGTCCGGAGGCAAAACCCAAAGCACACAGCGTACACTAAGGTGAAGCCGTCGACGCAGGTATAACATGCAGAGAGTCCGTCCATCAAGGGTTAGAAGACACACTATAGCCACAGCAGCCAAAAGCCAAGGGGCAGAGGCAACGGAAGCGACCAGTATAAGACACATAGAGACAGCAAGCCTACATAACTAATACAAGCAGACAGCAGTAAAAAAAAAACAATAAGAGTAAACCCAGCCAAGTGTTAGCGACTTCACACACCTAAAAAAAAAAAGCGAAATAAGACATAAACAGGAGGTTTCAATTGCGGGTGATTTCGGGATCGAGTCATATTCCGGGTAGCAAAAACCATTCAGAATGAACAAGATGCATCATTTTCCTTTCTCAGCGTCTCCCACAACATGCTGTGCATCGGAGACATCTGATAAGCATGATTTCCCCACAACTTGCATAAAAAGATGCGGGATAGCGGGTCGGCGGTGGAATTCGCAGGGATGCGTATCCATTTTGTTGTTCATGGTGATTGGCCTGTTGAGAATGAATCATTCTGCGTCACCTGCATTCGTCTCGATTGGGCGTCAGCACACATTACGAGCGCAAACACCAACGGTGGTGGTGGAAGTTGTCAACAGAATGAATCATAGCATACTCAGTCGCTGTAGCTCATTACGATGGGTATTGCATAGGTGTTGCGTGTATTATTGGTTTCGAATTCGGCTCAAGTTCCGCAACAGCAAGTAGTGCTGCGGGATGAATCACCTTGGACAGTAGACACGGCCTCAATATGGCAGGGGATACGTCACGAGCAGTAGACATTGGACTTTCAACTTAAAAAGGATGGCACTGGTGTAGAGAATTGTAGCATCGCGAAGGCGATTAATCCATTGCCGCTAAATGGCAAATTTCGTTATGCTTCGAAAGGTAAGAAGACTCTTCCACCCACACGTACCTCGTTGATCGCCATGATGGACAAACTACACCTTCGGATGCTACTTATTCTGCAAGCGCTGTGAAGAACTGTTCGAGTCGACATCGTCTGAGACATACAGGGGCACATTAAAAAAAAATGCTATTGCATTAAACCCTTATAAACACAACCCCCAACGAGAAAAACAAAAAATACACATCCCGCCAAAACAATCCTCCCGATAGACGAGAAAAACACAAGAGGAGCTAACTGTCCTTGACCATTCCAGGGTTTACCAACTTCAACATATCCCGCAGGGCGGCCGTCTCCGCCTCCTGCTTGGCCAGCCGGACGCGCAGGTCGTCGCGCTCGCGGCTGACGTCTGCGACCTCGCCCTCGAGCTCGGCGATGCGGTCGAGCTTCTTTTGCCGGTAGCGCTGCGCGGCGACCTTGTTGCGCTGGCGCTTGAGGAGCAGATCCGGGTCGACGCCGCGACGGCCACGGCGATGGTGATGCGCGTCCGTCTGCGGATGGTGGTGGGCGAAGCCGCTCGACACTGCGGGCGTGGGGTACGTGCTGCCGCTGCTGTTGCTGCTGGCCGCGGTCGGCGGGTTACTATCAAAGACGCCGAACCCGGACCAGTCGGCCGGGGGGATCATGGGCCCCGGTGCGGGTGCGAGGGCTGGCAGCGCCGTCGGCGCGGCGAGCGTGGTGGTGAGGGCGGCGGCGGTCTCGGCAAGGGCGCGCTGCAGGTCGTCGTCCAGCGTCCAGTCGAGGTCGGCCAGCTCGGGGCTGGTGTCCACGAAGAAGGTGTTGCAGTCCGACCACCACGACGGGTCCGGTTCGATGTCGGCAAATTGGTCGGGAAGGAATGGTGTTGGGCAGAAGGCTCCTCCGAGCTCATCGTCTCCCCAGGCAGACCGAGAAAGAAGATTCCCGGCGTGCCGTTCAGAGGAGGAGGAGCTGGCGGGAGCAGCAGGCGCTTGCGGCGGCGGCTGATCCCATGGTCTCAGGTTATGGTTGGCCTCTTGCGCGAGGCCAGGCTGCTTCTAGAGAAAGGTTGGAAGAAAAGCGTTTGGTGGGAGAGGAAGAGAAAGATAGGATGGCTGACAAGGTGGTCGTTCTTTTTAAAGAGCCCCTCGCTGAACCTGGTTTCCATCCCAGGATAGGCGTAGCGGCCGAGCCCGATCAGCAAAAGTGGATGTAAGGGGTGTTTAATTGGCTGGCCATATGCATGTTTCACTAGACTGTGAGTCACAGCTGCATAAATGTGCACAACGGTTGTGCAGGACCGTGCACAATCTGTGCATGATTTGAAATTGTGCAGGAGTCGTTCCGTCTACTACCCGTCATAGAGAATTTCAAGGAGCACCAACCATTCATGTTGAAGTTACATTTGCTTGTCAATTTGTGGTTTTAATATCCTCTCATGTTCGTCAAGTCAGGAGCAAGGAAAAGCAAACAGGAACGCAATCGTCATCAATCCTTCTTCGTACCAAAGCCACGAATCTTTAACCCTGACAACCAGTGGTAAGATTTACGTGACAAGCTTACCCCAGGAAAGTGAAATTCAAAAGAAGCCAGAGAAATAAATGAAACAACTGGTGAAATTTTGCCAAACGTACGTAGACTTCGTTCCTGGTTATCACTGTCCGCACGTTCGCCGCAGAGCCTCGTCCAACTACCAACCAACCCACCCCACCTACAAAGTGTATGACGTCGGCGCCGTTACCCCAGTTCGCCTCGACAAGCGATGACAATCAAAGGCAAAAACGGAACTGTCTCACCCTTTGTGTTGCCAGAAGGTGTATCTACACAAGCTGGGTTTCTTAGATGCTTGGCATCAAGACAGAACACCATGCCTGTCGTGTCCAGCCCCCTGTCCATCTTCGTCTAATCTCGACATCCTGGTGAGCCAACCGTTGATCCAAATCCAAACAAACTCTACTCGCACAATCGCACCATCCGGCAATCACCCGCATCTACTACACCCATGCCCCTACGCCATCATGACGTGTGAAGCATCCTCCGATCAGCAGCATCGCGCACCTCGCTATTCGCTGTCCAGCTGAAACAAGCTTCCACACCCAGCTTTCTTTGTGTCTGCACCACCACCCTCTAGCCACAACCGCCACCAAAACCGGTTTCCCCGTGAGCCGCAAACCATATAATTTCTGACCTGCATCCCTCGCCTTGTATCCCAGCCCAACTAGCATGCTTTGCTAACCAGCACATGCAGCCAAAGTCTCCTAAGTTACGCCACTACGTCAGAGACATCTTCGCCGCACGTTGCCGATCCCGTAGCCTCCGTAGTTGTCAGTATTAATAGACGTTCGTCTTCCAAACCGTTCTTCATTCACCATTTCCAAAGCATATAAATTCATTTATTCATTATATACCCCTTTCTGCTACTTCTCACACCACATTTACCACCACCACAATATAATACTTTTGAAGGCGAGCGCAAGCCAGCTCGCCCGCCCAGCCTTACTCTACACACCACAGTACGATAACAACTCAATTCTACACAAACTCGACCCCGCTCAGCTCCTTGTAACAATGGAAACCATTTCTCAGATGGCTACTACAGCCGCCAAGTATGCCTTTGGCGACCCCGCCACCCACGAAGAGCCCGTCTCCGGCTCCCAAGGCGACGTCACCAAAGGTGAGCCCTACGACGCCGGCAACCTAGGTATGTACACCACACCACATCCTTTCCTCTTCTGACACTGTTTCCATCCGAGTGTACTAACGAGAGAAAAACACCAGAACCCAGGGAACAGCAGGAACGCTTCGGCCAGAATCTCGGCGCCGGCGGCGAGTCCGGCGCCGACAAGCGCGAAAACACCGGCCGCATCACCACGGCTACCAATGCCACCGACGACGCCGGCTTCACCCGTCCCCAGCACGACATGTCCGCACCGGGTCCGGGCACCTCCTCCGAGGGCACCTCTAGCGGCGGCGGCATCACCACCTCGACGAACCGCACCACCGATAGCGGCTTCACCTCGCCCGGCCTGGACATGGGCCGCGGCGGCCGCGACGCCGCCGCCTCCTCTGGTAGCCTACACAGCAGCAGCAGCAACAATGCCCGGGGCGGTTCTTCTTCTTCTTCCAGCCAGGGCCTCGACCGCACCGGCAACATTGACAGCAAGAGCAAGCCCTCGGAAAAGCCCTCCGCCGCCCAAGGCGACGACAACGAGGGCGTTGACGTGTCCGGGCCCAGCCCCCGGGACCTCTCCACCGTCGCGCGCGAAAATGGCGGCGACGCCGGCCGCCACGCCGACACGAGCGCCTCGGACCCCAAGCAGCAGCAGCAGCAGCAGCAGCAGCAGCAGCAGCAGCAGCAGCAGCAGCAGCAGAAGCAGCCGGGGGACCTCCCCGGGGACCAGAGCCAGGAAAAGGGCACCGGCGAGATGTACGTCCGGTCGAGCGGGCTGCAGGCCGACGGGGGCGACTTTGACGCCACCAAGCCCGGCGCCGGGCGCGAGGCGGACCGCCTGATGGAGGAGAAGGGCATTGTGGCGGGCGGCGGCAAGGACGGCAAGGACGGCAAGCAGCAGCACCATAAGACTGGGAGCGGCGGGAGCGAAGGCAAGGAGAAGCACGGCCTGGTGGAGAAGATCAAGGAGAAGCTGCACAAGCACTAGGTCAAGACGAGGGAGGTGGGTAAGTCAGTATACGAGGAATGTCTCGTGGCGCCTATTCTAGAATGGGACACGCTGAGGAAGCGCTATTGAATGATTATGACTTTGAAAACAATATGATTTGAACATCTACCTCATATTCTTGCCCTTTGGTGCCGATTTCATTGAAACGTAAGCCCCAAAAAAAAACGGTAGAAAGAAAGAAAGAAACGTGCCCATAAGAAACCTAATACGGTACAGCCAAGATAATCTGAAAATCACAAGCGAAATATCCTCCGACTCACACTGCAGTCTCCCGTGCTACCGCCACCACGACACAAGCACAAGCCGCAAGGGCAACACTATGGTTCGATGACAAGAATAAAATAAACAACGAATGTAAAGCCTTCCACATATTTCCTACACATGATTCTCAAATATCAGCACACAACCAACACGTCGGTCTCCATAATCTCCGTCCCCCGTCTCCCCACAAAATTGGCACCGACCTCATCCTCCACATGTCCACATCAGCGCGGGTTTCTTCCGTAGTCATACCAATGAGGGCGCGTGCAAACATGCAAACCTTGCTCTCTCCATCAAACCTTCTTTGTTCCCGGTTCCCCCGGCCCCGAGGTTTAGTTTCTGTCGCGCGCCGTGATTGGTTCGTTCGTATCCAACGCTCGGTCCATTTGCCGGGGGAGGGGGGCCGTTAGTACAAACTTCCTTTCTCTCTCTCTTCCGAAAATAGATGTTCAAAGAAAATGTCTGGGTTCAAAACAGGGGCGTCGCTCGAGTCGTTTCGGGTCGTAATAAAACGCGGGTACGTATAATAAAATCTATCCTCTTCCCAAAAAAAAAAAGCACGGTTGTTCATGATTCTCATAGGAATCCAGACTCAGCCAGTACTCTGTCCACACGAGGGAAACGAAAAAGTCAGTAAAAAGAACATCCATCTCCTTTGGTTTCTCGTCTAATTTCCCCTGCTTTCTCTACACGCTCTAGGTGCTTGGTCTTACGAACCTCACGATTTTTTCTTCCTCGCGCTCGCGCGGCTCGATCTGCAGGCTCTTGTCGTACATCTCGTGAACGTCGCCCGCTGCTTGCATATTGCTGAGAATGTAATCCTGAAGCTCCGGCACCGGCTGCAGCGAGTACCCCACGTTTTGATACTGCTGAATGTCGCGGATGACCTCGGCTGTCTTGGCCCGCTTCGCAAAGTTGATGAGGTTTGTCTTCTTGATGATTGATGGAATGCCGTCCTCAATAAATGTAAGATCGGTCAAGTAGACACCGAAGAACGGAATGCACGGCGGATTTGCTGCGTGCAACGCCTCACGGTACTCGCCAAAGTTCTTCGTGCTCGCCATCAGCTTGCGCATCGTCTCCAGGACCGTATGCGTCCGCTGCGGTACTTGGTCCCATGTTCGTTTTAGGCGCGCAATCGGCGCCGTGCCGAGAGCCGAGATGATGGACGTCAGGTTAGAAAAGTTGTTAAGCGTTCGACATTTCTAGAGGAATGTTAGCCTGCTCACATACGCATGAATGTGCGCACTTACGTCGGCGACTGAGACAAAGTGCTTGATCACCACGACTCGCTTCTTGACATCCGTTTGCGCCAAAATCATTTCCGCCACCCAGTTCGTCATTTGATTCGAGTGCAGAATCAGGGCCTTGACGTTTGGCGCAGGTTCAGGCTCGCCCTCTGAAATCTTTTTCTGCCATGTCTTGTTGAGACACTCGGTCGCCTTAATCTTGCCGTACAGTCTCGACTCGATAATGGTGAGTTGGCGAGCAAACTCGGTCACGTCAATGTCCAGGAATTTCAGCTTCTTCATATTCTTGGGCATAATCGGCGATGGCGTGGTCTGGTTCAGAGTTTGAATCATACGCCTGGCGTTTGCGTCTGTGCCGTTGAGTCTTTGGTTCAGCATAGCCATCAGCGGCCCTGAACCTGGCGTTTCTGTCGACTTGACCGTATCTCTGGCAAAGTCGTATACGTCTCGGATCAACTGCTTGGATTCGTCGTTGTACTCTTCCATCCAGAAGCTATCAAACCAACTCTTGAGGATATTGACCACACGGAATCGAATGAGCTTTTGCTTTCTGTCACGCCAAGTCTCAAAGTCGGCTTGCGAGAGACCCTCTGGTGGTTGAATGGCAAATCGCTTTACTAATAGCTCAAACAACTCTCTGGCCGACGTAAAGGACTTGTATGTGAGGAGGAAGGTGTTGTTAAAGGATGAATCCAGCTTGTCGTGTCGTGTTAGCTGTTCGACAAGCGCGAGTAGAGAGCCGCCCCGTACGGCAGGTTGGGCAGACTTGGTATCCCATGAAACGTCGTTCTCGTAGTCGAGGCGCAAAAAGTCTGGAGTGTCGTCTGCCTGCATGGTCTGGGGCGAAGGATCTTCACCAAATATCTTCTTGACTTTGGAATAATCTCCCTTTCGCAAAGCACCAGGCGGTGGTTCGCCTTCAGTAAAAGATTGGGCGGTAATAAGCGTAGGTCGTACAGGCGCCGTTTTTGACTCGGATCGTTGATGGGGCCGATCATACGGCATTGATTCACCGCGTTGTAGCGGTGCGGGTGGTACTGGATCCCGCGACCGCGATTCTTGCTTCTTGAGTGGCTGGAGTTGCAGGTTTGTCTGCACCTGTTCTGACAGGAGCTGTAATGAATAGCCAACGTGAGTCGAGTTGGTCTCGAGTGCTCTGGCACATGTTCTGACATATTCAAGTCTATTTTCCAACGCCTCTCCCCGAACCTCTGACCATTCATCGGCCAAGGGGCCCGCGACAGCCTGGCAAGCTAATAGCAAGTCTGCAATGTTGTCGTACAAGCTCTGCTTGGAAGTGGCAAACTCTGCGAGCTGAGGTGTCTGAAAGCTATCTCCAAGGGAGGAGAGGTCAACAGACTCAACAGTGGCGATCCAGGGTCGGAACATGTCAATGGTCTTGGTCCCAGCCAAACATATGTTGTTGCTGATAACCTCGTGTCGATAAGGTGTGATGATGTTCTCCGGCGTGGCGAGCGTCTTGTCAAGTTCACGCAGGCTTGCTATTAGCATGCGCTTCATCTCATCCAGTCGCTCGAGTAATCTACCATCCAGGACAGCTGTCGGCTCAACAGCGCCGTCATCATCCTCGAGGAAGTTTGATGTTATGGGATCGCGCGGCCCGAGGCCATTGTTCTGCCAACTTCCGCCCGCAGTGCTACCAATCACAAAGCCAGGAAATAGTCTTGGGATCTCTTCGCCACGCTGCTGTCGCGCGACTTCGACATAGCTAAACACACCGAGAAGAACGCCGTCGGCTTCCTGTAAACACTTTTGGACCGATTCAGCATTTGGCCAGTCTGCTGCGGCAATATGCGAAGAGATGACGAGCTTGGAGAATTTGGACATCATGTCGCGGAAGTGAGGATAAAGCGCCTTATTTGTAGAAATGATGGACGGTTGTCCAGAGTGGTTGTCAGTCGTCCCAGAGCCGGCAGCAAGCAGCAATCGCAAATGGTCTGAAATATCCTCGGCTCTAGCTACGTATTCGGAGCGGTTGTTTGCGGTGATGGCGTCTCGGTACCGGTCAATTGCACGCTTCATATTGGAGACAAGCAGACTCCAGCTAAGCTGTGGCGTTGAGCCATCGTCGAAAAATGATCGCGGAACGGTCGTTGTGGTTGGAAGGTTGTATGTGGTGCTAGTGAAGGAGGTGGCAGAGGCGATATTAGGGGGCTGATGGGGTCCATTTGAAAAGCCATTCGTGGCGCTGTCGTTTCTTCTTCTCCGATTTGGCGAAGTGCCGTTGATGGAGTCCATCGAGGTGGATGGTGAGAGAGCTCCGCTGAGGGGGATACGTTGGCGATTCTATCGTGGTCAGCAGGCGCAAGGGCCAGGAAGAAAACGATACATACCAGTCGGCGAGATGCAAACATGCCGTCGCCTTCTGCTTCTGACGCCGAAGTTGCGGAGTCGTCGTCCTCGTCTTGGTTGAGACCCCTGGCCATCATCTCGGCAGGGGGGCGCGTCTTATCGGGCATGGACGCGTTCATGCGATCTCTGGGTCCAGTTTCGTTTACTGAGCTGGGAGATTCCAGCGGCAACTCCATGCTGCGATCGCCCGTCATCATGTTATAGTAGAAGAGACGACCGTCAGGGGTTGCTTGAGGGATCCAGAAGTCGGCTCTGGACTTGTCCCCGATGTCTGTTCCCTCGAGCGGCAAGGCACCCGGCGCGTCGCTTTCGGATTCGTAGTCCTGCTGCTCAAAGCTCTCGTCGTAGACGTCGGCGTCGTCGCGTTGATCATCGGCGCTTTCGAGACGGCCGTTTTGGTTCTGGTCGACGAGGTCCTCAGGGCCGGTGATGATCTGACAGTAATTACTGGGGAACCAGCCGCGAACACCATTGATGACACCATCCCACCAGCCGCTTTCCAGCTGGGTAATCACTTGGATAACGTCACCCTCATGAAAGCTCAAGCTTGTCCGGTCGTCGGCTTCGTAGTCGTACAAGGCGCGAACATACATAATGCCAGGCGGCGTGGTACCAACACTACCGTCCATGGCTGCGGGGAGCGAGGGTTATCGGCGGGTGGCGTACGGACAAAGGGTATTGGCTTGGCTGGGAGAAGCAGCGACGCGTCGACAGACGGGGCTGCAGATGGAAAAGAATGTTGGTCGGTGGAGGTTGGGGTGTGTGGAGGTTATCGCAAATGGAGCCGCACGGCAGCTCTCGTGCCGGCTGCAGATTTTATTGAGGAACGAGATGAAGACGAGATGCCCATGTCATTGTCGCGAGGGCATGCAGGCGAGTTGCGGTCGGCCGATGGCTTGTTGTGTTGCCACGAGGCTGTTGCGAGTTGATCAGTGCAGGAGGATGCCCCTCCTGGACAAAGATTTGGCTGGGGGTTTTTCGCGCAGACGTGGCTCAAGCGGGCAGGGTTGGATAAGGGAAGTGGGCGCAGGGATCAATGAAGACGGTAAATTCGAACGGTATAACGTTTGTGGGAGTTGAAAATCGGGAGCGAAAAGGAGTTTGAGGCTTGACGGTTGAGGGGACGCAAGGTTTCCTGAGTTGAGAGAGGGGTGAAGGCCGTGCCACAGGGTTTGACTGACTGGACTGACTGACTGACTGCCTCCTGGCAGAACGGCTTTGTGTAGGGAGGTTTGTATGGGCTGACAGCTGACAACGGTTTGGCGGGAGTTGTTGGCGGTGTGGTGTGGGGAGGGGGGTTTCCAGGAGAGAGGGGAGGGTTCACTAGTCGTTGTAGTCGATGCGGTTTTTCTTTTTCCTTTCGCGGGGGAAAATGAATGTCGAACAAAGACGTTGATGACAGGTGAGGAAATATGATAGATAGTTAGTTAGATGATGGATGACCTTTGAATGATTCGGGGGATCGGTGCAGCTGAATGCCCCGAATTCGGCTGGCTGCGCTTTTGTGTGGTTACCAGTGCTGTAGTGTCGCAGTAAGGGAGACCTCACTGATGTACTGGTAGACTTATTCCGTACACCTATGAATGTCGGTACCTATTGGGAGAGACACTGATGGGCTGGTGGGACAGTTCACACAAGTTGCAGGCATCTACAAGCAAGTTTGCTGCTAGCTGTCGGCTACGCTTTTTACAGTGTAGTATTCAAGGTAGCAATCGGCTGTTGGTGGTGTCCTATAATAACCTGCGACATATGAATACCACTGATAACCTGTACAGACAGACATGCCATTGATCCTCTCGGCAAATCTGCCATCAACGTTACAATGCGTCCTTGACGAGCCACGTTATAAACAGACTGGTAATATAGGTAGTACTGCTCATACGGCCACCTAAGCAAATCCTGTTCTGCCGTCTCCTGCATGGTGGCTACGGCTCGGCATGACAACCGTCGTCCCCGGCCCGCATCATCAATAAAATAACCTTGCGCGGCGCATCAGACGTGCATCCATATCTCCTAATATATGCATGACCGTATCTTCCTTGGTACAATGGCCGACTCGCACCTCACCGTAGCTGATTATGCTCACAGCCATTGTGGCTTGTCTATAAATTTCCCGCAGTAGAGTGCTGATGCGCTGGTTCAACCAAACCTACCGGTCTCCTTGGGAGGTTCGTGCATTGCGACGGTCTGGCCTTTGGTGTCCGCCATGCGAGTGTAATTTAGCAGTTAGTAATAGGCGGCCCGGAGTATGTCCGGAGTAAGTTTGCAGGTAGTCTACCAATACGTAGTTGGCTTTTCAGCACTCATCCCGCCATCAAGTACTTTGCGCTATGCTATACCAGCAAAAATACATTCACCCAACAGAGTGGACTCCTGGTGCCCCGAGGTCACTGAGCTCCTCCACAGTGGCCAGCCAAGGTGCCTGACAACTTTACCAGGCGGTTGGCATCAAAGGGCAGTCGCCGCACCTTCTTTCAACTAACCAATGACTGCTTCCAAAGTTGTCCAAAACCACCATGGTGATTATGAAGGAAAGGATCAACAACAAGGGCCGAAAGTTTCGACACTCGTCAGGGGAATGGCAAGAGAGGGTCAAACCACTCAAACGACAAGTTGCCAGTGATGCGCTCTGACTGTCATGTTCTGCAACCGAGCGACTCATTCGCGAAACAAAGGAAATAGGATGAGCCGCGAACCCCTTTGCCTCCTTTGCGCTTGCACATCGAACAAATCATCCACCGTCGGGCCGTGGCCACGTTCTTATCAACCACGGACGGCGCCCAACTCGTCGTACTTTATTCGGAACTAGTTTGTTGCCGTCCCTTGACCAAGTATGCACAAGCGAATTGTTCAGTTGTTCGATTTTCTCAATCACCTATCTGGTTTGCGTATGTCTCACCATGGCTCGATCTCATACGTCAGTAGCCAATGAAGATGACAGGTTCACCACGCAAGCCTATAACCTGACCTGTACCTTTTGAAGAAGAAAGCATGCTTGGCTCAGGTGAGAAAAAAACAAGGCGGCGTCGTTTTCTCAATCAACGTGAAAAAGGAGGGAACGAGACGCGACCCAGCGTTCCTCGTGCTGTCGAGGTTTCCGCCCTGGCGACAAAAACGCATGACATATCAAATTTACGAGAATGGATTTAACCTTCGTCTTCTGATGAGCGGAGAGACTTTGACTCTGGATCGCCCCAACCCGAGACCGCTAGTTCGGTTCCTGGTGCCCTTTTTTTCATTCAAGGCATTAGGCCCATCGCGAGAAAACCGAAAAAAAGTTGGCATGGGGCGGCGCGGATCCTTGAACCTGACTTGTGCGCCAACTTGGTTAATATCTAGGCTTTTAGCTGCTCGGAAGGGCTCCCGCGGTACCCGCTAGGCTCATGTTCCGTTTATCTCGAACGGGGATGGCGGCGCGAAGTCCAAATTAGCTTCTGGCGCTTCTGGCCCTTGGGAACAGGCCCGTGATGCCTTGGCAAGGTCAGACAGTTCGGTTGCCCGCACAGCTGATTTTCCGCTGCCGAAGAAGAAGAGTCGCGCGAGTGGGAGCAGCACACGGTGATTACCGCTCGACTGTGGCGCAAGGTGAGAATGGAACGAGTTCGCTGTCTGTGCTGCGGTCTGCGCTGACAGCAATAAGCCACACTACTAAAGTTGTAGGCCTCCCTCGGCAGAGCTCAACAAGAGAGGGCTTTTTTTATTGATTGTCGAGGCGCCATGATTGCTCTCTTTTCTGCTTCCGCAAAGGGCAAAGGGTGCTCTTCTTCTTTTGTCCTGACCGCCTCAGAGTCTCCAAGACGCAGCGGCAGGCATGCAGCAACTGGTTAGCTGGAGCTACCAAACAGTATTCTTATTACCGTTCAGGGGAGCCCACTCTCTACTGCCCAGTGGGGATGGGCGACTCTTGTCTTGTTTTGTCGTTAGCATCAACACCGTACTATTTGGAGTCGATGACAGCTTATTGCATGACGAGTATGTATGTACGCCGCCGCAAACCCGCCTTGGGTCGCCCAGCCAGCCGGGTACGCTGCAACGCCAAAATGGACAACCGCTTCCCGTCTCCGCCGGCTGCAACCATCGGGCTGTGGAGGAGAGCGAGCTGCGTGTACTGTCTGAGGAAATCGGTGCACTGTGCTTGGGCACATCGAAACGAGCCAGTGATGCATGCGTTGGCAGTTCCCAGGTCTCGTGGCGATAATGCGCATGTGGCAGCTGCGTGCGTGCGTGCGTGTGTGTGGTGTGTGTAATGGTAGTCGTATGCGTGTTGTTGCCTGCGACGAAAATGCCACTGCGATTGGGCCTCGCGGCGTGGCCGTGACGGAGTGTCTCGGCAGAGGAAAACGAGTTGGGTCACCGAAGAGTGAGAAAAGGGGTTGCGCATACGACGATGTGTGCTGATGAATGCCGCGATTGCTCCTCGATCCCACATCCGCGGACACGGAATCTTCGGCGTTGTGCGTATAAAACTCACCGTATATAGTTGAGGACTGCATGGCAGTCATTAAAAACATGGGCGAGAATAAAGATGCGTAGCATAGTTATGGACCGCCTGCGAACGCGACGAACGGCGAGGCGCGCGTCGGCGGAGCCGCGGCATGCTCCCCCAGAGTTTTGGAGCGGCCTCGGAGACCAGTTTCCTCGTATCTGCATAACCGTTGAAATGATGCCAATATCAAAAAAATACTTGGAAGGAAGAAGAACCCTCTTCACTGCCTTGTAGGTGTCTCTTCTTCAACGACTTGAAAAAAAGCAAGCGCTTGTACAGTCAGCTACAGCTGACAACACGTGCAGAACAGCTGGCCCATGCCATCGCCATTTTTCCAGAATCATTCCTTTTCATGAATAATCAAACGAACCAGGGGCAAGTTTTAGCGGCTTCGAAGATTTTCAAGAGCAAGGAGAAAAAATAGGCTTTATTACAAGGGGGAGAGAGCGCCTTGATGACTCGCGTGGAAACGGGACGGGCCACCAAGGCTCATTGCTCAAGGGACGGTCCGAGCATTTGGGCTATGACATTAAGGAGGCTTGACTGGATAATTTTAGGTGTGGTTTTATTCAGCATTAAGTGAAAAGGAGCATACAGGTATCCTGCCAGGGATGGTGTAATAGCTAGTTAATATCCGTACAGAAAAGGGAAGCTGGCGGCTCTTTGGTGTCCCACTTGACTGGCCCGTCCACTTTCTGGAAATCCTGCGAAATTAGGTGCAGCTCTTGTTAGCATTATTCGTTATTGGTGTACCGTACTACCACGGCCCCAAGGTGACTATAATAGCGGCAAAAACCGTGTCGCTGAGGACTGGAATAGTGGTGGTCCGTACTAATTGAGCCGTGTGAAACAAGCCCAGACATGGACCCGCGGCGCGGTGCTTTGTCTGGCGAGCAGACGGTGCAAATAGAAAACGGATGAGAACCGCTCTGGGAGATTGAGGTCTCCTCGTTGGTGCTTGTTATAAGTTAGCGCTTTTCAGGACCGCCAGCACCGTGTTAGCCGAGAAACCATCGTCAACGCCATCGATCCTATCATGTGCGTCGTTCTTGGTTACATGTACATCTCCCGTCGGTCAACGACCTGGAATCCGCTTCTGCAAGAGCCCAGCGAGGCAGCCCGAAACCTGCCGGTTTGTCTTTCGTTCCTGACCGATTTTTTGTTCTTTTCCCGTATTAAAAAGTGAAGCGGTCAACAAAAGAAACCCGCCGCAAGGCCACGGATCGGAGTCTAACTAGTGCCTGCTGTACCCTGTACCTGGCCAGCTGCTTGGGCGAGCTTCAGAGGGCGCGACGGCGCTGGGAGGCCGCTATAAACGCCCCGCCGGCGGTGGATCTCATGCAGAGGCCGTGTCGACAGCAATTCGATTCAGAGAATTGGCTTGGACGCACGCCGGATACCAGCACTGCTTTTGTACCAGTAGGCCAATGTCTCGAACCAGTTCCATGACGAGCTCGGCGTTTTCTATCCAGATATTGGGCCCAGCATGATGAACACCACTCACTGGCAAGATCGAAGCCCTGTTCCAAAATCGACCAGAGCTTACATGGCGGTGACGAACAACCCTTGGAGAAAGCAGAAACCTTGTGCTGCTGCACGAAAGCGTCTAGTTAGTGAGACGCACGCCGCCACATAGACAGGGCACAAGGGTGTCTTTTCTGGGTTACTTACTGTGTTCTTTGCAGTGACGGCTGCAAGTCTTGGTTGAGGATCGTGATGCTGAGAGGGAGGTGCGTGTGCGTGCGGGCGTTCGACAAGGTAGATTGTAGGTGCGACATGATTTGGTAAGAAGAGATGCTGGGAATAACTGATTGGGTTTTGTGTAGCCGTATTTCCCGTTGGATATTGTCCGGTGACTGCTGCTGTGTGAAAGGAAGGAGTTGTTTAACTGTTCTTGCTACAGGTACCATGTGGCTGGTTCCCGCTGTGCTGGTACAATGGCAGTAGCACCAGCCACCTTCTTTTCCCCTCTTCACTTCCCCTCTTCTTCCCCTCCTCTCTATTTCCATGGCCGCTTTTATTAGCGCCAAAGCGGGCTGTAGACAAACTCACCATCCAGCTCCGTTCAGCGGCTCAGGCTCACAGGTTGGCACCTTGCTTGGTATTGTCGACGAACCAGTGGAAGCAACAGCACCCAACTATCTTAGGTATCTACTTAGGTAGACACGCAGCGTGCCAGGGGAATGAAGAGGATAGGGAGGGGTACGCGGCATAATAATGCCTATCAAGAGTTGACTGAGGGAGCGGCATATCAGATGAGGCGTGCCGCTCGTACCACTGGGCAGAGTAATAAAGAATGTCATGTACCCAGCTCGTCAGTCATTCGATGCGCAGATGCCTGCTAGGGCGGCGAGCTACTTGACTTGTGGTGTGGCGTCCGACAATCACGTCTCGCCAAGTTTGTCATGGGCGTGCGGGTCTTGTCAACTGAGAGAGGAAGACAGAACAAGCAAAGCAGAAGGACAAGAAAGAGCCCAAGCCCAACAGGGCGACGAAGACGAGAGGAAAGGGAGAAGGGAGTCGTCCAGCGAGGAAAGCGTAGGCCGAGCAGGTGTGTGTGGAGTGTGGATCCCCGTCACTCTTATTACTGGTACCCGTAACAGCGTCTCTTCCGTGCCAGAGCCCACTGAGGTGTTGACAGACTGACTGCTTGGCCACTGCTGATGATGAGCTGTCGGTACGGATAAGTCACTAGCTTGCGCTTCCATGCTTGCTTATTATTGGCACCTCACGCACCAGGACGGGCCGGCGCCGCCCCCTCGCTCTCGCCCGCTGACTGCCCCGCCCGCAGCGAGTGAGCCACAGCAGTCGCTAGCAGTCCACTGTAATTCCATTCGCTGTCAGAGACATGTACCCGGCCAAGTACCCCCCTGACGCCTTGTTGTGTTGCCGCCTCAGGCAGTGAGTACATGTTCCCCCAACGCGTTTTGCTGGAATTCCTGCGTATTGGCCCACCGCCCTCGATGTACTCTAAGCCCGACAGGCCCTCGGTGGACCGCACAAATGATCCTAGACAGGCCCCCCGGTTGGAGGGGTAGGTACCTCCAGGCGGAAGCTCCGGTACATTCCCTCACCTGTACAACCCAGCAGATTTACCTCCGACCATTGGCAGCGGGCCACCACACTGTGATCCAGCTCAGCCCAGCCCGGTCGACGCACCAGCGTTCCTCCTTCCAGCGGCCTCTCATTTCCATTAGCGGGCTTTTCAAGTGCTTCTTACTGGCCCAAGCCGCCCACAATGCGCTGCTGCTGCTTTGTCGTGCCGTGCTATGCTGCCCCCCCCCCCTACCCCCCTCATTTTCCTCTGTTGCCCGCCATCTCCTCCCTCCTGCTACATCACCAAATTCAACTCTCCAATCCACCACAACGGTCCTTCGCATCCCCGCGTTCGACCTTCTCGACCAGGCTTTTGCCTTTCCAACTTTTCTCAGAGGCCTTTCGTCGCCTCACACCTCAGACCCCGAATATATACCCCAATCACATAGCACTTCCATGACCAGAATATCTTCCTCCCAAATGACCAGTTCCACGATCAAGACCACCGTTGTCACACTTTAAACCCCACGGGAGCGCGCGCGCGAGCGAGGCTAGGAGTTGATAGCCCAACCCGCATCCAGACGATATTCAACCATCGTTCTGCAGGTCCTCGAATTTTTTTCCAGCCCTCGCAGACAGTGTTTTTCTCGACAACCTTTCACACTGCTGATTTCCCCCTTCACCACCAACAACTACTCGATACCGATACCGATTCCGATACGCATCGCTTACTATGCCTGGAGCAAGCGTTGCCGTTTTGCCGCCCCAAGCGGCGTCAACGTCGTCCCGAAAGACTGCCCTCGCACCTGAGCGCAAGTACAAATGCCAGTTCTGCAACCGAGCCTTTAGCAGAAGTGAACACCGAAGCCGACACGAACGGTCACGTACGTTAAGCCTATCCTATGTTTTCTTTGTCTACGTAGATACTGCTATTTTGATGGGCACGAGAAGATGAGGCGGCGGAAAAATCCGCCAAAAACTTTAACTCCCGCCAAAGTTCAAAATTGCAGTCTTCTTCCACTTGACTTCGTCTAACCTCATGCTGACTTTACTTTACAGACACCAAAGAACGTCCCTTCAAATGTATGAAGTGTCGAAGCACCTTTGTTCGTCGCGACTTGCTCCTTCGCCATGACCGGACTGTCCACGCCAAAGACGGCGGAGTTCCGCTACACAGTGATGGAAAGCGACGTGCTGGCCCCAAGACCCGCGGTATTGATGGCACTCCCAAGGCATCTATCGCTGCCCTCGATGCGTCTACTCTTGAGCAGATGGAAAATGGCCCTGACGGTATCTTTGATGTCGAAGCCGCCGCTATGCTTGTTGCCGACTTGCACCACAAAGCCACTGCCGCCATGCGCAGCGATGACTCTGTTTATGATGATGGCCAATCCATGCCTTACTCGCCGCGCACCTCCGCTGCCCTGGAGCCTGCAGTCACATACCCGTCTGGTGCTATTGCATTGCCTCAAGTTCAGTGGGAGAACTTCATTTCTCAACCTGACTCCAAGGCGCATCCCATCACTCCTAGTGTGGCCGGCTCCTTCGACTCGCAACGCTCCTTCGCCAGCTCTGCTACTCTCCAGCCTCAATCCAACCATTTGCCTCCCATCGGTAGTCAAAATTCTCACGGCTTTGTCCCGGCCATCCAGTCCATGCTGAGATCTGCTTCCCATTCTGACGCTGGTACGCCGATGAGCCCTTCTTTCGACTCCGTTCAGGCTGGCTTCCGAGCTCCCCTATTCTCTGGTGACGATGAACGTAACGCCGTTCTCGATATCATCCGCGCTCATGATCGCGAGAACGCCATTCCCGAAGGCTTCCGCCTGCCTGGCCTTGGCTCTCTCAATCGCTATCTGTCAACGTACTTTGGGCTGTTCCATCACCACCTGCCTTTCCTGCATCCCGCTTCCTTCAGTCCTAGCCAGGTGTCGCCTCCTCTACTCCTTGCTGTCCTGAGCATTGGCGCCCTGTACGCCTTTGACCAAGACCAGGCGTATATGCTGCACATCGGCTCTAAGGTGCTCGTGAATCAGTTTTTGCAGAACAAGGAGAACTTCAGCTCTCGCAAGTGCCCGCTCTGGACCATGCAGAGCTCGTTGCTGAACATGATTTTCGCGAGCTGGAGCGGTGATCCGAAGGGACTCGAATGGGCGTGCTCGATCAAGAGTCTACTCGCCAACATGGTCGCTGGCAATCGCTATGAGCTCAAGCTACGTCAGGAGGCTCGCGGCACCGCCCAGCCCACGCGTGCAGAATGGGTCGAGGATGAAGGCTGCCGTCGCACATATTACGCAGTCTACATCTTCTTTGGTCTCCTGACGCTGACGTATAACCACACTCCCGCAATCAGCTTCAACGAGTTTGAGGATCTCCAGCTGCCGTCGACCGAAGCCCTCTGGAATGCGCAGGTCAACGACGAGGTCGCTTGGCAGGATCATCTCAAAGCTTCTCCCGCTCTTACGTTCCTCGAGGCCCACGACAACCTATTCCAGGGCGAGACTCTACAATACAGTGCGTTTGCCACTCGTGTCATGATCAACGCTTTGTTTCTGGAGGTGTGGTACCACAAGCGAAGCCCCGAAGCATTGCAGGACGTCGTCACCGAGTACAAGCTACGTCTAGCCCTTGAAACTTGGGACAAGTCTCTGGAGCGCTGCGAGCCTGAGGCCGTCAACGTCCCCCTCAGTGCTCCCCACAAAGGTCACCCTCTGATATTCAACGCCAAGGCCATGTACAGAAACGCTCGTGCTCGCCTGGAGGTCGACCTGAAGGCTGTCCAAGAAGCTCTCCGCTACCACGATCCTTACGAAGTTGGTGCCGCCATGTCTCACGCTCGCGATCGCGTGAAGCGATCGAGCGAAATGATCAAGGTTATCGAGGAATGCTATAGCTGCATCGAAACGGCCGTTTTACAGGGCGTTCGATGGGTTGCCCGCACCTCACCCACAAATTGGAGCGTAGAGCATCCTCTGTGTGGGCTTGACCTCATGATCATTCTTTCGCTTTGGCTCTATCGTCTGGAACACGACGAGGAGCCAGCGACGCAGGAGGAACTGGCCATGTACAACAAAGTAAGGCAGCTCTTTGTCAAGGATCTGGATGAGACGTACATGTCTCGGCTCAGCTCAATTGTTGCTCGACTTTGGGGCTCCATGCTTGACGAAGTTGTCGTCTGGGGCATCACCCGCCTCATGGGTGAATCCTTCAAGCTGCACTCCCAAGCGCTCGTCGGCTATGTCGACGATCGCGAAGCTTCCTCAAATGTCTCGACGCCTTCGATGATCTCTCAAGGTGCGGACGAGGAAAGCGTGTACTAAAATTGCGATGACTGAACGATTTTCCTACTATTTTCATTGAGGGTTTTACCCCGTTTCCTTTTGCATATACCTCTGAGCTCCTTGAGTATTTTTCCTATCTGCCTTCGTCATCAGGCTAATCATTTCGGTTTTGGCGTCTACTTTTCGAATTTTCGACTGGGAATGGAGTCGGTCTGCTTGTGCTTCTGTCGAAATTTTCTGCTTCCTTTTGGCCTCGATCTCCTTTCTTTGGAACATTCATTGGTCTCATCTCATTTCTACTGTCCGCGACGCCTGAGACAGAGCAGGCAACATGTCGTTTGTTCAAATTGGCCAGTTTCTTTTTGTCGACAAGTTTTGATGGTTTATTTTGGGCACGTAATATTGTGGGACTACAGGTACACTGGGCTACGAACGGGGAAGGGTTTGAAATGATATACCGGAGCATGGAGAGGGAAAGGCATCCTGACTACTAATTTCTGCCAAGGCAGCAGACTGATTGGCTGGTCCATGATGGGAATGCCGGAGTTACTTCCTCTCGTGTTCCACCACCTGTTATCTTTTTGTTTTTGGCCTTGTTTTCTTTTACTTTGCCAGCAGCCTGTTGCGTGCCAATTTGCGGATTCGATTTCCTTGACTCCATTTTCGTGTCGATCGCTGCGTTTTCTTTTCTTGTCATACTACTACTCTCCTTGTGCAAGTTTGTTTGTTAGCATGTTTTGACGTTTGCTGTTTCTCTGGCTTGAATTTTTTTATCATTTGGCTTTGCCCTTACTCTAGTTGTGTCAACGGGCTTGAGCAACGCGAGAGAGAGTCTTGGAGCTACCTCGACTTTAGGTCTGCCCCTTCCGGCACGATTCCTCTTTGAATCGACTTGAGCCCGTTGCTCGTGTATAGATATTTAGTACTACATTTGATCAATAATACCTTCTCTGTCACAATCTTGAGGAAGAAAATAAAAATAATTGCGGTGTGAGCGGCGCAGATGGCCAGTTGCAGTAGCAATCAGGGGGCGTATGTGTCCATATTGTGGAAGCCATGGTCCGTGTGCAACGTGACGGGACAAGCACAAAGAAAGGCAGGGGCGGACGTGCTTTGTTCCTGCGTACTGAGTTGAGCGCGTACGGGTACTCGAGAGAGGGAGGGATTCGTTGCCGCCGGCATTGGTAACCAATTTTACCCCCTCATTTGCATGCGCTGTTCTGCTTGGCGGCTGCAACAAATGAGCCTCCTCCTGTCAACATCGGTTGCGGCGCCTCTCCAGATACCAGGGTATTGACTACGCTGTTCTGGGCAAAACATGATGCGTCAATCTCATGGAGGCATCGGGTTGCAGGCCTCGCTCGTGCTTCTCATCCTCGTCTGGCTCGGCAACGTATCGGCAACGGCACCGGCACCGGCATGCTCGTGTGGCTACCAGGTTGGTGGCGCAAACGGTGAGAGCTGGCTCTTCACCGAAGTCATCGAAACGGATTTTACCAGAGTGAAATCCATCGCTGCAGCTACGGACTGGCGGCGGCAGGAATTCAACGTATCTGCAGAAGCCGGCCGCGGCAAATACTCGAAATACTTTACGCCCAAGAATGTCGCCATTGGGCCAGGAGGGGCAACCCAAGGCGCCTCGGGGAAGCAGGCGGGCGTGGAGCTGTCAGTCGGTGCGACCATTGTCAACGGTGCGGTGCCTGTTGCGGAGATGGATACTGCTCGTCAAGATCTCCTATGGGGATCCTTTCGGGCTGGGATGAAGCTGACACCTGTGCAAGGCACATGCGCCGCCTTTTTCTGGGTAGGAACAAGCTCGTGCGACACAAGTGGCTGCAGCAACTGCTAATTCGAACATCTCCTGATGACTAGTATTTCAACGACACGCAAGAGATCGACATGGAGTTCCTGTCTATGCAGTATAACCGGGAGAATAATACCTTTCCGGTGAATCTCGTGATACAATCCAAGGAATCGGCTGCGAGAGGCTATGACGCCAGCGGTACTTCGACATACAAGACCATCAATCTCGGTTTCGACCCGTCTGCAAGCTTTCACGAATATCGATTCGATTACGTGCCAGGTAAGGTCTACTTCTACGCCGACAGCAAGCTATTGGCGGAGATGGAAGGCACCCAGATCCCCGACAGCGCTGGACATCTAATTCTCCAACACTGGAGCAACGGCAACGCAAAGTGGTCAGGCGGACCCCCGAAAGAAGACGCTTCTATTGTCGTCAGCTACGTCAAGGCGTACTTCAATTCATCCGATGCCGAGCGGGAGAGTAAATGGCAGACTGGCTGCGGCCCCGGGCGGGTTGCCGCGTGTTTGGTACCCAACGGTACGGCCGATAACGCAACAGATGGTGGGCAATTCCTCAACCCAAATCACACCCAGGGTAACGGTGACGAAAGTTTGGCGCCTGTTATGCTACCTAAGCTAGTGTCTTTACTAATGCTGTTGATCGGAATGATGTTAATATGGGCTGATTAGGTGCACGCGATGTGGGAATACTGAGTATCTAGCATGCGCGCGATGTGTGTGTGTGTGTCTCGAAGTTGATGTCAAAGGGCTAGAAGTCATTTGCGAGCTTGGGTGGCGATTAAACACGAAGGATGCTAGCTTGGGCATGTATATATATCTACAAGATAATAATGTGCTGAAATGGGTGACGATAATAGACCGAGTTGAACACGGCATGGTGTGTGTCAGGTGGTATGGGACAGTTAGGCTGCGAGACTCGTGATCATCTGACACGGCATGACTGCGTGGGCGGAGCACGATGGACGGTGCCGCTTTTCTAGATATGGCATTATTTTTTTGTGATGAAAACAATGTGACTGAAGTGAAACTGGCATAAGCTTTTGTCGAGCTGAATTGAGGGGGCCAAGATGACAAGTGCAAGGCGGAGGGAGCATGGCAGGTGGATATCAGGCACGGGAGCGATCGGCAACCATGAGGCTTCTCGAGTATCGCGCACAAGGGGGGGAATGGGCCTTCAGCTGGCCAATGCTGCGTGGACATGGCGAGGCCCAGGAAGAAAGAACGGATTGATGAATGGATTTCTCCACGTCTATATAAAGCGCATGGATGCGGCCCGATGCTGTCGTCCAGATCCCCGCTCCATTCATCCATCACATCTCATCATCATACTTTGCACTGGTTCAAGCCCAAAACCCACATTGGTCCCCGCCAAGCGACTTTGACTTACATGGGGTGGTTGAACTAAAAGCTCGCCTAGACCAGATCAACAACAGAGTTATCATATATCGCGCAACCTGCTGCGCCTCGAGGAGGACCTTGCTCTCTCCGACAATCCATACACGCATCTTGTCCGGACCTCGAGATTGCGCCGTCCAAGTCCACGACCAACACGCAATCGACTTCGCGTCTCACAATCACCATCACCATCCTCATCATAAACAATAAACCATGTCCAGCTCCGGAACCCTCCAGATCGTGCTGCGCAACAGCACCAACGCCGGCGCCCTGTACGCGCACATCACCGGCACCTCGGACGCCGGGCTCTTCGTGCTCTCCGCCGACGGCCACACGGCCTACCACCCGGCCAGCCCCGCGCAGACGCTGACCCCCCTCGGCGCCGACTGCGCCATCAACGTCGGCGGCGCCGGCGCCACCCGCGCCGTCACCATCCCCTACGTCTCCGGCGGCCGCGTCTGGTTCTCCAAGGACAAGCCGCTCACCTTTTACGTGAACCCGGGCCCGGCGCTGGTCGAGCCGTCCGCACTCAACGCCTCCGACGCCAACTACGGCCTCGACTGGGGCTTCGCCGAGTTCACCTTTAACCGCAGCGAGCTCTACGTCAACGTGTCGTACGTGGACTTTGTGAGCCTGCCGGTGAGCCTGCGCCTGGAGAACGCGAGCGGCAAGGTGACGAGCGTCGCGGGCATGCCGGCGGACGGCCTGGAGCGCGTGGCCGCGGGGCTGACGGCGCAGGGGCAAAAGGACGGCGCGGGCTGGGACAAGCTGGTGGTCAAGTCGGCGGAGGGCGGCGCGGTGCTGCGCGCGCTGAGCCCCAACTCGGGCGCGGTGGTGTCGCCGGGCCTGCTGCAGGGCTACTTTGACAAGTCCGTGGACGCGGTGTGGGCCAAGTACGCCGCGGAGGACCTCACGGTCAACACGCAGTTCAAATGGGGCGACGCCAAGGGCCGCGTGGACGCCACCTCGGGCTTGCTCGACTTTGGCGAGAACGTCGGGCGGTTCGGCAAGCCCTCCACGGGGGACATCTTCTCGTGCAACTCGGGCCCGTTCAGCCACGGCGACGGCGCCACGGACGAGTCGCTCAACATTGGCGCGCGCCTCGCCGCGGCGTTTAACCGCTCGACGCTGCTGATCAACAACGTGCAGCCCGAGGGTGAGGACGTGGCCAAGTATTACCAGGCGGGCGTGACGAATCACTACGCGCGCGTGTGCCACGAGACGACGGTGGAGGGCCGCGGCTACGCGTTCCCGTACGACGACGTCGGCCCGTCAAAAGGCGTGGACCAGTCGGGCTTCCTGAACGACCCGAACCCCAAGACGTTGACGATTGGCGTCGGTGCGCCGCTGGAGTAGGCGGACGGGACGTGAGCCGCCGGAGTTTGCGGCGTGGGGGTGTGGTTCGCTCATTTACACCACCTTCGATATCCTGTCGTCTGTTATTACTATTTCGTTCTTTCTTTTGTTCCTCTTTGACCGACTTCCTTTGCGGTTTCGCGCAAAAAAGGTTGGCAGCCGCTTCTTGGTTTCATGGTGGATTTACGACTTATACCAACTATACCCGCTCATTACTGCGATTTATCCCCCTTTCTTTCTGGATTACATAGAAGTACATATGGCCCGACTACCTGTACATAGTATATATAGATTCCAACACATGTCTCTCCTTATTCTCTATCACTTTGCACTTCTTCGATGTACTGCAGCGACAAAGGTTCAGACTGGTAGCAGAAATGCAGCTCTCCGGCGCTTACATAGGAAGACCATCATAGTTTGTGCGCTCAACAACGAGAGGAGTTTTACTTACGTCATTATCCCTATCTTTCATCTCTGTGCCATCTCGTAGCTCGATATTACAAATGCACTGCTTACTAGGTGTTACACCGAATTTTCGACAGACTCCTCTCCTCCTCTTGTTTCAGAAACATCAAGAGGGTGCAGCCATGTACCCCATAATCCAGTCGTCGGGCGTGCCCCAAAGATTTTGGACGCCGTCTTCCGGGTCATAGACGCCCATCTCTTCGATCAAGACGTCTGGGTCGCATGGAAAGAACCACATAGGCCACAAAAAGTCGAAAACACCCACCCTTAGCCAGTATCTGCCGACCGCGCCAGGCTCGCCTTCCGACTTGATCCTGTTCGAGACGACCTTGACGTAGCACTCGCCCTCGTCCTCTTCGTCATCAGCACCATCGCGACTGGCTGGGGTGTACGGGTTCCGCGGCAGTGCTAGGATGCTGTCGAGGCTCTCCTCGTCAAGCATCAAACAAAACTCAAACCTAGTGTTTTGCTCACGCATCTTGCCTGCGGTCATCGGACGACTGCGATGCTCCGCTACCCACGCGTCGAAGCGCTCGCCGACCTCGCTCTCGCCGAGGCCCGCTAGGCTCTGCTCATCGTCGATCAGCTCGCTGTAGTAGCGGCCTATGAGCCCCTCATTCAGGCGCCGCGTGTCGAACAACGAGGTCTCGGCCCCGGCCGGCCCCCGAGGATGCAGCTGCGTGTCGTGTGTCACAAAGTAGCTAGCGTAGACGGCGAGGCGTTCCAGGGCGGCGACAACGCGCTCGTCGGAACCGGGCGTGTAGACGGTGCGGAAGACGGTGTAGCCCCAGCAGAAGGCGTAGCCGTGTGTGCCGTCATGCTTTGCCAGGTGCTTGAGCGCGTCGCGTACCTTGCGGGTATATCTAGCGTCTGCCGCTGTGCTGTTGGGCGGCTCTGCGCAAATGGTGGCAACGTCAATGGGGGGGAAGTGCGCCATCAGCTGGTCGCGTCTTTGGAAAGGGGTTTTGAGGAATACGGAACTCGTCCGAGCTTGTAAGAGCAAAGTTGGCCGGGCAGGCTGAGAATGCGTCAATTCAGCACTGCAATCCGTGCCTCCACCTGCCAAGCCTGTTCCCGACTTGGGCTGCTGTCGGAAGGTATTTTGCTCTTTGTGACGCAGCATCGCCTACACCGAGGCACGATTTCCCAAATAGGCAAAACGGTGTGCATTTTCGAGCGCAACTATGCAATGCGGCCGCACTCGTCATCTGCAAAAGTACTGTTCGGCTATCGCTCTGGCTGTCGGCCGTGGCAGAACTCAAAATTGCTGTCACGAGTCGTAACACGGGTCTAACTGGCCCGAGCCGCAGAGAGGAGCGCAGGGCTGCTAATAATAAAGGAAGGAATACGGGGTCCTCCATTCGGTCCTCTTCCCTGTGGAGTCGACGCCTTTTCTTCTTCCGGCAAAAGTGCCCGCCGGGTCAAGGAGAGCCGAGTCTTCGCCTGCCCCGAGTAAAAATGCCTAGGAGGACAATCGGAGGCTGATTAAATGCAGTCGTCAACAGAAAATATAACCCGTCGGCAGTGGGGAGTCAGGTAAACGGCGCCGCCGCGACTAACATTGTCAAAAAAAAAAAAAAAAAAAAGGGCAAAGAGGTGGCTGGCTTCGGAGACAAAACTGAGTTTTGGCGCTGGAATGCAGCATGAGCATCAACTATCCATTCCAAAACGTAGGATCGAGAAAACACGGGGTATTTTTCTGCCGCTCTTACTAGGCGACAACGCATCTCCAGGGCTGAGACGTACCCATCAGATCGACCGTGGAACAAGGGCAAGGGCTCTGCAACTGTTGTTGTCATCACCTGCTTTCACGTACGGACATTTTCCGGGCCCACAGCGGCATGGCATCAAGCAAGAGAAGTCAAGATTGTGGCTGTCCGTGTTTCTGATGCTTTGCCCTAGTAATGACGAGAATAGCATGCGGCGGCAGTCGCTTTGACGGTACTCGTCTGCTGTGGGCCAGAGAGCCCCATTCAGATCGGACACGGGCGCCGTGCTCCTCCAGTCAACATCGTCCCTTGCTTCTTCGGCGGATTAGCTTTTGCATTGTGGACATGGCCGGAGAGACCCCGACGGTGGACGGGCCGAACATCTCGGTGGAAAGTTCCGAATACACGGATGCAACGTTCTCTCAGGTTTTAGAAAACCGGTTTTCTAAATTGGCGAGCTGTTTCTTTAGTTTAGTGTGGATTTTGCTCTCCGTCAGGTCAGTTGGATAGCAGTGTATCCCCATCGACTCGGACAAGTGGTATATTCTGCTGTAATAAAGGACAGGCTGGTTGGGTCGTGGTGAGGGTTGCAGTTGGCTAGCCACAGTTGTATCAGGCTGAATTCTGTCAGTCTGGGTTCAACTGCAAGCACGAGCGTTTATTATTAGTGACAATCGAGGATGCGGAAATGACTTTTAAAGAAAGCTAACGAGATCATCACAGCGCCAGAGTCCAGCCGCACAACGGACCCCACCAGCACATGAAGCTGAGGTTGAGTTGGTATGGTCATCATGAACGACGAGCAGTATGGCAAAGTTGGTGTTGTTTGATGGGGATGAAACAAACACGGCAGATTTCCGTATCATCTCTGGGTCGCATCATTTGGATGGGAAGTGGGAAGTGAATGGTGACGGCTGCGGGCGCAAACGCTGGAAATGAAGGCGATGCCAACATGTAACCAAGACACCAGTGGACGTGGCAGCGCAAATAGTGGAGGACAGAGGACGGACCCTATCTGAATTAGCGCCTGCAAAAATCGGCCCTCGCGGCGGCTCCTTCAGCAGCCTTTGCCCTAAACAGTTTGGCGTGCTTAGCGGACTCGGCCCAACTCTGCAGCGAATTTTATCGTCCTACAGGTAAGACCTGCTGCTGTAACAAATCTCATTGCAGCTGCCTGGCTCTTATTTGTAAGGCACGCGTCCCGCTCCTTCGTCTTCCTATTTTACACGTCTTCTTCCTCCTGCAACTGCCGTCCCGACCTGCCGTCCAATCAGTTTTGAGGCTACAGGATCTTCTACCTACCTCTTGATCGATTGAACTGCCGTTATTGTGTCGACTGCGCAGATTCGTCCCGTCTTGGCGCCAAATCCGACCCATACGCTCTGGCTCAACGCATATACACACACCTGCGCCCCTCCCCCTCCCCATCCCACGGCAGTTCATCATCCACGATTCCTTTTGACTTCCCTCCACGATTTGGAGTCTGTGGTATACTGGGATAGATATTGGGTCTTCAATCTTGACAAGTTTGGTGTACCGCCATACTTTGGCGGTCCTGTCCCGTACCTACTGCCTCTAATCACATGCCTGCGGCCAGCACTCGGCGCACAACCCATTCAGTACAGCCACCGCCAATGCGCACAAATACAGGCAGCAGTACCTATCATTCGGTGCCAGCCATCACTCACGATCCTCTCCGGCTTTTGTGAATGTTCTAATTCATTCGAAACATCCAAGTACCTCGGCTCTTCGACGGAAAACTGCGCAATGGTGTATTGCGGTAAACCCTCCAAGGGTTGCTCCAACTGTCGCAAGCGCAAAGTACGGGTACGCAGTCTACGTGCCACCCGACAAGATTCTTTGCCGGGTTCTACCTCTACCCCCCTCTATAGCAATGTCTAACTGCCATTAGTGTGACCAAACAGAACCTCACTGCGGCCAGTGCCAAAAAAGACAATTACAATGTCCTGGTTACCGCAACCTCGTCGACCTCATGTTTCGCGACGAAAGCGAGCATGTTATTGAAAAGGCAACCACGTATCGAAAGAGATCGGACGCACGAAAACAGTCTCCTAGCCCTACATCACCATACAGCTCTGACGAATCCTCATCCCCTGCGCTTTCAGCAAGACCATTGAACTGGAGAGAAGGACAAGCCTCGCCCAGGTTTCCGCCAAGCAGAGCAAGGCAAAAAAAGGCTTGCGCCGCCTCCGCCCAGGACTGGCTTTGCGAGAAGCAGCAGGAAATAGTACGAGCAAAGAATTCTGGCCGGAATATCAGCCCGGACCTGTTCTTGCCGTGCCATTCCGCAAACTCCTTCCACGAGCGGGGCATGGCTTTCTTCTTCTCCCGACATGTAGCCAGAAACGACATTGGCTACCAGAGCTATGACTTTATTTACGATGTCTGGAAACCTCCCAACAACCCTAGTCCCGAAAACCAAGACAGCATTGCTGCTGGCGTTGTTGCCATTGGCTTGGCCGGCCTCTCCAAGGTCACGCGCTCTGCAGAAATGATGAACATGGCTCGACGAAACTACGGCGCAGCGCTTAGCCTGACCACCGCCGCTTTGAGCGACCCAGCCGAAGCCATCAAGGATACTACAATGCTTTCAGTGCTTCTTCTTAGCACGTATGAAGTCGTTTCCGGAAGCACACCGCAGACCATGGAAGCATGGCAAAAACACGTTGACGGTGCCGCGGCTCTTGCTACACTTCGAGGCACCGACCAGTTCAAGACCACAGCTGGTTGCAAGATGTTCCAAATGCTGTGCTACAGCGTACTTCTCAGCTGCATGCGCTCCGATATTCCCGCGCCCCCCGTCATTGAGGAGCTGCGCAACAAGTCCCTGGAAATGGGTAAGCTCGATGGGACAAACAGAAATCTCATCGATCACATGTTCAAAACGACGAGGGTGCGACACCAGATCAAGACTGGCATCATTACCAACAGAAATGATATAATATCCACGCTGGCCAACTGCGATGCGGAATGGGCCCTCCTGGCTTCGGACTTACCAGACATGTGGAGGTATCACAACATCAGACTTCCCAGTGCGAACCCGACAGCCATGCATCGCAACTGCCACGTATATCCCGGCCTCATAGCTGCTATTACATGGAACGGCATTCGGTCTACGAGAATGCTTCTCCAAGAAGCCATCATCGAGCAGCTCTGCCACAATGTTGATAACGAGACTTGCCTGTCCGGTGCCGACCAGGAGCGACTCATCAGTGCCATAAAGACACACAACACCCTGACCGATGCCATCATTGCTAGTGTCCCGCAGTTCTTTGGCACTGTCCGTTGGGAAGACTACGTGAAGAGCACTGGTGGTTCGGACGTCGGCTCCACCAGTCCGTCCACGGACCCTGCGACTCCTGATCTACCGCCTCTTTCGAGTTCCCAAGGCTCGGAGCCCATTGTGACGCCACATGAAGAAGTGGTTGGTCGAAAGGGGCAAGCTGTAGTCGCCGTGCTACCGTCGCTCTTTGAACAAAAGGACAGGCCAATGGGCGAGCTCTGGTATGATGTGGAGCGCATCATGACCCTCGCGGCCTCATGCACGTCAATTGTTTGGCCTCTGTATAATATTGGCATATCACCGAACTGCAGCCCTGAGAAGCGCTCATACGTACTCGACAGACTCATGGCTATATATGAAGAGACGGGGCTGGAGAATGCTCTTGAGGTGGCAGAAACGGTGCGACAAAAGATGACGGAGCATCCCACGCAGCAATGCTGCACCAACACGGTCAAGGTGGCCTTGGCCGACTCATTGCCCATTTCATTGGACGTCTAATCTATAAAGGAGGCAAGCGATGGTGGCGATGGTGGCGATGGCGATGGCGATGGCGATGGCGACAGTGATTCATTTTTGACTATAAGCGCGTTTTAAAGGGGACGGCTACAGATATTTATTTATGTATGCAAATAAGTTATGGATGAAGGCAGGCAGTTCTCCATTACGGACACACGCACAGCCGGGCCGGGATATACAAATTTAGTACTTTTTTCTCAATTTTCAAGAGATATCCTCCTCGTCTATAATTCAGTTGTTCCCACAATTGTCCATGATCTCGTTTTTGATATTAGCCTCGACGCCTTTTCCCGTCGACCTTGTCCTCGGACCATCCGAAACCCCGACGCGAGCATATATATACAAGCTTCTTCCCTCTCCCACCCTGCGGTACGTGCTTCACCAGCCATCAAAATTGCCAAAGCCGCCCGTCCCACGCATCTTTTTCCGCGGCGGTTCCGGCTCCGTCCACACCTCCTGATCCAGCTCTGCCTCTCCGCCCTCCGCCGCCGCCGCCGCCGCCGTCTTCGCAAGATACTTTCCCACCGCGTGCCCCTCTGCCGGCGCGACCGAGCCGTCCGCGCGGATGCGCTTGCCCGTCCAGGTGGTCCTGTCCGCCTCCTCCCCGCCGCGGCGCTCGACCTCGTCGCGGCGCGCCTCGTCGCGCTCATTTTGCCGGTGCTGGGCGAGGAACTCGGCAAAGGGGTCGACGAAGACGGCGACGTCGCGGATGACGATCTTGCGCAGTGGCCGGTTGGAGCCGTCAGTGGGCACGTCCTCCATCTTGGCGAGGACGTCGAGGCCGGAGACGACGGTGCCGAAGATGGTGTGCTTGCGGTCAAGGTGCGGGACGGGCTTGTAGGCGATGAAGAACTGGCTCGAGTTTGTGTTTTTGCCCTTGTTAGCCATGGAGACTGTGTCGTTTTTCGTGGTTAGCGTTTTCATGCAAGGGGCATAGAGGGAGGGAGGGAGGGGGGGGGGTTAGATGGGAAGCATTACCTGTGCCGCGGGCGTTGTGCGTCAACGGGCCGTCAAACTCGTCGTCAAAGTACTTTCCCCAGATGCTCGCGCCGCCGCGTCCCGTCCCCGTGGGATCGCCGCCCTGGATCATAAAGTTGGGGATGTTGCGGTGAAACGCGACGTCCTTGTAGTAGCCCTTTTGCGCGAGTCGCACAAAGTTCCAGACCGCCCGGGGCGCCGTGTCCGTGTGCAGCTCCATTGTGAGGTCGCCAAGGTTCGTCTCGAGACGGGCGTACCCTTTATTCTTGACGCGCTTCGGCTTGAGCATGAACTCCTCGTCCGTCAGCAAGGCGCGCTCGCCGCTCGTCTCCGGCGTCAGACCGGTGCTGGTGAAGCTTGCCGCAGCGCGACCAGTGGTGTAGGCTGCCGCCTTGGCCGCGAGCTTCTTCTCCTTGATCATGCTCTCCCGCGCCGCCGCGGACACCGCCGTCGTGCCCGCTGCCGTCTTGGCCAACGCAGCGCCGGAGCTTCGATTCACGTCGGCGCCGGCCTCGCGGGCCTTGCGCGCCTTCTCGACCGCCGCCTTGGCCTTGAGAACTTTGTCGCCCATGCTTCCCAGCGCTCCGGCGTTGATGCCGCTGTCCTCGCTGCGCGCCTCCTCCTGCGCCTTGCTCAGTTGCGCGCCTTCGCCGTCCTGAAGGTATTTGAACCGGTCGAGGCTGCGGCTCGCGGCGTTGTGCGGGTCCTGCAGTGTGATGATGTCGGCGCGGGTGAAGGGCTGGTCGTCTACGAGGTCCTGCCACATCTTGGCCTTGACGTTCATACGCTCGACCGTGTCCCAGGCGAAGACGTTTGCGTAGGTGCCGTGGCGGACGGCGACGATGTGCGTGTTGTCGGTGAAGACCTTGTATGTGACGGGGTCGACGAGGTCGCCCTTTTCGTCGCTGAGGCCAGCGCCGCGCGATTCGCTCTCGGCATTGCGGGCAAAGTTGAGCTTGATGAGATCGCGGGCCTGCAGCGGCTCACCGTCGACGGGGTTCTGGTTCGGGTGCTTGTCGAGCCAGGCGCCGATCACCTCGACATCGAATATGGTGCCGTCGGGCGTGCACACGGGGTTCTTGAAGGGCTGGAGGCTCGCAGCGCAAAAGTTGAAGGGCAGCTTGCGGAAGGGGACGCCGTTGTTGCTGTTGCGCGACGAGGCGCCTGCGCCGACGCTCGCGGAGTAGGCATCCGAGGATGACCACTCGGAGTGGGTGATCTGCAGGAGTGTCAGCGGGAGATTGGTCGAGATTTGATGCAGCGGCGTCTTACGTAGAGTTTGTCTGTGCCTTTTCCCATTGTCGAAGGGTTGGCCACAGTGGTGGTGCAAGACGGAGGGCGGGCAAGACAGTTGTGTCACTTGCAATTTTTGGCGGCCGCAAGTTGTTATCGATAGGTGTATCCGTTGGCCGTCAGCCTCGCCCGCCCGCCAGCCACAGCAGCCGAATGCTGCTGCATCCTGTAACCGCCTATTACGACCCACTAAAACCAGCAACGTGCTGCCCGTTGTCGTCGCGGCCTTTGAAGCTGCCACATCACTTCCTCCCAGTTACAGCATGCGACTACAAAAGCACACATTCTTTCCCATCATCTCAGACGCAGCATCTCCAACCCCGCAGCCCAATCCTGCTGATCCGCGCTCGTCTTGATCCTTGCCCGCATCGCGGCATGATCTGCCGAACTTAGCAGGTCGAGCTACTACAGCCCATCATCTGGCAGTGCTGCGCCACCAGCGACAGCTCTCCTGGACGTGCTTCGCAGCCATCAACATCAGCATCACACTCTATAAACGCTCGCCGCAGCCGTCGACCCTATAATTTGCCATAGAAATGCGGTCTTTACTTGGATACTTCGCTCTGGGCGCGTCCCTATGGACAGCGACCCAGGCGCTGGAAGTCGCCATTGTAATGACGTCCCGACCCTGACAGCAAGGGGTCTCGCGCGCTAACATATTGGACAGGACCAATCCAGAGAAAACCAGGAATTTTGCGCCGGTTAGTTGCTCCCAATTTGTGAAAGCATGTCAATTCCAAGTCTAACAGAAAGAATAGGAATGTACAGCAAAAAGTCATGGGGCGGTCCGGTCGATCCATTCATCCTCGTCAAGTTCCTGAATAATACCCTGCCCGAAGGCGACGACCCGACAGTCAGTCTCGTGATCTTCGAATGGAAAGATAGCAGTTTTGTCGGAGTGCCCGGTGAAAATGGGGAAAATGTAAGATGTCGCAACGCCTTGCTCCCGCTTGTATACCAAAGACTCTCCCTAACAACTCGTTGTGTAGGAGCTTCTCCCCTGCAACCAAGCCTACATTGACAGTGGCGCCTGCAATTCAACCGACCTTGGCGAGTTTATACTGGCACAAAATGCCACCGAGAAATCGAACGCATTCATCCTCTCCAAGGCTGTCCACCTCAAGTCCAGCGGTCCCATTAAGTACAGCATCAAAGAGACTGGTTACTATTGCCTCGTCACCCAGGGCTTCAACACGGACGAATATTCAGCAGTCGCCGAGTTTCGCAATGCATTTGGAGAGATTTCGGCCACGCAGATACCTAAACTCCCATTCTACGGTGGTATGAGTATCCTCTACGCACTCATGGCAGTGTACTGGGGTTTCCTGTACTATCAGCATCGCCACGATATTCGTAAGCCTTTCATACTTGACTTGCATCTCAGCTTTCTAACGGAACCTAGTTGCTGTGCAGAATTACATCACTGCCATCCTGGTGTTTTTGGTTTTTGAAATGCTCATGACTTGGGGCTTCTATGGTATGAATCCGTCCGTCGCCCTGTTCTCGCAACCCAAGCTGACTGTTATAGACTTCCAAAACACGCATGGTTCCAATGCTGGTGCCAAGGCTTTCCTCATTGTTGTCGCCGTTCTCAATGCCGCCAGAAACTCATTCTCTTTCTTCCTGTTGCTCATCGTCTGCATGGGATACGGTGTGGTAAAGCCTACCCTTGGCCGCACCATGATTTATGTCCGCTATCTTGCGGCCGCTCATTTTGTATTTGGTCTCATTTTCGCCACTACCAGCCTGCTCTCCTCCCCTGAGAGTGTCGGTACGCATCCTTTTCACCATTCCTCGACAAACCTAGAGCGTCGCTAACATGCTGAACAGGCCCCTTTGTGCTACTCATTGTTCTCCCTCTCGCAGGCACACTTACCGCCTTCTACGTGTGGACGCTTAACTCGCTCAATCTCACGCTTAAGGATCTCCGCGAACGCAAGCAGCACGCCAAGGAGGCCATGTATAAGAAGCTGTGGTGGTGCATCCTCATCACCGTCGTTGTCACGTTCGGCTTTTTCTTCCTCAACAGCTTCACTTTTGCCTCCATACACGACGCTGATTTTGTGCCGTCCCACTGGAAGACGCGCTGGTTTGTCCTGGACGGCTGGCTCAACATTGTCTACCTCGCCGACGTCGCATGGGTCGCCTACGTCTGGCGCCCCACCGCCAACAACCGCCGCTTCGCCATGAGCGACGAGATTGCCCAGGATGACGACGGCAACTTTGAATTTGGGGAGATTGGCATGCCTGGAGACTCGGATGATGAGGATGAGGAGGCGCACATTGGCTCTACAAAGCCCACAGGTGCCGGCAGTAGTGGCGCGCCCGGCCAAACGAGCAGCGTCGCGTCCACCGCCGCGACCGCCGCCTCAGTCCAAAAACCGGTGCGTAGCGTACCGCGTGATTCGATGGACGGCGAAACCATTTTCGCGGTCGGCGAGGATGGCGACAAGTTCTCCGATGACGAAAGCGACGAGGATGTCAAGCTTGTAAAAACAAAATAACCATGTTACACTTTGGCGTTAATTTGACTACAATAACCAAGCTGCTTAGAGAGCAGAAATCAGAGAAACGGGCATGAGCACAACAAATACCCATGTTTCCCACCCCCTGCGTATTGTTTTTGTTAAATAGGCATATATAGTTTTTGGTATTGTTTGCTTTTTGAAACAAACGAATTTGACATTATGCAAATATTTCACAGCCTGCTAAAAACTCACACAATTAATTTGAGCACGTTACGTGCTCAACAACAGCCCGTCGTCTTCCTCCTCTCAGCCGCTCACATCGCCGCCGAACCCCACCGGCCGCCGCTGACCATCATTTTCCGGCAGGATGGCCATGACCTTGTACACCTTGCCCATGCCGCTCGGCCCGCGGTCGACGAGGCGCCGGCACGCCTTGTCGATGGCCTCGGCGGCCTCACGGTCCGCGCCGCGGGCGAGCGCGGCCGCGCGCTCGCGGATGCCCATCTGCTCGAGGAAGTCGGCCTGCGGCAGGGGCCCGTGGACCTCGACGCCGTCGCTGGCGAGCGTGGCGGCCTCGGCGATGGCGGCGAAGTCGACGTCGGCGGAGAGGTCGACGAGGCCCGGCGCGGCGAACGGGCTGACGATCTTATGCTGACGGATGCCGCGCAGCGAGTTGACGGGCACGGTGTCGGCGGGGCCGTAGTCGAGGATGAGGGCGGCGCCGCGCGGCGATGACGATGGCCGCTTGTTGTGCGTGCTGTTTCTGCTGCTGCTGCCGCCGATGCGCGCGGCAAAGTCGGCGGCGTAGAGCGCGGCGTCGGGGCAGACCTCGACCACAGCGCCCTCGGTCTGCTTGAGCCGGCGGTAGCGCGGTGAGGACTCGGGCAGGTACCTCGAGTGCCGGGTGGTGCCGGGGGAGAGCGTGAGCTCAAACTCGGCGGGCGCGTCGGCGGCGGGGTCGAAGCGATAGTTGGAGGAGGCGGTCTTGGCGCTGCTGGTGCCGGGGGCGGTCGGCGACACCATCATCTCGCGCCACTCCATCTTGGGGGTGGCGGCCGCGTCCGGTTCGGCAGCGCGGGCGGGCGGCGGCGGAGCAGGGCTTCCAGAGATCTGTGGCGGCGGTGGCTTGACTGCGACTTTGGCGGACTGGAAGCTGTGTATGGGCAACGCGTCAAAGAACTCGTGCGCAACTATGAAAGGAGTCTTGTTGTGTTCTAGGGGGGATTGTCAGTACGCTTCGGTGGTCTTGGCTCTGGGTAGGGGCATACCCATGGGAACAGACTTGATGGTCTGTGTCCAGACAATCGGGAGATTGTTATATTTCCCCGTACTATGATAGCCAGCTTTGGATTCCGTGGTTGGTGTTCCCGGGCCGCAGAGGAGATCCTTCTGTGTAGATCTCAGCTCAGGACTTGCTTCAACCATATAGACGGCTTCTATGCTATTAGCCATGTCCGGAAAGCGCGAAATAGTCTATATATGCAGGTTAGTCTTGATTCTGCTTCCAGATTTCCACAGTCAGTCTTACTCGGAGCATGTCGTCCATCAAAGTTCCTCTTCCAGGTCCAACCTCAATCAGCTGGACCCCATCCTTGGGCCGGCCTTGGCTCATCCATTCTGCGACGAACCAGATGCCAATCAGCTCGCCAAAAACTTGCGAAATTTCTGGAGATGTCACAAAGTCGCCCTTGAGACCAAATTGGTCTCTGCCCTCCCCAATGGCCCCGGTGTAGTAGCCTCCCACGTCGCCCGTGAGGCACATGCGCATGAAGCTTGCCAGCGGGACTGTACCTGTTGTCTGCTTGGGTGTCAGCGTAGCCCACAGGCGGTCATGTTTGATGCAATTTCATCTTACAGAGATGGCTTCAAAGAGCTGTTTAGCTAGTGGTGTAGACCATTTTCTCTCTTCTTGTCTGCGCAGAGCAGATAAGGAGAAGCACTGTGCTGCAAAGGTTGGTCTTTGGCGCGCAAGGCCCAAGGATCGCTGAGTGAGGAGCCGTGGTGCGGCAGCCAGAGCACGGCGCATCGCGGTTCGGTCCCAAAAGCGTCGAAGCACTTCAGCAGTAAAATTTCCGAATTTCCAGAGAATAAAGCGGGTTTTGAGTCTTGTGGCCAAGATCTGGTTAATCTGTCACTGCGATGTAGCTTGGAAGTTGACCTTGGGAGCTTTTCCAGGTACGGCGCGCCACGATAAGATAACGGGGAGCTCAACCAAGCTCCACCGCTTTGCGTCAAACTTGAACTCTACATTCATCAGTGAGCATTTGCGCCGGGTGGTCGAATTGAAGAACAGAAAAATACCATCGAGTCATTACCCCGCGGAAACGAAGTACAATATCCAGTCATCTTATTCCAGGAAATCACGAGACAATATTACGCCCACATATATCCTCCGACGATCGATCGAGCGCCGCGTGCGCCAACGCGCTGCAACATGTCTGCAGCTGGCAAATCACGATGGGCAAATACGGAAGAAGATGCTGAGCTGGACGCCAAGATCAAGCGAGAAAAGGAAGAAAAGCGACGCAAAAAGGCTGAAAAGGCGCGCAAACTCGAGCAGGAGAAACAGGCCGCCGCTGCGGCTTTGCGCGATGACGAGGATCGCCCTTCAAAGCGCCGCAGGATCACACCAGATCCGGCCATGCGCGGGGTGGAGGGTACATCTGCTGAAGATGAAGACTCCCCTACCAGATTGCTACGGTTCGAGACGGGCTCGTGGGGCCGCAGCAACAGCGTCGAAGACTATGACAAGCTCAACGACATTGAAGAGGGCACATACGGCTGGGTCGCACGCGCAACCCAACGCGCCACACGCAAGGTGGTGGCGCTGAAGCGTCTCAAGCTGGATCCTGCAGACCGCAGCGGGCTGCCTGTGACTGGGTTGAGAGAAATACAGATTTTGCATGATTGCAAACATCGCAATGTCGTTAAACTCGAGGAAGTCGTCGTTGGCAGCAATGTGAATAAGATGGACAAGTGCGTCTTCCAATTTCCCTCTTCTACAAAATTTTAACACTTTGCAGTTCAATATTTCTTGTCCTCGAATTCGTCGAGCACGATATTAAGAGTATCCTAGACGACATGCCAGAGCCCTTCCTAGCCTCGGAAATCAAGTGTCTTTTGCAGCAGCTGACAGCGGGCGTGGCTTACTTGCATGATAACTGGATACTGCACCGCGACCTCAAGACGTCAAACCTGCTGCTCAACAACCGCGGCCAGCTCAAGATTGCCGACTTTGGCATGGCCCGCTACGTCGGCGACCCCGCGCCGAAGCTAACCCAGCTCGTGGTGACGCTCTGGTACCGTAGCCCGGAGCTCCTCCTGGGTACCAAAACGTACGACGCGGCCGTCGACATGTGGAGCGTGGGCTGCATATTTGGCGAGCTGATTGCCCGGGAGCCGCTCCTGCAGGGCACCAACGAGGCGGACCAGGTGACCAAGATCTTTGAGCTGTGCGGCGTCCCAACGGAGGAGTCGTGGCCAAGCTTCCGCAAGCTCCCCAACGCGCGCTCGCTGCGGCTCCCGAGGACGGCTCCAGCGGCCGCCACCGGCTCTGCGATCCGCGCCAAGTTCCCGAGCATGACAGCTGCCGGCGCGGGACTGCTCACGGCGCTCCTGGCGCTGGACCCCGATGCTCGCCCATCCGCGAAGGAGATGCTGCAACACGAGTACTTTCGCCAGGATCCCAAGCCCAAGCCGGAGAGCATGTTCCCGACGTTTCCCAGCAAGGCCGGCCAAGAGCGGCGGCGGAGGCACCACGAGCCGAACGCTCCCGTGCGCGGGCAGCAGGCTGCCGCGTTGGGGGATGTGGACTTTACTGGTATTTTGCAGGGCAGAGACAAGGAGGAGCGAGGTGGTGGATTCAGCCTGCGCATGGTCTAATGCCAGCATTGTAACAGGAATTGTGATAATATTTTTAGACAAAGCATTTAGCCAGGTGCAACAACATATACCCAATCACGAATATACTTTGTAAATCCATTGGCCTATTGAAAAGAATTTCCAAAAATGACAGCCATCAACACATCTCGCCCATCGGCTTGTAGATGATGCCCAGGATCGTGCCCCACCACATTTTTGTCTTGTCCCATTTCCCCACCACCGCCCGCCAAACCTCTCTGAACCTCGCCTACGCATCTTACCCCAGCTTTGTCGCCATCTCGAGCCCGACCGCCCTGTCGCTGTACACCGGTGATCCGTAAAGCTTCATCGAGCGGCATAGAGCGATACACTCCCAGTATCTCACTGCATTGCGCCCCCACGCCGAGTGCACGAGGGCTCCTGGTGCCGTGCCCACGAGACCACAAAAAATCGAAGCGCCGCACGCGGCCACCCGACCACGACCGTCAAGCCCAAATAGCACACGCAGCAAGTCATGTCATACTTTAAAACCGGCCAGGCGTGGCTGGACCAGTCCACGCTGCTGATCCAAGCCAACCCTACAACCGTACGCCCCCCTCCCGCAGCCGCGAGAATTCACCACCTTTTTGCTAACCGCCAAACACAGACCAGAATCACAACGCGATACTCGATAAAGGCCGTGAAGCGTCGCAAGCCGTCCGCCTCCGACGCCGCCAAGGAGAAGCCCCCGCGCGGAGAGCTCGTCCTCAAGACGTTCGACCCCCGCAGTGGCGTGACGCTCAAGTACCGCACGACCAAGGCGGCCGAGGTGTCGCGACTGATGGGCGCCGCCATGGGCCGGCTGGGCCGCAGCATGGCCGCGCTGCCGGAGGAGGAGCCGCCCGAGGAGCCGATGCCGGACGCGGGTCCTGCTGGCGGTGAGGACGACGGGCAGGCGCAGCAGAAGCAGGCGCCGCAGACGCAGAGCACGCCGCCCGCACCAGCGGCAGCAGGAGGCGGAGGTGGTGGCAAGAAGAAGAAGAAGGGCAAGAAATAAGACGAGGCAAAGAGCGAGGAACGGTTGGCGTTGGAATCTGGTTACAGTATAGAATAAAATGGAGTGGGATGGCGAACGCGCGGGATGTTTGGCTGCATGGGTATATATGGATGAGGATAGCAATGGATGCCGATTGTCACAACCCAACGCGTCGCATTACTAAAGAAATACCATGGCACCTAACTGGCAGAGATTAAGAAACAACTTGACACAATGTATTATCCGTTGTAGAAAATGCTAAAATACTCTCAAATCATGAACCCATCCCAGCGTCCGTGTGCTCGTATTCCCATAACAAATGAAATGCCCTCAAAACGCCTTTATAATCCAACTTCCCAAGCAGAGCCTGTCTCTTCTCTTCAACAGTCGCCCGGTTCATTCAAGACATCCAACCCGTGGATAGACTTCTTTACAATATACATGACATAGAAACAAGAAGGGTATATGGTGATATGCAGATAGGGACGACTCGTTTAGAAGTCGTCGTCAAAGCTGAAGTCACCACCAGCCTTGTTGTCGTCAGGAGAGGCGCCATCATCGGCCTTCTTGCTGGCGCTGGCCATGACACCGGCCTTTTGGTACTCGCCGACACGCTTCTCGAAGAAGTTGGTCTTGCCGCCAAGCGAGATGTTCTCCATGAAGTCGAAGGGGTTGGTAGACTTGTAGACCTTCTCGTTGCCGAGAGCGACAAGGAGACGGTCAGCAACAAACTCAATGTACTGCTGCATCAGGGTGGCGTTCATGCCGAGGAGAGCGCAAGGAAGAGCCTCCGTGAGGAACTCCTTCTCAATGGTGACGGCATCGGTGATGATCGTCTGGATAACCTCCTTGCTGGCACGGTTGTTGAGGTGGGAGTGCAGCAGACAGGCGAAGTCGGTGTGGAGACCCTCGTCACGCGAGATGAGCTCGTTGGAGAAAGTCAGACCAGGCATCAGACCACGCTTCTTGAGCCAGAAGATGGAGGCAAAAGCGCCAGAGAAGAAGATGCCCTCAACCGCAGCAAAGGCGACGAGGCGCTGGGCAAAGGTCGACTCCTTGTCGGAGATCCAGCGAAGAGCCCAGTCGGCCTTCTTGCGGATGCAGGGGATGGTGTCAATGGCGTTGAAGAGGTATGTGCGCTGGGCCTGCTCCTTGATGTAAGTGTCGATGAGCAGGGAGTAGGTCTCGGAGTGGATGTTCTCCATCATGATCTGGAAGCCATAGAAGCAGCGAGCCTCGGGGATCTGGACTTCGCCGCTGAAGCGCTCAACGAGGTTCTCGTTGACGATGCCATCAGAGGCCGCAAAGAAGGCGAGAATGTGGGAGATGAAGTACTGCTCGTCGGCGTTGAGGCGGTTGTTCCAGTCGTGGAGATCCTTGGACAGGTCGATCTCTTCGGCCGTCCAGAAAGAGGCCTCGGCTTTCTTGTACATTTGCCAGATCTAGGGAGCAGGGGTGTTAGCGCGTCGCGTGGCCACTTTACGCGTAAAAACACGTCCGACATACCTCGTGGTACTTGATGGGGAAAAGGACAAAGCGCTGGGGGTTCTCCTGGAGCAGAGGCTCGTCAACCTCCTCGGGCTTGATGCCGGTGGCGACGGCAGGAGTGGCGTCCTTGGCGTCCTTCTTGGCCGCAATGGCAATGGGCTTCTGGTCGATAATGTCGGTCGAGGTGGACTGCAGGGAGGCCTCGGCAGGGAGGTTCTCCTTGTTGGCAGAAGAGAAATCGAGCTTCTTGACGGGGGATTCCATCTTGAAGGACTCAATGGCGGAAGCAGCCTGTGTAAGAGAGCGTGTTAATGGGGTTGCTCGGTGACGGGTGATGGTTCACAGGAGAGGAGATAGTTGCGCGCAAGTGGAACGAAGGTGGCGAGCTTACCAGCTTTGAGGGGGTTGTTTGAGCAGCCATTGTGAGTGTGATGTGTGGCGAGTGTGTGAAAGGAACAAGATGAAGGCAAGCAAAGTGTTGGAAAGAAAAAACGGTTTGAATTGAGCTGTGCCTGACGTGGAAATGAAGCGCGTAGAGAATAACGTTCTTCTCTAAGAACGGTGGCGTTAAGAGGTTTTTGTACAAGCAGCAGTACGCCGTCACGTGCAGCGCGACGCGTCGAAGCGTGTTTTGGGTGGATCCTTCGTAAGTGGTTTTGGAGGTGTTTAGTGGGCCACTTAAGCTGAAAACAGACTGGCTGCCATGGTAGTGGAGCGTCTGCAAGGTACCTGCTCGGTACCAACAACAGCCAACAGCCCCCGACGCCGCCACAACGCTCCAGCCATCTCTTTTAAGTGATCGGTCCATGCGCGACGCGTGAAACCTGGCCAACGCGTCAAGGTATCTCGGCAGTACCGGGGCGTCCCCTTGTCTCCCTTGTCTGGGCATGTTTTGCGTCCCAGCTTGTCCTGCCACACGGGGCTTGCAGGGAGCCGCGTCTGCCCGCCCACCGCTCCCATCCTTGGTCAGGCTAGTGTCATCAATGCACAGTTATCAATCAGCAAACAATGCCAATTCTCACGCACCGGTCACGGGTGGTGGGCCAGATCCAGTCGTCGGCGGCCTATGAGACCTCAAACCGAGCAGTTTTGCGGGTGCTCGGAGAGCACGTCGGAAATGGCCCAATGGGTAGGAATGTTGCCAAAGATCCATCGTGAACATGGCGTGCACACGCAGCTCAGCCCCGTCTATCGGCCAAAGTTGGGCGTCAAAGTACTCCGTACGCATACTGTGTTTCGTTCTCAATGGGATTCGGCGAAAAAACTTGCTCATGTATTAAGGTAAATATGTATAAACTATCTAATTCGTGATGCCGTGCAATTTCGTTACGCCCGACGGGTATCTCTGACGTTCTGTACCCTCCTCATATTCGTATATATTCGTATATATTCGTATATATTCCACGTTGCGGACTCTCAGTTTATCCCGCGATTTATTTTCCGCGTCGGCTGGATTTACTGTTCGTGTTGCCGGTCTCGACGTCATCCGGTCGCTTTTTGCTGCGTCCCAGCCAGCCTCTGCTCTCGCGAACGCGGGCCTCCTGCGGCGACGTCACGGGAACGGTATCGGCGCGCGAGGCGCCCGTCACGCCGGCCTCCTGCGCCGAGGCTGCGTGCTGCGTGCGGTATGCCGGTGGGTCGTCGCGGCGATCGTGGTGGTCTCGGCGGTCGCGTCTGTCGTCAATCTGATTGCGGTCAAACTCTTTGGGATCGCTCGGGTCGACGTCGGGGATGGGCAGGTTTCCCTTTTTGAGGTTCTTCTGTCCCTGGTCGCGGAGGTGCGCCTCAAGCAGCACCGCGTTGCGCGTGTTGGCCTTGAACATGGCATCCACCAGGTCGCCGACGAACGGCGCAAGGCCAATGGCAAAGTCGAACGCGATGTTGAGGAGCATCTGGAACTTCAGAAAGAAAGGTAGACCGCCTTCGATCTGGTCCGCTGTGCGCATGACCATGAGCGCCAAGAGGCAATCCACTACATCGCCAGCACTGTGATTGTCAGTAGAAATCCATGAATCAAGACGTTCAAAACTTACACTGGAATCAACCCAATGGCACTGCCCCATCCAAACTTGATGCCCAGAAATGTAAACAGGGAACAGTCCAGGCGGTAAGCGCGACGCTTGACCTTTGTGAGGACCTGGCCATCGTGGTCGGAGAGCCCTGGCGGCAGGGCTCTTCTGACTTTTTTGAACTTGGTCGTGCTCGGCTTTCCGTTGAGTCTCGTCGCGGGGACTTGTTCAAAGTACGGATCCTATCGTGCGTGTCATCAGTATTTAGCCATCGTGGCTAGCTCGGGAACGAGCTTACCTCTTTGCCAAATTTATTCTGCAGTGTCTCCCCCAGGATTTTCTTCCCAACCATCTTTGCCACCATGGACGTCATTTTGGCGGTATTTGCGTAGGTTCAAGAAAGATGTTGATTCTGCGCGTGCGAAAGAAGCTGTCCTGGTTGCGCGGACTAGTCCGCCTACTTATGCCAGGGAGGGGAGCTTGGGCGGCCTCGTGCGGGTGAGACGATTGGAGGAGTGGCGACGGTTTCAGGCGCTTAGAGCCAGGACGGAGATCCTATTCTGCAAAAGCCGACGGTGAAGAAGCAGAGTCGGGATGCTGCGATGGGGCGCGAGCGGGATTTGCGGCGCTTAATATATAATTTCTCTTACACATTCGAAGCGAGGCCTCCATTCCCAGGTTTGGACTTTGGCTGCAGCCATTCCCTGGCGTGGCCAGAGTGATGATGTAATTTGGCGCTCATGGTATTTGAGGCAGCCCACCAGCCACAGCCACACAGCCACACCACCATCTCTCTAACGGTAACTCCAGCAGTCTATCACTTACGCTTTGCCCTGTTTATAGTGCCTGTCTTTGTTGATTGTATGCTTATTGGTACTTTTAACGTTTGTTTGCCCTTTTTGTTGGGCAGCAAGGCAGCTGAGAAGGGATACATCACATGTCCACAACCCAACAGCGCACGTCGCATTGGCTGCCTCTTCGCCTCCCTGCTACCCCAGCGCTCGACAACAGCACGAAAGGTAGAGCATGCGAAATTCAAAAGGAGACAATTGCACGCAATTTAATCTGAATTTTGGGCAAACCTGTATCGTCCCTTGGCCAGCCGTGAGAGCGTCGCTACCAATTCCATCAGGTGGGGCCTTGGCTCTCGCGTCGAAGCGTTCCAGTTACGCGCCACCATGAGCTTCAGCACCCAGGCCAAGCACCCCGGCATGCGCAACAGCAAAAGCCGACGAAACGACTGGCCGACTGGCGCATCGCGGCAGAATCATGAATGCGCTTCTATCCATATTTTCGCCGCTCAAAGAGACGGTCAACTCGCGGAATGGCCGGGCTCTTGACCGCCTCGCGGGCATCGCCACACCACACAAGCGCGCGGGGCGCATGCCGAGGAAATCGGTGTCGTTTGACATGACTGTAAGTCCACGCCGCGTATTTGGAAGTGCACTGCTAACTATTATATTAGCCCAAGGCGCATCTCAAGCACTCGCCGCCCCATCTGGGTCGCACACCGCTGGTGCGGAAGCGACGCGAGCCACCCACTCAACTCGACGCGGACGAGGAACCCGAAGATGACAACCACACGGATAGTGGCCCGGAGCCCGAGCCGACAGGCGTGGACAAGTCTATCACGGAGATTGCGGGTCCTTCCGAACCCGAAGTCGAACCCTCAGAGCCTACAGAGCCCGTCGACGAAGCGACCCATCCCGCCGCCGCCGACAACTTGGTCGACGCCACGGATAGCGAATTTGGCTTTACGGCGTTTGTCGACCACAAGTGGGACGGCGACGCCATGAAGATCCAGGTCGAGTGGGACGGGGGGCAGCGCACGTGGGAGCCCGAGGCGATGCTGCACGACGACGCGCCGGCGGCGCTGCTCGAGTACTGGCGGCGGCAGCCGGGTGGGCGACCCGACAACCCGCGGCAGCCGGGGCTGTACGAGATCCACGCCATCCGAAAGCACAGTCGCGACCGCAAGCGGCTGTTTGTCGAATGGGTCGGGTACGGGCCCGCGGAGAACACGTGGGAGCCTCGGGCAGTCGTGGCTGACGCGGCGCCGGAGATTCTGAGTAGCTACTTTGATAGCTTGCCGCGGCCGAAGCGGCGTCGCGTGCGGTAGTACTTGTCCGTTGGGGACTGGCGTTTTGTAGAATGTATTGCTTTTACATGGGAGTCTTGTTTCGATGTATTACGATGGGATGATTTACGACGGGGAACAGCGCGCACAGATCAGGATGCGGTGTTGACAGGCGTTGGCATGTCTTGCTTTGTATTATATTGTCATGCTTGTTTTGGTGCTCTCTGTGATTATAGTCAAATGGCTTCAATGGACGTTGTCACTTTGCTAGTCGAGGGTTTACGTGCATGCTACAAACTTGACTGGCTAGCAATCCACTCAACAGGCATGGCTGCGTCTACACATTTAATATCACCTTCGGCGCTTACTTTCACCCGTTTACATGTGGTAGGCTGACCAAACTCTTCTATGCGGGAATTTTTTTTTTTTTTGCCTGATTTCCTTGGTTTGCAATACACCTGGGATCTTGTTGCTAGCGCACTGCCACCAATCACCCGCGGCAGCTCAACTAATGGCTTTCCTACAACATTGGGTTTAAGCGGGATTATGGCAGCTAATATAGTTCTCAGTTTCCATGTTTCATCTACTCGGGAAGTATCTGCCTGGTACCTGCACATTTTTGGCGACTGGTGAACAGCCAGCAGCAGTATCCCTGCGCAGGCTCCTGATGGAGTGTTTTGTAAGCCGTCTCTCGCCTGTAGTTGAAAATCGGGTATACATCTCCAACCACCGCAGTCAAATACCACGTACACATAAAACGCGGAGGATTTATCCCTACAAAAGTCACAGAAACTCCCGACCGCAGAACTATCAAATATCCGCATAGCCCTCCCACACAAAGTCGGTCTTCTCTTTGACACAGCTCCAGGGTACTAACTACATAGAAGATGCCGATCGCCGTCACCGCGACAGCCCTGTTCCAGCCACACCGCATGGACCGCCCAACCAATCAAAACCCCACACAACATACCACATAGCACACTCGGCCCCACCGCTCCGCAAACACGAAAACTCCTCCCAGCCCCCCCCAATCCAATACATCCCAAAATAACTCAAAGGCGTTCAACAATTCAACAGCTTCGAATTCAATTCGACTAGCACGGTCTGGTGGTCTAGTGGTATGATTCTCGCTTAGGGTCCACTCTAAGTTCGATTGTAACCAATCAACAGTATGCGAGAGGTCCCGGGTTCAATCCCCGGCCAGACCCTTCTTTTTGGGGTTGAAGGAGCGAGGCTTGTATTTTGTTGTGTTATTTTCTTTTTGTTCATCAAGGTGGGCTTTCGTTCTTCTTATTCAAGTGTCCAGTCTGGCGGGTGTGTTGTTCTATTTCCGAGAACGTTGTTTTGTGCACAGTGTTATTGACCTGCATGCAGAATGCGGATAGTGACACCGCGGCAGTGGTTCACACGCTTTGCTTCGAGACCGCTCGTGGATTTGGACAGCAGTGATTCGTACCTTACTTTACTGTATTGGACTGTAGGAAAACACCGACAGCCTTCAGATATCAGAGCTATACTCACAATCATGCTTTGCAATAAACTCGGCTGGTTACTCGAGGTTGAACTGCACACATGTTTACAAGACGCTGAGGTCTATTCATCCCCTGGCCAGTTAACGTTAGTTGCCCAACTCAGTGAAGCATCACGCTAGCGACATCACAACAAGTAGCCGAATCAACCCAGTAACCGAGCTCCAACATCTCCAACGCCAGACACAAAAGTCAATTGATCCCCAAAGTTGATTCAAGGGACCTTGAACCTTCAAGTACTCACCCCGACCTTTTTATTTCCCGACCCGACATGTTTGGCGGCGCGGCGAGACACGGCCGCGTGCGGGGAGCTCTGCGACAGCTGCCGAGCTCGCAGCGACGACACTCGAGCCAGTACGAGAAGACGATCGGGAACCTGCGCATCAACCAGGACAGCAGAGTCATCTTTCAAGGTATGTTGGCCATGTGAAAAGCACAAGCTCCCGAGCTTACAAACTAGGATTTACTGGGCGAGCGGTACGTGAATCCGGGACCGCAGCGGAGTAGGTAGGCTGACGTGGGCAGGCAACGGCAAATGCCAAGGACACGATAGCATACGGCACGCGGATCGTCGGGGGCGTGTCGCCCGGCAAAGGCGGCCAGACGCATCTCGACCTACCCGTGTTTAACACGGTCCGCGAGGTATGATAGTCCCTCCCCGGATATCTCTCATCTAAATCGTCTCGGCTAACCGAAAGAACGCCCAGGCGGTGCGGGACGTCAAGCCGCAGGTCAGTGCCGTCTTCGTGCCGGCGGCCGGCGCGGCGGCGGCGATCCTCGAGGCCGTCGAGGCCGAGGTGCCGCTCGTCGTCAGCGTGGCCGAGCACATCCCCGCGCACGACATGCTGCGCGTGCACGCCGCGCTGCGCACACAGTCGCGCACGCGTCTCGTCGGCCCCAACTGCCCGGGGATCGTCGCGCCGCCCGCACGCTGCCGCGTTGGCATCATGCCCTACCGGCAGTACCGCCCGGGCTGCATCGGCATCGTCTCCAAGTCGGGCACGCTCAGCTACGAGGCCGTCGGGGCGACCAGCGCCGCCGGCCTGGGGCAGAGCCTTGTCGTCGGCATGGGTGGTGATTTACTCCCAGGTGAGTTGTTGCGCCCCTGAAAACCCCCCCCCCGGGACACATGGATTGTGTTGCGTGGACTAACCAAAAAATAACAAAAAGGCACGACGCTTGTCGACGGACTTAAACTCTTCTTTGACGACGACGAAACCAAGGGCATCATCGTCATCGGCGAGATCGGCGGCGAGGCGGAGCTGCGCGCCGCAGAGGTGATAAAGGAGTACCGCGCGCGCACGCCGGAACCGAAGCCGATCATCGCCATGGTCGCGGGGTGCACGGCGCCGGAGGGCCGCATCATGGGGCACGCCGGCGCCGTCTTGATGCCGCGCGACGTCTCGGCGGCGGACAAGGCGGAGGCGCTGAGCAACGCTGGCGCCGTCGTGGTGCCGCACCCGGGCGTCATGGGCGAGACGATGAAGCAGCTCCTGAGCATGTAGACCGATGGGTAGAAACGGACAGGACGAAGAGCGCACGGCGTCATTTTTAGAATTGGATTACCAATATGATTTATAAAAGTCTCCTTGCTTCACCGTGTTGGATGAGTTCAGGATATGCGGACTAGCTGAAAGGAGAAAGTCCGCCTCCGCCGCCCTGATCGCTTTCGATCCGACCGGAGCTTAAAAATTGGTCCCCGGGGGCCAGGCTGGCCATTCCTTCATTAGTCGGAAAGACGGCCCATGTTTCCGACAGCATACGGGACGCTGATCAGCTTTGACTCATGCCGATCAACCATAATAAATCGTCAAAATCCTGCGTGTATGGTGTTAAAGTGACGGTGTGGCTGCCGGGGATTAAATAGAACCAGTCTTTCCTCGATCCATCATCCCATTGCTAGTACAGGTTAACTTTACTAACCAACGTCACTCCAATTTCGCTGACCATGGCGACTTCTACATCCACAGTCGAGCTGCAGCCATTGTCGGTCCCCGGGAGGACGAAGCAGATCGGCCCCGCGCCCAACGACGACGCCGCTCTTCGCCCAGACTTCTTCGCCGGCGACGGCCAGAGACTCGTCGACGAGTGCGCTGCGGCGCCGGACAACGATGCCCCAGCGGGAGCCGTGTCGGCGTTGCAGCAATGGAATAACCCCAGCGGCAACGTGTTTCGGCTCGTCGCGTGCTTCTGGTGTTTCCTGGTGATGGGCGCCAACGACGCAGCCTACGGAGTGAGTGCGCCTGGCAACTTGACAAAAGAGACGGTTTGCTGACATGCATGTATAGCCTCTTCTTCAATCTGTACGTTCTTCCTCTACAAATCGCAAGCCGGAGCCACAGTCATCACTAACATCACAAACCACCCTCAGCTCATCAGCTACTACGACCTGACCTATACCGTCGTCTCGCTCGTCTTCCTGTCGCCGTTCGCCGGCTACGTCGGCTCCGCGCTGCTCAACAACTACCTGCACCTGCGCGTCGGCCAGCGCGGCGTGGCCGCCCTCGGCGCCGCGAGCCACATCATCGCGTACGTCATAATCGCGACGCACCCGCCCTTTGTCGCCCTCATCTTCGCTTTCATGCTCGCCGGCTTCGGCAACGGCATCAACGACGCCGCGTGGAACGCCTGGGTCGGCAACCTCGACCGCTCCAGCGAGCTGCTCGGCTTCCTGCATGCCTTCTACGGCGTGGGAGGCGTCATCAGCCCGTTCATCTCGACTGCCATGATCACCAAGGGCGGCCTCCCTTGGTACACGTTCTACTACCTCATGGTATGAGTCAAGTTTCCTCAAAAGCTAGCGACTTGGTGCCTTACTGACTTCATATGTAGATTGGCATCGCTGGAGTGGAACTGGTGGCGATGACGGTGGCGTTCTGGAAGTCCACTGGGGCCGTCTACCGCGCCGGTCACCGAGAGTCCCAGCGGTCGCACACCGGAAAAGAGACTGGCCTTGATGAGGCCCTATTCCAGAAGCCAGCAGCGCGCATCTCGTGGGTCTCTGCGCTCTTCCTTCTCTGCTATGTCGGTGTCGAAGTGGCTCTCGGCGGCTGGATCGTGACTTTCATGAGCAAAGTTCGCAAGCAAGACGACTTCTCCAGTGGCATGTCGGCAGCTGGCTTTTGGCTTGGCATCACGTTTGGCCGTGCCATTTTGGGCTTTGTGAGTCCTCGGATCGGTGTCAAGCTGGCCATCTCGGTATGTATTCCGCATCCGCTACGACGTCAACGTGCTCACATCTTTAGATTTACATTGGCTGCGCTGCAGCGTTGGAGCTCGTATTCTGGCTTGTGCCACAATTCATTGTCTCTGCCGTTGCGGTATCACTGCAAGGCTTCTTCCTGGGGCCCATGTTTCCTGGAGCCGTTCTGGTCGCCAGCAAGCTGCTCCCGAAGCACCTACATGTAGTGGTGATTGGCTTCGCCGCAGCGTTTGGCGGATGCGGTGCAGCGATTTTGCCCTTTGTGACGGGTCTACTTGTGCAAGGGTCAGGACCGACTGTTCTGCAACCTATTATTCTTGCTCTGTTGGTGGTGATGCTGGTTGTCTGGCTGCTTCTGCCACGAATCGACAAGAAGCGCGACTGAGACTGGAACTGGAATGTAATACCTCAACGATGAATAGTGTAAGAACAGTGACTCAGCAAAGCGTATATGATTTGACCTATGGACGTTGCTTCATGATTACAGATCCGGCACCGGGTCGACCGTCTTAACCACGCGTGCTGGGGTGCCGATGGCAACGGAAAAGTCAGGAATCGACTTTGTCACGACGCTTCCGGCACCAATCGTGCAACCCTTGCCAATGGTGACACCGGGCATGATTGTCGTGTTGCCACCGATCCAGCAATCATCACCGATGACGACAGGTTTGGCATACTCGACGCCGTCACGGCGCGACTGCACGCCAGTCTCGTGGGTGGCGGAAAAGATGGAAACAAAGGGCCCAAACATGACACGGTTGCCAATCTGCACGATGGCGCAGTCGAGGATGACGAGGCTACACTGTCAGCTGGGTGGGAACTCGAGTTGAAGGAGAAGAAGACTTACTTGAAGTTGGAGTAGAAATTATCGCCAATGGTAATGTTGCAGCCGTAGTCGACGTTGAGGGGAGGCTCAATGAATGCGCCTTTGCCAACTTTGCCAAAGATTTCGGCAAGTGCCTTGGTGCGATGAGACTCAAGAGACTCGACAGTGGCATCCTCAGGAAACGTAGTATTGTACCTATCAAAAGCGTTTTAGCACACTCTTAGCCGGAGAGCTTGAGATTTTGGGGCGTACTTGTGCATCAGTCGCCTCGCACGGAAGCGACCTTGGACCAGCTCAGGAACCTGGGCGTCATATCTACAACCTCGTTAGTTTGCTTCGTTTGCGGCGGCTGTTTGATGCACTAACAGGACACCGGAAATCATCTTTTCGTAGTCGTCGCACCAGGGGATGTGCTCGAGCATTTTGGCCAGCTCGATGGCGGCGGGGTCTTTGGCCGTAGCAGCCATGGTGATGAGATTATCGGCAGCTTTGTAAATGACGAGAAAACGGCGGTCTCAAGGCGGAAAGTGGCCTGTTTATGGAATAAATGGCGGTGCCGTGAGGGTCTGGTCGGTGATGGACATCCGAAGTCGAACCGTCGGACCGACAAAGCGTCTTGGCCGCTGACCCAGGCGGCGCAGTTCAGTTTGTGGGGGGTCGGATGCTATTTTGATCTGGGCCTCGACCCTGATTGCCTTGCCTGAATATTGGGTTTCACGGTGACGTGGCACAGGCGAATTGGAACAAGCAGCTCTTCTGGGGCGGGATATGGATATAAATACAGGCCAAAAGCAAAGGCAGGGGGCATTGGGGGATTGGCGCAAGATGCCATTGGAGAGCAAGAGCCACACAAAATGAGGCTGCACTGGATCACATCTGCGGTGTTGGCCGCTGCGGCTGCCACCAACTACTACAACGGCGCCCTCTGTCACAGCAGCCTGGATTGCCTCAAGATCTGCCAGCAGGGCGACTTCAAGGTCATCCAGAGCTCCGAGGGCCAGCCGCAGCTTGCGTGCGCCCTGGGCATCGTCGAGTACAGTCGCAAGACGTGCCTGTCACGCCACGGCCGAGGCGACGAGAACATCAAGCTGCTCGGTGACGCCTGTGCCGGGGCTCGCGGCCTGCTCTGCGACAACTTCTGCGTGGTGCGGACGCTGGACCCGGGCCGCTTCGAGGACCAATGCCGTGGCATGGGGGGCGTTCCCTCGACCATCATGGGCGGCTTGACGGAGGCCCAGGCCAAGGGGCAGGAGGTCTGCTCATCGCCGGCGCTTAATGGGGTGAGATGAGATGAGATGAATGATTTGCTACGAAAGGTCTTGGGCGCTTGTCTTGTCAGGTAATTTTGATGGTTGAGAATCTGGGGTGCGGGGAGATGGGGATGGCGAGTAGCCGTGACCGGGATATGGATATAGCCGTTGGGCGATGGACCGGACCGCTGATGGTTGCGTGGTTATAATAAGTTAGTGAGGGAAGGCCGCTAAAAGTTAATGGATGGATATGCTAAAGTTGCTAAAATAATAACGGTAGAGTTTCAGACATGTCTTGTACTGTGCTTGACTTAAAATGTGTGCTGTTCCAGCCAGGTGCTCGTGCAGCTTGTCTCCTCTTTTGAATGAATATCCCAGAAAATAATGTATTGTAAAATTACATGCTCAAGACTACGGTGACTTTCTTTCATCTCTTCCACCCACAGCCTAGCCTACATCTTGGACGGCACCCACTGCGGCTTCTCCTTGCCCACAAACGCCATCAACCCCAGCTTGATGTTCTCGCCATTCACCAGCTGCCGCATGTACCGCTCGTCCATGATCTGCGCCGCCCTCTCGACGCTGGCCGTCTCCCACGCCTCCCGCAGACCCGCGCGGCTCATGATGATGGCGTCCGGCGACGCCTCCGTGATCTGTTGTGCCAGCGCCACCGCCTCGGGCACCACGACCTCCTGCGAGGCGGCGATGCGCGCGAAGCCGTGATGCTTGACCTCCTCCGCCGTCAGCGTGCGCCCCGCCAGCACAATCTCCGACGCCAGCTGCATGCCAAAGATGCGCACCACGCGCGGGATGCCGCCAGCGCCGGCCCATACGCCCCTCTTGACCTCGGGCAGGCCAAACGTCGCCGTGGGGGAAGCGACGACCATGTCGCTGTTTTTCAAAAGGTGTCAGTTGGGCTGTGTTCCCCCGCATGGGGTGAGGTGTGCAAGGGCCTCAAAGATGGTTGCTTACCAGTTCAAGGCCAGCTCGAAGCCGCCACCCAGAGCCAGCCCGTTGACGGCGGCAATCACGGGCTTCTTCCCCAGCCGTCTGCTGAGACCGCCAAAACCCGTCGCCGGCAGAGCGGGCACGTTGGACTGCTCCCCGGAGAGCTGCCTCTCCATCAGCATCTTGAGATCCTGACCGGCGCAGAATGCCTTTTTCCCCTTGCCAGTGATGACGGCCACCCGCAGCGACGGCTCGTCGTCGAACCACTGGAAGAGCCGCTCTCCCTCGTAGTGGCCGTCTGTGTGGATGGCATTCATGGCCTTTTCGCGGTTGATGGTCACGAGGAGCACGTAGGGCGCTGGGTAGCTGAGCTCGTAAACGGTGACCGCCGGAGGCTGTGTTTCTAGCTTGTCTGCCATGATGCCGTATATTTTATTACAGTGTCACGATATTATTCTGTGAAATGATCGGGAAATGATGCAGTATGTTTAAAGAAGGTGTTGATGAATAGATGCTGGGGAGGAAGGCCGGGGAAGTTAATTATTACCTGGTGTCTCCCCTGGAACCTCGGGTCAGACCATCTCCCCACAGCACATAGCCGACGAGCTATAAGCAACCATCAACTGTCAACTATGCATCCTCGTATTGTGTTTCAACAAAAACCTGCCGACAACGTCATAAAAGATAGACTGCCAATGACACCATAGAAAATATTTTTTGGACCGTTGAATCCGAGCTCACCAGAGCCAATCTCCCTCCACCAACCGAACACCTTCAACCGCAAACGCATCTCAAGTCAGCGCTTGGTGGCGCATCTGCAATCATGTCAACTCGAGCCACCCCCATCCTTGTTGGCGTCGGCGATGTTCGGAACAAGTCCAACAAGCCAGAAGATGCCATTGAGCCGTCGAAAATGATGATCCGCGCCATCCTAAGCGCTGCGCAAGACACCGGCCTCGATGCCGGCGCCCAGAAACAGCTGCTCGCTGATGCAGATGGCTTGCGCATCATCCCGACGTGGACATGGGCTTACAACGACTTGCTGAGTACCGTCGCGGATGGCCTGGGGATCAAGCCGACGACCAAGGTGATGCCGACGCACGGCGGCAACCAGCCCGCCCTGCAGTGCGATGAAGCGGCTAGGGCCATCGCCGACCGCAAGAGCAAGGTGGCCATCTTGACGGGCGGCGAGGCAATGGCGTCCCGTATGTATTTCATTTCCCGTTCTGATCAATACTTTTCAGAATGATGTTAACACGCTTAGTTGCGGGATGCCAGAAGGCAGGCCAAATGCCGCCACCAGGCTGGGTGGAACCAGACCCTGACAGCAATCCAGTCTCTATGGATTTGTCTATTTTAGGAGATGGTAATGTTACTCGCATCTGACGATGACTATTCGCTGACCATGCAAGGTGCTGGTCCGCGACACTCGGTTGGCCTGCCCATCCACGTGTATCCTCTGTATGAGAATGGTCGCCGTGCGCATCTGCGCCAGACTGCGCAGCAGAACAATCAGGAGTCGGCCACCCTGTATGCCTCATTCGACGAGATTGGCTCCAAGAACCAATATTCCTGGAACTATGGCGAGAAGCCCAAGTCGGCTGAATTCATCGGCTCCGTCTCCAAGCGGAACCGTATCATCTGCGACCCTTGTAAGTTGCTTCGTCAAAAGGAATAAGGATTGGGAAGGTACGGACTAACAACGAAATAGACCCGCTGCTGATGAATGCCTTTAACGGTGTTAATCTGTCCGCTGCTTGCATCCTGACATCGACAGAGCACGCCGAGAAGCTGGGTATCCCCAAAGACAAGTGGGTGTATATTCTTGGTGGCGCCGGCACTCATGAAAAGGATAACTGTAAGTTGTTGTCACGACAAGCCGTGTGGTCAATATTGATGTCCAAAAATTAGTCTGGGAACGACCTGGGTTTGCTAGTAGTCCAGCCATTACAAACTCTCTCGATTCTGCGCTGCAGGTATCTGGCCTGACAAAGGACCAGATTGGCGCCTTTGACTTTTATTCGTAAGTCGAGTTGACACAAGTGGTAATGCCAGGAATTTTCACTGACACAGTTACAGATGCTTCCCTATTGTTCCCAAGCTTGCATGCGACCATTTCGGACTCTCCCCGACCAGCCCAGAGAAGCCAATTTCGCTGCTCGGCGGACTCACATCCTTTGGAGGCGCTGGCAACAACTACTCTATGCATGTAAGTGCAAATGCCTGTAGGGAAGCGGGCAAATCTAATAATGCATAGGCGCTCACGGCCATGACGCGTGAGATTCGTAGCCGCAAGTACAAAAACGGCTTGATCCTTGCCAACGGCGGCATGCTCACGCACCAATACGCCGTCTGCCTCTCCGCGCAACCGCGCCGGGACGGACGAGACTATCCCTCCAAGAATCCGCTGCCGCTCGTCGTGCCAGATCCGGCGCCACCATTCGTCGAGGACGCCAACGGCCCCGCCACCATTGAGGTAGGTTTCCGATCCGCGCCCGCGCCATTTTCCCCAGCCGCTGCCCCCATTATCGCCAACACCGCCCACTGACAAAGAGCCCGCAACAGACTTACACGGTTGAATATGATCGCTCGGGGGCACCCAGCCTCGGACACGTTGTCGGAAGGCTTAAGACTGGCGAGCGCTTCCTGGCGAACCACGGCGATGAAGCTACGCTGGAGAGGCTCGCCCAGCGCTCCGCGGAGCACATCGGCGAGGCCGGCGTCGTGCGCAAGGAGGACGACAGGAATCTCTTTTACTTTGCCGCCAAGCCGAACCTGTAGAATAAATCCGCCTTGTACGATGAAGATAGATTCAAATAACTGTCTTTATACTGCCAATTGCAGAAAAATAATCTCTTAACTGCACGTGACTGCGTCAACTGCGGCCGGTTGCGGTACTCGTCCGCTATCTCCGGCCCGCGGTTATTCATGACGTGGTTTAGCGTGGCATCAACATCTCCTCATCTCGCGACATTCAACCGACCGACCTTGCACATCAATTGACAAATAAATCGCGCTCTTTTATCAATCCGCTTCAGCTAACAAACAGCAAAATAAAGAAATAAAAAAAATGGCCTGCGCAGACTGCTTCCGCGGCAACATCCACGAGGGCACTCCCAAGGGCGAGGTCAGCCACGTCCATGGCCTGCCGACGTACATTTCCCGGCCTCCCTCGGGCACGGCGTCGCGCGGCATCGTCGTCATCATCCCGGACGCCTTTGGCTGGGAGTTTGGCAACAACCGCCTGCTGGCGGACAATTACGCCAGAAAGGGCGGCTTCACCGTCTACCTCCCTGATTTTATGAATGGTATTGCTTTGCTGCGGATTCGCCGGCTTCCCTCTTACTGAACTGTGATGTAGGCCATGCCGCTCCGTTGAGGATGTTTGACCACGGTCGCGCCTTTTCAACCTCACCCAGCATCCTAACAAAAATGTGAGTGAGACCGGGCCTGACAGGCTAGCTTGAAGAAACACAACTGACATCCGAGCTCAGGTACCACCTCTTCTGGGCCGTCCTCGACGTCATCCCGTTCTTCTACCATTGCAACCCGTGGAGCACCTTCCCCGTCGTCAAGGGCTTCTTCTCGCAGCTGCGCAAGGACGAGGGCGCCACGCAGCCCGTCGGCGCCGCGGGCTTCTGCTGGGGCGGCAAGCATGTCGTGCTGCTGACCCACGGCCACGAGCTGGACGGCCGGCCGCTGCTCGACGCCGGCTTCACCGCGCACCCCAGCATGCTGAGCATCCCCGGCGACCTCGCCAAGATCCGGCGGCCCGTGTCGTTTGCGCTGGCGGCCAAGGACGACCAGATCTCGCCGGCCAAGGCGGCGCAGCTCAAGAGCATCGTGGAGGCGCTGCCGGAGCCGGCCAAGGGCGAGGCGTTTGTGATTGAGAGGACGGGACACGGGTTTGCGGTTCGGGCGGACTTGGCGGAGGATGACGTCGCGGCACAGGCGGCGAGGGCGGAGGACCAGTGCATCGACTGGTTCAACAAGCATTTTTGATGAAGACGCAGTGAAACGACAAGGACGGATCAAGTTTGGATTCTATAATGGATGTCTGTCTTGTAGTCTATAGGCAATTGATATTCAGTGCTTATGCTTTGGCAAGCTCTACTGCCTTGGCGGCCGCCTTTCCAAAGTCGGATTCTACGTGCAGTCCTAGATTCGCATCCGCGAGCTTGGAAAAGTTAGCATCACACACGTCGCTCGCTCTGCTTTGTGCAACTTACAAGCTTCAATCCCGCCTCCGAGTTTGTGCCCTGCAGACGCACCACCATCGGGACGTGGATGTTCATCTCCTTGGCGGCGCCAATGATGGACTCGGCAATCATGTCGCATCTCGTGATGCCTATGCAAGCCGTTAGACCCCCTTCTCTCGTCACTCACCTCCTTCTTTGCAAGCACCACTCACCGCCGTAAATGTTGACAAGAATAGACTTGACGCGCTCGTCGCGCAGGACGATGCCAAACGCCTGCATCATCGTCTGCGTCGTCGCCTGGCCGCCGGCGTCGAGAAAGTTTGCGCTCCGGCCGCCGGCCAGGCCGATGGCGTCGTTGGTCGCCATCGCCAGCCCCGCGCCGTTGACCACGTTGCCGACGTCGCCCTCCATGCGCACGTACACGAGCCCGTGCCGCTCCGCCTCGACCTCGTCGCGGACCTCCTGCGCGCGGTCGCGCAGCGCGAACAACGCCGCCTGCCGCCCGTGCGCGTCGTCGTCGAAGACGAACTGCGAGTCCGCGCAGGTGAACCCGTCGCTGCCGCGGGCCAGAGAGCGCACTTCCAACAGCAGGCCCTCTCGGTCGCGGAAGATGCGGTGCAGCGCCGTCAGCGTGCGGCCGAGGCTGGCGGCCTCGGCGGGGGAGTCGGACAGCCCGAGGTCGGAGGCGATACGTGAGACGAGCGGCGCGCGGATACCCTCGTCGAGGGAGAAGGGGTAGGTGCGGATGCTGCCCGGGTGCTGCGCGGCGATGGAGCGGATGTCCTGGCCGCCGTGCGGGGAGATGACGATGGCGGGCTGGCAGGCCTCGCGGTCTATGGTCATGGCTAGGTACCAGACTTCATCGTGAGAGGCCGGCTGTGAGATGTACAGCTCTTTGGCGACGATGCTGCCGTCGTTGGACGACCGAAGAAGATCAGCGGCGAGCTGGGCTGCCTGCTGAGGGCTGCGAGCTACTAAATCGGCGGCTTCTTTTCGCTTAAGAAGCTGCGCACTAAGCAGACTATTGTTTCCTGAGTGTGATGATTAGTTGAGGTCTCAATAGTTGCGCGGAATCGACGTACCGAGTTCCTCCACGGCTGCTCGAGCTTCCTCGGCGGTGCGCGCGACAAGGCCGCGAGGCACGAGAGCGCCGGCCTCATGGCATGTCAGCTGTGGTGCGAAGGAATAGCAGATATCAGATCGACTACCTCTTTTAACAACTCCTGTGATTGGTATTGATGAAGCGTGAGTCGCCGGACTTGCTGCCGAGCCACAAGCTACCCGTTGTCAGCATATACCGAGATGTGCGCGGGCCGGACCGGGCGCCTACCTGAGAGCTCACCCTCCATAGTCGCATAGCTGATCTTTGTGAAGCCATTGAATGAAGAAAAAAAAAAACGCTCATGTGAGAAATTCTTTGAGATGCTCGTACTGTTATGTTCAAGTTGATGTTGTCAAGGTCGAAGCGCGCTGTGCATTTAGTTGCCGGTCACTTGCCGGCTTTATGATGGTGGCTTCTCACAAGACGTCATGGTATCTGTGCTGGCTTCGCTAAGTTACCTAGTGCCCGGTTATATGACCTTCGCCAGCCCAACTACAGTACATAGTGCGACCCTGCTGCTCACAGCTGGCTACAACGTACTCAATTGAGATTCACATTCAACGACTGTACAATATTTTAAAAATGAGCCGGCCAAGCTGCCAGGCGAGTGCACGATGGGCGCGACAGTTTAGCACCTCGGCGCATCTCCGCCGGCCGGCCAACGCGCAAGACGCCGCCTCGCGCCTCCTCGACGACTTCGCCGGCAAGACGGTCAGCCGGCGGCAGCTCATCGACGGCAACCAGCTGCAGAAGCTATCCCTCACCCTGGGCCGCACCTCCATCGGCCCGCACGACGTCACCGCGCGCCCGCCGCCGACCGGCACCCCCGTCCCGGCCGGCCACCACCTCGTGTACTTTACGCCCGACGGCGTCGAGGCGCAGCTGGGGCCCGACGGCTCCGACAGGACGTACAACGCGGCGGCGCCGTTCTCCCGGCGGATGTGGGCGGGCGGCACGATGCGATGGCCCTCGGCTGCTGGTGGCGGCGGCGCACCCCCGGTTCTCCGGGTGGGCGACGAGGCGGAGGAGCGCACGACGCTCCTGAGCGCAGAAGCCAAGAGGAGCCGCTCGGTGGGCGAGATGGTGCTCGTGGAGGTGGTCAAGGAGCTGGAGGGGCCGCAGGGCGTGGCCGTCGTCGACAGGCGCTCCTGGGTGTTTCGCCTGGAGATCGAACCGAGCCTTGTAGCGACGGCGGCGCCGGAGCCGCCGAGACGGACGAAGCAGGGCCCGACGGTGATTGAAGATGTAGAAAACGGATCCAAATGTGAGTTACGAAAGAGAGAGATATTGTGAACGCACTGCCTGGGATGTATCCTGACAAGACGCAACAAGTCCGCGCCCGAAACTTTTGCTGGTCCCCCGTAGGCCTGTTTCGCTTCTCCGCGCTCACCTTCAACGGTCACAAGATTCACTACAACGAGGGCTGGACGACCGCCGTCGAGGGCCACCCGGGCGTGGTCGTGCATGGGCCGCTGAATCTCATCAACATCCTCGATTACTGGGGGGACATCCACGGGGACGGGCGGGCGCCGAACGAGGTTACATATCGCGCCATGTCGCCGCTGTATGCAGGTGACCAATATCAAGTGCACACTGCCGGTGTAGAGGACGGTACCGACGGCAAAAAGTACCAAATATTGGCCGACAAGGATGGTGTCGTGTGCATGAAGGCTGACGTATGGTAAGGTGGTGCAGCATTCCCTCTTACATAGTGTGCATGTAATCACGGGGCTTGCATTCATCATATTTTATTCATTCATATTTATTTCATCCAGCTGTCATATTCAGCCGGTCTTGGTTAGAGGCTCGAGTCGCTGCATGATGCTGCTGGCATAGTCGCCCGACGGCGCATCATAGTCGACCGTGTAAATGGACACGGAGATGCCCCCGTTTTCCACCACGTACGTCTCGCCCGGCAGCGAGCAGTCGCCGTGCACGCAGGCATTGACGCCTGCCGCGTAGGGCTTCACGTTGGCCCACGTGAAGACGCCCTTCTTAGGGTCCCAGACGGCCTCGTTGACGTGCGCGTTGCCCGTCATGCGGGTGCGCACGACCTCGGGCTCGGAGCCGTTGTTGGCGCGCAGCTCGGGGATGTTGACGCTGAGGCCGTATCCGAGCGGCAGCAGGGGCCCGCGGGGAGTGCTGCTCTTGATGACCTGGTCGACGACCTTGACGGCCATCTTGGCGACGAGCGTGGCCGGGTCGCTGCCGTTCTTGATGTCAAAGTAGGGGACCTCGGGGTTGCTGGCGGAGAGCGCGATGGCGGGGACGCTGCGGTGCGTGGCGGCGTAGCTGGAGATTCTTGTCAGTTGTATTCTTATATTCTGCATGATCAGGCTATGAACGGGACGTACGCTGCCCCAGCGGTTCCTGAAAGAGTCCAGACAAAAGACCCGAGGTTGGTGCCAAAGTTGGGGCCCGTTAGGACGAGGTCGGGGACCTTGAAGTCGGCAAAGCGAGGCAGCACGTAGTCGAGGGCAACAAAGGTGCAAGCCGCAGGAGTGCCGTTGTAGTACCAAATGTGGCTGTCGTGAGGATCACTGCCGATCTGCGACGCTCATCAGCTTGGCTCAAAGTGCCTGGTATGAAGGGTACCCCTTACTGAAGGTGCGCCTTTGGGAATCAAGTCATACTGCGAAGCCGCAGTCAGGTTGCCCTCGCTGCTAAAGTCGCTTTTACCGCCCATGCCGCTCTGCTTGGTGGCCGGTGCGACGATCCAAGCTATCCAAGGTTAGGGCCTCGTCATAGAAGCCGCGACAAAGGGCACAAGAAACATACCATTGTGGCCGGCCTCGTTTAACAGTCGGTATACTTCTCGCAGGTTGCCTGAGGCAAAACCATCGTCGTTGTTTAGCAGGATATTAAGAGCTTGGGCGGACCCAGCCAGGACTAGCGACAAGAGACTGGAGGCGAGCATATTGGGACCTTGGATGTCTCAACACTACGATGGACGAGAAGAGAACGGGGTCACTGAAGGCCGACAGACGGGCCTCAATGGCTACTTATACAGAAACTCTTGGCAAAAGATAAGAAATCTATCCGTACCCCGCGAGGGGAGAACAAAAGGTCCAAAGGTGAGGGTCACCTATTGCCCGAGCTGGCAAGGTGCAGGAGCGGCACCGAAAAGAATACGGCTGGAGTTGCTTCCTTGTTGGGCCAGCCCGAGCGGAGGTCACCGAGGCCGCTGCTGCGGTGCTGCGGGAGGCTTACGCGAGTTCCGAAATGACAATTGGTCGCGTGGGGTAGTTACAGTACGAAGATGGCTGGGAATAGGCTCGGGATCGACTCGAGAGGGCTTGGTTCACTAGAGAGAGAATCGCGATAGGTCCTTGATAATCCCGACTTGACCGAACGATTGAAGGTCACTAATGGTGATCGCCACAGCAATGCGGCCAATTCGTGAGGTGATGCCGGGGGACTTTGTGTTGACCTCAGCTTGATTAATTTGAGTGAATACCCATCGATTTTTGTGTTACAGTATCCCTAGCCGCAGTGTGGCGTAGTCTCCCTGGGTTCACGGCCCAGCATTTCCCCAAGGGCAGAGCACTAGCCACGTTATGTGCAAAAGGCCCAACTCGTTTAACTTTCCAACTACACCCACGAAACTATTGCAGGCCGGATCGCTGTCACATTCCGAGCTCGGCTATGGATGCGCGCCGGGAGGCTGTGGCGCCATCAAAAGTTAGTTTCGTCCCAAGAGGCATCTCGCGGAGCCTTGTTGACTCATTTTGAAATGGTTTCTCCGGAGTGTAAAAAGCAAGAAATGTCTCTGCGTCATTAAACAACTTCGCTCTTGCATCAACCAATATAACCTGCCAAAGTGCATTGATTGCGGTGCACCAACATGTCGCCCACCGACTCTCACGACAGCGAGCCTCGCCGCTCCATTGAGACATTGCAGATACAGGATGACAACGCCGCCGGCGGGACAAGTCTCCCGCCAACAGACCACGGCCGCGATGCGTATTTGGCCCTCGCCTGCTGCACCGTCGCCCAGGCGCCAATCTGGGGCAAGCCAACCCCTCCCTCGCTGAAGCTCTTCTCTTCCATCCCTTTTGCGTGAAATACGCCCGCCCTGCTGTATCCCCTAACCAAGCACAGGCTATTCCGTCGCCTTTGGCATCTTCCAAGAGTACTACACCAGCGACGAGAGCCCCATTAAGGCGCCGCCCGGCGCCTTCGCCACCATCGGTGCCCTCCAGATGGGTGTCATGTACCTCATGATGCCCGTCGCCTTCATGGCGCTGAGCTGGTTCCCGCGGCTGCGCCCTTGGTGCGGCCCGCTGGGGCTGGCCGTCACCGTCGCGAGCCTCTGCGCGTCGGCGTACGCGACCACCGTCGGCGGCCTCATCGCCACCCAGGGCGCGCTGTACTCGGTCGGCTGCGGGCTCCTCTTCAGCCCCGTATCCCAGTACATGGACGAGTGGTTCTCGGCCCGCAAGGGCCTCGCCTACGGCGTCATGTGGGCCGGCAAGTCGCTCGTCGGCATGATCATGCCCTTCGTCTTCAGCGGCCTGCTCGCCCGCCTCGGCCTGCGCGCCACGCTGCTGTCCTGGGCCGGCGCGTCCGCCGTGCTGACGCTGCCGACGCTCTTCTTCCTCCGGCCGCGCGTGCCGCTGCGCCTGCAAGCCGCGCGCCGCCGCGTGTCGCTCGGATTCCTCCGGCAGACGTCGTTCTGGATGATGCAGGTCGGCATCGTGCTGCAGGCGCTCGGCTACGTCATGCCGAGCACGTACATGGCGAGCTATGCGACCGACGTCGGCTACGCGTCCATCACGAAGCCGATCCTCATCTCCATGTTCTCGCTGTCCGGCACCTTTGGCGCGCTCTTCCTCGGCATGATGAGCGACCGCCTTGACGCGACGCGGGTCGTCCTTATCTCCGCCCTCGGCAGCGCGGCGCCCGTCTTCCTTCTCTGGGGGCTCAGCCGGCACCTCGCCAACGTCATCGCGTTCGCGCTCGTGTACGGCTTCTTCGCGGGCGGCTTCAGCTCGACGTGGACGAGCATGACGCGCGAGATCCAGCGCGACGACCGGACGGCCGATCCGTCGCTGCTGTTTGGCTTGCTCATGGGCGGGCGCGGCGTTGGATTTGTCGCGGGCGGGCCGCTGAGTGGTGCACTAATTGCGGTGCCGGGGCTCTTGACTGATGAAGCACTCGGATACGCGACAAAGTATGGCCCAATGATTCTCTGTACAGGGCTGACTGCCATCTTGTCCGCGTGGGCCCCGTTCTGGAAGATCTCCAAGATGCTCAAGTCGAGCGCGAATCCGTCCAGGGTCAGCACAACTTGAAGAAGCTGCTTTGGTAAGAATACGAATTAGGAAAGGAGACAGATTGGATCAAGCTGCGGTTAGACACCAGTCAGGTACAAGCTAAAGACTGGGAGAAGAGCAAGTAGATTTGGCATTTTGACCTGCATCACTAGTGCAACATGCTCAGCACCTGTTATTATCTGATAACAAAGATTGCCACGAACAAGAAATTGGAATTCGTTAATTAACTGCCAAACAAATCCGGCTTGGATGGCAGCTCCCGTCCGGTCTGCCAGCTGGCAACTGGCAACTGGCAACTGGCAGCTGGCAGCAAACGGGCAAATTTCGTTTTGTTGCTCCCTTCTCTCCCAGCCCCTCACTTCACTTTCTAATTCTGCCATTCGCACCGTTCAGCATTTCTAAATGATTCATCTTGAGCTTGAATAAATCTGCTTTTCCTGTCTTGTTTTGGCATCATTAGTCGCTGCTTTTCGCACAGGCGCGGCACGCAGTCGCTCAGAGCCAATGAGCGAATCCAGCTACTTGCTGATTCAGGCGAGAGAAGAAAATTTACGGAAAACATTCACACGGCTCTGATTATTCTGCAGCCAGCACGCCAGAGGCACTTCCTACGGAGACTACCAAGCTTACCAGCTCTCCTCCCGCTGTTCAACCTTGCAATCCGAATCCGCAACCGGATCTGCTAGAAACACAGCAAAATCTCCCTGTTGAATCATTGAATCAAAGGACAAAAGTTTTGAAAATACCGCCTGCCATCTCAGAAAAAGAAGAGCTATTGCTCAAACGTATGGAAAAAGACGAAGATTGGTGGAAATACATATTAGATTTTCAGAACAGCCACTCGGACCTTAGTCGGAATCTACACAATGTAATTCCCGAGCTTTCCAACGCTGGAAGATTCCACAACGAGCACGCTACGGTCGCCCAGGCCTTGGCAACAACAAGAGCTGTCCAGGATCGGGAAAGTCTTTTCTTTGTCAAATCCTTGCTTCGGCCGTTGTGGATGGAGGCTGGCAAGCGTACGCTGGGTATGCCAACAGTCACCCAGCTGAACCGAAGCCGCGCGCAGATCATCTACACGTCTCCCCAGAATGAGCAATGTAAGGATGCCATCAAGCGATTTAAGCTCTCAAACCCGGAAAAACGAGTTTGCCGGTTGTATGGCTACAACAGAGAATTGCAAGCTCTAATCCGCAGCGATGACGAGGTTGAACCAGACCAGGATGATGGGCCCAACAGCAATGTCGCCACCAAATTTCACAAAGCTCTAAATCAGCTCATGGAAAAATCGGCACTTAAGCACGAAGACCCGAGAAACCCGCGGTTGGATCCTGATAGCCTATCATCACTTGTGCGCGCAACCGCAAGAGGCGAGGATCTTCGAGAATTGAAAATGAGCTGGGATCTTTGGAGAGAAGACAAGCCGCAATGGTTTTAGAAAGAAGACTCTTTTAAAGAGACAGGACAGGCGATACTCCAGAGTGCTGTGAAGGGCATCGATGCATTTTTTTGGCACTCTCGTCGCCATCGCACAGTGCCACGATCACATGCTAACGGATCATGGAATCCTGCGTCAACCTGCTCTTCTCATCGTTGATGAGGTCGGCCGCCTGACTGAAGCTCATGCCCTTATCGGTGTAAGTATATGGAAAGAGGTACCGACTATTTTTGCAGGGGATTAGGAGCAGTTTGGTCCGATTGTTGCCACAGCCGGCACTCGCTTTGAGTATTATGTTGACGGGCACAAGTTTGAGTTCAGGTCTGTCGTCAGCGCCCAGCTGGAAAAATCGTTCCTGGCTCGAGCCGCGGCGCTGGACGGCATCGACGCCAGGCTCACCATGTCACCGCGTGTACGGATCGGCAGGCGAGTTTCCATGCAAGGTTCTTTACGACGGCGCCATGATACAGACGCATACCGAAGATAGCCCTCGCCACCGAAGCTGTCCAGGAGTGGTTTGCCCGTCACAGTGCTTCTGGAAAGAATTCTCTGTTTGTAAATTTGTCTTCTGAAGAGCAACAGCAGGGCACATCTAAAACCAATCCTACTTCCGCCTACTTTGTGGTACAGCTGGCCATTGACATTGCGCATCAGATGAAACTGCCATTGATGGAGGATTACACAAAGTTTGACAACCCGCTCTAGAACACCGGCTCCATCAGGAAGGGACATGTTCTGATACTTGTGGCCTATGGGTCACAGAAAATGCAAGTCCTGCGATGTCTCAAAAAGATCAGCGCGCACGAGGTGGACAAGTCGCGGATCAGCGTGCGCACAATAGATGACTCGCCCAGTCACGAAGTAGAAATCGCCATCGTGGACCTCGTACGGTCGGATGGCATCGGGTTCCTCGCGGAGCCAGCGAGGTTGAAGGTGGCGGCGACGCGAGCGCAGCTGGGCACGATCTGGGTTGGCTGCCGGGAGCTCTGCAAGCGACGGGACAACTGACAACTCTCTCAGAAAGCTCTACGACTATCACAGCAGGCACAATGTCGTGGTTTTCCTTGATTTGAAATCACCACTGTTGGTTAAAATTGGTCAGGGGGCCGTTGTTGGCTCACAACTATCCGTAGCTGCTCAGCTCACAACGTCTCTAGGCTATCCTTGCAAAAAACGTTGCAAAGAACGTGATAACAAACATTATAAAAACGTTAAGGAAAGATTATAAAAAGCTTAAAATATATTGATTTAATTTCACTTTTTTGTCGCTAATTGCCAACGGTTGACATGGAGATTGGATTGGCTCAGGGCGCTGTTCGGCCGGGTAATGAACTCCCGGGAACCGTTCGACCAGGGGATGGATGAACGAAAATAGGGCGCAAACGGCGGGATAGAACATTAATATACAGTAAAGTAGGTCTCAGGCAAATATACGCATAATTTTATTCAACAGAAATCTTTCACCTGTCAATACTTCAACGGCTGCCCGGGTTCCCCATATCACCAAGTACAACTAGGTAGTAAGCGTGTCACCTTGCAGCTGCAGGCTATATTGCGATAGCTACCTTGTACAGCCGTGCCAAGGAAATAGATGCTTGGAGTCAAACGCACACCCCTATTTCTGGGCTCTTAAAATAGGTGTAGGTCCGCATCCACCACTACGAGGACATGCTGGGGTTGACGTCCTAGCAGCGTGGGAAGAATGTCTCCGACACTCCTGCAGGAGACGAATGATGGAGGCTTGAATGTACGTTCTTAGGCTACCAGGAATTGGGAACCTAATTCCAGTCTGTGTCTTGCCCTGAAATGGCGTTTTTTAGGTGCGATCCCCGAACGCAAGAGCAAACACTTGCTCATTACGACAGTTTATGCGCAAGTAAGTAGCCAACCAGTATTAAGTGCTAGAATATAAACTGTGTAAGACTGTACGGATAGCCTCAGCGGAGACCTGTCATGGACGTTCAAGGCATATAGTTATCGGATACTAGGGATGCTGGGCCTTGTGGGCTGCCATTGCTCGATCTGAGGTCGCCATGGCAGAGAGGCTTACCTAGTGACCCTGTGATGCAAAAGGCGAGCAAACTTTAAATGTGAACCCCCTGTATATGTCATAATCCCGGTGGCTGGCTTATTGCGGTCGCCCGAGATGCCAGGTCTTGGCGAGCATGCATGGGAATGAGCGCCCAGAAGAACTAACTCCTTGAGCAAGCAGAGTAACGTTAAAACTAAGCTTGATGGTGAAGATACCCGTCATTCTATTAACAGTCATCTGGATAATTAATAGCCAATAGACAAAAAGCTACTATGCATTAGTGGCCGCCGTGTGGTATCTGCAAGAGTTCGCTTTCCTCAACTCGTGCTTCGCCTTAGGGATGAGACCCAATTCCGTCCGCTGTGGCCCCTGACTTGTTCGAGAAGACGATTTATTAACCGGGTCACCGGGTTCTCAAGTTCAAGACAAAATGGCCCGAGACGGCTTAGATCGACAAGATCGCGGGCGACAAAGATGGGATGGGGGATCCCCCGCCAGGGCGGAAAAAGCAAGTGGACGATATGGGTATGTATTCGGAAATTGGTCGATTGTTTTGTGCAACATCGGATGAATAAGAAGACTGCAATTTCTCTAATTTTCTGATGGAGAAAAGAAAAGAAAGGAGCTTCAGTTTACTGTATACCCTGTTATAGGATGCACTCTCACACCAACTTTCACTTTCACTTTCACTTTCACTTACACGCCTTAAGCGTCAACAGCCCACAACGCCATTGACGATCAACGGGCCTTTGCTTCACTAACACCTCTGTCACAAGTACCTTTCGTTCTCCTTTTCATTACTGTCATCCCACTCACTCACTCACCATGGGATCCGAGCCAGACGTAGTCACGCCGGCCGGCAAGCCCAGACCCAATCTCGACGGCGTCGGCATCTGGTGGGTGTGCTGGGCCTGCATCTGGACGACGCTCCTCGCGGGCAGCATGGCCTTCCTGATCCGCCACCGGCACCTCCCGATGCTGCGTATCCGCGGCCTCGGCCTCTCCCTGACCGCCATCGCCCTACTGCACCTGTTCTGGATCAGCGGGCAGCTCGGCTACGTCGTCGGCGCCCTGGCCCCGCCGCAGGCCGAGTACTGGATCATGGGCACGTACTTTCCCTTTGGCATCGCGCTGTTCCACGCCTCCAACGCGCGCTTCCTGCACGTCGCCAAGCGGCAGCAGAGGTTCACCGTGCAGGGCCGGGGGGCCGGGTTGTGGGGGCCTCACGCCGACGGCGGCGGTCGTCCGGGCGGCTTGCTCGGGAGGTTCTGGGGCCTCGACTACTCGGCCCGGACGCTGGTGCTCGTCGGCCTCTGCATGATGCTCCAGCTCTTACTCACCGTCTTCGTGTACCTGAGCTCGCGCAAGTTCCACCCGGCGTTCGGCCTGCCCGGCACCCACGTCGACGGCACCGACGCCCAGCGCAATGCCGCCATGGGGAGAGGGTGGGAGTGGTGGCCGACGTGCTTCTGGCAGCTCGCATGGGCTTGGGTCGTGGCGCCGATTGTCCTGTGGAAGTCGAGAAACATCAAGGACGTGCACGGCTGGCGCCTCCAGACGATTGGCTGCACGCTTGCCAACTAAGCCAACCAACCCTCATTCGCCTCTCTATATCTCTCGCTGACGTTGAGACAGCCTGCATGCCACGCCAATGTGGCTGATTGCCCTGTACGACCCTGTCTTCGAGGGCGTCAACGAGTACTTCTTCCCCCCTCAGTGGATCTGCCTGTCCATCTTCTTCATGGAGATCTTCACCGTCCTCGTACCCTGCTGGGAGGTCCTGCGGTACCAGAGTCTGCACAGGGAGACGCTCGACTGCCTCGCCAGGTGGGAGTCCAAGAACCGCGAGCGCGCCCGCAAGGAGGCCAAGTCGCTCAAGTCGTCTGGAGAGAGCACCATCGTCGACACCGTCCTGACCGGGAAGAAGTCCGCCGCCGCCGCCGCCGCCGCCGCCTCCGCCTCCAGCGAGAGCATCCTTACCATGGGCGCGCTCGAGTACGTGCTGGAGCGCAACCCGATGCCCTTGCAGCAGTACTCGGCGCTCCGCGACTTCTCCGGCGAGAACGTCGCCTTCCTGACCAGCGTGACCGAGTGGAAGGACTCGTTCCCGAGCTCGGTGCGGCGCTCGGGACACGCGGACCGCGACGACAACACGCGCGAGCTGGTCCGCGAGCGGTTCAACGGCGCGCTGCGCATCTACGCGCAGTTCGTGAGAGCGCGCGACGCCGAGTTTCCGATCAACATCTCCTCGGCGCAGCAGCGGGCGCTCGAGGCCGTCTTCGAGGGCCCGACGCGGCTGCTGTACGGGGAGAAGCGCGCGCCGGACTCGGTGACGCCGTTTGGCGGCGGTGTCGACTGGGACAAGTCGTCGTCGTCGGTGGCGGCGGGCGCAGAGTCGGGGCCGGAAGGGTCACCGCCGGGGTCCGGGATCGTGGTGGTCGGCGCGGAGGACCGGGCGCAGTACTGGGGCGAGGTCCCGGACGACTTCAACGAGACCATCTTTGACGACGCGCACAAGAGCATCAAGTACCTTGTGCTTACAAACACCTGGCCAAAATTTGTGCGAGACTGGCGAGCGTCGAATACTCCCGATGAACATGTAGAAACGGGCAATGGCATTCGGCGACTGGTTGGGAAGCTATAGTTGCGGTGGTGGTGGACGACTGAAATGGCAACTTGCTTCTTCGGTACACGGTAGTTGGACATTGATTGATAACTTACATCTTGTAATCAGGATATTAATTGACTACTTTCAGCCCTTCCAGTGGAACTTGAATGATAAGAACGACAACAGGGGCTGACTAGTGGCGGGGATCAACGACTCAAAGGGCGCGGCTAGTCAAAAACCTCGGTTGATGAATGACATGGAGACAGGCCGTGACTCAGATGGCACTAGAATATTCTCTCACTAACTCTAACCGGAATATAGTGTTACTTATTCAACGGTCCCCCGGTCCCGGAGGTGGTTTCGAATTCCGGAGTGGCGGTGCGCAGACAGTATCCGCAGGCCGTTCCAAACAAACCTTTACAACTCATTAATTACTCTTCCCTACATCATCAGAAAGCCGGCTGGACATTTTGGAAATATTGATTAATTCACCAACAGCAACCAACCATTCTTGCTTCTTCTTTACACCACCACCACCACCACCACCACAATGACCGTCCAGGAACTCTCCATCCGCAAGGTCACCCTCGACACCCTCCCCGCCGTCCATGCCCTCGTCGAGCGCTGTTTCCGCAGCAAGGACGCCGCGAAGGGCTGGTGCAGCGAAGCCGAGTTCTTCACCGGCGCGCGCATCACCCCCGCCGGCATGCTCGACAAGTTCCAGCATCCCGACACCGTCTTCCTCGCCGGCTACGACCGCGACCCTTCCTCCGAAAACAAGGAGACCCTCGTAACATGCTGCGAGATTGCCCGGCGCGACCCCGACACCTGCTACTTTGGCCTCTTCGCCGTCGACCCGGCGCTCCAGGGCGGCGGCGTCGGCAGCCGCGTGCTGCGCGAGGCGGAGCGCTACGCCCGCGAGGAGCTCGGCTGCGCGCGCATGGAGATGCAGGTCATCGACCGGCGCGACACGCTGATCGCGTACTACGTCCGCCGCGGGTACGCGCGGACCGAGGAGAAGAGGCCGTTCCCGTACGAGTTGTTCGGCGAGGGCACGATCCTGCGCGACGACTTGCAGTTTGCCGTGCTGGTCAAGGAGTTGACGGCATAGAGATTTCATGTGCATTATTTCGGGGGTAGCTAGCGGGTTGCGATTGAGCAAGAAACATAGTTTTTTTTTTGTTTTCACTTTTTATAGACGGGATAAATTTAGAGTATTTTGCTATTTGCACGGCAAGCTTTTGCCATTTGTTTAATAGCAGCCTCCGGGATACGGCTTTCCGTACCGCCCGGGTCCGGGCTCCTCGTCCTTCAAAAAGTCGTAGTACATGACCGACTCGCGCTCAACCCAATCCCGCATGTCGAACCCGTCCTGCCCGGCGTCGATCGTGTGCCCGTTGACGCTCAGGTAGCACCCCGTGAGCTTCGCGTTGGACCCGGCGCCCGGCCCCGTCGGCCGCCACACCTCCACCGGCCCGGCGAGCCCCAAATCTCCCGACTGGGCCTCGACGACGTGGCCCTCGCCGGCGAATATGAAGCAGCGCACGCCGCACACGCGGCAGAAGAAGAAGCGCAGCGCTCCGGCGTTGCAGCTGCGGTAGTCGCCGAGGTCGGCGATGGCGGGTGACAGCAGCGCAAAGTCGTCGGCGGGTACGGGTGGGCGGACGTGCATGAAGCCGGACTTGTGACAGATGGTGCAGTTGCACCGGTAGACTCGGTCGGCGGCCGGGCTCTCGGCGTGAGGCGGGCGCGGGACGGTGAGGTACACGGTGTATCGGACCGCGCCGCAGTGGCAGGAGCCTTGAAACGGCCGCCGTTGCGGCTTGGCGTCTGCTTGCATCTTGGATGGCAGGAGGATGGACTTGGGAAGTTGGAGCTGTTCTCAGCAGGTCGAGGGTGTTCAGGCTCTTGTGCTGGGTTGCAACGCTATGGGAGCGGCTGAGGAACGTGGCGTTGATCAAGTCTGCTTTCAGTTGGGCAGAGGTGCAAGTACTTCACGCTAACAAGAATCATCATCGTGCCTCGTGTCTGTCATATTGCGACGCTAGCTAATCATTCAACGCCGCCCTTTATAGCAAATCTGAAATGGTAGAAAGTAATCCAAATGTCCTCCTGCGCCGTCATGTTTAAAGTGAAAAAAAATATGGATACACAAAACTAGGATACAATGCAGCTCCAAGATTGCGGAGAGGGCGAAACCTATTCGTCCTCTTCGTCCTCTTCGTCTTCGTCTTCTTCTTCATCATCTTCATCCTCATCTTCGCCAGATTCGACCGCCATGCCGTCGATCAAGCCATTTCCATCACCATCCTCCTCGTCTTCCTCGTCGTCCTCGTCTCCTTCGTCGTCCTCTTCTTCCTCTCCTTCGCTGTCCTCTTCATCCGACGGAGAACGTCGACTGCGACCGCGGATCTGGAGGCGACCGGCAAGACTGGTGCGCTGCGGCTGGTCATCGTCTTCTTCACTGCTGTCGTCGCTGTCGTCACCGTCATCGCTGTCTGGGATATCCACCACTTCCACCTTGCGACGCTTCGCAGGGCCGCTATCCTCGTCCTCATCCGACGAAGAAGCCTGCGACTCTGCGGCCTCGGCGGGGCCCGGCTCGTCGTCGGAATCAAGTACGTGGACGCGCTTTCGCTTCGCGGGTCGAGTGATGGGCTCGTCACCATCATCATCATCCGAGTCAACCAGGATACGGCGCTTGCGCCCGCGTACTGATGAGCCTGCTTCGTCTTCCGACGGCTCGGGACTTGAGAATTGGTTTGGTGGCACACGAGCTCCGTCGCTGTCGTCGCTATCGTCGCTTCTCCCATCATCGAGGTGTTCATCTCCGGACTCGTGGAAAATCTCCGGTTCATCGTCGTCGATGCCGTCGCTCTCGTAAGCATCAGCCTCCTCAATTACGCCATTGGGCTCGAAGTCCTCATCGATATCGGATTCTTCTGTCTCGCTTTCGCCATCCGAGCCATCATGGTTGGCGTCATATACTTTTAAAGGCAGATAGTCTGTGGCGACATGCTTATCAAAGAGTTCGAGGCCGGCTTCCGTGTCAAAGACGACCATAGGATAAATGTTTACTCCAGCGTCTTGAAAGGCCGCCTTTTGTATCGATGTCAAGTTAGTCGTAGCCCACTTAGGAACGTGAGCCTTGGTGAAGGAGGGATTTCGTTGGGCATCGGGCCAACAGACGAGCTTCGTGAAGTCCTCGCCATAGCCCGGCTCCTTCTGAAAAGTCTCAATGTAATACTGGCGCGCGTGACGTGAGGCGCACCAGCGCAGACTATTACCACTGCAGCGTTCCTCCTCCGTATAGAAGAAAACGCGCTGGAGAGATCTGAATTTGCGCAACCAAGAAGTAACATCTGTTTCCGCCCCGGCGAAAAAGTTTGCGTCGTGGAGCGGCAGGGCGAGGTTGGCAATGAATTGGGAGAAACCATCCAGGCGGACCTGGGTAGTCGTGCCCGGAGTAAGTATCCCAAGTTCAAAAGGAAAATTTGGAACACAGTCGAGCATGGCGATGTCGGTCTTGAGGTTTGCACACAGCGTAAAATCTTGGCCGTTATCCTCGATGAGCAGGTCGTCGGGGAACTTGCTCTTGGCGATGGCGCGCGACTCCTGGTTTGTGGCCATTACGCAGCGCAAGGCGCACGTCTGATCCTCAAGGCCCAGCCCCGGGGTGACGACCCTGCAAGGTGATGATCTGGTGGGCGAGAGGCTATCATCCAAATTGAAGTCAAGAACACGCGGTGCGCCGAGTAAGTCAGGACAAAACAAGGTCCAAACGCGTACACGAAGCTCTGGGGGCAAGCGGTTGAATGGAAAGGGGTCAATCTCCTCTTCGTCAGAGTCAGACCCTTCGTCTGTAGATTGTGCGGATTCTAAGGCCTCGTCGTCAAAGAAGCCATGGTCATGAGCCTCGTCTTCAGATTTGCTGAGGCTTCCCTCGCTGGCAGCGCGAGTATGCCGCCTTTGGCGGGCCATCTTGCGCGTTGGCAAGTTCGGTGTGGAATATTCTGCCAGAAATCTCGATCAAAGGGGAAAAGGGCCAAGAGGCGGTAGAGAGAGGATATGTGTTGAATGAAGCAAGATGGAAAGTTGCCCGTTTGTCGATGGAAATCTTTGGGATCAGTAAATAGCGTGAACAAATGTTACGATAGTGGGGCGATAGGCGCTAGGCCAGCGGCTTTAGCGCGTCATTTCTGCTCTTGAGGGTGAATGTAGAGGACTTTTAGCGAGGGAGACCACTAAAGCACAGCATGTTAGCACCTGTAGCGCTCTCACGGGCGCGCGCATGCCGCCTGGAGTGTCTAAGACAATTGTGAGGGAAGGGCACACGGTAACTTTGACCCTAATAAACGAGTACATGATACATGCTATTCAAATATGGATATGGATAGCTACAAGTCTCATGACACGTTTCCTTGTACCAAATTCACTACGGAGGGCTGTGGTTCGGTAAGCAAAGGTAAACGGACTGTGCTCGCATCATGAAATCAAGTGAAAGTAATGTAGTGTAAAGAGTGCATAATAAGTTACATATGTATAATCCTTGATGTACAACCTTTTAATGTAAAAGCACGCTCTCAACCCAGCCAGTTGGGCCATACCTTGGATGCCTTGGAATACAGGCACCGAAGTCAAGAATCCTACCACCCGGGCCTTTGGTTCTCAAACGTTACATGCACCGACCCAACATCCACGCGCTTCGTCAAAACCAGCTCCGGATCATGAGACGGCTCCGGCACGCCGGCCACCATGCTCCTCCTCGGCCTGCAGACGCCCTGCCCGCCGTTGAGCGTCTCGCCCCGCGCCGGCGCGATGTCAAACGTCAGCAGCGTCTTGATAATGTTGAGCATGACCACGTTAAACACGACGTAGCGGCCGGGGCACATGAGCACCGTCGGCAGGCCAAACGCCATGAGCCGCCGCACCAGGCCCGCGTCCACCCGGCCCTCGGCGTCCAGGAAGCGGTCCGCGCGCAGCACCTCGGCGTCCTGGCCCCAGCCGTCGCGGCCGTGCTGGTGCGGCAGCATCGGGGCGACGACGAGCGCCTTGCGGCGGAAGGAGAGCAGGCTGCCGCCGGGGAAGACGGCGTCGTGCGTGACGAGGCGCGTGATGTTGGAGTTGGCGGCGTACAGCCGCAGCAGCTCGTACCAGAAGGACATGAGCAGCGGGCAGGACTCGCGCACGCGGCTGACGTCCACTTTCTTGCGCTGGCTGTTGGCTGGATCGGGGCTTGGTTCGACGAGGGCGTCGACCTCGGCACGGATGGCGGCCATGAGCTCGTCGTCGGCGACGAGGTGCCACAGCGCCCAGGTGGTGATGTTGATGAGGTTGGGGAAGACGCCCATGATGAGGGAGAAGGAGAAGTCGTTCCAGCCGGCCTGCGGGATGCTGTACTTTTGCAGGAGGATCTTGACCTTGCCGATGAAGCACAGGTCGTCGCAGTCCGGCTCCTCTTGGTCGCCGCTGCGTGGCGCGTCGAGCGTGCTCAGACCGGCACGGACGTGATCTCGAGCACGGCGAAAGGAGCTCGGCAGAAAGAGCGTGAGAGGGTGATAGAAGCGGCGCAGTCCGCAAAGCATCGTTCTAACTCGTGAGCGCATATTCCTATATGGCGTCTAGTTGATGGACAAGAGAATAACATACCGGAGACTCTGTCTAAACTTGGGGTCGTCGTAGGGCCCCTTGTCTCCCCAGATGACGGAGCCGACAGACATGGCGATGCCGTCCGACACCCACTCTGCGAGCTTGACCGTGTTCGAATCATCCGGGACAGTTCGCTGCCACGCTTGGTTGATCTTTCTCTGGACTTGCGCTCCGAGCTTCTGCACCTTTTCGAGAGTCTGGAGCTCATCGCGGAGGAGACGCGACAGCTCCCTCTTGAAGGGGTGCTTGTCCGGCGTCATCATGCTCTCCTCGCTGGCCTTGTTGAAGTGCAGGTAGCCGCCGAAGCCGACCCAGAAGGCGGCGGTGAGGCTCAAGCCGGGCGTCCTGGCGAAGAGCTTGGTCATTTCCGTGTCGGAGGCGTCGACCACGTAGATCCTCTGCGTAAAGAGCTGCGCCACGGACACTGGCGTCGCCTGGCTCACCCTGCACCGAAATGTCAGTCGCTAATGAGTGGCAAGATAATGACTAGCAGTGGTGAGGTCATACGAAAGCCGGCCAAAGTATTCTTGGAAATCAGTCCTCATAACTTGGAGTACATGGCCAATGTATGGGATCCGCGACGATATCGTGGGCGGTTCGCTCGTCTTCTCAGCGGCCTTTGACGGCGCGCGCTTCGCGAACAACGAGCCATAGAGTGACGCGGACAGCGCATAGACGCCGAGCAGTAGAATTATGACCCTGATGAGGCCAAAGGTAAAATCCGGTTCCATCATCTTCACTAAGCGGCGGCCCGCCACCGACTACCAGAACATGAACGTTGAGTGATGAGGGAGGTATCTCAGCGAGACAAAAGAAGAGCAACGGGCTCGGCCATGGGGGGAAGAGCAGCCACTCTCTATAAACAAATGATGCGATAAAGATCCTCTACTGATTGATTGGATGGCCCTACGGAGCGGCGCATTGTGCGCATCAATGCGCGCCGGCTAGATTGCGACAGGCAGCTACCAGTCTAAGTTACCAATCAACTGCTAACGGATGGTTCCGCAGCAAGGAACACGACCCGAGACTGACTGTGACATGGGGAGCACTCTTACATACAGATTTCCAGTACACCACCCAGCCAGCACCAGCACATGGCATGGTGAAGGGAAGGGTTGCGTGCGAACTGGAACCTCGAACGCCGCTGTGGAGAGAGACCCGCCTCTATTTGCTGACACCCCTTGATCTTTCCTCGGCGAGGGCTAGAAAAAGTATATGACGTGGAGGGAAAGGAAGGCGAAGCTGGATCCGAACCAGGTCATAACCAGCGCGGCTTTGTTACGTAGGCGTTGCTGACGCTCGCAGCTTGAACCTCGGGCTAGCCCCGAGGCCTCAGTGAGATAGGGCGACGAGTTGCGTCGCCTGAGTAGACTAACTTTGCATTCACCACGCCGTTATTCTTGGTACATCCACGCAGATCTTCCCTTGGCGATAGCATGGCAATCCTGTCGGTTCTAAGGCCGTTGGTTTCTAGAGCCCGTTGAACGCCTGCACCTCAAACCTTGGTGACATCCAGGTTTCGACATGGTGTTTTCTTCACTGTCTCACATCGGCCGCGACTCCGGCACTCGCCGGCTGGTTGCATCGGCCTAACCGTGACCAAGAGCCCGCCGTGGCGCCAGGTTAGCGTCGGTGGCCTAGGATCGGCACAGTGGTCGGTCGACAGGGTGTACGGAGCTTTGGGAACCTTGGTAATCTGTACGGGAGTACGCCCAACGCCATTCAGGTAGATTCTCGGCGTGCCATTGGTCTATAACTCGGTGAGACAACGTGCGCGGTGGGTGGTCTATTCCTGGTGCAAGGTGATGGATGAATCACAAGCCACGCCCGCTGCAATCGTGAAAACATACACGTAACTTAGTCATGCAGACCTGGGATGAAACTGGGCCGAACAATGTTTGTGATACAATGTACAAAGGGGAAAATGTGTGCGCAAAGATTGCGCGGCCCGAGACAGCACAGCACAGACAAAATGGCTCAATCTACAGACATGACTGGCCTGGAGATCACTGTGCAAAAGAACAAGATGGTCAAAAAACGAAACGCCAATTCATATAGTTACCCCAAAGTGAAAGAGGAAAAGAAAAAAAAAATACGCCGACTAATAAATATGAGACATGCCCGACCTCGTCTCACTCAGTCCATGAAGCCCATCCAGAAAAACGTTGCCAGCGCCCCAAAGACGAGCATCAGCGTGATGATGCCCGCGCCGGCCTTGTCCGCCGTCGTGATGGCCCTCGGCGGCCTCTGCCCGTTGTCACCACCCGAGAACCCGCCGTTCGGCGAGCCCTTGCTCGTGCCGCCCGTCTCGTTGGTCACCGGCGCGTTCGCCTCTCCGATCAGCAGGCTCGACACGGCCGCCAGCACGTTCATGTACTCGCCGGCGCCGGACGTCTTGCCCACGGTGGGATCCACGAAGGCGCCGCTGCTCCAGTAGAAGCCGCAGGTGCGGCCGGTCTCGCGGCCGGTGCACTGGTTGACGGCGGCCTGGGCCGACTTGGCCAGCGCGGGCAGGATCTTGGAGGCCGTGTGCGGCGCGACCTGCGCGGTGACGGCGAGCCAGCGGTGCACGTAGCCCTTGAAGGTCAGCATGTCGGGCGAGCACACGCCGCCGGGCGGCTCGCACTGCACCTCGTACAGCGTGTCGTTCTTGATGAAGTGCGACAGGAGCGAGTCGAGCAGCTTGTCGACGCGCTCGCCCCATTTCTTCTCCCCGTTGGTCTGCGGCGGTCAGTATTTTTTTTTTTTTTTCGAGCTTGATAGCTATGTGCCTCGGTCCGACTCACGTAGTTGTACATGAATGCCGCGCCCTGCGTCAGGATCGCGGCGTTGTAAGAGTATGTCTGCTTGTTGATGTCGGTGCAGTTGTGCGGCACCCGGCCGCCGTCGTAGACCAGCCAGTTCTCGTGATCGATGTATCCGACGTTCCAGAGCCAGTCCCAAGTGTCGCTCGCGTGCTTCGCGTATGTGTCGTTTTTGGTGTATCGAGCCAGGCGCGATCCAATGTTGAAGAAGCAGCCGTTGGCGATGGCTAACAGTCCAGTCAGTGTGGGTGGCTCGTTAAGAAGCAAAGGAGGCCAGGCCAGGCAGGCAAGCTACAACTCACTGTTCTTATACTCGTAACCAGCGTTGGCAAAGGGAATCTGCCATCGCATCCCGCCGCCGCAGTACGCATCGTGTCTGCTCGGATCCGCCTGCGTCGCCCAGACGGCCTGCGCCAGGGCCAGCCACTGCGGCTTGTCGGCCGGGGGGTCCGGGAACTTGTTCTCGGCGGCGAGCATCGCCGTCATGCCCCAGAATCCTTGGTCGTCGTTTCCGAGCGAGGCCGTGTGGTTCCGGGGCATGAAGTCGCGGTTCTCGCCCACCTGGTGCAGGATCCCCTGCATGACCACGTCGTTGTAGCTCGTATCGCCCGTTAGGTGCCAGTAGTCGATGTATGTGCCCATCATGGCACCGCCCTGCCACCAGTAGTAGGGTCCCTTTCCATCGGCTGGCGGCCCTGGTAGGATTCCAGGTATTTGTCCCGTCTTGTTGCCTTCGTATAGGAGCATTAGATCGTACGCGACCGTGCTGGCGGTGGTTTTGATCGCATCTGTTGTTGCGTCAGCAATTGGGCCTTCCTCTACCCGCAAGCGGGGAAGAGCAATAACCTTTGGTATCAATTTTGTAGTATTGTGCTTGAGCGGCTGTGGATAGACCTAAAAGCAGCAGGCCTGCCGATAGAGGTGTTGGTGATGGAAGCATCTTGGTGTGTGACGATAAGGTTTAGTGGACAACTCGAGCACTCTTTGGCTGGTCGAAAGGGCGTCGGAATCAGACGTCGAAACGAAAGGAAGTCGTGATGGGCAGCGAGTATTCATGCAGTAACAATAATCGTGTAGATAGCGAGAGTAACGTCGTTATAGACACTTTCGCAAACGAGTTGTCGAGTCGAGTCGCGGTGAGGTGGTGAGAGAGCTTCAACTAGCCGACAGAGGTGGTTTGTAACGAGCGGAGTTTTTCGCGAAAGAGAAGCAAGAAGAAGAAGAAGAAGAATAATAATAATATCAAGTTGGAGAAAAGTGCAAAAGAGAGTCTCTAGTAAAGTCTATACAGAGGTTGAATATTGAAGAATGGCGAAAGCGGGCGAGAGAGAGAGAGAGAACAAACAAACGTTGGATGATGAAGAATACGAAATTGAGTCGAGGTAACAAAGGCGGCTCAGACGGGATGGGACGACCCCAGAACGCAGGCAAGGCAAAGCATTATTACATGCTTTTATTGGCATTTCTTATTTATCCCCCTCCCCTTGCTATTGGGACAAACTCTTGGCATCGCATCCGAGTTTCAAGTGTGACAACTCTGCGCGGACTGCGTTTTGGGGGTGGAGAGGCAAAGCCACCCCCCAGACTGGCCAGCCGCCGAACAAAAAGGTCAAAAGGGTCAAAAAAGGGTGCGAAGAATCACGTTGGCCCAGAGAGACTCGGTGAGCCAAGAAACGTCCGCTGGCTGGGCGGCTTCAATTCGCTGGGCAGAGCGTGGCTGAGCACATTCAGGTGGATGTCGCTCTTGGCAGAGGCTGGCCTTCGCCAGGCTCCAATATGAGTCGTCTCGTTTTGCTATGGGGGGCAGTTCAAAGGCTGTTGATATACAGAACAAATAAGTGAAGCACGAGTCCGCCGCAGATGAACTTGTCCTATCCATCCATCTCATCAGCATGCATCATCTCGTCTTTCCACATGGCCGTGTGACTACTGCCTAACTTATTAGGCGCCGGGCTTCTGGCAAGCCCTGCGCCAAGAATACCGCCCCTGAAAGCCAAGATCAACCCTAAAATTGGTGTAGCTTGTTTGCCATGGAAGGGAGCCTGCAGATGTCTTGCAAGCCAAGCACCGTGCCTTGGCGTTATGTTGCACGCGTCAGCGCAGTAAGCCGATGGAAAAAAGCAAAAGAATAGGAACTGAAGGTTACTCTTGACTAGATTTCCAATTTAAAAGTATCTCGGCAGCAAGGACAGATCGGACAGGGCACAACGTTGACATGAGGGGTACTTGTTAACTATATTATTAAGGTTTCTTGACCCCTGTAAACCGCAAACTTGGCCGCTATTAATAGCACACACAGCCACCTACAATCTAAAGGCAGTCTCACTCATCACTGTCTCTTTCTTTCTTTCGTCCTTTCTTCCTTTCTTCCTTTCTTCCTTTTTTGTTTATCTGGCATTGAGAGTTGCTAAAACTCTTCATGCGCAGTGCAACCAGGGGTCGCCTGAGTTGTTACCCCAGACACACCAACTGGCCGTAATAAACGGCCCGAGATCGATCTTATGCAGATGGGGATCATTTCCGCGCGTGTTTGCTGCAAATTAGGCGAATGCATGATGATGCTGGTCTGGCATGAAGAAATGCATGGAAATCGCCCAACCAACTAGTCGGATGAATGCATAAATATTCGCAGAGTTCCTCACCAAGGAAGAAGAAAGAAATGCAACAGAAACCGACACTCTTTTCATTCGCATCGGCCAAAACTACTCAGGACTTGCTTGCCATGGTCAAGGTAATAATGTGTTACATCGGTGTAATTAGATTGCCGCTGTCCAGGTATAAGCACTAAAACATCGCATCGAGAAAACCTGCCACAGGAGACTGGATTTACAATCTGGCTATAATTACCTGCCACAAGGGGAAAAACGTCACGGCCATCATTGGTTGTGCATCAAACTAAACTTGCTGAGACGCAGCTATCAAGATCATGCCGTTGTCCGTCCGAGGCAGTATTTCCGGTTGGCGGGGGGCGGGCTACTCACGATGAGTATGTAAATCTCTATGTTGTACATGGAAAAGTGATGATATGCATTCCTTGCTGGTCATTATTGCTCTCCCAGGGCATCCGCAACATTCAGCGTCAATACTTCAACTCACAAAATGCTTTGGACACTCCCAGCTCTCCTTCTCATGGGCAGTGCCTCGGCACACACTGCCGCCTTTGTCAAGGGCATGTATTGTGAGGTAACCAGCTATCTCGATCGGGCAGACAGACTCTGACCCAAAGCTAACCTCTGCAAGGGCGGGCCTGAGCTAAACAACTACAACCCCCAACTCCAACACGCCGGTCAATCCTCTCTACCAGCTGACCAAGGATGAGTGGTGGATGCAAAAGGTATGACATTCCTCGGGAACCTTGATACCAGCATAATGATAATTAATGTATGGAATCATCGTCAGACACTAGGGTGCCTCAACAACCCGCCCAAGAACGGCGCCTCGGTCGCCCTCCCGGCCGGCGGGCAGTTCACCGTCGAGCTCGCCCACAACCAGGCGCAGACGAGCCTCTCCTACAACGGCGCGCACGCCTCCGAGTGGCCCGACGGCCAGAGTCACCCGGAAGACTGGCGCGGGCCCGGCAACCCGCCCGACTGCATCCAGGACGACGGCGCGATGCAGGCGCACGACCAGGCGACCCGCGGCGGGCACCGCGTGGGCCATATCCTACGAGTCGGAGCTCGGCAAGGTCTCGATGGAGAACCTGGTCGTCCTCTCGATGCTGGAGCACACGCCGTGGAAGCGGCTGGCGACGTACAAGGTGCCACGGGACCTGCCGGAGTGCCCGCCGGGAGGCTGCTACTGCGCGTGGCTCTGGGTGCCGGACGGCTGCGGGCAGCCGAACATGTACATGGCAAATTACAGGTGCCACGTTACCAACAGCACGTCGAATAGGCGGCTGGCGGCGGCCAACGCGCCGGTGTACTGCAAGGACGACCAGTCCAAGTGCGTTGCAGGGGCCAAGCAGATGATTGCGTGGAATCGTAAGTATAGACGCTCTGATTTTCCTCTTTTTTTTTTCTTTGAAAGGCATTTTTGGACATGTGCTAATACCGCGCAGAAAAGGAGGGAAACAACGTCGAGACTCCGAATGGTGATGGGTTTTGCTCTGGGTGCTCAGAACGACATTTTCTAGTGAGGGCGGGGGCATGAAAGCAAGAAGTGTTGACAAGGTAGATATATCGTGATGGGAAATTATCCTTTGAAATTAAAAATGATAATTAAATAATCCCGCGACGAGCCGTGTCTGAATCTGCGACTTTGTGCTTGCATATGTGGAGAGACCAATCATTTGCCGACAGCCTCACCTCTGCATAACCATGACTAGCAACCCCAGCTTTTCATCGTGGCACATGATGCGAGCGCACCAATCGCAACGCCTCAGTTGCTAATTCAGGCCACTCTTTACCCGCAGCGAGATTTTTTTTTTATCAACTCAGAGGCATCGTAACAAGTTGAGGTGCCTTAAAGCGGCTGGCTCTCACTAGGTAGGGCCTCGCCGAGTCAGGCTTTCGCTCAGGTAATCAAAAGTTACCTGGTCGGGAAATCTCCGCCGGCTTTGCCCCTAACGAGAACTCTACACTGCCAACCTCACAAACGTCGGGCTTCAACGCAACAAGAGTGCCAATCAGTATCGAGGAGTGCCAGTCCTCTTGTACTTATTATTACTATTATTACCTCTCTTCAGATAAGAAATCTCCAGTGGACAAGTTGATGGTAGATTGTCCCGCGGGCACTGCGTGGATAAAAAAGCATGCCCGCAATCAAATATCCTTGCGTGCAGTGCAAAGGTGAGTGGGCTCGAGCTGCGAGTGAGGCGGGGAACTATTTATTAACCAATTTTCAATAATGTTCTAGAAAAGCACGTTAAATGTAAGAGCCAGCTCAGTCTTTCCGAAACTGGAAATCGTCGTCGGCATCGGAAGGAGATTCCAGTTACTGACCTCGGCAGGCGATGACGAGAAGCCAAGATGCAAACGCTGCCAACAGAAAAACCTGCCCTGCTCACGGCCTACCAAAAAGACCATTTTCAGACACGGCGCCGCGGCACATTTTGACAAGGATCAGAAATGGGTCAATAGCTCGGCACGACAATGTAAGAGACAAAGACGGCAAGGGAACGAAACAGCAGCAGCAGCAGCAGCAGCAGCAAGCCGGCATTCAATTTGCTGACTAGCAGCAGTCCGTGTTCAAACGACAGGCGAGACGTCTCCAAGAAATGCAGATGACGAGTCTCCGACAAGTTTCCGCAATATAGATTCCAGTACAACGGCGGCCGATGCCACATCCAGCCTCTCGTCGTCGCATTCCACTCCAGGCGAGCGCCCTGAAACCTCACATGGTACCTCTCATAGGTTCTCATCATCATCATCAACATCATCACACCCGCCGAGGACTACCCCTTTGACAGTACCTCGACCCAATATCCCACCAATTTCCTACCTGAATTCACCCAGTCCACCAGTTGGGCTGCCAGGCATTGCCAGTCTCACAACGCTGCCGCCGGGGCTCGAGCATCAAGACGTTGCAAACTTGCGCCAGTTTCCCCTGCAGCAAGTCCAAGAAGCATGTCTTCTCCGTTATTTTATCGATGAGATCTCACAATGGGTACATACACCTAAAGCTGCTACGTCTTGTGTCGCTTTAGCTGATCTGATTCATTAGTTTGACCTATGTGATGAAAATCGACACTTTCAGCTCGTCGTACCTATCAAGGCTAGAAAACATCCGCACTTGCTCAACGCCATCTTTGCCGTCTCAGCACGGCACCTAAGCCGTCTGCCGCAGTACAAGACACCGCAAGGTATCCTGTACCAAGGGCAGCTTCTCACCCAACTCGGCAATAATGACGCGGTTGAGTACATGCTCAAATGCATCCCAGCATTCCGCCGGTTTCATGAAAACGAAGACGACGATTTCCGCGAAAGCATCATTGCCACCGCAGTCATCCTACGCCAGCTCGAGGAGATTGATGACGAGGACGAGGATGCGGACGACGACGACGACTACCACGTGACGGGAGTGGACGGCCATCTCCACGAAAAGCAAATCAACTTCATGCCCATTATCAATGCTGTGCTTCGCGACCCGGCATCTCAGGCCATGTTCGGACACAGGAGCCTCATCCAAGCCGCGTATTGGTTTGCTCTGCGACAGGAAATCTACCACTCCTTCACCCGTCGGAAGCCTCCGCAGCTGGACCTTCCCCCAGAGTACTGGCAAGGCGCGTCCAATGTGAACAAGTCAGTCATGCACACTGTCCAGGTAGCGAAATGGCATTGGGGTAGGGGAACCGATGACGAGTTTTGTAAGTGCAACTATATACACTTCACTTGATGGACCCCAGGATGCCCCTTGCTGACTTACCGTGCTCGCAGTACGCCTGATGGACCAGCAGAGCTTCCTAGAACACACTGTGCTCACAAACACGAAGCCTCTATTTGAGAAGCCTGCAGACAAGCGACAGGGCGAAATCTTCCCAACAATATGGTACACTTCGCATATTGAGCTGACCAGCATTCAGCAGTCGCTCATGGCCCGATCCGTTCTGGTCTCTGAGAACCCGTTCCTCAAGTAAGCACAACGAAACATGCTATATATATATAATTGTTCTTAGCTCATGCTCGCAATCTAGGCAGCAACCCTCTTCGCGCTCTAGCTGGCGCAAGGTCGAGAACGAGGTGCGCATGCTGATGCTTGACCTCTGCGGCATCGCGCTGTGCCATCCGGCCTGTGCTCCGGCGCTGGTCAACGCAGCGATTGGCATCCAGCTCTACGGCGATTACTTTACAGATCAGTATGAGCGGCTGGCGCTTCGCAGCGTGGTGGAAAAGTACCGCGATGCACATGCTTGGCCGGTCCGACGGCTTCTCGAAATGTTTACTACATGAACAGTGAGCTCTGTCGATACGTTGACAGTACACACGGAGGATTAATCCCGGCATTAAACTAAAAAGCATCGAGATCCCGACTAGTCCCCGTCTTTCTTCTACACGGAGCCGAAATTGGGCATTACTTGGCACTCTAAAGACTTGGTTGCCCCGACGTCCTGCCGTGATAGCCCCAGCGGGCTCATACCACGTTCAACATGAAATCAATAAATTCTGCGGCCGAGAAGCCGCCGCTCAGTCCAAGAATAGCAGCATACCTGTAAGCAGTAGCCCTAAAACAGGTGCTGTGCTTTTGCAGAAATTGGGCACGGCAAGCTGCCAAGAATCTACATCACGAAGAGGCTTGCTTGCGGAAGTCTCGGGACCGCAACAGCACAAAGCCGGCGATTATCATGAGGCCTTTGCCCGCATCGAGAAGATTCTTGCGCCCGGAGGTTCGGTCACGCTTATGCAGCAGCCAACAGGCCAAGTCCACGGCTTCTGTCCAAGTGGACTTGGGCTTACAAGCACCAGCACTAGTTGGCACCAACGACTTGACGTCAGTTGGATCTATTGGACAGAGGCCTTCGGCGTTGACGGTTTTAGGATATCGTGAGACTGCACTAGAATGAAAAGTTGTCGGCCCTATCAGCTGGCAGTATAACGAAGACGGACTTGGCAAATTAGCTGCAATTCTCGCACAAAGAGAGCCGAGATGATTATAAAAGCAGCGTCCTTTGCCCTTGAGAGGCAAGTTTGCTCGTCATCCTCGACATCCATCTTCTCTCACATCACCGCTTCTCTATTCTTCATTATGCTTGTCAAGGCTTCCGCTGTTGGCTGCGTCCTCGCCGGCGCCAGCCTCGCCCTCGCCGGTAGCCCGGACAAGCCCGAGATGAACCCGGCCTTTGACTACGGCCGGTTCGAGGCTGGCCTGCGGGATAACCTGCACCCGACGCATTCCACCTGGGACTACTGGGGTCCCGGCTGGATCCCGCAGTCGTGCAAGGACATTGCTACGAGCCACGGCCTGAGCCCGAACGACTTCACCATCTTCAACGTGCACTACGACGACTGCCAGGAGGGCTGGACGTTTTGCCGGCACAAGGACGCCGGGGCGTCGGAGATTGACATGATTGACATTTTCGGGCGGGCTCCCGTGCACATGCGATCCTTTATCCGGTGAGTTGGTCTTGTCAGCTCTGCAAGAGACTCTCAGCCCTAGTGATGGACAATGGCTAACTGTTTCTTCCCAGCCATCTCGTCGCCACGCCCGGCCTCCACGACGGCGCGGCTGCCTTCACCTTCTCGAATGGTGACTGCGTCGTCGAGAGCGCGCCGGACCTGAGCGTCATGCTGCACGAGATGTCGCACAGCCTCGACTGGCACGCGCTCCCCCAGTATCCCTCGCCCTTTTCCAGCAGCAACGAGTGGCAGAGCAACTACGCGCAGGACTCCAACACGCCGACGGCGTACGGGCGCACCAATTGGCTAGAGGACTTTGCCGAGGCCGGCAAGGTCGGCGTGTTCGACAAGGTGGTGCCGGGCGGCTTCGGCAGCGTGGCGGGCAACTGGGGCCAGGTCTTCCACCAGTACGCGACGTACCAGGGGTACCTCGGGGACACGATCCTGCCGGGCGGCACCTGTGACAAGCGCTTCCCGAACAGCGAGACGGTGCCGATGGCCGGGAATAGTAAGAGGATGGCGGCGGACTTGGGGGAGAAGCCGGATAACACGATCAAGGCGGACAACATGACGCTCATCCAGATGCGGCCGGAGATTGAGGGCCAGGTTTCCATCTGCGAGCATCAGCACTAGAGGGGTGTGTTCGTGATTTAAATAGGAAAACTGCACATATTTTTCAATCCATCAGAGTCCTGTAGGCAAGACGGCACTTGTACAGAGAGTCACGGTCGAATGTCTCTATATTTTGTATAATTTAAAGAAATGAAAAACAGAAACTGGCAGTTATCTGGCAAGTGAAATTATCCTGCTTCCTCTGTATCGAGAATATTTGGCCAGCATTCGAATGTTGGGATTAAAGCTGGCCAGCGTATTCCTTGGCGGCGCCTACGCACTAATAACTACTACTTTGCCTGACTCGTCGTGAGCGAGCGGCGTGATTCCTCTCCTGGAACAGAACATATTTCACCCTATAGAGTCAGCAATTACTGCATCATGCGTCCTTAAATTACCAGTCGTCTAATATTTACCTACCGTTGAATGCAATTGCCAAAAATATTCCCGGCTGCTTCACATCTGGCCAGCTCTCGAGCATCCCGTCTCGGAGCCATGGCGCGCCGCTCTTCACGTCTCGCCCAGGCCGCGACGCAACCCGCAGGCCCTTCCATCACCAAGCCGCGGCCGTCTAGCACAGGATGTCTCACAGAAGCATCGAAGGCCTCCTCATCCACGCCATCCAAGGCGTCATCGGCCAAGGCATCGGCCAAGGCATCGGCCAAGGCAGCCCCCGACACCACCCCCCAAAGCGTCGTCGCCGCAGCCGCAGCCGCAGCCGCTGACCTCCCGACCCTCCCCTTCGCCGACGCCCCGTCATTCCGGCGCCACGTGCTCCGTGCCGGTCCCCGCGCGCCCGGCCTCTGGCTGCAAATTGCCAAGAAGGGCACCGGCATCCCCAGCGTCACCTACGCCGAGGCCGTCGACGAGGCGCTCTGCTGCGGCTGGATCGACGGCCAGCGACGCCGCTGCCCGGACGACTCGCGGTCTTTCTTCCTGCAGCGCTTCACGCCGCGCCGGCCGCGCACCTCGGCCTGGTCCCGGCGCAACGTGGACCGGGTGGCCGCGCTGGAGGCGGCGGGGAGGATGACGGAGGCGGGACGCGCGGAGGTGGAGGCGGCGCGGGCGGACGGTCGCTGGGAGCGCGCGTACGAGGGGTCGGCGCGGATGGAGACGCCGGAGGAGCTGCGGGCGCTGCTGGAGGCGAGGCCGCGGGCGGAGAGGGCGTTTGAGGCGCTGGGGAGGACGGGGAGGTATGGGTACTTGCATCGCCTAAGGATGGTGAAGACGGAGGCGACGAGGATGAGGAAGATGGTTGAGTTGGTGGACATGTTGGACAGGGGGGAGAGTTTGTAGTGGGCATTGGGTTCTTGGAGGCGGCAAGAGGAAGTTGTGTGCTGTTGACTTGTACATGTAGATATTTTGAAAAGAAAAACTGTATTCATTTTACATGTGGGAGCAATTGGATCGCATCATAACCTCACCTGGAAAGCACGAGGCTGTTGCTCTAGGCAGCACACTGATAATGCTTGGGTGACACACGTTACGGAAATGCCTGTAACAGGCATGTGGTTTCTTTTCCTTTCAACTACAGATTGCTTAATTACCTTCCCTTCTGATTAAGTCGAGAACCATACTAGGAGTCGTAATTCGGCATTCATCAACACTTCCATCCATCTAGTGCTTCTTTGTCGCAGAACAGAGTCTCTTGCATATCTACCGTAGTACCACAAGTAACAATGGCGCAGCTCGGCCAATCTAGAAATAACCCCGTCTCGTAGCTTTGAACTGGAGTTGTCTAAGTATGCGCCGGATGGCTGACGGACAAATATTCCACCAGTGCGGCGGTCGAGATGCGCCCCACGCTCGGGAACCCCAACTCTACTACATAGCTAGGAGCAATCAGCCCGGCCCAAGCCGTGCATGAGCGGCGATTTCCCTTCAACGTGGGAGGGACTAATAACGTTTCCCCCTTCTGTCAAGATGCGAGTGGCTTCTGACGGGCTGGAGGCTGACCATCCACCTGCCAGTCTCGCTGTTTACACCTCGTTTCCCATTACAGCCATGCCGAGAATTCGAAACATATCCATGGTGGAAATGTTCCCCTCCCATTCACTAAAAAAAGCTCCAATAATATATCTGCCTTCCTGTTCCTGACAAGTTTCCGCCCGCCTATGCTTAGCGTCCCGCCTCGGCTTACACGAATGTGACGTCGCCCGGTCTTGACAGCAGCCACCAACTGCAGAGGATCGGTCCGATCCCCAAGCACATGCATTGATCAAAGTTTTAGTCTTGATCTTGAGTAGGGTGTTTCTCCGGTGATTACAGATTTTAATGGATATCTGCCTGGGGATTATGGTACACATTGTGGGGTGTTGGGGTAGCCAAGGGAAGAGAGCAATGCTATATAAGGGGACGACCCGGCTTTCTTCTTTCAGTTGACTGGTTACAGGCGAGTTGTCCTTGTTCTAATTGATATAGACTCAACCAGCCAATATGATCGGTGCTCTCCGCAAGCTCGCGGTGGGCGCTCTGGCTGCCGCCGCGGCCCTGTCGAGTGTCGCCAGCGGCGGTCCTCTTGCCGAGCGCGCCGCAGACCGTCTCGTCTTTTGCCATTTCATGGTTCGTTTTTATCCTTAATGTAGCCCCTCCCTTCCGTCATCCTAAGCTAATCTCCCTCCCCCCCAGATCGGCATCGTCGGTGACCGCACGTCCTCCAACGACTACGACGACGACATGCGCCGGGCCAAGGCCGCCGGCATCGACGCCTTCGCGCTCAACATCGGCGTCGACGGCTACACGGACCAGCAGCTCGGCTACGCCTACGACTCGGCCGCGCGCAACGGCATGCGCGTCTTCATCTCCTTCGACTTCAACTGGTGGAGCCCCGGGGACGCTGGCGGCGTCGGCGCCAAGATCAAGCAGTACAAGGACCGTCCCGCGCAGCTCCGCGTCGACGGCCGCGTCTTCGCCTCGTCCTTTGCCGGCGACGGCCTCGACGTCGACGCCATGCGCGGCGCCGCCGGCGAGAACGTCTACTTCGTGCCCAACTTCCACCCGGGCCAGTCCAGCGCCGACAAGATCGACGGCGCCCTCAACTGGATGGGTTGGCCCAGCGACGGCAGCAACAAGGCCCCCAAGCCCGGCCGCAGCGTGTCCGTGGCCGACGGCGACAGCGCCTACCAGAGCTGGCTCGGCGGCAAGACCTACCTCGCGCCCGTCTCGCCCTGGTTCTTCACCCACTTCGGCCCGGAGGTCTCCTTCAGCAAGAACTGGGTCTTCCCCGGCGGCTCTCTCCTCTTTGACCGCTGGAACGAGATCCTCCAGAAGGGCTTCCCCATGGTCGAGATCGTCACCTGGAACGACTACGGCGAGTCTCACTACGTCGGACCCCTGAACTCGCCTCACTACGACGATGGCAACTCCAAGTGGACCAACGACATGTAAGCAGTGTCTACCAATACTCTCTATACTTCTGTAATAAGTGCTAACCACATCTACAGGCCTCACGACGGCTGGCTCGACCTCTCCAAGCCCTTCATCAAGGCCTACAAGGCCGGCGCCAAGTCCGTCGACAATTACATCGACGACGAAAAGATCATCTACTGGTACCGCCGCACCCTCGCCTCTCTCGACTGCGACGCCACCGACACCACCTCCGGCCGGTCCGCCAACAACGCCTCCGGCAACTACTTCGAGGGCCGTCCGGACGGCTGGCAGACGCTGCCCGACGTCGTCTACGTCGCCTCCTTCCTCAAGTCCGCCGGCATCATCACCGTCACCTCGGGCGGGCAGACCCACACCGAGAATGCGCCCGCCGGCGCCCACATCTTCGCCGTGCCCGCGGCCGTCGGCCGCCAGACTTTCGCGCTCGGCCGCGGCGGCGCCACCGTGATGCAGGAAACGTCGCTGATGGACATTGCCGACGTCTGCCCGTGCGGCCTCTACAACTTCAACGCCTACGTCGGCACCGTCCCGCACGGTCCGAGCGATCCCTTGCAGGGCCACGGCCTCGCGTCGCTCACCATCGGCCTGCACGTCAGCACCTGCGAGGCCCGGCCGTCGCTCGGCACCAACCCGCCCGTCCCCGGCGGCGGCAGCACCCCGCCGGGCAACCCGGTCACCTCGCCCACGGCCACGAACCCGCCCCCGACCTCTACGCCTCCCTCGGGGGGTCAGGTCTGCGTCGAGGGCACGGTGGCGGATGGTGAGAGCGGCAACTACACGGGCCTCTGCAAGTTCAGCTGCAACTACGGCTACTGCCCGCCCGGCCCGTGCAAGTGCACGCGCTACGGCAGCCAGGTCAACCCGCCTCCTGAGACGGGCACCCGTGGATGCCCTCTCCAGGGCGAGGGTGATGGCTACAAGGGCCTTTGCAGCTACACTTGCAACCACGGCTACTGCCCTGACACGGCTTGCCGTGCTTGCTAGATGATATAGCGCAACATGACAAAGACCCAGGCTGCACTGGTATATAGTTTATGAATGTGAAAGAAATTAAATCAATTATTTCACCGTAATTTGCCACCCGTGCCTAGCTCCGTTCATAAATTCAAGTCATCATCATGTCCGCTGCTCTACTAATTTGCATCATCTTTCGAGGTTTCGTTTTCCTTTTCGTTTTCACATCACATCGCGTACAGTTAGTCGGACAGGTTCACACTCAACACATCGTAGCCAGCCTCCAGCATCGACTTGCTGGGCATCTTGCCGAGCCGCATCAGCTCCGAGGACTGCATCACCGCGGGATCCATGCCCATGCTCGCCGCCGCCACCACCGTCTCGCCGCGGGTGTAGTACGCGATGAACTTGCCCTGCGCCAGGTCCCCGTGCAGGACCACGTCGTCCCAGCCGCCCACCGACGGCGCCGCGTTGCCGCAGTACCGCAGCTGCGCGCCGAGCGCCGACCAGAACACGGGGATGAACGGCGGCGCCGGCGCTGCCGGGTTGACGATGTGCTGCGCGGCGGCGCGGCCCGCGTTCTGCGCCACGTTCCAGTGCTCGACGCGCGTGGGCCGCCCGTCGCCGCCGGGCCCGCGGTACGGGTATGTCGCGATGTCGCCGACCGCGTAGACGTCCTTGAGGCCCTGCACGAGGAAGCCGTCGTCCGTGCGGAGCGAGCCGTCCTCCTCGAGGCGCACGACGGCGTTGTCCCGCAGGTACTCGGTGGCGGGCGCAACACCGACGCCGAGGATGACGAGGTCCGCGTCAATGCGGGTGCCGTCCTTGAGGAGCACGGCGCCCACGCGGGACGGGTCCGCGCCGGACGGGTCGGCCCGGTCCACGCCGGCGCTCATGTGGAACGTGACGCCCTTGGCCTCGTACGTCTTCTGGACGGCGCCGCCGACCTGCTCGCCCAGGATGCGCTCGAGCGGTACCTTCTCCATGCCGACGACGGTGACGGTGTTGTCCTTGCTGGTGGCGTTGGCGACCTCCATGCCGATGAAGGAGGAGCCGACGACGACGATCTGCTTGCCCTTGGCCTCGCCGATGGCCTCATTGATGCGCTTGGTGTCGTGCACGCTGCGCAGCGTGAAGATGTTGCCGAGCACCTTGAAGCCCTGCAGAGGGAGGACGCGGGGGGTGCCACCGGTGGCAAGGATGAGCTTGGTGTAGGGGAAGCGGCCGCCGCTCTTGATGCTGACGGCGCGCGCGGCAAAGTCGACAGCGTCGACCTCGCCGTCAACCCAGCGGACGCCACCAGCCTCAAACCAGCTCTTCTCGCGCCAGGCGAGCTTGCCGGCGTCGGCGATGAGCGCCTTGCTCAGCTTGGGCCGGTCGATGGGTAGGTAGCCCTCGTTGGAGATGATGGTGATGCCGGCGTCGTAGCCCTTTTCGCGGAGGCCCTCGACGGCGCCCATGGCCCCGGAGCCGCCGCCGACGATGACGACGTCTCCCTCAAACTTAGTTGTGGCGCCAGGGTTGCAGCTAAAGTTAGGTCGGCGGCGGGAGCTCTTGATGGTCGCCTCGTCGCCGGTGACGTAGACGGCTCCGTCGCGTTCAGTAAGTTTGAAGGTTGGCAGGGCATCGAGTCCAGGAGCGCTCTCGATGTCTCCCGTCCGGGCATTAAAGCAGGCTTTTTGGTCAGGTTTGGATTTGTCTGAGCGATTTGCTTTGTATCACTCACCTCCATGCCATGGGCATGTTAATCGACCTGCGCCGGTCAGGACGCCCTTGGCGAGGGGGGCACCATAGTGGGTGCATCTTGAGCCGAGGGCCTGGATGCGGCCGCCAGCATTGATCAGAAGTACCTTGGCACCCTCGATGCCCTCCACCTCGACCTCTTGTTTGGAGCCGGGTGAGATGGAAATTGAAGTGAGGCCCTTGAGCTTGTATTCTTGGGCGGCCATGGTGCTGGTGTGAGAAATGCAACGTCGGCTGGAGGCAAGACGGCGAAGCGGGACGGAGATTGTGGATGAAGCTGGCGCGGAGATTGGTTGCGAACTCACGACGCGGATTAAAGGTTGAAGGTTGAAAAGTTGGTGGTGCATATGTTAGAAATGGAATGGAGGTGATAAGTTTATGAAAGAGAGAGCGTGTCCGACTACAAGTGAGGGGTCAATTATACAAAGGAGCTGCTCTAAGGTCGTCGATTATGGGGAGTACAGTGAGCTCTGCATCGGGTCTAGGCAGGGAGCATCAGTAGAGGAGAAGCACGTTATTGGTGGTCATGTAAGGCGGCAGTGACAGTCATGATGCGATCAGAGAGGGGATGACAATGGCGGGGTGCTCATTGGACAGCGTTGGAGGGAGGTTGATGGGCGAATACCGGCGATGTTCTAGGGGGTTGTTAGTGGCAGTTGCACCGGGCTCGGGGGTGGATTGTAGTGGATGAATGCGCTGAACTATGACGACATGAACAGTGCAGACACTCCGTTATCGTAGAGAACTCGATCGAGCCCTCATACAGATTAGTCAATAAGAGCAATGGACATCTATGAATATCTGATAGCAATGATTTGTCTCAAGGCATGATTCCAGCATACTCCGAGTCTGCCGACGATCGTGGGAGTCTTGCAGCATGTCGTAAACAGTGAACTATCAAGGATTCAGCAGTGCTTGCATTATTGGCTCCCAGTAATCTGTAGCCCAGCATACATAAAAAAGGTAACCCACGAGGCTTGGGCGATTCATTACCAGCACCATTGCGCGAATAGGCGGTTATGCCTATTTTGATTCATCTGCCGCCGGCTGGCTTGCCGGGGTGAGCGTGGTGTGGATTGAACAGCAGATTGGGCGGGACGATATATCGGTTTTCTGATATTGAGACCCTGCGGCGGGCTGGATGGACATGGATAGGCGAATCAAAATTTTGCAGTCCTTGGCTAGTTCTCGACGGTGGGAGGTTGGTGTAGGCATTGGGCACAAACGCATGGGAAAAAAAAGTACGGTGTAGACGCAGGGCGATGCACGGTGATGCAGGCGGACGCAAACGGATGCAGCTGGCGATAGCACGATACAAGGAAGCCGTTCGTCCCCCGCAAGCGAACAGCCACAATAGTTCTTCCCTACAGGTATTCTCAATGCCAGGAGTTGAAATGATCTGCTCAATTCTGCCACTGCAAACTTGCACAAAGAATTGTAAGTTTGTGATTACCGTCAATTTTATTTTCAAATTACTACTACCTCCGAACCCAGGCAAACCCCACGCGACCGCCCACCGTTTTCATTTCACTACAAAAAACTTGTGGCTGGCTTCCACGAAGCCACAGCAAGTTGACAGCGTCTTAGACCGCTAAAAAGGACCGTCGATGTCCGCTAAACCCGCCAACCCCACCTCCCCACCAACGACCCTGCAGGGCGATGGACAGCCTGTACCTGAGCACTACGGCGCCTTCTTAGCGATGCATGTAACTGGACAATGTAGACTCGAGTACCTTCTCGTACCCGCGGCTGTGCATCTAGGCCAAGTTGGGCAAATACCACAACGAATAAGCTCCTCTCTCGAATTGCCCAACCTCGCGAGCCACTGAAACACAACATGTCAAGTCCTTTGCTGCCTCGCCTCGTCCTTCCTCTCGTCCTCTCGCTCGATTCCATATCTCTTCTCTTGAAACGGCTCTCGAACCTGTCTCTTTCTTCTTTCTCTTCCTCCTCCGCCGACACAAAGCTCCTTCAAACCTACGGCTTCGACCGCACTCGCCCCTACCAACCTCGAAGCCTACAAACGGCAACATCACCAAACCGCATTTCCGCCCTTGGCAATATTATCCTATTCTCCCACTATACGCCGCCACCCAGTTCCTCCCCCATCGTCCCATCTACGTCCACCCTCGTTCCGCCTCCCTACGCCGGCTATTCCCAGTACCATGGTCGCCCTGTGGCCCTCGACAGTTCAGGTCCGCTCCGTCTCGCCGCTGTTCTCGCCCGTGACTAGATCGCAATAACCGACGCCGACGACGCCCTCGTTCTTTTTATTCCCCGGCACCTGCATCGAATACAAGACATCGACCTTTTCGGATCCCGAACTGCGCTCATCCGCTTCGAGATGACGCCACCGTTGCGCAGGTCGACTCCCGCACCCGATGGTCGCCGTTCCGCGACACCATCAGCCACGCTACACTGCTGCTGCAGTCGCGCCCACTGCCCGGCGCTGCGAAGAAATACAAACATTATCGAAGCTGTCGAAAAAGATGCGCACACGGCTGCTCAGCTCGGTCAGGTACGTCTCATTTCCGTCAATTTCTGGCTTTTTTTTTTTTCCTTTTTTTTTCCGTCCTCATTTCCCTATCGCGTGTCCCGCGTGCCTATCCGCCCATGCTCCAGCGCCGCGACTCACCCTCCCTCCACATAAAGCATGTCACCATATTTCACGTTCCAGCCAAACCACTACCATCCAATACGCGCCTTCAATGCAAGGCCTATTCCGCTATGTGCTAGCTCTGTTCGGTGCGTCGCAATCTTCAGCCGGCTGCATCCAATCGTTCACCCATTCCTACCACCCATTTGTTTCACGCGCGCTTCAACAAACGTACCCTTGCTTATTTGCTTTTGGTGCGAGCTTGGTTCTTTCTCCCTCAGCTAGCCACGCGCTTCGGCTTGGCCGTTGCGTGCCCTCCACCATGACTTGAATTGTTCACTTAATTTTGTTTTTTGCTTCTCCTCGCTTCTGTTTTCTACGCAATCTTCAACTCAGCCACCATCATATCTACGCGATGCGCATTCGTCGCGTATTTTGGCCGCAGTATGCAGTGAATCATCGACACTAACAGTCCCACAGGCTCTCCTCGCCCGTCACGAGGCTTACAAGGTCGACGCCGAGCGAGATCGTCTTGAACTTACTACCCGCATCGCCCGCCTTGAAATGGAGAACAATGCGCTCGTAGCAGCAAATGCTGCCAAAATAGAAGAAAATAGTCTCCTTCTGGACCAACTCGAAGCCCTCAATACCACGGTCTCCGACGCCGACACTAAAATCACACTGCTCGAGACCAGCCTGCTCTCGTCGAATCAAACAGTACGCCGTCTCGAGAGCACCGCCGCGCGTGCTGCTGATGCTGAGCGCCACCTCGCCCTGCTCGAGCAGGAGCAGGACCGCCTGCACGAGGAGCTTCGTTCTGCTAGGGAAGATGCCCGCTCCTATGCCTTGCGCTTTAAAGGGGCCCAGCGCGGCGTGACGGATATGCAGGACCAGCTCGACCGTCTGGAAGTGGAGGCCTCTCAGGAACGCGAACGGCATGCCGAAACTGTCCAGCGCCTGGAACGACAGCGCGAGGTCGAGAAGCAGCTTGATGCTGCCGCAGGTCGCCTCAAGGGCGCCGCCGCCACTCGCTCTCTACAAAGCGATGGTAAAAATAACAAGATTGTCGGCCACTTCGTTCGAGATCTCCTCCAGGACAATGCCAACCTTCAACTTGGAATTGCCGAGCTTAGAGAGCTTCTCGAGAATTCCAATGACGAAATACAGTCGCTACGAGGGCAGCTCACGTACCAACAACCTACCGAGGACGAGGATTTTGCTAGCCCTGCCTCAACTCTCAAGGCTGAACTCAAGGGCAAACTGGACGACCACCCAAATCACATCGGTGCTGCTCTATCGCAAGAACTGCATATCCACCATCATTACCATGCTGCGACACCGAAGTCCTCAAAAAAGCTAAAGAGGACCAAAGCAGGCCTACTCCCCATGGGCATCTGTACGCCTCCTACATCGCTCTCAGCACCAGCAACGCCGCCTCAATCGTCCTCCGAATGGGGCGGACGCCTGCCTTCCTCACCAACAGCACCAGCTCTGCTTTCTCATGCCAGACAGGAGGACTTGACTCCAGTCAGCTCGAGACCCCCGCCAGCATGGAACGCGCTGCCCCATCGGCAAGCCGAGATGGACTACTCCTCCTCTGTCCCCAGTTCGCCGCTAGTTGGCCACAGGCTAGCGTTTGGTTCCGATCCTCCCACGGCTATGGCATCGCCTGTCACGAGCGTAGATCCCTTTTCTCCTTCTTGGTCAGCCTCGCACGCAAAGCAGCCGTCAGTCGCGTCGTCACATAGTTTTCAGTCGCTCGCCTGCCTAGAACCGGAGCCTGAGCTACCTCCCATGCCACGTATCTCGATACCCGAAGAGGATGAGGCGGGACCCGGCCATAGCTACAATGAGCAGCCATCAGACGGCTTTTACACGGATAATTTCGACACGAACACGAGCATCATCACAGTTCCTCGACGCAATTTGCGCAGGTCCGCCTCTCATGAGTCAATAATGTCACTTTCCGGCGGCCTCGATATCCACACACTACAAGCCCGACCGAGTCAGATGACTCTGCGCCCTCTGGGCGGCGCAGACGCCGTCGTCACGGGTGTTACTGCCCAGCCCACATTGTCGCGCTCCTCCAACAAGCGGAGCGATGCCGCCCTTCGCGATAACGTTGCTGGACTCAAGTCCCCACGAACTGTTTCCTCACCAGCAACTAGCAGTCAGAGCAAACTGCGAGGCTGGACAGCCTGGCGCCCCTGGGGCAGCAGCGGCGCTGCGGAAGCGGAGGCGTTGGCGGCTGACCCTGCAGCCTGCGAAAGTGCAGCAGAAGCGCCAGTGACGACGCAGACGAAGGCCAAGGAAAAGGAACGCGACATGGCCCGGTCACCTGGCATTAATCAGCCAGGGGCCATTCCAGGATTCCAGGATTATTGGGCCTCGCAAAAACGAAAAGGTGCACCAGCACGAGTAACTGCCCAGGCCATCGACCGCGACGCATTGATGGATAGCCTTGAGGGCCTGAGCTAGAGAAAGCCAATATTGTGTTCACACTACGCTACATCTGCAGGTTCTGGTACTAACGGTATAAGAATGGTTTAGAAGCGGGCTTGGGTTATGTTTTTCTGTCATTCGTTTTGCATACATCTACGGAGTTTGTTTCGCATCATGTATTGGTTTTTTCATGTTGGAAAGTGGTTTAGATGCACATGGGCGTTTCAGCACGCGATACCCTCGGCCGTACTAGGTCGTCTCTTTTTAACATTATGAATATACATGAATTAAGAGTTTTTTACTTGCACACACCTCTCTCTAGCATATATCAAGGGCAGCCACTACAACGCATCGTGGATGTCGGACTTGCCCACTACGCCGTCTCGAGCTGTAAACTACAAGCACAAGCTCACAACTAGTAGCAAAACGCAAACAAAAAAAAGAATGCCCAGCGGCGAGCGAACGAAGGTGACTTCCTTATTTTCCTTTAGGGGAAAGAAAGATCAATTCTCAGAACATCAATACCAGGGAGGTGATACGAAGATAGACAGTATTTGGTGTATTATACCAAGCCACTGATTACAAACTCTCACACAACCGGAGAGCTGGGATGAGCGATTGAGACACTGTCCTCGCCGATGTCTCATCGTCAGCCCCGACCCAAGTCCCGACCCAAGACAGAGAGCTTGTCCCCTAGGTCCTTCCACCCGGACTGGCATGCTGATGAGCTCATTTCGGACCACGTTTTCTTTGAAAAAAGAAAAGGGCTGGGCTGGTGCTCATCACATCGCAGGCCTTATTTTTGAGGCAAAATCGAGATTCAACGGGTCGTTCAAAGGTCTAGGCTATCGAAAACAGTCTACCTAGTATCACAAAAACATCCCCCGCGCGCGCGCTTGCGGAGTTCAGGTCCTGCCTGCTTCCTGCACCTCCTCCGAATCTATTCCTGTAGCTCAAGACCGCTAGAGGAAATGCCGAGCCGCTTTTTTTTTAAACGTTCGCGGCGGCGGCCGTGCGGCGCCGATGAACAACCTTGAACTTGGACGGGCCGGGGGCGCTCGGGGCGGCGGGAGCCCTCTGGCTGGTGGCAGCGGACGTGGTGGCGGCGGAAGTCAGGGCGGACGTCGCCGTCTTGACCGCGTCGCCGACGGGGCTGCCGGTGGGCAGGACTTGGCGCTTGGTGGCAGGAGGCTTCGGAAGGACGGAAGTGGCAGCAGAGGTGGCAGAGCTGAGAGCTGATGTTGCAGCACTGGTCAGGTCACCGACAGGGTTGCCGGTCGGCAGGACCTGGCGCTTGGAGGCAGGAGGCTTCGGAAGAGCCGTGACGGCGGAAGTGGCCGAGCTGAGAGCCGACGTCGCGGCGCTGGTGAGATCGCCAACGGGGTTTCCGGTAGGTAGAACTTGACGCCGCTTGAAGGCGGGGGGTTTGGGAAGAACGGAAGTGGCAGCAGAAGTGGCAGAGCTGAGGGCCGAGGTGGCTGTACCGACGACATCGCCGACGGGATTGCCGATAGGCAAAATCTGGCGCTTGGGGATGGTTGCGCTGGCCGATTGAGCGGCGACGGCCAGCACGAGGACGTGGAGAGTCTTGAACTGCATGCTTGGGGCTTTGCTGTAGATGTGTGGACAGAAAGGAGGAGGCAGTTGGGAGGTTTGTATGCTGTTCCTTCGGGATCGATGGTATCAAAAAAAGCAACAAGGGAAATATGTTTGCAGGAGGCAGAAAGAAGCTTATATAGATAGATTGCAACTTACTACGGAGGACGCGGTGCGGAGGCAGCGTGGCTGTAAGTGAGTCGTCTTGCGCACAAGCTTTAGGAGCTCCACGCCATCCGAAACAGATCCATCAGCAGATCATTAACAGCTCTTTTCCATATTGGAAGTCCCAGCTATGGGATACGACAGAAGCGTGGCCATGGTCTGTCCGTGATGGGTGATCACATTCCTGGAGCTGGGCAAGCTACCAACTGACGTAGGATCGTCTCTTGACCGGAAAATTCTCATGTTCATCCGTGCTTGAACGAAACTCTTGTCCGGCTCTTTCTAAGCGTTCAAGTTTCTGAGTATCAATTCGGGTGCGGGAGGGCTATTCGGGAGATCTCTGATCGAGGCTCAGTATACGTGCAAGGGTTGGTTTGGCATTGAGTGGGTGGAGGCAGTGCGAGATACTCATTCACAGTGCCGACTCGATGATACGATCGGGTCATCGGGGAATGTGATAACTGGTCATAAATTCATATCTGACGAATTACTGTTGCCAAGTTTGGTTCGGGAAATCCAAGTCACAGACATTATTAACTGAGGCTCTCCCAGAGAGGGGTGGGCGACCAACTGCAGAGCGCATGTATGAATCATTCATCGCTATCTAGGCTAAAATTTCAGAGAGAGGATCTACAATATGTCGAGTTCGTCTAGTTTCGGATTGGATATGCCAGGCGCGAGAGGCTGGTTGGTTTGAGCTATGGGGAGAGTCGACACAAAGATGTAAGAAGACCAACAGAGAAGTGATGGCCGGGTCGGGCCTCACCTAAAAGAAGAGCAGCCTTACCATTCCTGGGCTTCCGAGGGAATTATGTGAAAGATGAGGTCACAGCAGAAAGTGTTCTGCTACCTTGAGGCCGCAATTTGCTGCGCGGGCACCGTTGGAATGGCGCTGTGACAGCCTAGTTGGTGGACCACATTCTTGGCCGTCGTCTCTGGCCACCGATCGCTAGCAAAGACGGGCATGAATTGGCAAAAAGGGACAAGATGAATTCACTAGCAAAGAAAGGAGAAAGAAGAAGCTTCATCAGTTCTGTATGTGATGTGCAGAGCGTCATGGTCTTGGTTGGAAACGAGGGTGCCGCTGAGACAGTGAGCGACAAAGGGTATGCAATGCCATCGGGGAAAGGCCGTATTATCCAAGTGACTATTGTCAATCACATAATAAATGGATGTTTTAATCATCCGAGTACGTCATGAAAAATACAGCAAGTCGATTACGCCGAGGCTCTGATCGACGTTCAAAATACGCAAGTTTTGGCCCACAGTCTACCAAATATGTGACTTGAGATCAACTCTTTTTTTTACTGAATTTCGTACAGACAGAAACAAATAAGTCAAGGGGGGTGAAGTCCAAGATTGCGCACTGCCAGGTCCCCGTCTCGGATGCAGCATTTCGAATACTACAGTTAGAAAGCCAGCACAGAGTCAGCACATACATTCTTCAGGTATCTTCGACTTTCTTAACCGATATTTAGATGGGAAAACCCGCCGAGGATTTTAAACTTCTCTAATAAAAGATGATTTTATTTTTCCCCTTAAAAGACAGAGCAAAATATTATGCACTCGTCCAGCCCATCCGAGTTATAATTCCATCGTTGAACAAGTCTAATAAGTGATTGACACGTGGTGGTTGGCGGGTTGCCTTTACAGACGGCAGGCGGCAGCCACAAACATGTCGAAAATATCAAGAAAAAAATTCCAAGGCGCACTTTGAAGGCCCCTTCACCATAATTATCCAGATAATTCACACATGGACAAGATGGCAACTCTGCGCCGTAGAAACTGCGCGTTAAGCTTATGGTAGCTGCACCGAAGTTAATAAGGTAAGCCAATCAAGCGCCCCGCTGAAGCCCAATCTGGCCAGCAAACGCGCCTCCTTTGATCTCTCCACCAAAAACCAAAAACCATATCTCCAAAAACCTTGGCGTTCTGGCCGCCGAAAGACGTTGATTTTCCGCAGCAAACGGGCGGGAACTTCATCACCAATGGCGCCAAAGGCAAGGAAAACCGCCGGCACGCCAAAGCAGGCCAAGTCGGCCAAGGCCACCGCTGCTACTGCTGTGGCTGGTGCTGGTGCTGGTGCTGGTGCTGGTGCTGGTGCTGGTGCTGATTCTGTTGCCCCCCAAGTCGACGACGTCGACGTCGACTCAACAGCAGCGGCCACGGCCACGGCCACGGCAACGGCCACGGCAACGGCAACGGCAGCGGCCAGCTCCTCCCCATTATCTTCATCATCATCATCATCATCATCATCATCCTCCCCCTCCTCCCCTTCAGCGAGCCCGGTCCAAGAGGCATCCACCCTCGTCATACTTCAGCTCGTAATCCGCCTCATCAGCTTCATCGCCAACCAGCTTCTCATCCGCTACCTCACCGCGCCGCTTCTCGGCCTGTCCACGCAGCTCGAGGTCTACTACCTCTCGGTGCTCTTCTTTGCCCGCGAGAGTCTGCGCGTCGCCATTCAGCGCCATCCGAGCATCAGTCACGCTGTCGCCGTCAAGCCATCCTCGTCTGAACTGTCAACTGCCGTCAAGGGCGAGACTGGTAAAGATGCTGCCTCACCATCATCCAGCGGCACGGCCAGCACAGAGCGCAAGGTCAGGCTCAAGGCCGGGGGTCTCTGTGTCTCTGATGATCCCGTCGAGAGCCAGGCTATCCTCAACCTCGGGTACATCTCCATCGTCCTCGGCACCATCACCAGCCTCGCCCTCGGCTGGACCTACCTGGCCTACGCCCAGCCGTCGACTCTCGCCACGCCGTACTCAAAGCTTTCCCTACGTGTCTACGGCCTCTCCGCCGTCGTCGAGCTGCTGTCGGAGCCCTGCTTTTTCTTGATGCATTACGACGTGGGTACCCGTGCCGCCTCCGAGTCCGTCGCCGCCCTCATCCGCGTTGCTGTCATTTTTGGCACAGCCGTCCTCGCCTCTCGCTTCGGCCTCGAGCTTGGTGTCATGCCCTGGGCCCTGGGTCAGCTCGCCTACTCCGCCACCCTCGTCGTCCTCTACGGCTTGGTCGGCTGGAGCATGGCTGCTCCCGTCGGCTTCTCCCTGCTGCCACGCCGTATCCGCCACGCCTCCCCTAGCTCCTTCATCCTCGGTAGGTTCTACAGGCCTACCATCCGCCTCGCCGCCAGCATGACGGCACAGAGCCTCGTCAAGCACATCCTTACCCAGGGCGACACCTTCCTCGTCTCCCTCCTCGCCTCACCCGCCGTGCAGGGCTCTTACGCCCTTGCCAGCAACTATGGTGGCCTGCTCGCACGCCTGCTCTTCCAGCCCATCGAGGAGTCGACGCGCAGATACTTCTCCAAGTTGCTCATCAAACCTGAAAATACGCCCTCGGCTGTGCGAGAGGCCAACAAGAGCCTTTGCGCCCTCATGCGTCTATACTTTCTCCTATCCGGCTTTGTCGTCAGTATCGGGCCCTTCGTCGCACCCCCTTTACTGCGTATCATCCTCGGCAGTCGCTGGTACGGCGCCGGTGCGGGAGATGTTCTTGCCACTTATTGCCTCTACGTGCCTTTTCTCGCCATCAATGGCCTGACCGAGGCCTTTGTTTCTAGTGTCGCCACTGAGGCCCAAATTCATCAGCAGTCAGTCTGGATGGGCTTTTTCTCTGCCATGTTTGCCGGCTCCGCCTACGTATTCATGGGCGTCCTGGGCCTTGGAGCTCAGGGCCTCGTGTACGCCAATATTGTGAACATGCTGTGTCGCATCGTTTGGAGTCTCTTTTTCATCAAACGGTATTTTGCCCGTTATCGCGACACCTTCTCTGTTCGTAGGCTCATTCCCGATGAGACCATTGCCCTCTCCGTCTCTACATTCGCGGGCTTATATCAAACCGGCATTGCGAAAGAGATTGACAAGACACCTATCAAGGCTACCCTCATCATAGGCAGCTCTGGTTTAGTGTTACTCCTGTTGACGTGAGTTTTTTCATTGTTTCTGTACTATGCGGAACTCAAACTTTTCAAGTACTCTATAGCAAACTAACACATCAACAGAATGTTCATCGAAAAAAGATTCCTCATAGAATGCGGCAAATCTTTCGGAATTCCAGGTAAGGAAGAAAGAGACGGCGCCAAGGAGGTCTCCAAGGGACACAAGGAGAGTCCCAAAAAGTAGCGTATAAAAGCATAAAACTAGCAACGAAAGCTTCCCATGTTTAATAAAACAAGAATAGTATCGACAAAATCTAATCTAATCAAAGGTAATCTTGGTCGCCTTTTGGTTCATATCGACGTCCTTGAAGAAGGATCCGTACATGTCGTGCGTCTTCTTCTTGACAGTGGTGCCGAACTTGAGCAGTTCGTCCGGTACTGGCTGGTTGGCGCCCTTGAGAATGTTGACGAGCCTACCATCGTTAGCTATTACTGCTTGTGCCAAAAGTGACCAGAACAAAAAAAAAACTTACGAGCCGGAGTGGGCTTTGTCCTGCACCGTGAAGAACGTGATGGCATCGCCAGTCTTGCCGGCGCGGCCGGTACGTCCGATTCTGTGGACGTAGTCCTCAATCGTCAGGGGGAACTAAAAAAAACCAAGTCAGCCACAGGGTCAGTTTTCTATGCGCCGCCCAACATACCGTAACATTGATGACAAGCTTGACCTCGGGAATGTCCAACCCGCGGGCGGCCACGTCCGTGGCGACCAGCACGGGCGTGTGGCCCGACTTGAACGCCTCGAGCGACTTGGTGCGCTGCTCCTGACGCAGGTCGCCGTGGATGCCGCCGACGTTGATGCCCTTGCGGCTCAGGAAGCCCTCGACGCGCGTGGCCTCCTTCTTGTACAGGCAGAAGACGAGGATGCGGTCCGCCTTCTGGCCGGGCTTCTGCTGGTGCTGCTTGATCACCTGCAGCAGGCGGAACTCCTTGTCCTTGCCGTCCATGACCTCGACGCGCTGCGTGATGCGGGTGTTGGCCTGGAGCTCCACGGCGCCGCCGTTGGCCGCCTCGACCTCCTTGCCGCGGCCGATGGTGATGCGCACGGGCGTGACCATGAAGGTGGAGGCGAGGGACTGCACGGAGAAGGGCCAGGTGGCGGTGAACATGAGGGTCTGGCGGCGCTCGCGCGAGGGGCAGCTGCCGAGGATCAGCTTGATGTCGTCCTCGAAGCCCTTGTCGAGCATGCGGTCCGCCTCGTCGAGCACGACGAACGCACAGCCGGACAGGTCCACGGTGCCGTCCGACATGAAATCCTTGAGGCGGCCGGGCGTCGCGACCACGACGTCGGCGCCGCGGCCGAGCTGCGCGCGCTGCTCGTCCTTGGACGCCCCGCCGTACAGGCACACGCACCGAAGGCGCGCGAGCGCGGCGAGCGCGGAGAGCTGCTCGTGCGTTTGCATGGCGAGCTCGCGCGTCGGCGAGACGACGACCGCCTTGGTGGTGCCGCTGCTGCCGCTGCGCTTGGCGACGGCGGCGACGGCTTGCACGCAGGGCAGGGCAAACGCCATGGTCTTGCCGGAGCCCGTCTCAGCGACGCCGACGGCATCGCGACCGGAGAGCGTGTATGGCCACGAGGCGGCCTGGATGGGCGTGGGTGTGGTGTAGTTGGCAAAGGGCGAGCCCTTCTTGGTCAGCAGGTCGGTGGGAGGGAGGTGCGAGAATTGGAGGATCGGTCGCAGCGCCGCGGCGGCGGCGTCATCGCTCGTCTTGGGGTCGGTGACGGTGATTTGGTTCGTCTCGAGGAAGGCGTCGATGTCGGCCTGCGATACGTCGTCAAGGCTGACAGTTTGCTGGTAGCCATTCGTATTGGAAGAGGCGGTAGGCGTCGTAGTCGCAGTCTTGTTCTTCTTTTCCTTCTTCTCCTTCTTCTCTTTCTTAGGCTTGGGCGCTTGCTCCTCCTCCTCGACCACTACCTTTTCTTCCTCCTGTATCTCTTTCTTTTCTTTCTTCTCTTTCTTCTCCTTCTTCTCCTTCTTTTCCTTCTTCTCTTTCTTTTCCTTCTTCTCTTTCTGTAGTTTAGGCGCTTCCTCTTCAGCCACCGCCTTCTCCGCCTCCTCCTCATCCGTCTCTTTCTTTTCCTTCTTCTGCTTCTTGTCTTTCTTCTCCTTCTTTTCTTTCTTAGGCTTGGGTGCTTCCTCCTCCATCTTCTCATCCTCTACCTCTTCCTCACTTTCGTCCTCCTCTACCTCTTCCTCCTCTTCGTCATCAGCGTCAGTCTCAGTCTCCTCTTCGGCCTGCTGATCGGCGTTCTTGGTTTGCTTGAGCTTCTTCGTCTCCTCCTTGCCAGCCTTCTTCTGGGCATCGACTTCCACCGCATCCTGGTCTTCCATTACCTCGTCCGAGTCGTTATTCTTGCCGGCGGTAGCGGCAGCCTTGGCGGCAGCGTTGGCGGCGGCGGCGGCGGCGGCATTGGCAGCCCTGGCAGCGACTCTCGCCCTGCGCTTTGCTTTCATTGCCTTCGACTTTTCCTTATCCTTCACTCCATATTTCCTTTCCTTCCTCTCCTTCTTCTCTATTCTTCGACGTTCCTGCTCGCCCTCGGAGAGAATCTCGGGCTCTTTGCCCTTCCCCTTCTTCGTCTTCTTTTCTCTTTGTTTCTTGGGGATGAACTTGGGCCTTTTGGGCGGCTGGCTAGGCCCATCACCCCCATCACCCTCGGGGGCGGGGCGTTTTGTAGCGGCCATGTTCGTCGTGTGTGTAGTTCAATGTGACAAAATCTTTATATAATCGAGAAAACAGGTTTCGAGAAATCGACACGTTCTGCGAATTGTCGCAGCTGTCTCTTGTTCGCTTTCTGCGGGGAGAAGTCTACTTTTTTTCTGCCAGGGAAAAAAAACTGGCGGTCGGCAGAGGCGATCCCAGAAGAGGAAAATTTATGTTATCGATTGCAGAGGGGCGCACCATTGCGCCACAAGGTACAGCCACATGTGTAGCCACGGTGCCGCTACGCCGTTTTACCCACCGCCAGTACGGACGATTGATACTCAACATTGCATAGTCTGCCTAGAAAATACGAAGAGCTTCTGTAAGATACAAAAAGATTTTAATGAATTGCAAAAACTCAAATCGTAGAAGGATCAAATGTTCAAAGCACCTTGGTACCTAGGTTAGTACCCTTTAGGTACAGATTACCCTTTCTCCCCCGCTGCTGTTGGACCCCGCTGCTGTTGGACCCCGCTGGGCAAATCCACATGAGCTCCAAGCCCATCTGCCGCCCAGAAGTAAACATCAACTAGTAAATTGCACACGACGACATTGCGCATCATACGGTTCACCACACCTTTTTCCCCCTCTTTCGTATTCAGGTTTTCAGATTCTTGGAACTGTTTTTTTTTTTTTTTCGGATACAACGATCGACGAACCGACACAATGCCCTCCGAGAAACCAACAAAAGACAAGGACAAGAGCAAGGTGCATAAGCTGTCGCTGAAGGGCAGCGCGAGGCTCGTCGCAGAATTTGTGAGCATTCCGTCACGCGTATCTCCCTTAACAGTCAGAGCTAACACCAGCATCAGTTCCAATATTCTATCCATACGATCCTGTACGCAGGATCCAAATATCCGAAATCGCGCGTACACCCGTCTGACAGAAGCACCAGGTTCCAGCGAGGCGTATACCCTGCGGAAGACTTTACTGCGTAAGTGTCGGCATGGGTGCTGCAGGATCAAGCCTCGAGCTAACTCTCTGAGACAGCGTCAAGAAATATGGCCTCAACATGTTGGGTGCGCTCTCCCCTCTTCGATCTCGATATCTCTCGCATCGCGCGCCGCCCCTTCCCCCTCCCAGCTAACGATAATCCCAGTCTCGTCCGACGACCAAGTAAAAGCATACATCAAGAAGATCATGTCCCAGCTCGACAAGTGGATGGTCGGCGGCAAGATCTCGCGGCTCGTCATCGTCATCACCGACAAGGACACCGGCGAGCACGTCGAGCGCTGGCAGTTCAGCGTCGACATCACCGCACCGCCCAAAAAGTCCAAGTCGTCCTCCGCTGGTGCCGCCGCCGCTGACCAGGAAAACGCCCCGCGCGCCGCGCCGCCCGAGCCGGAAAAGACGGAGCAGGAGATCCAGGCCGAGATCGCGGCCATCTTTCGCCAGATCACCGCGTCCGTCACGTTCCTGCCTCAGCTCAGCGGCGACTGCACCTTCAACGTGCTCGTCTACGCTGACGCGGACAGCGACGTGCCGGTCGAGTGGGGGGACTCCGACGCCAAGGAGATCGAGAACGGCGAGCGCGTGCAGCTGCGCGGGTTCAGCACGGCCAACCACCGCGTCGACACGCTCGTTAGCTATCGGTTAGGCGACTAGTACACCTAAGCCGAACGTGGAAGGGCGGTTGGTCACGAAAGCATCCGAGGTACATGGTCTTGGCGTTGGTCCTTTGTCTTTTTCTGCAATTTTTGACAGTAATGAATCATATATAAGTGAATGATAGAAGCAGTTGTACGCTTTGTATTTCATCAGTCTACCACCATCGACTCCAGAGCACCAGGTTAAGCACGCCTCATAATGCATCACGCCATTTCTCAGCAACTCCCACCATATGCTTCTGTACTTTTTTGTTTATGCCACCTTTGTAAACACATCAAGCCCCGTCTAGCATCTCGAAAAAAAGTATACGTATGCAAACTTGCGCATTTCCTCCACCTCGTGCGCCTCAACTACCTTTTCGTCGTTGACGAGCACCCAAGTAGACCCGCTGGCGTCCTCGGGGTTTGGCTTTCGCAGGAACGCTACATAATGACTATCACATATGTCAGCAACACAACTCAAGTTTCCGCATGGGATGGGGATAGACTTACCCAGCATGAATGCTGGTTCCCTTGTGGCAGGCAATGGATTGGAGCTGGAAGCGCGCGGGCAACGTCGCTGTTCCTGGAGGATCCTGCGGAGCAATAGGCTCTGCACTTGCGCCATCATCATCGTATTCGCCTTGGTCGTCGGGGTGGCTGAATAGCCATTCGACGGCACGCTCTACATCTCCGCCTGTCTCCTTGAGAGCTTTCTTTGCCTGAGGGGCAGCGAAACCCATGGCACCCAGCATTTCGATCTTCTCGGGATCGGCTGTTGACGCGCCGCCGCTAGACTGCCCCTGGATGACGAGTGGTGCATCAATGTCGGGATCCTCCATATGACCGAAGAGCCATTCCATGGCAGCGTTGGCATCAGAATTGCCCGTAGCGTGAAGGGCCTTTTCGCAGCGGTTGCGGGGGAATCCCATGGCTTCGAGCTGCGCAAGGGCAGCCTCATTGGGCACAAACGCCGGTGCTTGCGTCTCTGGCTCGTCTGGTAACAGCTCCTCACTTGGCTGTTGACCCTTTCCCAAATAACCATCGAGAAGGAAAGGCTCATCCGGTACGATGACAGGGACATCGACTTTGACTGGAACCCAATTGACCACCGTCATCTTTCTAGCGTTGACAACGAGAGTTTCGGGAAATGTCTTGAAAAGAGACTGTTTGGTGAATCCATCTTTGCTTCCACATGCTGAGCAAGTCAGCTCGACCTTTTCGGCTCCTGTAAAATTGTCTAGACAGTCCTTCAATGTTACAGGCTTATAAGCTTCGGGTTGCGCATCCGCTCCTTCAGCAGCTGGTAGCTTTTCGAGGGGGACGTCAATGAAGATACTATCTTGCTCATTGGTACTATACTTGACTTTTCGGCAAGACAAGCACTGTAGCCTTTGTTCCAAGACAAATCGAAACGCCTTGGTGGGATCCACAAGGGCATGATCATGCTTGGATCGCGTGATGATCTTGAAGATGTGTTGAAGGAATTCAAATGCGTCTTGTTGACGCATGGTCGAAAATTCAGCGTGACCTCGCCCGATCAAATGCTTGAGCATGGCGGGTGCGAGACCCTTTTGGTGTGCTATGCCATTCTCATTTGTCAGTGCAGGATCTGGCTTGGAGTAGCGACCCGACCAAAGCCCGTCGGCCAGCTTTCGCAATTGGGTTTCGAGATCAGTGGCCGGATCATCGACAATTGGAAGATCGTCATTGGGGCGGTAGTAGCGATCGCGGAAGGCCGGCATATCCATGAGGCACTGCATGATGCTCGCCATATAACAGCTGTTGCCCAGGTTCTTCAGGCCGGTGAGGCCAGGGCCAAACAGAGGTTTAAGTTCTTTGCCGTCCTCTGTCGTCATACTGAAATCCCAGCGCAAGTTTTGCTCTATCTGCATTTCGGTCAAGCTCTTTTCGGTCTTTTCTCTGTCGGCAAGCATGATGCCCCAGTGAGCAAGGTGCTGGCCCAGGTTTTCGTCGATGCGCTCGTCATCGCACTTATAACAGTAGATGTCGGCGGTTCCCTCTGGGGTAATAGAGCCCAGCTTAACAGCAACGCCGTGCGATGATTCATTAGAATGCGCCAGCGCGTGAGAGTTACCATCAACGCCGCCCATCTGCTTCCTGCCGCATCCGAGATTGCCGCACTCCAGGCAGAGCCACAGGTTTTCTCTCAGGTCGCAAGCATAGCAGTGACCGAGAGCTCCCTGCTCAATCTTGCGGGATTCAGCTTGTTGCATCAAAAGAACGTGCTCGCAGCTGGTAAGCTCTTGTTCCCAGGCCTTGACTTCCTCACTGCGAGAGAACGTGTTTGCCTTCATCACGCCTGAAATAACAGGGGCCAACTTGGGGCCTGCGACGTCGAGGTCAATGTTACACTCGAGGCATCGCGCCTTCAGAGCTGTGTCGAAGCGGTCTTCGTCCGTCTCGGCGGCGATGGCCAGTTTGGACATTTTCGCAGGTGGCTCATCGCGAACGACTTTCTTTCGGGTACGACGAATATTTAGGATGAGAGGATGAGATCGGAGGGCGCTGTGGAGACGGCTATGCGCGCGGTCGCCAGCACAGCCGCCGTTGAAGCACTGGAGACAAACATCGAGACCGTCGACATCGTCCTATCAACTTTAGCTGCGCTCCAGGACAGAGAAGCGTGTATGACCTACGAGAGAGTCAAAACATTGTGTGCAATCTTCGCGATAAACCGACTGGGAGGGGTTCGGAGGGCTAAGATCTGCATGGCCGAGTTAGCGACGAGATTGGCGTGTCTGGACAGTGAGACGGCTTACTGGCTGCCTCCAGGTGAGGACAGGCCATGTTGATGGACTGGTAAACAACCGGAAAGAAGCGGTCGGCCTGAAAATAAATGCCACTACTTCTCTGTTGGCAGTAAAGGTCTTGCTAATGGGCGATGGAATTGCTTCTTGGCCGTTTGCGATGTGGGTTGGAGGTTCACGGTGATGCAGCTTCTCAGTTTGCCACAGGTACGCCAGGTCGGCGGTGCCCCGCTATGACGGAGGCGGGGAGCTCGGCCTGGTGCCTGGAGGGCGGCGATGGTGACCGTTCCCGATATATACTCAATCAATTTCAGAGTACAACATGTCTCAGATATATTACAACAATATCAATGTTCAGCATGATCTAAATATGAAGAGAATTAAACCAAAAGCATGATGTCCAACCGAGTAGATTTGCCAGGCTGTCTAACACTGCAGCGGGCAGGTGCCAGGAGCTTGGGTGCTAGAATGGACCACCAACTTCGACGACAGCGGTGTAAAGAACATGCGCGGCGTGACGCAGGATAGATAGAGACTGGCAATTATTTGCGTAAAGGAATCCAGAGGTAGGACACGACACAAAATGAAAAAAAGAGAGCCAACCAAGATAAAAAAGGCAAGCAAAAAAGAAAGAAGAATGGACCAACGGGGATTTGAACCCCGGACCTTTCGTAGTAAACTACTCGGGACCTACTCCAGCTGACCTTGCGGTGCGGAGGTCGTCGGTATCCCTGTGTATGCAAAACGAAAATCATACCCCTAGACCATTAGCCCAAGCTTAGTGAGATTTGGAACTATTTGCATATATGTGGGCAAAGCTACATAGGCTGCTCAATGTTGTCGCGTCCAATGTAGCCTACCCGAGACCAGATAGAAAAGAAGAAATCAGGATTGCAGGGCGCAACCGATGAGCTATATGTCAAGAGAAAATTCTAATCGCACGAAAGGGCCGTAAATATTTATTCTTGACCTACAAAATATCATCTGAAGCGATTTTGCGGAAACGTCTGCTGATGCTTCCTCACAAGGCAACGTCACTTACACGGCATACAAATAAAGACCACAGTCTCTGATCACTTCAGCCCACACACTAACAAGAATTGGCAGGAAAATGACAAAATGCAAACTGATGCAATATTTCAACACGGGAATACTGCCTCCACTGGAATAATAAACAAATGGCGTCAGAGAGCGACCGTCAATTTGGGTTGAAAAATTTCTCTCCTACAACTTGCCACGTGGTGACAGTCGTCGCGCGCTGCCTTGGCCCCTGCCCCTATTACGGAGAAGAAAAAGAGATCCAGAGACAAATAAATAATTGCGAGTTTGACGAGGCGCGATGCAAGTTTCTTTTGTGACCCGTCGCGTGTTTGACGCGGTAGACAGCCCCCGTGCTGGAGGGAGCGCGTTCTGGTGGACACCTGGCAGTCCACGGAGAAGGCGTCAAAAACATCGATAAACTTGAGGGCATAGCAAAGTAGTATAAAAAAAGGAATGTCATCACGGAAGCCGACTGCATATCTGAGCCCCATGGCATTGGCTCGAGACAAGGAGGCTCGCGTGTGTGGGAGTGCTGGTCCTGTCATGAAGCTGATCGAGGTTAACAGTGGCACATGCTCCACGATGCAAGCGTGTCGGGGAACAGGATATCAGATGCTATATTTGACGGCTTAGTCTGAACTCTCGCCGCCCCTGTCTTCAATACCCAATGTTGTCTCTACCAATCCTGCTACGTCCAATACTGTCATCTCCTCTCTCGTAAACTCATTTGGTATCTCAATTCCCTTACTCCAGTTTTCAGCAAGCAAATAAACTCCCATACATCATTCTTCGTAGGTCGTGATGTTTCCCCGGCCGCGTAGTCGTGATCATCCGCGATCCCTTCTGCTTCGTGACATCGCGTCAGTGAGAGCACTGGCCGGCGGCGTGCGCGGCGTACCTGCTCAGAAGTCGACATTCTGGAAGGCCGTGTTCTTCCAATCACCATTGTCAAAGGAAGGCCTTCCAACAGGAGACGGTGTTAGTATCTGCAAGGGAACACGGGCGCAGGCAAAGACTTACTCGTCCTTGATGCGCTTGGACGGGGTAGCTTTGGCGGCGGCTGCGGCCTCATCCTTGACGGGGGAGGCAAGCTCGTCGGTGTCGCTGTCTACCTCAGCCTTGCGCTTGTGGCCGGATACCGGCGTCTTGCGCGGGGTGGCCTTGCGTGGAGTCGAGGGCTTGGAGTTGTCGCCCGAGCCGTCGAGGGCGGAGGTGTCGCGGGCCTTGCGGAGCTTCTGAATATGCTGACTAGAGGAAGAGAGGAAAATGGTTAGTCTAGCAAAAGAGATATGCGGCCGAAAGAAGGTTTGGGTAATAGAAGGGTAGCCAAGTGATCAAGGGGGATGGATGGCTAGATACTTGACTCCGTGAAAGGTAAAAGCATGACCCATGTCGTTCATGCGCTGAACAATGGCAGTAATCTTTTCCTTATTTGGCCTGAACTCTTCAATCATAGCGAAGAGCAGAGTCTCGTGAGAGGCTGCGTTCCAGACACGCTTGCCAGACATGACGGATGGGAATGGTAGGTTGTGGTGGACGGAAGGAAAACCTCGCGGTAGGAATAGCGAAAGTAACGTGGAGAGCCAGACAACTGTCAAGGAAGATTTATCGTTTCGGCAAGGCTAATGTGGGAGTGAAAGGGTGGTGATTGTTGTGCTTTGGGAAGGGGGGGAGGGGGGGAAAGGGGAGAATGTGAAAGGTGAGAAGGGGAGTAGATAATAAGGCAATGTTGTTTTGCTGCGCAGGTGACTGACCTACGTGCCGGATTACCGCACCAAGCCGGGAAAAAAACAAATGCAATGAATGAGGAAAAGGGACAATTGTACTGCCGTTGGCAGGGACGTCATACCGGAAGGCATTCTCTGTAAACTCATAGCCCTTCTGCTTCATCTCTTCGAGGACTTTGCCCATTTTACCGGTAGTCAGCTCGCAGTGCCTGAAGACGCAAATGAGCATGGCCTCATGAGCAGCGGCGTCCCATTTCATCTGAGAACGAGGCATATCGATGGGGTCTGCTGTCCAGGACGTGTGAAGCGGGGGATCAAACAGTGGGATACGGCGAGGCGCGAGGGCACAGCAAAGAGGCTTCTGATTTCTGGAACGAGGTGGGGGGAAGGATGAGGAAGTGGCAAAGAGAACCTGGATGATGAACTGGGAAGATGAAAGGATGGAAGGGAGGAGGTGGCCATCGGATCATAGAAGGGATGGATCAGTGGATGTGCTTAGAGCGATATTCACCGCCTCGAAGCAAAAACACGCGCCGAAACGGCGGCCTGACGGGCTTGAACAGATAAGGAGCGGGCATAAAAGGAAATCGACTGATTGCAGCACGGATTGACAAGAAGAAGAGACTGCAACATAGATAGGTCTCACCGGACAGACTCCCATGACTGGTCGTGACCTCGAGCTTTGAGGTACGTCTCGATGCCGCCTCTGGCCGAGGCGCCCAGGGCGCCGGCGTTGCTGGCGACTTGGAAGAGCGCGAGCGACAGATCCATCAAGAAGTCTGCGTTCTCCCAGACGCCGGCTTTGTTGGGCATGGTTGCGGTTCTGATGGGGGTTCGGGTTCTTTGGGAGAGGGGAATGGAAACAGAACGTATGAGAAACAAAGACTTGAAAGAACGGTAAAGGAGGGAAAGAAGTTGAAGCAGTTGGAATCTGTTGTTGTTGAGTTGTGAAATGACTAGGGGGAGGGGGTTGTCGAGGCGGCTCATCCGCTGCATACGTTTGGTAGAGCGCAAACGCCGCGCGGGCAATGGGCGTGCCCTGTTTGCACTTTGAAGTGAAAAACAGGCCCCTCATCGGGTCAACCAATTCACTTTCGCGGACCACCTTGGCTGGATACGGCCTTTGTTGTGACTTGGTAGCTTGTTACCTGCGATCCGACGCCCACCTACATACATAGCCCTGCACCGACCAACCTGAAGAGGCGGATGAGCTGAACATTGTTGGTTAGTTGGGGATGTCATCTTGTGGACGAAATGCGCAACAGATTGTATTCACCCCCAGAGCAAGGTCCCGTATACCAAAGTCTAACGCAAAAAGTAAAACAAGTCGCAAAGCAGACAATACCCTCCCCCGTCTCCCCTCTCTCCAGCATTGCGATCCCACGTGTACAATAATATATAGACAGGAAAAAAAATGTCAATGTAAGCGCGATGTCTGTATATCTTGTCAAAATACAACCAACTAAGTCCAGTGAAAATAGAGGAGCGCGCCGTGTATATCCAAGGAAACCAACAAACCGAAACGCCGAGGAAACCTGCTTTCCTACCCGTATTCTCGTTATGTATCGCGATACAAAAAAGGAAAGTGGCCTACGCATCGCCATAACTGAACCTAGCACGCCACTTGTCAGCACGGCACAGATAAAAGAACAGTATCAGCGTCCACTTACTCTGCGTAGTCAGCAGGCGTCGTGCCGTTATGTGCGGCGAGTGCCAGGACGGCCTCGTCGTCGAGGGAAGACTCGTGGTCCATGGCGTCGCTGTCGAGCCTGGGCCGTTTCGACGGATGCTCGTCCGTTGCCGCCTCGTGCGCGACGGCGCCCGTAAATGGAGTGCCAGCCGAGGCCGCGAGAGCCTGCTCGTCCTCCATGGCGAGCTGATGGCCGGAGCCGCCACCACTCCCGTCATCCGTCTCCATCGACTGGATATGCGGGTGGTGGTGTTGGAGGTGCGCCTGGGGGTGGTGTTGGTGATGATGAAGCGTCGGGGCCATGCCAGGTGACGACGCGGTCAGGCTGGGATCTAGCGCCTCGCCCACGTTGCCGGCCACCGAGGATGCCGGATCGGTGGAGCTCTCAGCATCCGCGGCGGGGCCGGCGGACTGGGACTTTCGAGGCCGGCCGCGTCCAGGCCCGGGTCGCCGTGTGATGGGGTTCAGGCTCGGATCGACCCGCCGGAGGGCTAGGTCGGCCGGGGGCGGCATCGCCTCGATCTTATTGGTGGCGCGGCGCAGGCCCTGAAAGTGTTGCCTTGGGGGATGGGATGTTAGCGAGGAGGCATGGGGACCGAGGTTGCATTGCATATAGGGTTGATGCGGTGGGCATGTTGTGGAATTGAACGAGGCGCGTCACGGGAACACTTGTGTTATATGCATGAATTGAAGTAGCGCTGGATATGTAAGGATCAGGGGACCAAAGGCACAGAGACGAAAGTGACATATGAGATGCAATTGGCAGCATCAGAATGAGAATAGTGTAAGCGCGGGTGGATGAGAGACGGAGATACATACCGACATCCCTCGTTTGTGAAGCCATATCCCATGCTACGCATGTAGTTACCAATCATGGTCCATTCGGCGCCGCTGATGACGCCAATGTTCTTGACCGTCAATATGGTAAAGAACAGGTCCTTGTCGGCGCGGTCATTCCAATTCTTGTTATTCATGGCCGACAGGATGAGACGATGTCAGGAAGGGGGAGGTAGAGCGAGGTTCTTGGTGAGGTGGGTCAATCCAGGCCGGGGACAAGGGCGGCGAGAAGAAATACAGAGCGGCCGAAAGTAGAATGACGGCCAAGGCTTTCCCGTATTTTTTTTTTAGGTGCAGCGCGGGACCGGGCGGCACCGAGTCCGGCCGGTAGTGACTTCGGATGTCTTGGGTGGTGGGTGGGCGGCCAGCGAGGGCGACGAGGGTTTGTAGTCTGGGCAAAGGGTAGAGGTAGAGTCTGTTAAGGAGCGGCGCTGACCGGGAGGGAAAATTGGTAGTGCGTGACAGGAGAGCTGGTGGTTTTTTTTGTTGGAGAGGGGCGAAGAAGGCGCAGCTGCAAGCAGGCAGGACTTGTGGGGTAGCTGCCCGCTGGCCCGTGCACGACATGCCTTGGGTTCGGTGGCATAAACAAACGGTACGTACCGATCTCACGACGGCTTCCCGAAGAGAGGCTGCAGCCTGAATGGGCGACCTTGAAGGCTTGGGGACAAGCTAAGAAGAGAAGTTGATAAAGGGGCTGGTCACTACATCCGCTTGGATTTGAAATTTCCAATTTTCGCCAACATCTGGCGCCGCTACGGGACAAGTTGTCTTGTATACAACTGATAAAGAATCGACATAGCCGGAATTCAACCTCAGTTTAGCCGGCCACTTGCAAGGCAGGTACCTGCAGCTGGTACTGACAAGTCTGCGTTACCTTTTGTACCTTCTCGTCTACAGTTGGTTACTGCGCTGCAAGCCTGCAAGTGCAAGTGTGCCAACGTTTACGACAAAGAGGGCCTCAGGCAGCATAGACAAACAGTCGCCGATTGTCCCTCTTCCTCTTTTCTTACTGCTGCAGGTCTCGACCATGGAATGCGCAATTCACGGACGCAATCGGGGAGTGGAAACGATTGGAACGGCAACCTGACAGATGCGGTCTTCGTCCTTGGCCTGCCTGCCTCCCCATGTGTGGTGTGAGTGTGATACGAAGGCCCTCCATCCGCGGCGGCGCTCTTGTCTCGCTGGCCCGCGCGCCGCCTCCCTGAAGCGGACTAGAGTCATCACGTGTTTTCGTGGCAACATGGCGGTGACTCGGACGCTGGGAGGGTCGCAAGGTGCGCGCCCCGTCGCGTCTCCCGACGGTCGGCTGGGAGCCCATCCCTCGCCACCCACGGCCCTGGGGCACGTCTGTGACCATAAAGGCGCTCAAGTATGTTGGCAATGGCTTCGAAGCGACTTTTACGTCTGTCTACGCACTTTCCGCGTCATTTTTGGACTGCTGGATCCTATTTGGCGCAGCAATTCGATGGGCTTGAGAGTGGTGATGATTTTTTCTTGGTTGGTGGTACCCCTCTTTTTCGATGAACCGGGTTGAGCTTGCGCTCTCCGGCTGCGCAGCAACCTACGACCAAGGGATGGGTCCGACACACACACACACCACCAGCGCGACGCTGATCAGAAATGAGGGCACGGCGCATGAAAAGAAATTTATTGGGCACTAGGGGGGATGATGACGGATAGGAGTACGAGGTTTTCCTTCCTGATGCGCCCTTTTTTAAGGACCAACAGACGTCACCAACGGTTCTTTATCAGATCTCTGTGGATTCGACATGCTGCTCGATTTATCTCGAGGTGAAAAAAAGTCACCGACGCAGCATTTTCTGGTGGACGAGGTACTTGGAAGGGGAAGCGTTGGGTTTGTTGGGGGTGGGACAGGCCCATGCTGACGGAATGGACGGGTGCTTGTGGCCGCTACACGCCCCTGTTCCCCACTTGGAGGTTCGCTGAGCCGATTCGATGGCAATCAATGAGTCACACTGGGTTTCAGAAGCAAAGGAACAAGAAGAAATCGAGCTGGATCCCTGTCGTTGCTTTTTTTGTTGCGGGAGAGAATTATGAATAACCAGGTATGTAGGTACGAGGACGGGGGAGGGAAGGTTACCAATGGTGCGGATACAGCGGCGAGAGAGGAAGCACACGGCCAATTGCGCAGCATTGAACATTGGCTGAATCTTGAGGAATGGTAGGACAAACGGTAAAGTACCCGTAGTTTCTTCTTTTCTTCCTTCTTCTGTCCTGCCTTTTTTCCCGTCAACCACTTCACGCGCTGAGGCAGCGAGTTTCTGGGGGTTTAAGTGGCTTCTCCACCACCCCCCAACCAGCAAGTGTGGCTTGTTGCTCGAGCCTGCATTTCTCAGCGGCCAAAATAAGGCAAGCCAGTGCTTCTGCGCTTTTCCCTTTTCTCGCTAGGCCCAGGCAACAGCGCCTCATCCCCGCTCTTTTGGCTCTTGTCCTCACTCCTCACCACACGCCCTTGTTCCTCGTCATCCTCTCTTTTGCCTTCTTGTCTTCCTCGTCTTGATATATCAGGGGTGTGTGCAATTCGGTTCAAAAGGAAACCCAAAATTCCCACTTGACCTCTATTGTCTAGGTCCTGACACATCCTTGCTCCATATGAAGTCAACTCTCCCGCAGGCCCACAGCCTTCTCTGTAGAACACCATCTTCCTATATAAGTGCTTGCTCTGCCTTGGTGCCTTGCCACCGCTCGATGCTTTCTCTCTCTTTTTTTTCGTCCTCTTCTGCCTTGCCAATACATTCATCTATCACAATCATACCTCGTCCAATGTCCAAACTCTCGTAGCCTTCCTCTCTCTACGGTGCTTCATCGTTGATGCAAGTCCTGACCGCTCCGTCGCCTCCGCCTGCTCCCATCGTCGTCTCGCCAACTCCTGCATTCACACCCTCCTCCACATCAGCTCCCTGGACAAGGTCTTGACGCATTGTTTATATATTCTTCTTCGGATCTATTCTTTCGGATACCGCCTTGCAGAAACTCGAGCAACGCGACTAGGCTCCAGTCACACTCGGTGGTCGTCGTGTCACTGCTCCATATCAACTTGGACTCGCCCACTCCCTGACTCTGTACTCAAACCACCCTCACATACTATCCGCCCTCTCCGCCAACATGACCTCCAACGCCGACAATGCCATGGCTCGATTCCTCTTTGCCATTCTCAAGCAAAAGAATCTCAAAGACGTGAGTGCCCGCACCCACCCTCCACCGACGTCTTCGTCGTCACACATCTAACTCCCCCTAGATTGACTGGAATCAAGTCGCCAACGATCCTGTTCTGCTGCAGCCCATTACGAATGGCCATGCTGCTCGGATGAGGTACTCTCGCTTCCGCGCCACCATCACCGGCCACGAGCCCACAAAGAGACGCAACTCCGGCGAGAAGTCGAGCAAGGTGTCCAAGACCTCCTCCCGCCGAGAATCCTATGCCAAGAAGGACACCATTGTCAAGTCCGAGTCCGGCGTCAGCCTAGCCTCGTATCCTCAGGTATGTTTGGGCGAGCAGCCGCCGCGGTCCTCTTGAGCCAGCTTCGTGTGCCAACACCTTTGTCCGCTTGCAGTTCACCCCCGACGTCTCTCCCTACATGGGCGACCTCGGCGACGACTTTGACAATCCTCGCTTCATGACTCCCTGCAGCGACGACATGACGCAACCGCTGTCCCTCGACCCCTCGGCGATCCAGAAGATCCCCTCGCACACCGGGTACACCCTCAGTGCGAGCCCCGAGTTTCTCAAGCAGGAGCCTGGCCTTGAAGGCCCAATCGACATGTCCGCCTTTGAAGCCGCCATCGACATGGGCAACTTTGGCAGCGCCTTCGACCTCGCCACGCAGACAGAGCTCACCGCCTCACAGGCCCTCTGGGACGATCAGTTCCAAGACGGACATTTTTAAATGATACCCCCTTCCCCTTGCCCCCTTCTCAATTACAAATAATGCTATGAGGTGAAGCGATGAACTTCTCTCACGACGACAATACCACACCCAAAGAGGAACGAGCTACGGAGATTTGATGTAATATAAAGAGGGAAACTGCTTGGTTGCTTGCTGCTGCTACTGTTTAGATGGACGTGGATCGCTTCTCTTCAGGCTATTTCTCTTGTTATGACCTTATGACAAAACCACAAAAAACATGTACTGATGGGAGTCACCCTCACCAAGCCCGGACTGGGATGCATCTCGTCAGATGCTCGGTTGGGTTGCGTTCCATCTTTCTGCTTCCAGGCGTTGTTTCCTCACGGAAATTGAAACCGGCGTTTTTCAGGATTTTGCTTTATTTACTCTTTCTTGGCCTGAGCAGGAAACAAAAGAATTGTATATTATTTTGACCTCAACCCTTCCCTTTCAGCTTCAATGAGACTAAATATCTGCTACTATGCAAGCTTGACTGTTGTAATAAATTGCGACAAGATTATTGCTTTCACAGCCCACCTTCTGCCCAGTGGCTGCAGCCTGGTGAGTTGGCCGTTAGCACCTCACTTTCGGTTCATCAACTCACCTCTGCCCAGCATTTTTTTCTGCTGACGAGACCGCCTATTTTAATCACTTCTTCTGATCAGGAGCTCTTCAAAACTCCCCCCTTCCCTTTCCCTTTTTTAATTCTTTGATTCCTGCCTTTTTCATCAACACCACTTCAAGGTACACTGCCAACAACGCTTTTCCAATCCGGCTCCCACTATCAGCTCCTATACCAACTGCGCCTATTCCTCTTCATCCGATCAAACCTAGCCGCAAGAAATCTCAACGTAAGTAAAGTACCCATATCATTTCTTCGTGCCCTATCCGTTTTCACTCGCGATCGATCCTGCTCCCTCATCTACCATCACCAACCACTTACACCACCAACCGCAGCAGGAGCAGCCATGGCAGAGCAAGGAAAGCCTGGGCCAACGCCCTCCGAAGCCATCTTCTTCTTCAACATTGTCCAGCACATGAAGAATAAGGGCGACATTGACTGGGACGCCGTCGCCGAGAGCTCCGGTTTCAAGAATGCTGGCGTCGCCAAGGCAAGCTTCTCTCCTTCTTCTCCTCATCCCCTCAAGTTTAGGCCTTGGGCCCGAAAACCGACGTAGACTGACCGAGAATTTTTTGTTACAGGTCCGCTTTGGTCAGATCAAGCGCAAGTACGGCCTCGAGGGCGACAGTCCCACCAAGAAGAGCTCCGCGCAGCCCGGCGACCTGCCACCGACGCCCACCAAAGTTACGAAGCCTCGCAAGAAGGCCACCGGCGGCGGCGGTCGCGGGCGCAAGATCAAGCAAGAAGCGCGCGATTCGGATGAGGAGCTGGACGGCGGCGAGCTCAAAGTGCCCCGGGCGGGGGCTGGCCGGGAGAAGAGCGAGACGCCAACCGACGTTGCGGTCAAGAAGGAGAGCGACTGGGACCACGCCAAGAGTGAGCAGCCGACGGATGGATTTTCATTCTTTTGAATCTTAGGGGAGGAAACAGATAAGTCTGTGCATGGAGAGGAGGCTGTTGGCAAGCGCACATCGGTTCGCTAGGGGTAAAGGATCTGGCTTTGGTTGACATGTTTTTTGCTAAGGATTACTTGGAGTTGTGCTTGATTGCTCCCTTTATTATTTATACAGCTATTGAGATTCCAGAAGACGAGGATGAATGATTCAGAGATGAGCGAAAGCCACGTTTAACAATGCTAGTGTCGATCAGAGTGACGAGCCGCGTGTAAGATTGAGAGAGACAGCCGCAAGCTACTACTGGGCGTTTGATTCACTGCTGGAAAAAAGATGAGGTACTATATCTATTTACCTGGGGACTTTTAAAAACACTGCTCTTATAAGCACCCTACCTGCCACTGGCAACACCAGCAAGCTCACTTGGCACCTCAAGCCCCTCGCAATTCAACCCTTGCACCTACACATCACCACCCGCAATCTTTGGTCTTGTCGCAATTATACCAATCCCACTCTTTCATCTTCTTACAGTAAGCTTTAATCTTTACCTATGCCATCACAGATACTAACCACGTCACTTAGTCCCCTCTCCCGCCCACAGAACCTCCAGCGAACCGACGCCATGTCCAACGACGAGAAGATCACACCCACCGAGGGCGAGATGCGCATCCTCACAGCCATCTTTGCCCACATGAACGGCAATCCCGACGTCGACTGGGACGCCACGGCCGCCACGGCCTCGCTCGGCAACGCCAAGTCCATCAAGGAGCGCTTCCGCCAGATGAAGGTCCGCCTTGGCTGGAACAACAAAGGCGGCGGCACCGCGCCGTCGACGCCCAAGAGCAACAAGGCCAGCCCGTACAAGGTGGCCAAGAAAAGCGGCGGTGGTGGGAAGAAGAGGGCCCATGTCGCGGCCTTTGGCGAGGAAGAGGAGAAGCGGAAGCTGGTCGTGGCGGCAACCAGGCCGAGCGGATCGGACGAAGAGTTTTGAAGCGCCTCCTTTGCGATGGGTGCTGTTTGTCGGACTTAGATGGCTTAAGAAACGAGAGGAATTTAAGGGATTATTACGGAATATTTGGACTGTTTGCTACATTTTGACAACGAGCCACCAAGGCTGGGAGTTCGCAGGGAGGAGGACTGGGTGGACAATCAAGACAAAGTGATGCAACAACGACAAGAACCCAGGCGTCATCTAGACGCTATAAAATCACGGAAGAAATCAACAGAGTGAAGCAGTCAGTCCGTAATGCATGCCTTTTTGGGCATAGCTGTGCCCGTTTGTGCCCTTCACTTTCACCTTGACAATGACTCCATTCTTGCTTCGCCAGATTCACTTGAGTCTGCATCATACTGCTTTATTTACATCTTCTACCAGCCTCCAGTTTTTCCTGTCTCATTTTCTTAAATAGCGGTTGCCTGAATTCACGTGCCCTTTAGCTATTGGTTTCCTTCCTCCTTGAATCTCTCAACCTCTCAACACGACCTCCAGAGCTGGCCCGGTCACATCACTCTGTCATCAGCTGCACCATCCACCCAATCTTCTTCAACCACCTTCCAAGAAGCCATCCTTAATCCTCACTACTCCTGAACTTCTTTCTATTGCTTGATCATTTCAAGCCTCCGACCGACATCATGTCCAACAAGGCTGCTGGCTCCGACCAAAACGTCCGCTTTCTGGTTGCTTGCATCAACCACAGCACCAACGGAAAGGTGCGCATCACACTGCCCCCGAGCCTTGAGTCCATACTGAACTTTCTTAATACTGACTTGTGTATGCAGCCAAACTTTGAACTCGTTGCCAAAGAGCTCGACATCGTGTCCAAGGGCGCTGCGTATGTCCAATTTCCTCTTCGTCCACCTCCCCTTTCCCTGCCTCTCTCCTACCCACGCAAAAGATACTGATCAAACAACCCGCTTTCCAGAACTAAGCGGTATGAGCGTCTTCTCAAGTCCATTGCCAGCGCTCCCAAGCCGACTGCCGCCGCTACCACCACCGCCGACGACGACGATGGCGATGAAGCAGAGCCGGCCAAACCACCGGCCAAGAAGCGCAAGGCACCTGCCGCTCCCAAGGCCTCGGCCGTGAAGAAGGCCAAGACGGCTACGCGCGCCAAGAAGCCCCAGGTTAAGGACGAGGGGGAAGAAAAAGAAGAAGAAAAGGTGGACGTCAAGGCCGAGTCTGACTCTTCCCTGTCTGGTACGTGCTACTGAATACGAACATTGCGGGAAAAAACCCCATTTCTTTTTTTGCTAACCATGGCCTATCCAGATTGCTCCCGAGAATGTTGATGAATGGGCTAAGACAGGAACGGTTCAAGTCGTTCTACTTGCGAGGAGGCCTGCCGCTGCTGTCGCTGTCTGGCCAAGCCTTCGCATGCAAAGCCATGGAGGAGAGGAGGGTTCTTTTTTGCAATCTTTGGGATATTGAATTTTGGGAGAGATGCATGAAAAAACATTTGGGCTTTTTTTGTTCTTCAGAGCAAGCAAAATACGCTGAACAAAAGAAGCAAGTAACATGATTTACGACTCGTCAGTTCTGGCAGCCGATATCAATCAACCGCGGAGTATTTCCATCTTAACCCTAGACCTCTCTGCGAAGCAAACAGTGACTGCCCATGTATAAAATTGAAAAAGAAAACCCGACTAAATAGTCCAAAAAAGGTATTAGGTAAAGATGCAAACGGATGTGCCCCCCCATTGAAGCTCGAAAGTTCAATGGGCCTGGTCCCCTGCATGCCGCTGTGTCCTATTTCGCTCGAGTCACCTCACTTGTCAATAGCCCCGCGAGGAGACAATAGGAAGGCTTGAGTCGGTGGCTCTGAACTGGGAGCAGCATCAATGGTATTGTTTATTTTGCGTTTCCCAGACTTTGACGAAAGAAGCGGTGGACGAGAAGAGAGGGTATATACAACATGTTCTCCCTTTCCGCCATGGCGAGAGCTTCGCTTTGCCATCTTCAATTCTCCAATCTGCCCATCTTGAGATTCTTTTGCAAGATCTTTCTTCTTGAGAAATCATGCCTCTTGTCACGGATATCCACGATCGATTCGTGCTCCCCAACGCCCGCTTCAACCCAACCGCGCGGCCGCCGAGCTGCTCTGGCCTGCTTACACCTCCCGAATCGCCCATTTCCGGCCACACGCCGCCACTTCCAGTGTCTACCAACTATCCTTCTTCTTCTGCGCAAGAGGGCCGTGGGATGCCGCAGCTGCCGAGATTTGGAGCTTTTGAACCTGCGCCGCAGAACGCGCCACCACACCCGCCGCCGCAGGACTTGTCACGCGTTTCCGAAACTATCTACACGATTATCGAGCAGGTCATCGAGCAGAAGCTAGCTGAGGCCATGGGACCGTTGCGGCTCAACATTCGACGATTCGACTCAGAGAACACCGATCTTCAAACACAAAATGACACCCTGGGAAGTCAGGTTCGCTGCTTGGAGGCCCAAGTCAACGCGCAACTACAGACACTACAGACCTTGCAAAATATCTCCTTTGCCTCATCGAGCAATCTAGAAATTATCTCTGCACTGGCAAATAAGCTTTCTGACGCGACAAATTCTATGGAGAGGGCTCGCGACTTCAATCATCACCACCAGCCACCTACATCTACATCCCCTCTGTCGCATCAGCACGAAAATCACTGCAATATCCACCCTCAATTTTGCTTTGAGCGTCGAAGCTCGAAAAGGCAGCGCCGATCATATACAAAGTCGAGGAAGTCAAGTCTGGTCAATTGTATGCTGTCCAAATGGAGGACTGGAGGGGCTAGGGAGTGAGATACGCTGGAAGTTTTCTTATGCTCGGGGTTTGGCGTTTTACTTTACATTACCGGTATAGCTTCCATTTCGCAAGAAGAAATGTACTCTGGGTACTCCAATAATTCTTTATTCCCAGTTTTAGTAACTATTCATCGCCTTTTCTTTGGCCGTCACAACCAAGTTCTACCTAGTCCTTCGTTTCCCCGTGCCGCCCGCCACCAGTTCCTGGTTTTCACGAGAGCTGATTTTTAGCCCTTTTTATCAATGTTCTGTAGTCATGTCGATAGGTAGTACATGTAGGTTAAAAACGAATCCAGGACATTGAGACGAGGTGGCTGGGACCAGGTAGCTGTCTACTTGCACAGGCCCCGGCAGACAGATAGAGGAGCTCTACCACGTACAACATACCTTGGAAATATCTAAGTACGTCCACGTTAAGAGACAAAAAACTGGATTACATCCATAATGAGACATGCTCTTTGATATTTGCTGCCAAGACAGCTTCGTTATCACAGCGCGTGCCAGTCAGTATGCTCTGCTCGAGCCGGCACTGTAAATACAATACATTTATGCACAACAATCTTGGGTTGGGCGTCCGCAATAATTGGTAACCAGCCTCGGTATTCTTGATTAAAAATTTTTAGATATTAACTCTCTTCTCCACCCCACCTTGCCAGCTGGCAACGGCCAACCTCTTTGCCTGCCGGCCGATCAAACGCATTTGCCTTGCCCCAGCAACCAGGTATCTCTGCGTCTCAAAGTGTACGAATGAGTTTTCCCCTCCTCTTCAATATCTTGTTTTTCCCTTTTGAAGCATGCCGTTGACTATATAAGGAATAATACTTTGGTTGCTATCCGCCACGTCGAGAGTCTGTTGCATGCGCTTCGTTCTGCGTTTCTCTGCGTTTGGTTGCTCCAATTGACTTACTCACCGAATCTATTTCCTTGCACGTTTTGATACCGTTCTTGGTTTAAAGAATCACAGAGAAGCTACCCTTTACACAAGCACACCTGGAGTATTGATCTCAACACGCCTTTTCTTGCCAGTCATGGGTGTCACGCCGGTCAAGAAGACACCGTCCAAGACGGGCCGCTCCCCGGCGCGCGATCGTCGCTCGCAATCCCGAAGCATTAAGGAGAGCGATTCCATTGCCAACCCGCTTCAAAGAACTCCAAACCATGGCCATAATAGGGAATCGTCATTCTCGCACACTCTTCCGACAGACGAGCAAAAGCGCAGCAATGGCCGAGTCGTTGGCCGCAGCCTCATCATGTGGGGGCGTGAGTTTCCAAAATGCCTGTATACTTGGCCTAACACTGACTCTAAACAGGTCCCAGAATGGCCGAGAAGCTACTGCTACATCTTCACTACGAATGTACTCGACACAAGATCGTCTTGCCCTGGGATTCCATTGCCCATAGGCTCCACCCCGGCTCCTCTGGAGCTGCCGTTGTCCAGCATCTCAATCGCGTGCGGAAAGAGTTGATTAGAGAGGGACACCTTGTACCGCCGGTTTGCCAAAAGCCCTGCTCCAACTCTGGTGTTGACCCCAATATCCGTGGCTTTGTGCGTCAGAACCCCAATGGTGACGACAAGGACAGCATTCGTGCTATTCGCTTTGATGAGAAGTACGAAGATCTGAAGTTCAACCTCCCGGACACTTTTCATGATTCTGGTGATGAGGATGAGTGCATGCCGGATTCGCCTAGCCCCATTCGTATACAGCAACCACAATTCTGCAGTGGTCCTCCAAGCGTTACCGATGAGTCTGTCAACAGTCTCCACCGCTTCGAGCAAAGTGTAGGTGTCTCAATGCCATCGCCTACCAAGCTCCCTACTAACACCCGACAGTGGTCTCCCCAGAGTAGCTTCTGTTCCCCCACTAGGCAGCAGAGATCTGAGATGGGCGATCTGGAGTTGGAGAGGCCGCTCTTGACTCGGTCGTTTGACACTCTCACCTCTGCGGGATCTGTTCCGACCTCGGCCGCTCCCACCTCAGCGCCGACTCACGGCCAATGGCAAGAGAATTCTTGGTCCCAATACTCGCCAATGGGCCTTTATCCATACGAGAAGCGCCATACGGATTTCCCTACTTCCATGCCGGGCTACTTTACCCTGCCCGCGAATTACTCCATGTTTTCGACCGACGAGTCCTTCGCTGCGTGGCAGGAGGAGCTTGTGACGCAGACCGATCGCTCGCAGGTCCCAGCGCACCTGAAGTACGAAGATGAACTTCCCACCGCGATGAATGATGCTCCTGACGATGCATGTCAAGGCACAGATGTACGTATGATACCATCTTATCAACTTCCCATGCTGATGCACATCCTTCAGGGCCATGACAACGTGCCAATGACGGGACAATTTTGACAAAAGCAAACCAGCCATTTGCTCCAGCATCCTGAGATGGCTTTTTTTGGTATCTGGAAGCTGTCATCTTACTTGCATGTCATTGGTTTTTCGACCACGTTTTCGTCGTTCTCTTTTAGGCAGGTGTTGGAACAGTCACCGTCGAAGCAGCCGACTGGGCGACCTCATTCTGCGAGATTTTGCAATAATTGAAGAATTGGCTATTCGCGTAAGGTTATAACCACGCGAGGAAGAGAATCCGGGGATGGCATACACCCGGGGACAACGGAACTGATTGATCGGCACATTTGAATTGCTAATAAAAGCTCCGACAGAGAGCTCTCGCTGACTCGCGCATTGGGCTAGGATTATTATGAAGGGTAGTTTTTACCATATGAGGACAATTGGGGAGAAACAACGAATGAATAACGGAAAATAGGACAGCAAAGATAAAAAGCACAATAAAAGCTCCTTCGTTCTCGGTTTCTGGGTCAGCGAAATATTGTCTGCTTCATGTGCCCGGCCCAGACGCCGTTGGAAGAGGGTAGAATTAATCGACAGTCCCGACTAGTCCCAACAAGGGCTAGCGTATATTGGGGACGAGACGGTGTTTTGCCGACGCTCGCTGGCGACAATTTTTTTTGGGGCCGAAGCTGGCAAGACATCCATCACCCTTACTCTTCTTTTTCCCCTTCCACCTCAAGCCCTCTCTTTTGCAGTTGTCTCTCTGCCGTTGTACTCCATCATCATCCCCCCCCGGAGTCGTTGTACTATTTCCTGTGCCGTCTTGTAATACTATATACCCCCATTATTTCTTCTCCCTCCCACACATACACACACGATGCAGCGCGCACTGAGCTCCCAGGCCCGAGCTTCTGCTCTCGCCTCTGCTTCCACCAAGTTCCGAGCCGGCGCTGGCCTCGGCCAGCAGCTCCGCTACGCTCACAAGGTCGGTTGCGCCCGAGCAATGATGAGGAGGACCCGATTGGTTGCTGACAAGTCGAAATAGGAGCTCAAGTTTGGTGTTGAGGGCCGTGCTGCTCTCCTGGCTGGTGTTGACACCCTCGCCAAGGCCGTTGCCACCACTCTTGGCCCCAAAGGTCGCAATGTCCTAATTGAGTCCAGCTTTGGCTCTCCCAAGATCACCAAGGGTAGGCAAAAATTACTCTCCGTCGCCAATTGCACAGATCTCAATTAACTCCTCATAGATGGTGTCACTGTTGCTCGTGCCGTTACCCTCAAGGACAAGTTCGAGAACCTGGGTGCCAAGCTCCTCCAGGACGTCGCATCCAAGACCAACGAGGTTGCCGGTGACGGTACCACCACCGCTACCGTCCTCGCCCGTGCCATCTTCTCCGAGACCGTCAAGAACGTTGCTGCCGGCTGCAACCCTATGGATCTCCGCCGCGGTATCCAGGCTGCCGTCGAAGCCGTCGTCGAATACCTCCAGAAGAACAAGCGTGATATTACTACCAGCGAGGAGATTGCTCAGGTCGCCACAATCTCTGCAAACGGCGACCAGCACCTCGGAAAGATGATTGCTACCGCCATGGAAAAGGTTGGCAAGGAGGGTGTCATCACCGTCAAGGAGGGCAAGGTTCTCCAGGACGAGCTTGAGGTTACCGAGGGTATGCGCTTCGACCGCGGTTACATCTCGCCTTACTTCATCACCGACGCCAAGGCCCAGAAGGTCGAGTTTGAGAACCCTCTCATCCTGCTTTCTGAGAAGAAGATTTCCGCCGTCCAGGATATCATCCCCGCTCTTGAAATCTCTACCCAGCAGCGCCGCCCTCTTGTCATCATTGCTGAAGACATTGACGGTGAGGCCCTCGCCGTCTGCATTCTCAACAAGCTCCGTGGTCAACTCCAGGTTGCTGCCGTCAAGGCTCCTGGCTTCGGTGACAACCGCAAGTCTATCCTGGGCGATATCGGTATCCTGACCAACGGTACCGTCTTCAGTGACGAGCTCGAAATCAAGCTGGAGAAGGCCACCGCTGATATGCTCGGCTCCACCGGCTCCATCACCATCACCAAGGAGGATACCATCATGCTCAATGGCGAGGGCTCCAAGGACGCCCTCGCTCAGCGCTGCGAGCAGATTCGCGGCGTCATGGCTGACCCCACGACCTCCGAGTACGAGAAGGAGAAGCTCCAGGAGCGTCTTGCCAAGCTCTCTAGCGGCGTTGCCGTCATCAAGGTCGGTGGCTCTTCCGAGGTTGAGGTTGGTGAGAAGAAGGACCGCTTCGTCGATGCCCTCAACGCCACCCGCGCGGCCGTTGAGGAGGGTATCCTGCCTGGTGGCGGTACCGCCCTGATCAAGGCCTCGGGCAACGCTCTCAAGGATGTCAAGCCTGCCAACTTTGACCAGCAGCTTGGTGTCACCATTGTCAAGAACGCCATTACCCGCCCTGCCCGCACCATCATCGAGAACGCTGGTCTCGAGGGCTCTGTCATTGTCGGCAAGCTGACTGACGAGCACGGCGCTGAGTTCAACAAGGGCTTCGACTCCTCCAAGGGCGAGTACGTTGACATGATCCAGGCCGGTATTCTGGACCCCTTCAAGGTTGTCCGCACTGGTCTCATTGACGCCTCTGGTGTCGCCTCTCTGCTCGGTACTACCGAGGTCGCCATTGTCGATGCTCCTGAGGAGAAGGGCCCCGGTGGTGCTGGTGGCATGGGCGGCATGGGTGGTATGGGCGGTATGGGAGGCATGGGCGGCATGATGTAAGATGACACAATTGCAAAGGAACTAAGATAAAACGGGCGACATTGTACAAAACGGAAACCAAAATCTACTGGGCGCGGATTCGGTGTTATAGAACGGATGGATCAAGTCGGGCCTGTTTTTTATTTAATCTCCCCTCCATGTCTGTGGAAGTTGATGGAAGCGTCGGAAAGGCGCGATCCCAAACACAGTCATATGGCAGAGAGCCATTGTATAGTAGCTATGGTAGCCCCATTGTAGAACCAAAAATATGAGCAAAAATTTTATGAAGCCATCTCCTATTTCGCCCTAGCTAGTGAGAAGTGATGGAAGCCTTGTAGGCAACAAGATAATGAGGACAGCTATCAGGCAGATACTTAAGAGGGCATGTGACTTTTTGAAGTGTCATGTGCTTTAGCAGTCAAGCTATAAGTCAAATTTGAAATTTTCGCGGATATTCAACGGATTCAAAGCAGAATCAAGACATCACCAGCTTGTCGTCAGAGAGCACGACTCGGTCGTTGGGTAGATTGGTGGTTGAGGCTCAGGGGCGCCGACGTCACTTGCCAGTTATCACGTGGGGCGTCTCACGGCCAACCCCCACCGAAGCAGCTCTTGGAGCGTTTTTTCCAGGGGGCGGGCCAGCATGGAAACCCGCTGTAATGATTGAAGGAAATAGGTGCCTGCTCCGGCCTGCTGGTTGCCCCTCTTCCCAGCTCCTTGCTGCAGCTCCCATATATGCCCACCAGGACCTCACACCATCCCACCAGAAAAGCTGGTGCTCTCTTCCCTTCGTCATCCTCACGCAGAACAACAAGAACACCAATTTTGTATCGCAACAGTTTAGAGGAAAAGCCCCGAACGCGCCTTGCTTCCCCTCCCCTTCATGTTTGTCTCCCTCTACAGCCCGCCGTAGCTCTTACTTTTGCCGCCCGCGGCTGCCGCTACACCCCGCCACGGGCGACCGCCTACGCCTACCGTATCTGCGCAGTAACTGACGAAAGCTCCCCTCTTCTCCAGAGCAACATCAGTCCTTACGCTACGTTAACGTCGCAAACACCGCCATCATGGTACGTAAAGGTGATGCGCCAAGGCGCCCTGGCCTTCATTTCGAAGACGATTGAATATTAACAATTTTCTCTACCTGCAGTCTCAATCCGGGTGCGTCTACCTTGTCTCCCCCATGCCAATGTGCTCCCCCGCCTCTCCCCAAACCCCTCCATGGACCTGGTGGCTCCCCGCCTCTGCGACATGCGACTTTTTACTCGCGAAGGAAAAAAGAACCGCGACAAGGATGCGCAGAGGCGTGCGGCCTGTACCATTTGAACCGCAATCCAGCGCACTAGCAACCTGAATCCAAAATGACTAACTCAATATCCACCGCTTCAACAGAGCCACCGTTAGCCAGGAGTGCATCACCGCCTACAACGACCTGAAGCTTTCCAAGAAGCACAAGTACATCATCTACAAGCTTAGCGACGACAACAAGCAGATTGAAGTCGAGGCGGCCTCCAACGACAAGGATTGGGAGAACTTCCGCGAGAAGCTCATCAACGCCACCTCCAAGAGCAAGACTGTTAGTTTCCTTATACACATCCCCTTGGCCAAATGTTCACCGACATTGTGGTATGCATGTATTAACGAGTTGCTCTTCTCTTTGCTGCACAGGGTGCTGTCGGCAAGGGTCCCCGCTATGCCGTCTACGACTTTGAGTACAGCCTCGCTTCTGGTGATGGTATCCGGTAGGCTAGAGCCCAGAAAATAAGCCTCGCAGCATGCCCAGCAGCTAACACGCGCCACAGTAACAAGATTGTCTTCATTGCCTGGTCTCCCGATGATGCTGGCATCCAGGTACGCGAAACCCCCAGGGCCCACGATGGCGTTACCCTATAACTAACCTCTCTCAAAACGCACAGCCCAAGATGATCTACGCTTCTTCCAAGGAGGCCCTGAAGCGTTCTCTGACTGGCCTTGCCAGTGAGCTCCAGGCCAACGACTCTGACGACATTGAGTACGATACCATTCTCAAGACCGTCAGCAAGGGTCTTGCCGCCTAAGCGCGCCCACCTCATGATCTACACCCCCAAAGAAAAGAAAAAGAAACACCCCCACGAGAACGCTTTCACATGACAAATGACGAGAATCGGGGGAAACGGGGGCCGCAGTCTACTGACATGCCCCCGAAAGCAAAAGATGGGAACTAGCCAGGTTATATATCGCCGCTGTCTAGACCAACAATGATTCAGAAATTCAAAGCTACCACCTCAACTCGAAAATAGGTGCTGCGTAGTCTATCAATTCGTATAGTTCTTTCGTAATGGCACAACTCATATATCGGCCCATATCACAACCACAGCCTCCCTCTCTCAGAGCCCATCTACGGCTTCGCGCTTCGCGATTCCCACGCATTCTTAAACACCGTCGTCAGCTCAGCTGCCGTCTCTTCGTCCTTGACCCTCTGCAGCAGGAATCCGTTCAAGTCTGTCCAAAACTGCGGCTCCGCCACCGCCTCCGCTCCCCTCTTCGCCTCGCTGTTGCTGCTGCTCTTCACCGGCGCGGCTGCCTCCTCCTCAGGCAGCGCGGCCGCCGCGCCCTTGGTCACCATGACGCTGAACTCGACCATGGTCGATGGTGGCGGCGCGCCCTCGTCGTCGAGCCCCAGCACGTCCCGCAGCCGCTGGCCGTCCGACAGCAGACGCTTGTTGTGCAGGATCTTGAGCCTGTTGGCGGGGAGGCGGGCGTGCGCCGCGGCGGCCTGCCTGAGTTCGAGCAGGGACGCGGAGACCGGCTGCGCGGGGAGTGTGATTTCGAAGCGCGGGTTGCGCAGCGAGAGCAGCTTGACGGTGACGCTGGGCTCCTCGCCGGGAATGGCGGCGGCGGTGGCCTTCGGGCGGCTCATCGGGGTGGCCATGGACGGGAGGATGAACTAAGAAGAGGGATGACTTGGTTAGCTGGAGGGGGTTTGGGGGTGGAAGGAGGGCAGGGCCGAAGACGAACGGGTGAGCCTTTGGAAAGGGATGTGGCATCTTGGACATAGTTGTGCGAGAGCTTTGCTGGCGTCTGGCCAAGCGAGCTGATGAATTGCTTGGCAAAGGCGACTTCTGACATGATTTCGGATGGTTCTGAAGAGAGAGAGGGAAGTTTTTCCAGGTGTTGCTCGGAGATCGGCTCGAGGCGATGGGCTGGCGTTGGCGGGGAAGAAGCCCCTCGATCTCGGGGTAGCTAGAGGAGACGGTGGGTTGGGCACGGAGCTCCTGAGAAATCGGTTACACGATTATTCTATGATATACGCGCGGAGTAAATGGGTAGAACGCTCAAGGAAACGGATCGACGATGTGCGGTTGAATTGTTCGGGAGCTTGCGTCGTTGCCCAGAAGGTACCGCTATACCTGAAGGTGGGGGTTAGGCCCCAGCCAATCACCTGGCACTAACTAATGCTCGCCTCTCAGCCGTCAACTTCACACGGCATGCTGCAAAACAACTCCTGGGTCCGTCTTGAATTGGAAATCGCAGAGCAGGGTCTCAAGATGCCCCAAACGCCACATGGTATGGGCGTCTCTGCGAAAATCCCAGCTAAACTCCCCCAGCAGCGCGTGCAGCCGGTGCCGCACGTCCTCGTCCTCAGCGCATAACCACGCTGCGTTGAAGTTGAGCATCATGTGCGCGGCGCCCAGAGGTCTGTTCCTCTGGGCTTCGGGGAGCAGGTCGAACGTGTTTTGGACCAGAGTTCGGGCTTCTTCGCGCAGCGAGGCGTTGTCGGGGTCCACGGCCCGCAGCATACAATTAAAGAAGCAGCAGAACGCCAGGCAAAAACCGTACGGGCCGGTGTACTTGCTCTCTGTGGCAGGGCCTGCCATGTATTTGGAGTATACGATAGAGGCCGCATTTTGCACCGTGTTGTAGATCATGGACAGGTCGGTGATGAAGGCTTCGCGGTCAACTTGGCCCTGCATCACGGCTCTGCCACGCTGCAAGAGCGCAGGTATTCGAAATAACAAGACCAAGGTGCTAGACCCCGGTGACTTCTTGTTGATAGCGAGAACTTCTGACAAGGCCTCGAACTTGGCTGGTGAAAGTCGCATCGCCCTGTTGAAGAGAGATTGGACCAGCTGGGATGGCAATCAGCGTTTTGCTTGACTTCGACACGGCAAGCTGAAGCTACTTACCACTGGCCCATGCAAGTACGAGTGCAAGCCCATTTCGAAATCGTCGGTGATGTGGTAAGACTGTCTTGCGCGCAACATCTGAACGGCGCCCTGGCAATGGCTTGTGAGATGCTGTAGGCCAAGCCCACTGAGATTCTGCATTCATTAGAAGAAAGGGGCCGGTACCCAAGGGCCAGATACTTACTTGGCACATGGTTAACAATACTACGGCACAGATTGTCTCTAGAGAATGGGATGTTATGGGGTTACTGATGCTCTCTGTCAATGCTTTTATGGCATCCGAGTACTTTGCCAGGCTCTCCAACGTGACTGGACGACGCACAGCAAAGTCTCGATGCGATGCCACCAGCGCCTGCGCCGCTACGTCGAGCGCGTTGCTAGACCCTAGCCTCTGCGGGACGCTCTGAAGGAACTCGCCGTAGGTCCACGCAAGGTTGAATCTACGGTCCGTGGAAGGCCTTATCATCTCCGCGAAGCTGCCGACGAGCGCGTCCGCTTCACCACTGGGGCACGGCGAGAGTGACAGTAGCGAAGAGGAGGAAGAGGGAGTCGATTTAGCTGAGCCCTCGGTACTCTGGGAAGCTGCATTCTGCCGTCTGGCGCATTTCTGGTCTATGAAGAGGAAGCGCCGTTGGCCGGAGCCGACACACTCGACGCCGAGGCGAACGCATCGCGAGCATGTGGGCTTGGCGTAGTCACACTTTTGTTTATTTTAACTCTGATCAGCTACATTGGAAGATGGGTGTGTTATTTTCATATGCACCTTTTGACGTCGGCGGCGGCAGTTTTCACATGCGCGCCCAGACGGGACACCAGGCATTGTGGCGGCACCCGCGGTCTAAGTGGGCAGTGACGGGAACCTGAGCGCTATGGCAGTGGTACGACCATGATTCCACAAAGGGTGTTTCTGGCAAGCCGTATGATGACGGAGGACGGATTGAGAAAGGGGGTGAATCAGGAGCTTCCGAACTCCTTTGCGCTTGGCTCACCAGAGCCGAGAATGGCTTTATCTCTTTGTCAGTGTAGGACAACCCATCTGGCTAAAATGCATTATGTCAGCAAAGCACGTGACTTGTATCCCCATGTGAAATTGTACATGTGAGAAAGGCCATTTGAACCGTGAACTATTGAAAACGAGGAAATTAACAATTTGTTGGCTGGGGAATGACAAATCTCAGAAGGCGAACTCATTTCCGTCATGCAGTTGCTGTAGAAGTGCAAAGTGGGCAACGAAGAATGAAGTGATACATGGGGCGCGCACAGGCCACCTAGCCTCAACTGTGAAGGGCTCTCGGAAGAATGAAGGCTTGAAGCACGGTTGTGAAACGAGTGAGTGACACGTCAACTGTGATAATGACGAGGCAAAAAAAGGACTTGATGCATCTTCTTAATGCAATTCCTTTGTTTTCTTGTTTTCCCCTTGTTTTTTCTGCTTTCATCGTTTCCCCCATCCCCTATACTCGTTGTCACTTATAGGCAGGCAGCGCTTTACAACCCCTGGTCACTACGGAGTACTAGCAACGGAGGGTGACGCAAAAACGGTACCGAGCCAGCCCAGCCGGACGTTGGAGCGCTTGTAGTACCTTTTTAGAGGTACCAACCACCCATCCCCAACCTTGGAAGTCCCAAGGCAGTTAACACCCCAGCCTTTTCGATTCTCGCCCACAGTGCACCACAGCCCACCATCGCCCACCACCGCCTTCTCGCTTGTTCGTACCCTCTCGCTCGACGCGGGCGTTTTGCATCTTCACACAACGACAATACTAACTCAACCAGCGCAGCGCAGCGCCGTCCTCTTGCTCTTGAGCTTGTGCCATTTTGCACAGCTCGCCGGCAAATTGGATTTCGGCATCGACACTCGACACCTGGCTTGAGCCAATCCGCTATCGACACGACCAGCCGCCCGCCTGGCATCAACCATTCCGTGCACACGACAAGTTCACCACCTGCGCCACCAGCCCAACACTCTGCCATCGAATAGCAACTCGCAATCGCTCGGAAACCATCTTCAAATTTTCGCGACACGAACAGCGACCGTCTCAGTATTGGAATCGTACTGATTGATGCCCTCGATTATGTGCTCGTCAATCTAGACATTAGCCTTTTCTTCCGCCTAGCCATTTCAAATTATTCGGATTCGCCCTAGGCACGACGCTCGCTTGGACGTCGCCATAGACCATCATGGCGACATTAAAACTAAAAGAACGGCAACCCGCCGAGGAAATCGAGAGCTGGGATGACGATGGCGACTTCCTTCTGGACGGCGACGACCTGAGCAGGCGCACGTCCACCAACTTTAGTGGCGCGCCGATCCGCCGTCGAGACTCTACCTCGTCTCATGTATCGTTTCGATCCGAAATCGAGTCGATGCAAGGAGATGAACAGCAATTCCATATACCTGGCGATGACGAAACCTCGACCATGGATGCCATCGCCGCCGCTCAACATGCTGGCATCCCTCTGCCCCAGAACGTGCCCACGTCGGCACTCATGGGAGGAACCATCAAGCGTCTAGGAGGACGCAAAATCCAAAAAATTATCCAAGACGACTGGGAGAATGACTTGGAAATCCCTGAGTTTTCCAAGGGTCTCGCTATTAAGCCTAAGGAAGCGGTTGACTTTCCGGATACCCTTCGGCAAGTCAGTGCTGGCTCTCTTGTTGACAGCCCAACGCGTCTCAGGAAATCACCAACGGCAACTAGCGCTCCATCCGCTCCGGCTCAACCGGCGTCTACCTCAGCCGTCCGGTCTGCGACGAGCGCGCTCACCTCAGCCATCAACTTGGACAAGTTCAAAGACGCTGACGACGACGACTTCTTTGGCGAAGGCCCGGCTACCGTTCGCGCAAGCAGCATCCCCCGGGGCCGACAGCAGGTCAATCCTGTGTCATTCATCACACCGCCAACGCCACAAAAGAAGGACAGTGCAAAGACAGCCGACGATGACTTCGAAGATGACCTGGAGCTGCCATCGGATGGCAAGCTGACGCTTTCAACTAGAAGAGATATCCCCGCCACGCCGTTGCAGGTCGATGACTTGGACTGGGGAGAAGGAAGCCTGGGCACTCGCTGGGGCGGCACTCGACGCGATGGACGATCAAATAGGAGTTCCTCTGCATCTGCGCTCAGCCCTAGCATTTCTAGTTCGGTCACTGCGGAGAGTGAAGACGAGACTTTTGATGGCCTCTTGCTCCCCGCCGGCCCCCTCAACTTAAAGGAGCGACTCCAACACCGCAAGAACAGCCCCTCCCCTTCAAGATTAATTGTCGATACACAAATTGCTAGTGCCACGACTACCTCAAGCAAACCACATGTGGAACCTGAACGTCAGGATCCTCTTGATGGCTTAGACATCGGTGATGGGGATGTATTCGAGTCCACCAAGCTATCATTGCACAGAAACATCAAAATCAAGGAATTGCAACCCGCGAGTCCCGCGCGACCGAAGACTGCGGTGTCGTTGACGTTTACCAATAAGTCTGGCACAACCACCCGTCTACCCCGTCTCAGTCATGAGCGTTCACGTTCTACTGCGCTGGAACCTGTGTCAGAGAGCGGTGGTCCTATCCAGCAAAGGAGCCGTCGACCGCAATCGCGCCTCGGTCATTCTGCACAGTCATCCGTGGTCAGCGTACCGACGCCCACGACTCTGCATGCTCCTCCCTTCCCACCATCCACACCGCGCCGGAGAGAAGTTTCTACTAGGTCATCGTTCACTACTCTCCGCAACGATACTGCATCGACGACAAATGCCCAGCTTTTACGCCAGAAGCGATCTATGCCTGCTGTTCGTCAAGCAAACTCGCCCATGAAGCCCCCGACTACACGTTCGTCGGATCGACCGCCATCTAGGGATAACAACCGGTCTCAATCAGGCCTCCGACCGAAAACGCCGGTAGAACGCATTCGCCAGCAGGAAAGCCCAACATCACACTCAAAAAAGACACCCATGCCTTTCTTGCCTGCGGGGAGCTCACAAAATACATCGCATCATGTGACGTCCAAGGGGATGAGGCAGTTTCGGCGATGGGATTCTGAGAATGGCATTGACACTCGATCCATCTCTCGCACGTTCTCAAGGTCGGGGATGCGCTCGCCAAGCCCTCAGCGCTTTAGAGTCGCCGCTGATACTTGGGAGAGGCTTAGTAAACCCAAGAACAAGCGCAACTTTGGTGATGGGCATGAGCTGGATGGATTCGATGATCTTCCAACGTCAAAAGAAGCCGAGACTCGCTTTTTGCGGCAGCCGAATGCGACTGGCCTGAAATCTGCTCTGAAGAACAAGACATATCAGAGCCTGATTCCCGACCGCATTGGTACGCCGGCGCCTCAATCTCCTGCCAGGCCCTTGTCAGGCACTCCACGCTTTGCGCGGGATACCGCAGCAAGTCGTATTGCCCGTGAGACGTCTCTAGCCAATCGAGTGCCTGCAAATGGGCCTCTGGCTACCATCTCCGCGCAACGCGGCACAAATCAGCCTCCGCGATCCACTCCCAACCCTCAATTGCCTTCACAACACATTATTCGACCAAAGAAGCCTTCTAAGCGCGTGCAACAGCAAAAGCCGCACTTGATTGCAAACTTGAACAGCGGAAAGGAATCGAAGACTGTCAATGGCATGTACTACAATGCCGAGACGTTTCGATGGGAGGGTAATGAGAATGCGTTGAGTGCTTTTGACCACACTTCAACTCAATCGCCGGCGCCGTCTCCCGCCCACCTCGCGCGAGAGAAGGACTTGCTAACTCCCCGGCCGGCCCTCATCACAAACATCAGCTCCACCAAAGGCGTTCAAGTTGTCGGCGGCATGGTGTTTGATCCGCAGAACATGTGCTGGCTCAAAATTGGCCAGCAAAACAACCCGGCGTCAGAGACGAGCGACACCATGGACGGGTTCAATGCTCTGGACGACGAAGAGGATGTCTTTAAAGACATTCCCGATCTTGATGATCATGGCGCTGACGAGACGCGGGGACAGGGCCGAGTCAGTGACATCAAGGATGAGTGGCTTGTTGGAGAAGAATTTGATGTCGGCCCCGAGTTTATTAGGAGACAGCGTGAAGAGGAGGAGCGTTGGAGACGAAAGTGTGAGAAGTGGATTGGTCGCGGATCGCGAGATCGCGACACATGGAGGTGGACGATTCGCGAGCTGGTTTCTCAGTTTGACGACTTGTCTGTTTAACGCCGTTACGATTTCTTTCTTTCGTTGCGTGTAGGTCGCTTTGACCTTGCATGTTATATATATTATTCCTGCATTTATCGGGGACTTGCCAAGGTGGCAGTTTCTGAAGATCTGTTTTGGGAGCTGGACGCGGGACAGGGGTGCCCGTAGCGGCCAGCTGGGTTGGTGTTTCTGGGACTGGGAATAGAAAAAGGGGCAGGGTGTATATGATCCCGAAACATGGTTACGACGAAACGACTCGGATGCGCTCATGACGAATATATGTTTTCCTTGGCTTGGCTATAGATGATAAGTGGATTTCATTAACGGGGAGAGGGGTGACGGGGGACCGGACCGGGGGACGGGGGAGGGGACGATTTGTTCGACTAGTATAAAGGACTAAGCATATGTATCAACATGCATCTTTTGTATTTTCCCCTGATTAATACTTTGTTGATGGTACAGTGCATTGCGTGTGAGGTGCCTTTCCTGCGGTGGCACCTGCAAGCGCCACCAGAGTGATCTGCACAGAGCCTGACCAGGCAAGTTCATTTTCTCACCACTCTCGCTTGCATCCCTGTGCTTAAGCTACCTTTCCCTCAAAGACATCGCAATCATGCAACTGAATAAATGCCGATGGGCCTTTTCGGATTTAACATGAATGCTGTGGATAGCGTCATAGCTGACCCCCGCGACAAGCGGGGCAGCTGTCGTTACCCGGATTCACGGCAAGTGAAATTAACAGACATAAAGGTAGTTGGCAACCCCCAAACCAATCCAACCTTAACAACTACACGAGAGATACACATCACCGCGTAAAGAATTATACGCCATGAATTCGATCGGCGCAACATTCACACCGGATGCCTCGGGCCAGTCACCCAAGCAGGTCTCGACGATTCCACAGCTCAAGCTGAACGATGGCCACACCATCCCCATGGTCCGTATACCTGGAGCACCTCTTATCCGGCTACCGTGCGTGCTAACACAAACAACGAACGTGGGCAGTTGGGATACGGACTAGGCACGGCCAACTTTAAAGCCGCGAGCGCCAAGGGCAAGTTTGACCAAAAGGTGGTTGACTCAACAAAGGAGGCCATTGCCAAGGGTTTCCGCCACCTAGACGGAGCCGAGGGTACGTTTGTTCGACTGGTCCTGCCTCTTAACCTCTCACGTTTGAACTGAGCCGCTCACCAGCCTCCCCCCGGGGCCCCTAGTCTACGGAAACGAGGAGGAGCTGGGCGCCGCCATCAAGGAGTCCAACGTGCCGCGGGAGGAGCTCTACATCACGACCAAGTTCCCCGCCACCGGCGCCACCTCGCCGCGCGAGCACTTTGACGCCTCGCTGCGCCGCCTGGGCGTCGACTACGTGGACCTGTACCTGCTGCACGGCCCGTGGTTCGCGCAGGGCTCGGCCGCGGCGCTGCAGCGCGCCTGGGCCGACATGGAAGCCATCCGGGCCTCGGGCCGCGCGCGCTCCATCGGCGTCTCCAACTTTTTGCAGGAGCACCTCGAGCCGATCCTGGAGACGGCCACGGTCGTGCCGGCCATCAACCAGATCGAGTTCCACCCGTACCTGCAGCACGGGGACCTGCTCGCCTTCCACCGCGACAAGGGCATCGCGGTCGCCGCGTACAGCCCGCTGGCGCCGCTGACGCGCGCGCGCGGCGGCCCGGTGGACGCGACGTGGGCGCAGCTGGCGGAGAAGTACGGCGTGGGCGAGGCGGAAGTTGGCTTGAGGTGGTGCGTGGACCAGGGCATCGTGACGCTGACGACGACGGGCAACGCGGAGCGCATGGGCAGGGTGGTGCGGCTGGTGCCCAAGTTCAAGTTGACGCCCAAGGAGGTGGAGGACGTGGCGGCGCTGGGCAGGGAAAAGCACTTTCGCGCGTTCTGGCGTGAGAAGTTTGACGCGGAGGACAGGAGTTGAGGAATCCGGCCAAACAAAACTGATAACCATGATTTGGTAGAGGCCGAGTGGGAAGGGTTACAGAAGAGGACATGGGTTCTAGCTTAGAGTCAGGAAGGCAGGCCACGGCCGAAACACACGCTGAATGAAGATTGATGAATTATGCTACTAGTTACCAATACATGGATCCTTCGTTCTACAACTCGTCATCAGAATCCGTAGCTGCGCCGTCTGCTGGCACCACCGCCTTTGGAGGGGCCTCCTTTGGTTTTCTATTCGCAAATGGGAGGTCTCTCTTGGGCGGTGGTGCCGCTGCAGCCTTTTTGGGCGGGCTCGGCTCACGAGGCGGCGGCGATGTGGCAGCTTTGTCTTGTTCGTTTCTGCCGCTGTCGTCTGCCATCTTCTCGTCCGAGTCGTCTTCATCCCCATCTACCGATGCCGTTGCCTCCGTCGTGTTCCCACCATCCTCGGTATCCTCAGGCTCCGACTTTATGCGCGGCTCCTCCTCCGCCGCGTCCCCGCCGTCAGACTCTTCCTCCTCCTTGATCGGCGCGGGCGCCTTCCTCTTTCTCGCGCGAGAGGCGGCCGGCTTTCGGGCTCTAGACCTACCCTTGGAGGGCTCCGGTTCCGGCGACTGCTCCTCGGGCTCTGGTTCCTGGGCGGCGGCGGCAGCGAAGGTGCCGGACGCCAGGACCTTTTGCTGCTCCCGGATCTTGACCTTCTTTTCGTTGAGCAGGTCTCGGAACTTTTGCAGTAGTGCCGTCTCGTCCTCGTCCTTGGCCTTGAGCAGCTCTTCCAGCTGCTCCTTGAGCTTCTGGATGGCAGCCTCCAGTTCGGTCACAGTGGACTGGGCTTGCGCGGTGGCCGCGTTGCTGGCGACGACGGCGTCAGCAGAGGCGGCACACCACTGGAGCAGCTCAATTTCTTGGTTCTCATCATGCGATAAACTAATTATGCCAAGCCGTTGCTATGTGACAGAATTAGCGAATTACTCGAGGATGGATGAGCCAGGGAATTTTACTGTAATGCCTTGCACCTGCTTCCTGATTGTGATTGTGATAGAGGTTTCACTCTGAACGGTAGCGGTTGCATTGATGACGCTCAATGGTTTCTGACTGAAAAACGACTCGAGCGTTGATTCCCACTCAGAGTCCGTCAATGGGCTATTCTGCACTTTGAGTGCCGCGATGCGGTCATGTTTGACTGCACGAGGGCAGCAGGCAGGTTGGGTCAGCTTCAGATATAGCGGACTTGTCTTTGAGGGCGGTGTAGAACTCCTACTCTTGACAACGTATGGCGCCTCTCCTTCAGTTGCAATCAACTTGAGATCCAAGGGCTTTTTGCCGGCGGATGAGGAGGCCTGTAACAAGACGAACTCTTGGTCATTGTCGCTTTGCGGTATCTTGAATACTCTTGACGTGGTCATGGCGAGACGGGAGTCGATGCTACACGCAAGCCGAGATGCTGGATGGTATCCGGTATTTGATATTCTGGGCTGGCTGTGATGAGCGGCTCTTGGGACAAAATTCACGAAAGAAAGTCAGTCGGTTGAAGTTGGTTGTTTGTAAAATAGATTAGCGTGATACAGTATGACGGGTAGCTGGCTGGCTGGCTTCTAGGCAGCAACTCCACTCAACAGCAGCCCAAGGTTTGCATGCCAGATTTCTTTACATTTTGTGATAATTCTCTTGTTCGCATTTTTTTCTATTCCTCCTCTCTAATAATCTACCATAGATATTGTTTACTTCAGAGTTAAAGAGTGTCAGCCTGAGTCGATGGTAGGTAACGATTCCCTCTGTGCATTGAATCACTCCTGGCATTCAGCGAGGGGTTATTAGCTTGTAGGCGGCCTAGTACTATGATATTCGGAGTTCCTAGTATGCTTGAAGTTTCGCTGCTTTTTCATTATTACTTTCCTCATTTTCCCGTTTTTTTTTGCAGTGATAAGAGGTGATGGGACAGTAAATGAAAGGCGCTTGTGTGTCTTCGCCGTCATGGTTGGTAAGCGGGCACGGGTGTCTAACGATAACCCGTCCGCGATCCAACTGTGTTTAATCAACTGCCGAAAAGGAAACAAAATAAAAAAAAAATGCACCAATATCAGCTCACATTACGGATACGGTTTCTTGATTTCCTGGTTGTCAGAGATGGGTCGGCTCGGCTTTCGGTTCCGCACCACCGTCTACCGCCTACCGTCTACCGTCTAGCATCTACCGTCTAGCCGTCACCCGCTGTGGCGCGCCGCGCTCCAGCGGGCAGCCGGCTCCGAGCTAAAACGCCGCTCGCCACTGGCTACCTAGGGAAGCCCTGCAAGTTAACTAGAGGTTGCGTCATGTGCAGGATTCCAAATGCACATTATTATATAACAAGAGAAGAGCGCTTCCACATTTCGTGACCAGACATCTCCTGACGACACCACAAAATTGGCCGTTGATGCTTCGCAGAATTAGCCTTTGCAGGCCTCTTCCGCGAATACCACAGCCTCTCCCTATTTCCCGCATGGCAAACAACGGCTCGGCGCATCATGCGCGCCGCCTCTCGTATGAGGGCAAGCCGCTCCAAGACATCCCCAAGTCCTGGAAATTTACGTCCAAACTCAAGCCCGATGCTCTGTTCCCCACCCCGGCTGCCTCGCACAAGACGCCCCGAGATGATATCGGCCCGCGCATGGTCCGCGACGCCCTCTTCACCTGGGTGCGGCCCGAAAAGCAGCACGATCCCGAGCTGCTCGCCGTGAGCCCCGCCGCCATGCGCGACCTCGGCATCATCGATGACGAAAAGAGCACTGAAGACTTTCGGCAGTTCGTTGCAGGAAACAAGCTCTATGGTTGGGATGAGGACACGCTGCAGGGCGGCTACCCATGGGCCCAGTGCTATGGCGGTTATCAGTTTGGTCAATGGGCCGGCCAGCTCGGAGACGGCAGAGCCATATCTCTTTTCGAGACGACGAACCCGGCCACTGACATTCGCTACGAGCTGCAGCTCAAGGGTGCCGGCCTGACCCCGTACTCGCGCTTTGCCGACGGCAAGGCCGTTCTCAGGTCCAGCATCCGCGAGTTCATCGTCTCCGAGGCCTTGAACGCCCTGTCTATCCCCACGACGCGCGCACTGTCTCTTACCCTACTACCGCACTCCAAGGTCCTTCGCGAAAGACTCGAGCCGGGCGCCATCGTCCTGCGCTTTGCCCAATCCTGGCTGCGTCTCGGCACCTTTGATCTCTTGCGATCCCGGGGTGACCGCAAACTGGTGAGAGAGCTATCCGCCTATGTCGCAAATGACGTCTTCGGGGGCTGGGAAAAATTACCCGGGAGATTAGAAAACCCAGATAAACCCGCAGATGGACCGAAACCCTCTCGCGGTGTCCCGGAGAAAACTGTGCAAGGGCCCGAAGACGTTGCGGAGAACAGGTACACCCGACTATACAGAGAGATAGTGCGGCGAAATGCTCTAGTCGTTGCACAATGGCAAGCATATGGCTTCATGAATGGGGTTTTGGTGAGCAGTCCCGTCATGCCCGCATCTTTCTAGTACTAACGCACGTCGTAGAACACGGACAATACCTCTGTGTTCGGCCTGTCCATTGACTTTGGCCCTTTTGCTTTCATGGATAATTTTGATCCTTCTTACACACCGAACCACGACGACGCCATGCTACGGTACTCCTACAGGAACCAGCCTACCATTATCTGGTGGAACTTGGTCCGCCTCGGCGAATCCCTTGGAGAGCTGATGGGTATGGGCTCAGCAGTCGACGACGAATCATACATTGCAGAGGGCGTCAAGAAGGGCCAGGAGGATGAAGTTATCGCCCGAGCCGAGAAACTCATCACGCAAGCCGGCGAAGAATACAAGCACACCTTCTTGTCAGAGTACAAGAGGCTGATGACTAGACGCCTTGGCCTGCGCCAACAAAGAGAATCTGATTTTGATGTGCTCTTCTCTGAGGCCTTGGACACACTGGAAGCCTTTGAGCTAGACTTTAGCCACTTCTTCCGTCGGCTCAGCAGTGTCAAACTCGCCCAAGTCGCGACCGAGGACGCTCGACGCCAGACAGCCCGCATCTTCTTTCACAATGAAGGCCTGCCAAAGACAGTCACGGAGAGCGATGCACTGGATCGTATCTCCAAATGGCTGTCTAAGTGGCATGACAGGGTCGTTGGGGACTGGTCGTCTGATGGGGCTGTCACTGAAGGCGCAGAGGCCGAAAGGATACAAGCCATGAAGCAGGTGAACCCGAATTTTGTGCCCCGAGGCTGGATTCTGGATGAAATCATTCGCCGTGTTGAAAAAGAGGGAGACAGAAATGTCCTGGATCGCGTGATGCACATGGCTCTACACCCGTTCCATGATTCCTGGTCAGGCCTGGAATTTGACGGTGCTACATATCAGGGCGATAGGGATGAAGAGCGACGCTGGGTTGGCGACGTGCCTCGTTTCGAGCGAGCGATGCAGTGCAGTTGCAGTTCTTGATAACGATACGACCAGGCAACAACATGTAAGCTAGATAGATAATCAAGATGCCTTCTAGGCTTTGAGATGTAACGACCGGCGGTAAGAGGCAATGCTCGTTGAGATAGAAAAAATCTCTCCCCTGCTTCCATAATCGGCGTAAAACTGTTTAATCTGGAGCATAAGATAGAGGAAGACTCGATTGAAGCCATGCACTGCAGAGCAGAACGCGGCTCAAGCTCACCTACAATAAAATATGCCCGTGTACAATTAATTGGGAGAAAAGAAAAACAGAGCAAAGCTCGCAAATTCGCGGGAAGGTTATAGCGCGAGAGTGGATGCGTTGATGCCTCAGGCATGACAAGGGGCGGCCAGCCAATCAGCGCTGTTGTAAATTAATCCGTGGACGAACATACTAGCGGAGGAGCCTTGCCCGTCAAACCGACCAGCAGTTCTTCCACGCAGCGTCCCACGGACTGAGTCCTTTAATCCGCCGCAGCGCACTGCATCTCATCACATCTCACCCCCTCCATTGATCTACGGCACGGCGGCAACGATGCTTCGACACACGCTGGCTCGTTCCGCGCTGCGGACGGGCATACGGGCGGCCGGCGCCTCGCGCGCTTTCTCTGCATCTGCCCAGCGCCACGCCGAGGTGGAGCTTACAATTGGTGAGCAGGGCCGTCAATGGCGAATAATTGGGTGTCGGCGGATGTGCTAACTGGTTTTTAGATGGCAAGAAGGTCTCGATCGAAGGTAGGAACTGATTCCGCGAGCCCGCGAGCCGACGAATGCTAACTCGGACAACAGCTGGCTCGGCCCTGATCCAAGCTTGCGAGAAGGCTGGAGCGACGGTCCCTAGGTGCGTCAAAGCCTATATAAAAGGCAATCAATTGATGGGAACTAACATTTTATTCTCAGATACTGCTACCACGAGTACGATTGACCCTCGATCCGATGACGTCCGATCCCCCGAAACGAAGCTGACAAAGATTTCACAGGAAGCTCATGATTGCAGGAAACTGTCGTATGTGTCTCGTCGAAGTCGAAAAGGCCCCCAAGCCTGTTGCCTCTTGCGCCTGGCCCGTTCAACCTGGCATGGTTGTCAAGACCAACTCGCCCCTCGCCCACAAGGCCCGCGAGGGCGTCATGGAGTTTCTCCTGGCCAACCATCCTCTCGACTGCCCCATCTGCGACCAGGGTGGTGAGTGCGATCTCCAGGAGCAGTCTCTGCGCTACGGTGCCGACCGCGGTCGGTTCCACGAGATTGGCGGCAAGCGTGCTGTTGAGGACAAGAACATTGGACCCCTGATCAAGACCTCGATGAACCGCTGCATCCACTGCACCCGATGCGTGCGCTTCGCCAACGACATTGCTGGAGCGCCTGAACTTGGCTCTACCGGCCGTGGTAACGATATTCAGATTGGCACCTACCTCGAGAAAAACCTCGACTCCGAATTGTCTGGCAACGTCATCGACCTGTGTCCCGTCGGCGCCCTCACCTCTAAGCCCTATGCGTTCCGCGCCCGTCCCTGGGAGCTTAAGCACTCCGAATCCATTGACGTTCTCGATGGTCTTGGCTCCAACATTCGTGTCGACTCCCGCGGTCTCGAAGTCATGCGTATTCTCCCCCGCCTGAACGACGACGTTAACGAGGAGTGGATCAACGACAAGTCTCGCTTCGCTTGCGACGGCCTCAAGACCCAGCGCCTGACTATGCCTCTCGTCCGCCGCGATGGCAAGTTTGAGCCCGCCGACTGGGAGGAGGCCCTCACCGAGGTCGCTCGGGCGTGGGAGCAGAAGAAGCCTCAGGGCAACGAGTTCAAGATCATTTCTGGTGCTCTGACTGAGGTCGAGTCTCTGGTTGTTGCCAAGGACATGGCTAACAAGCTTGGCTCTGAGAACCTCGCCCTGGACACCCCCACCGGCAGCGCTCCCCTCGCACACGGTGTTGACGTCCGTTCCAACTATCTGTTCAACTCGACCATTTGGGGCATCGAGGAGACTGACTGCATACTGATTGTTGGCAGCAACCCTCGTCACGAGGCTGCTGTGCTCAACGCCCGCATCCGCAAGCAATGGCTCCGTTCTGATGTTGATATTGGCGTTGTCGGCGAGACCTTTGACTCCACCTTTGAGTTTGAGCACCTCGGTGGCGACCACGCGGCCTTGAAAGCGGCCCTTGCCGGCCCCTTCGGCAAGAAGCTGGCCGCTGCCAAGAAGCCCATGATCATTGTTGGCTCTGGTGTTACCGACCACGTTGATGCCAAGGCTTTCTACGAGACGGTTGGAGCCTTTGTCGAGAAGAACGCCACCAACTTCCGCACTCCTGAGTGGGATGGCTACAGCGTCCTTCAAAGGGAGGCTTCGCGCGCCGGTGCCTTCGAGGTTGGCTTCGTCACTCCCTCCGCCGAGGTTTCCCAGGCGAAGCCCAAGTTCGTCTGGCTCCTTGGTGCCGATGAGGTCAACGAGGCCGATATCCCCAAGGATGCCTTCGTTGTCTACCAGGGCCACCACGGTGACCGTGGTGCTCAGATTGCCGACATTATCCTGCCCGGTGCCGCTTACACCGAAAAGGCCGGCACCTACATCAACACCGAGGGCCGTGTACAGATGACCCGTGCCGCCACCTCCCTGCCCGGCGCTGCCCGTACCGACTGGAAGATTCTCCGCGCCGCTTCCGAGTTCCTCGGCGCTCCTCTCCCTTACGACGATGTCACCGCCGTCCGCGAGCGCATGTCCACGATCAGCCCTGCCCTCGCCGTTTACGACGTTGTCGAGTCCGTCGCGCTGAAGGAGCTTAGCAAGGTCCAGCTCGTCGACCAGAACAAGGGCTCCAAGGCCACTGGTACCCCTCTGAAGAAGCCCATTGAGAATTTCTACTTTACCGATGTTATTTCGAGAAGGTTCGTCTCACACACACCACCATTCGCAATATTTCGTTCAATATACTAACGAGTGTGATGATAGCTCGCCAACGATGGCCCGCTGCTCTGCCGCCAAGGCTAGCGGCGACCCCAGAACAAACCTCATGGCCTCCGGCATGGAGGAGGACAGACCCATGGGCCAAATTGCCTACGGATCATAAAGAGAGAGGGGGTAGAGGTCGAGACGGCTGTACTAAAATTAAAGAGAGCGTTTTCCTTGCGTCATAACATTGTGTGGTGGTGGGTTTTACTTTGTACATATAAAGAGGGTAGATTTAGTGGCGACAGGTAGATAACCTTGAAGAGACGTTGAATTCCTTTTTTTTTCTTAATATAGCTAGCTACCTTTCTTCTCGTGAGAATCCCGTTCACCTTTTCAGCGGTTGCCCAGTCCCTTGTCCCCTTGGTACTTGGACGTCTTCTTCAGAATAGATTTGGGCTGCGGTTTCGCGGGGTGGCGCACTGGTGCCGTCGGACCCGACTTTGACGTAGCCGATGCTGGGTTTGTCGATGCTTGTAGGGCTGAGTTGTCCCTGGTAGGGGCCGCAAAGGCGGAAGAAGAGGGCCTCTTGGGCTCGGCTGCTGCTGCCGGCGAGCCAAGCTGGAATTTGACCGGAGGTCTCGTGGCAGCCGATGTGTGCGGCGCACTCCTACCCGGCTGCGGCGGTCTCAGGGGCGGCAGCTCCTCTTGTGGCGGCCGTTTCCTCGTGGCGTCGTCTTCTGCTTCTGCTCACCATCACCGTCTCCACCGCTCTGTCCTTTCGTGTCGTCCGTGGTGGTGGTGGTGTTGTGGGAGGTGGGCGGCCGCACGGACCGGTCCATCTCGGCCTCTCGCACGGATATGCCCATCGGAGCCATCGGCGCCACCCGCGCCACCGGCGGCTGGCTGCGACTCCGCTGCGCAATCTCGCGGTCGAGCGCGCGTCGCCTCTCGTCCCGTCGGGCGGAGATGTGCGCGTCGTAGCCGTGTAGCTCCGCTGTGGCCTTGCCAACGAGCATCAGGGCCTCGCGGGCGGCGTGTGCGCGCGGGGTTGTCACCGGTCTGTGCGTGAAGCTCGGCTCTGGCACGTGCCCGATGACGTCTCCCGGAGCGTGAGTGCCGCCCCTGCTGCCGGATCTTCCCCTCTCGGCGTGCAGGACCTTGGCGACGACATCCGAGGAGGAGAGCTTGGCTGGCGGCGGCGGCGGCGGCGGCGGTGCAGGCGCGGCCATGTTTGCGATCATTCTCTCCATATCCGCCTTACTAGCAGGCCACCAGCTGACGCCGTGCCGCATCTGCGGATCGTAGCGGGGATCTTCGCGGCCGTAGCCGGCGGCGGCGTCCTCGGCGCGTGCGACCTGCATCAGGCGCGCGTCCTCGCGGCGGAACAGCGCGGGGATGTTGCCGCGCACGGCGGCGGCGTGCCGGTCGCACTGCTCGAGCGCCTTGCGCATATGCGCGACGCGGTCCGTCCGGGCGAGCGCGACGAACTCCTCCATGGCCTCCTCACTGGGTAGGATCTTGCTGATGGGCACGAAGATGGCGGGCGCGAGGGAGCGAAGTCGCGGGATGGGCGGCTCTGCTGCTAAGGCTGTTGTCGGTGGCCGTGGCGGTGGTGGCATGCGTTGTGCCTCTGACGTGTTGCCCATGATGACATCCCCGTCGGTGGCCGTCGCGGGCGGTCGGTCCGTGCGATGGCCGAAGCTGTCATTCCTATCTCTCTTACCAGGAGAGTTTGCGTGGGAAGAAGGGTTGGACAGCGGGAACGAGGGTTGTGCACCGCGCATGCTTCTCGGTTCGGTTGGAGTGCCTGGAGGGGGCGGCATCGTGTGGGAGGGAGGCGGGCGGCGGGCCGTGGTTAAGTATTTGAAATTTTGCGAAAGGGATGAAATATTTTGCGAGTCGCGTTTGTTTTGACATCCGTTGTTTGTGCTGCATGCGTTTGTTGCATGCATGTGTATGTATCCGAACCTGACGGCTGCCGCAACATGGGCCTGTCGTTTGCTGGAGAAGGTGGGCAGACATTTTATTGCATGGTGGCCATTGCCCTGAACAACAGTCGCACCTGGTCTTCCCAAGATACTAGATACAGAGAACTTCTAAGACGATGTCAGACTATTGATCAAAAAGATGGCATTAGATGCAAGTGGCAACGTGAATAGGTAGATAACAAACCATGTAGAGACGATGCAGCACGAGGAAGGAGGCACGTACCTAGGCTGGAAGGACAGACAGAAAATAGCAAAGTAAATCCACGTATATGCATGCTGCCTATGTAAAGATATAAAGTATTCGTCCAATGGTATCTAGTACAAATAAAACTCCAAGTCATGAAGAAGCGCCGCACTGCCGGCCTTCTTGTTCATACATACATACATGTGATGGCTGAATAAAGTGATGCAGCCGATGAGGCAGTATGCTGGTGCGGATGCGGATGATGAGTACCGGTTCCTCGGCCCAGTAGTAGATCCAGTCAAATACTTAACAGCCCTGCAGCCTGTTGCACCACCTGTAGTTGTGTGGCAATTCGCTGAGTTGCCGCGTTTAGAGCCGCGGGGTCATCCAGAGTGCGGCATACCACGTCTCCAGACTCGCGCTCGGGTAACAACAATGGCTGCCATGATGCGATGTTTTCCACAAAAAGGATGACCTCTTCACCTCGATGGGACAATATTCCTCACGTATTCTCGTACGAGAGTTAGGGCTGCACGGACAAGGTCTTCAAGACGCCGATCCTTGCGCTTCCTCATCCACACCAGGATGAGGGACAGGATTACGCAGTCGATGAGAAGGTGCTTCATGATGGACCAAACGAGCCAGCCAAGCCATGATGGGAAGCTACGCTCCTTCTTTGATTTCCACTCTCGCCCGGTGGAGATCTGCTCCCGTAAGGCGGCCACCTCAGCAGACAGCTTTGTGATGGCGCGTTCCATCTTCCGCTGTGACCGACCGCTTCCTACGCTGACATCGTGCCCCATTTCGCGGTCTTCTAGATCCATTTGCCGCTGGGATCGCAGCTCTGCTTCGTCTTGTTCGCTCATGGGGCTCAACATTTTCATGGGACCATCGCTGCCGCTCATCGGTTGCGTGAAACGTCGGGGTGGTACCGTAGCTTGTGGTGAGGAATCGCTCGCGCTGGGACTGTTGTGCTTGATCTGGTTCCATACAAATTCGAGTTCTGAAACCAGCTCTCTCCCGTCTCTGTTGGCACGCTTGTTAGTGCGATGTGGTTTAAACGGGGGTCATGTGAAGGCTGCGAGGTAGCCTTACGCTGTTGTAGCATATCGGTGCATAGTTTCAATGAGAGCCTCAATGTAACGTCTCTTTGCTTCCGTGCGACTGATGCCTTTTTGGCAATTCCATGCGTCCCATTTGTCGCGTTCCCGCTGCAGTTCCTCGGCGGCCAGGCCCGTGCTGGCCATGGGCTGCTCCATGACGCCGTCCACGTCACCTTCCATTGCTTGCTTGTAGAGTCCATAGAGACGGAGTCGTTCGGAGGGCGGTGGCCGTGACGCGCCCGTCTTGGGAATTTTCTTGACTGTGTTGAGGGCATGGACAAAGACCCGATCTGTTTTGATTAGCCAGAGGTCCGCCGAGAAGGCGCGCGGCGCGACGATTTCAGTATTGGGCTGACATACCTACAGAGTCCGCCATGGCGACGAGAGATGCCGGACGTGATTTATCGAGAGATGATGACGCTATCAATTCCACGCGGTCGCGAGCCCTCGAGGTGCTGGCATCGGCAGGCTGCAGGGACCTTGGTGTATTACCGGGACCTCGGAACAAGCGTGCTAATGGCGTCAGAGCCCCGCCGAGGGATGCAAGACGCGGCGAGAGGGAGGAGGGCGGAGCTAGAAGGTAGCTGGCGAGGGCAATGGATGAAGGGATAAAAGGGAAGAAGAGGGCGGAAACGAAACGAAAAGATAAGGATATGAAGCTGGGGAATTGTGACGGAGGAGAAATGACCCAAAGTCCGAACGAGGGAAAGGAAGGATGGCCATGCAGTTCTGATAATGCGCTGGGTTGGCCCGCTGAGGAGCTCCGGTTCCAGTGGTAAGGCGGCGCTAGACCCCAATCGCCACCCTCCAGAGCCCGCTTGTCAAGTTGTGCCTCGGCGAAGTCTGAGTTGATGTCCACCTGTCCTGCGCCTCTAGTAATTTCGTCCTTGCACGCGACAGACAGCTGCTTGCGACGGCGCCGCCAAAATAGGCACAATACAAACACGTGAAACCCCAGGTACCAGGTTGTAGTACCGCAGCTCCTTGCTAGTATTGAGTCAGCTTGTAATAACGAATATCTCAGGAGCAGAACAAATCTGCCATCGTAGCTGTCTGGTCGAGCAGTCGCTCAAGGACATACGTGCATCTCCTTGCTTCTAAGCATCGAACATATGAGAAACACATCGGTGAATACCATACATCCCGAGGTGTGCTAATTAGTAAGATGCTAGACTATTCAATGGGTATCTACAAAATTCACCTTTGACTTAACCATGCTACCTATACCGCGCCGCCCTTGGCTTCCATGAAAGCCTTCTTCTTGCCTTCGTACACCTTGATCAGCTTCCTGTTCTCGAGGGCTCGCATCGCGGCCTTTTGGCCAGCCTCCTTGACATTCAAGCCAGACCCCCAGCCTAAGAGCTTGCCCTTCTCCCCCCAACCATCCAAGTAAACATTAACAGTAAATAACTCTTGGCCCAGATGACGGTCCGTTTTCTTCTTCGTTTCTGCTTTCTCGTATCGTAATGTGATTCCCTTGACGACAATCTTGCAGCTCAGCTCCTCTTTGGGATTCCTTTGACGCTCCGCATTTTCCGTCGTGACTGCATCTGCCTCAGCCACTTCTGCCTTTCGCACGTCGTCGATAATGGCTCGACCCCAAAGTGCCTTGAGCCAACCCATCGTCGTTGCAATGCCATTTGCGGGGTCTGAGAGAATGAGTGCTGCGACATAGGATTCGAACATGTCGCCTTGTATTTTCAGCATGTCTTTGTCACTAGAGCTGCCTCTGGCTGGCTTCTTTTGGTCCATGATATCTCTCGGTAGTCTGGCCTTCGATTCAAGGCCGTACTCTCGGAAATACGCTGCCAAAGTGGTGTTTCGTATAAGCCTCTCTCGCATCTGTGAGCAACGGCCAGATGGCATCTTGGGAAACGTATTGTGGATGAGAAGCGTCGCAAAAAGTTCCAAGTACGCGTCGCCTACCCACTCCAGCTTCTCATATTGCTTATCGGGACTGCTTCCAGGAACGAAACCTGGATGCGTGAAAGCTAGCTCCTCGAGTTTCTTGTCCTTGACCTTTGGTAACGGTGGCAGCAGCTGGGATATCTCAGCCGAACGCCATGGTGTCGCACATTCCATGGACGACGGGACGTTGAAGCTCAAAGGTGAGGAATTTGCAGTGTCATCAATCTTGCTTCGCTTCGTTACTGTATCACTCGGCTCGGCGCCGTTTGAAGATGGCGGGCGTTTTGCCATTGCTGTATTCAAACAATGTTGAAGAATAAAGATTCTAGAGATGTTAGAAAGAATGGTCACTTAAAGTTGAAAGTTGCAAGGTGAAGCAGAGAATCTGGAAAATCAAGCGCAGCTATAGCTATCTAGGACTAGCCCACACTGCTGCCCCAGTGTCAACGACGTTACCAGGGCTAGCTATCACCATTGCCCATTCTTACTATCCTTGATATTATTATTACTATTGCTCTATACGTTTGTCGCATTTCCTACTTCTACCATGAATACTGATAACATATTTAGAAGTTCTATTAATGTCACTTTCCAGGCGCCTTCGACGACGTGCGTCTTCAATTACTGATCTAATGGGGTATAGTGCGGTGTTAAATTTCGTACACACAGTGCAAGTGAAGATGCATGGAGTGGGCCTGGATCCCGAGCGGTAGCCAATTGGGGCCCGTAATTGTTTGAGCAAAGCTACTCGTCTTTTGCGACTCAACACTGACATCTGTTGCACAGAAACGGCAATTCTACAACGCGCACTCCACGATGAGTGTCCCACGCGCACGGGTAGTAGACCTTATGAAGGTACGAGACCACTACCGTGCCTCCCAGTGACAGAGCAGCTAATGGCCACAGGCACAATGCAAAGTCTTTGCGACAACATTTAACCCCGAAGGAACGCGATTGGGCAACAAAGTCCTGCGACAACGCCTCCGGGGACCTGCTATGGCTGCCTATTACCCTCGAAAGATTGTCACGATCAAGGACGTTAAGGCTGAATTCGGTCCAGAGTTGGATACGTGGGATCCCGACGAGGAGGCCCGCTTCGAGTACATTGAAGAGTGCGCTCCCTTCCTTGCTCTGTGGCGCTGAACGGATGCTAACTCGTTGCGAATAGACTCAAGGCTCGTGGAAAGAGTAATCCGAAGAAAAAGTCGACACCGCCTGCTGCTAGTAAGTATCTCAGTGGTAGACTCGGTGGTAGATCCCAGTATGCTCCTTTGCTGACCCTCCTCTCTGCACCAGCCACCAAGGGCAAGAAGAAATAAGATGCGTCGATCGATTACGATTACCGATGGATATACCAGCGAACATATATGAAATTGCTAAAGAGTGGCAACAAAGCCAAACTCGAGTCACTTCCCTTGCGCCCAGGTAGACGACACGCGCTTGGAGCGATGTAACAATTACTGTACAAATACTTTCGAAGGACGTCTGATACACATGCGTCGATTAGAGATCAGGCTACGTCAGATGTGAAAGGAATGAACCATGTCTATAGACCCCGTTACATGCGTTTGCATGCGTGTCGAGTGCTGGTCATGCAGTCCCTCATGCAATTCGCATTGCAAACGCGCTGCCAGGTTACTTAGGCTTGGATTAGCTCGGCAGGTAGCAAGATCTGATTTCAATTCCCCAAGATCAAGGTGATTTAGCCTCTTCAACGGTAGAGTCCTAGGTGAATTGAATTACAGCGATTGCACGAGTTACATAGTGGCGTTAGCGAATGCATGCACCTCGCTTGCTGCCTCCAATAGCTGACGGCACCTGCCACGGCCGAAGCCGGCTGTTCTTTCGAGCCGCCAGCTACCGACAGACCGACCGGCAACCATGGCCCCTGGCAGATTTCTTGGTGCGTTTTTGCATTTTCTTCCTCCTTGTGCCTTCGCCAGTCTCTTCTCTTGTACCTCCAACTACCCCATGCAACAGTCTCGTTTTGCATTTTGTCCTCTTTTCTCGGATGCGTGTTCATCATCATTTTTGCTAAAAAAGACACACAGACGCCTCCTTGTGACTTGCCCTGGGCTCGGTTTTGTGTTTGCGTACCCCTTGGCGGCTTCTCATGTCTGCACCTGTCTCCAGCGGTTCGACACCCCAGCGGTCTCTACCACCTTCACTTGGGCCGTCGCCTCACGAGGCTGCCGGGACATCGAGTAATTCACCTCTCTCCGGAACCAAGTCAACATCTGTGAGAACTCACCCTGAATCCGTCCACAACCTACTGCCCTGCTGACCCTTGCTTCTAGGATGGCTCTCGTTACCTGCCTGCGCCGAAAATAGTTAAGGCGCTTTCGGCTTCAAAACTTGCCAACACACTTGGACCAAAGGTAAATATCACAGCAGTCTCCAAATTGCAGCATGAAGGGTCATATTCTAACTTAGTCATGACTAGATGACAACGGATGGCGTCGGCGTTAAAGAGTCGTACCCTATGGACAAGTTGCTCGCCAAGCTCTCCGAACAGCAGGCCACACTGAGCCAGCAATCCTCGCAGCACAAGGCAACGGACGGACCCTGCTCGTCTTTTGCCGAACACGAATCCTCCAGTAATTCACTGCCAATGACCCCAGCGATTGATGCTTTTCAAACGACTGCCCCTACGACTCGCCCTGCTAGTGCAACTATAGACGAGGCACGGCTCGACGTGAATGAAGTACTTCGTCTCAAGCTGCAACTTGCCCAAGCCCAGAACCAAATCTCGAAACTTGACCAAGAATTGGCACAGTCACGAACCAGCGAACCCGACTCCGCGACTTCGGGCTCAGGTGCTGGCAGACGATCGGCTCCGGCTTCCCGTGACAGCCCTTGGCCGATCACCGAAGATTCACACTCGGACACCAGCGATACCATGTCTGCGTCTGCTTTTAGAGGTGCCAGGGGAATTTGGGGCCATCCGAAAGCTTCCTTTGGCAACAGCACGAGCCAATCGAGCGCGGCGGAACCGTCACCCACAAATTGGCTGGGAAGCCGTACACCACAGCATTTTCCAGACCCGGGTATCCCGTTTCCTGTCACCGATGGCTTCCGAGACCGAATGACCCAAGAATCTGATCTGTTCAGCCGCCCTGGACATAATCGACGTGGGCCCCGGTACGACAGCCGGGGCGCACCGTCGGGTTTCGTGCCAGCTCATGGTCCCGGTGGGAACTATTTTGACTCCATGGGCAATAACATGAGCGGTCCTACTATGAGCATGAACCATCCGCAGGCAGGTTCTGGCATGGTCATGTATCCTCAATATCAGCAACAGGCCGCTGGCACCGCACTGTCTCCTCACGCCTCCGAGTTTACTTCAAAGGCTGGATGGAAAACCGAGGTATGCATGTCAACACCCATCAAGGCACTTAGCTAACGTACCTAGATGGCTCTTTCTGAAGGACCTACGTATCTACCTCCTACGGAGCCGCTCAACTATCGTCGCCTACTCGATCGCAATGTCAACTGCAACTAGAAGTACATCGTTGACAAGATTGTCTGCAATAACGATCAGCAAGCTTCCATTTTCTTACAGCAAAAACTCAAAGTGGGCACGCCTGAGCAGAAATACGAAATTGTCGAGGCTATCGTTGCTCAGGCATACCCGCTCATGGTGAATCGATTTGGAAATTTTCTAGTTCAGCGTTGTTTTGAGCATGGTACTCCAGAGCAGGTCATTAAAATTGCCGAGGCCATTCGCGGCAACACTCTCAGTCTCTCCATGGACCCATTTGGCTGCCATGTTGTGCAGAAGGCTTTCGATTCGGTCCCCGAAAATTATAAGGCAATCATGGTTCATGAGTTGCTTCGAAGAATTCCCGAAACTGTCATTCATCGATATGCCTGTCATGTCTGGCAAAAGCTATTTGAGCTACGTTGGACTGAATCTCCACCTCAGATTATGACCTACGTAAACGAAGCTTTGCGCGGCATGTGGCATGAGGTTGCATTGGGCGAGACCGGAAGCTTGGTAGTCCAGAATATTTTTGAAAACTGCCTCGAAGAAGACAAGGTGAGTCAACGATACGTGATGCCATCATGCCATTGCCACTAACACAACACCAGCGCCCATGCATTGAAGAGGTGTTGGCGAACATTGACATTGTTGCACATGGTCAGTTTGGCAACTGGTGCATTCAACATGTCTGCGAGCACGGTGCCCCCCCTGACCGAAGCCGCGCCATCGATCATGTTATCCGCTACGCATCTGAATACTCGACGGACCAGTTCGCCTCAAAGGTTGTGGAGAAGTGCCTCAAAATCGGAGGCACGGATTTCCTCGGCCGGTACTTGGATCGTGTGTGTGAAGGGCGACGGGACAGAACTCGGATTCCTTTGATTGACATTGCCAGCGATCAGTATGGCAATTACCTGATCCAGTGGATCTTGAATAACGCAGCGCCACAGCACCGAGAGATGGTGGCGGCGCATATTCGAAAGCATATGGTATCTCTTCGGGGATCCAAGTTTGGCTCGCGTGTAGGCATGCTCTGCACCAACCATGCAGTGACGACCCGACCAGGCCATGGGGCCGGACCAAGCATCCCCGGCCGGCTTCCCGGTCCGCGATATGGCGCCAACTACAGATAACGAGAGCAGCTTATTTAATGGGTATCGAGGCTAGCTACCTATGGCGTGTTTATGCAACTGGCAGAATGTCATAATATTGTTGACCCAGCCGGCGGATCAAGGACACCCTCATCTCAAGTACGGACAAACTTTTCATGTCGAAATGCCCGAAGGATAAAATTTTGTCAATTTCTTCTTAACAATATTTTCCGACGAAGTTAGATTACAGATCAAACGTCATCCTACGCTCAGTAAGCTACAGCTTGGCTGGGTGCATTGGACACATTATGGTTATGAATTTTGCAATATGGTGGAGAGGCAGCTCACTGCATAGCATGTGCAGTAGTAATTATCTGGGGGTTGTCTTAGGACGGGTGTCTATTGAGGTGAAGCAACTATCATCACTAACTAGTGGCCTTTTATTATCAATAGATATGAGATAAAGAAGGAGGTTCGTTTAGCGTAACTTAGCAAATGCATCATTGTATTACTATTTACATGAAGGGAAGCCCAGCTGCTGTTGAATTGCGAAACAAGATGCTAGTCGTGATGTATTTCTTGATGAAAAATTATCCAACGAGGCCGAGGATAAAGGAGTGATTAGTCTAAGAGTTCTTGTTTTTATACAGCTTCTGGTCCAGGCTGCCCAGAGGTTGAATCAACAGGAGGGAATTCTGTATCCAGAGCAGCTAATCTGTATGTATCATCAGACGGCGCAGGGACATTCTTTTCCCACGGCTTGCGAGGCACTGTGCGAGCGCCGACGGGTTTGACAGCCTTTGCCAAGTTAGCAAATATGTAGGATGAAGATCTTGAAAGATGAGTGGGACGTAAGCATACTGGGTCTCTTATGATGGTGTTTGGGATCTGACGAATGCCGGGTACTTCCTTGCCTTCCTGCAGCAGTTTGATCATCTCAGCAAAAGCCATGGGATAGGAAGGCTGGTCTCCGGCAGCGGCGGCGGCGGCGGCGGCGGCGGCAGCGGTGCGATCAACGTAAAGTTCAGTTTTGGGGGCAGCCTTTTGCCAATCTAGAACTGGGGCCGCCGACGCCGTCGCCGACGCCGTCGCCGTTCCACCGCCGAGATACTCCGGCGGGAGGATACCCGGCGGGGTGTGGTCCGGGTGGGCGGCAAGCCAGGCCTGGTAGGCGGCAAAGTCGATGCTGACGCCGACACGCTGGGTGTAGTAGAAGATGCGGGCATGGATGGCCATGTCAGTGGGCGAGCCCTGCTGGTTGGGGGAGTTGGGGTCGCCGAGGATGGCGTGGAGGCCAGACTGGGGAGGAGAGTGTCAGCTGGGGTTGGGCAGCAGATGAGGGGAGGGGGAGGAGTCAAAGGCGCGAAACACGGCGTCCTGGTCTGTGAGGGAACGGATGCCCCGGGCGCCGGATAGTTGTTCGGCAGCCATTGGCGCGTGATGTGTTGAGATGATGTTGTTGGATGATGGTATGGGATGATGAGGCCGTTCGGCGAGAGGGCGGGGATCTATGTCGGGTGCCAAAAATGAAGGATATCGTAAATATGCGCCAATTTCAATGCAGAATAATAAGCCAATAGGTTATAGGTTGTGTTTGTGAGGGCATGAATGAGGGCACATGAAAGACAAAGGGTGTTCTGATGAGAGCCGATGACTGATGAAGCTAGTGATGGGTCTGGTGGGCGGCGATTTTACCAGCCAAGCTTGGGGCTCCTACATAGCAGCTGCCTACCTACAATGTACTAAACTATGTACCTATTTTTAGAAGATAGCTACTAAGGTATTATGGGAATTTTGGGATGATTTTCTCATGCTGTTTCAGCCCCCTGAACTACTGTAGGCCGCCGTAGAATTATGCTGTGAAAGTCTGGTGTAGGAGTCTGCCGCAGAAATCAATTGTAGGTACATACATAGGTGTCTGCGGTATCATGAGCATCTTCACTAAACTTGCACCTATTATGGCAGAACCTCGGCACCGCTCGCAAGACGTCAGTTAATGTCCAGTACCTACTAAAGTGACGTCGCCTGGTGGTACAAAATCGGGAATTTTTATTAAATGGGGCCCGAATCCCAGCATCTAGGGAAATACTCTTTATTCTGGTATTAGAAGCCTTGCCAACTCGAGATCTCTCCTGAAACCAACGCCAAACTGGCCGAGGGATCGTTCAAAAGCGCTAAAACGACCAGACGTTTTTCTCCACGTCCAGCCCTGCTGCCCGCGCAGGTGGTTCGCTGATCGGCCAACCCTCCCCACTGTTCGCCTACAGCCTCTGCCGATTGCACCTCCTCGACCAGGTCATCCCTCGTTGTATCAAAGACCATCGGCTGCATACCCCTTCTTGTTTCGACCCGCAACAGCTCACAATAAGCCGCCGGCCCCCTCTAACCAGCCTCTTTCTCAGACGGCTTCCTGAGCCCGGGTTCTCGAAATGCATCGCGCAGCCCTGCGAGCCTTCCGCACAACCTGCCAGACCCGTGTTCGATCAACCGCCGCCCTCGGCCGGCCCTCGCTACGAAGCCTCCTCTCCTCCACTATCCGACCGTCGACCGTCCTCTACCCGTCCGGCTCCGCCTCGCTGCACTCATCCACAGCCGCTGCCGCCGCCGCTCGCCGCCCGCAAACGGCCGCCAGCCTACCCCTACGGTCCTCCATGTTCTTTCGACGCATCCCCGCCGCGCTCGTCTCCAGCATCGTCGTCGGCTACGGCGCCTGGTACTCGTACAACGGAGGCGCCAGCTGGAACCTCGCCAACGCGACCGGCGCGCGAAGCTTAACCTCGACCAGCGGCCAGGCACCGCTGGGCACTGCCACCGGCGCGGCGTCTGCGACCCTGCCCACTAGAACCGTGCTAGTGGTCGGCGCCGACGAGCTCCGACAGGGCACCATTGTGGGCGAGGAGCCCATCTATAAGACGACGAGTGACGGTCGCCGCATCGTAGAGATGCTAACCCCTGAGCAAGCCACGGAGAAGCTCCGTAAGACGGAGGAGTCCTTCTCGGTGAACCGCGGCCAGGGCGTCACCCGATACGACCTTGTGCAGCTGTCTAGCAACGACCCGATAGAGGACGATCACGCTGAAAAGATTGTCGAAATCAAGGCCTTGTCAACTGAAGCTCAGAGCAACGACTGGATGTTTTGGGGTGTGTTTGATGGCCACTCAGGCTGGACGACCTCGGCGACGCTACGGGAAAGCCTTATCAGCTACGTGGCGCGGGAACTAAATGATACGTACAAGACAAGCAAGGAAGGCATGCCTACCGCTGATGCCATTGATCTCGCCATCAAGACCGGCTTCACCCAACTCGACAATGAGATTGTCCACAAAAGCGTTGAAAAGGTCTTCTCCTCTAGCTCCAAGGCCGTCGCCGCCGAGCTGCTCCAACCGGCCATGTCGGGCTCATGCGCCCTGTTATCCTTTTATGACGCCGATAGTCAGCTTCTCCGGGTGGCCGTCACCGGCGACTCGCGTGCCGTCCTCGGCCGTCGCTCCGCGAACGGCAAGTGGACGGCCACCGCGCTTTCGGAGGATCAGACAGGCGGGAACCCGAGCGAGGCTGCACGCCTGCGCAGCGAACACCCCGGCGAGGACAACGTGGTGCGCAACGGGCGCGTACTCGGCGGGCTCGAACCCACGCGCGCCTTTGGTGACGCCGTGTATAAGTGGAGCCGCGAGACAACGATCAAGCTGAAGAAGGGCTTCTTCGCCCGCAGCCAGTCGCCGCTGCTCAAGACGCCGCCATACGTGACGGCGGAGCCGGTGGTGACGACGACCAAGATCAGCCCCGAGAATGGCGACTTCCTAGTGCTGGCCACCGACGGCCTCTGGGAGATGCTCACTAACGACGAGGTCGTCGGCCTCGTTGGCCAGTGGATCGAGTCGGAGCAGGCTAGGACAGCCGGCGGCGCCGGCTCGCACTTCGAGGCGGCGTGGGCCAAGGTCTTTGGCGCCTCGAACAAGGCGCTCCCCGTGGAGCAGAGCAAGGCCTTAGGCGAGAACGGTGGCGATGGCCAGCGCGTGCCTATCCGCATGCAGCAGTGGGGGAACGACCCTGAGGCCAAGGGTCGCTTTGTGGTCAAAGACAAGAACGTGGCGACGCATCTTGTCCGCAACGCGCTGGGCGGCTCCAACGATGAGCAGGTTCGCGCTCTCTTAACTCTTCCCGCTCCATTCTCTCGGCGTTATAGGTATGTCTATGGATATTGACTTCCTCTTGTACTGAATACTAATCGTGTGACGTGAGTAGGGACGACTTGACTGTGCAAGTCATCTTCTTTGGCAATGGGCCCAGGACGGGTGAAGTTACTGTGAACCACGAAGCGACTGCCAACAACGGAGCTCCCAGGGCTAAGTTGTAATTTTTGAATGTCTTTTATTGCTTTCTTTCTTTAGCGCTATGTTGAACAGCTGCTGTTTAGATGTATATGGCAAGGCAGATGGAGCCGGCGTTTTGACGGAGTCGAGTTTATTACACACAGCGCTCTTAGCATTTCATCTGATGATAGATTAAGAGATCATTATAAATCCAGTTTTATGGAAAGGCGAAACTCGCTCTTTTACTGTCAAATAGCCGGATCGTGTAAACAGGTTAAAGGTGTAAATCGCAAACGCTTTTGAGGCTGCACGTGACGGATAAGCCACTTGTCCGAATGCCGAACAAATGGCCCAATTCCTGAAGCTTCATCCACCTCCGACAAACGACCCTTTTACCTAAAGCCCTCTTCGTCTGGCCAAGTACGGCACTTCACCATTTCATTACACTGAGCCACTCAATCTTCGAATTACTGCTGTTTTAGTGGTCTCTCACCAAGCTACCGGCCGATGCGCCGCCCCGAGATCTCCGCCACGAAACCCCGATAGATTGGCGACTTCGCAGCAACGGCATTTCCTCCTCGTCAAAATTATAGAGCCGGCGACGCAATACGGCAACAATGACGTTCACAAATACACCAGTAACCAGGCTAGTAGTGCTGGGACTTGTCTCGGCGTCGATCGGGGCGAGCCTGCTGGACATGAAGCACTACACCTACATCCTCATCAGCCCGCACCTGGTACAGTACGGGCAATTTTGGAGGTTATTTACGTATCAGCTGTGCTATACAAACTCCGCGGAGGTGCTGTTTGCGGCTATGTCGCTATATAACTTGCGGACTGTTGAGCGCATGTGGGGATCGAGAAAATACGCTGTAAGTACCATCTGTGTCGTTCTATAGGTGTGGTGGTGGTAACTAATTGGAAACCAGTCATTCCTCGTCGTAACGTCGCTCATCACATCGATCGTTCCGCCCGCTCTGATGGTGGTGCTACGGCCGCTGGCACCGAGCCTGTTCAACTATATGCCGGCCGGGCTGACGCCCGTCATCTTTGCGGTGCTGGCGCAGTTCCACGCCATGGTGCCGCACATGTACAAGTACCGAATCGCGACATCAAGCGCGCCGCCGACGACGGAGCCGTTCACGGGGCTCACGCTGTCGGACAAGTCGTACCAGTACGCGCTGGCGCTGCACCTGTCGCTGCTGCAGTGGCCCGGATCGCTGGTCGGCGCGGCGGCGGGCTGGGTGGTGGGCCAGGCGTGGCGCGGCGGGCTGCTGCCGGCGGCGCTGGTGACATGGCGACTGCCAGGGTGGATGGTGGGCGTCAAGACGCAGCGCAGTGGCGCCGAATTTGAGCAGCTGCGGAGGCGGCTGGAGGGGGAGAACGCGACGGCGACGGGAGCGGGAGCGGCGGGTGTTTCGACGGGCGTGGACGCTGGCGGCAGCGGTGGTGGTGAGCAGCAGCGGCAGCAGCAGCAGCAGGATGGCGATCGAAGACGAACGATGGGCCAGCAAATAGTTGACCAGTTCCGCGAGGCATTGTAACTTTACGAAAGGCAGCTCTTGACTGCATTCGGCGAGCCATCCTTGAGGTGGCCAACATGCTCATTGAAATATGGATACAACTCAAAGAAAGTCAACTGTATCGTGATATTGATAAGTGACTATTGGAATCAGATCATATACTAACACCCCAGGCCTTCGAAAAGCCAATCAACAATGTCTCATAGCGCCTCAAACAACGCAGTGCATATCTCAAGACACTGTCTGTCGCAGCAGTCTGGGGGTTTGTTACGGATAGAGATGAATTCGCAAAAGAAGACAACAAGCAAAAGATGATTCGTAAGAAATTCATTGAAATGGAGGAGGGAGGGTAGTGCCAAGGGGTGTTGGGTGAGGCAGGACCTCGGTACTGTTGGTCGAGATGGCCGGAACGAAGGTCTACCGTGCGAGGCATCCACTCAGAAAGAAAAGCAGTAGGAATAGATTTTGACGCTCACGACAACTCCATTGATGTCATTTTCCCATTCAATACCAGCTCATACCAGCCAACGGCCGACTTGGGCAATCAGCAATGGGTGCTAGGCCCTCAGCATAGAGTAGCGAGAGCATAGCACCGAGGATATTTCCATGCATACTCTCTTGGACGATGCAGACAGACACTAACCAATTCAGTGGTCTGTCTTTTTTTCCATGATTTCTCAAAGTGACACGGTTACCCCGATCATGATGAAACTGCATGACTGGGCATTGGGAGGCTCAGCCGCAAGGCCGCTTGGGAAGGCTAGGCTAGCTGGTGGGTTTGTTAGTAAGGGGAAGAGCAGTAGAGAGAGGAACAGGTTCCTCGGGGAAAAGGTGACGACGACGATCGGTTTGCAGAGGTCACTTTGCATCAAAAAGTACATGGCTGGGAAGGGTTCTAGTCGCCTGGAAGAAAGGGGACAATGGAGGTATCGGCAGGGGTCTCAGGTACAAGCGTGATCCACAAGGCACAGGGGCGGGCGGCAGTGGCCATTCATATTATGTATGTATGTATGTACAGTACATACAAGGTAGGTACTAGTAGGTAAGCAGTAACTGGGGCAGTTGAGAGGAGAAAATGCCAAAGTGCCCTGCGTCTCCTTTTCTCCTGCCCCAGTTGCCCAACGTCAGCGGCTCGCTCAGTCTCTGTATGATTTATTACTGGCCCAGGGTCCTGCACTCCAGCTCAGCGCTTCCCTGGTCATGTACAAATACCAGTACCGACCGAGTATTATCGTCGTGCTCATAGGTACCTGACTGCCCCCTGCAGCCTGCCTAGAGAGCTCACATTTTGCTCCTTCTCCCCTGCGTTTTTGCTTTGGCCGAGCTGCTCCATCTATCGTACCACCAACTGCAGCAGCAGCAACACCACAGAGCCTCCTGGTTTTTGGTTGCTTTTGGCACGGGGCGAACAGAGAAGAACAACAGGAGAACCTCTTCTCTCTTCATCCCCAATATCCTTGCTTGTTGCTGAACCGTCCTTTTCTTCTTGCTGCGCGACAAAGTTGGCTCCTAGCTCACGCACACACCCCCATCCGAATCCCCTCCCAACCACCTCGACCGACGAGCTCTTTGCGACAGCGATCCTGTCCTCGACCTGCTTCGCTACACTCCTTTAGTTCTTTGCTACGACGCTCCTTATTCTTTATCACATCTTGGATATACCGCTACACCGCTGGCCGCCTCCCAGCTTGCTCTCGCTCTTCCCCGCCTTACGGCGACCACAACTTTGGCTCCGAACCCTCTTCCACCACCGGCTGGCTTTAATGTATTGATGATTACGACCCTGCCACGCAATAGATATCCTGCTATGAACGGCGTTGCCTCGGGCAGGAGCCCCTTTGACTATGGCGCCTCCAACCTATCGCCTGTCGGCGGCGGCCGGCTCGTAGGTGGTAAGGCCGCCGTTGATGAGTTTGCCAGGAATATGCTCGTTGGCGAGGATCGCGATGCCTCACGATACCCTCAAGTAAGTGCCGCTCTACTCTGCGAGGAATGGCCGCTCGCCAGCCCGTTTAATTGCATGCGCCGTCTTGCGCCTCCAAGGCACTGACCTTATGGTGACCTTTAGATCAATCGCACACCGAGCCCAGCCGTCGTCGACCTCAAGGACCCCATCCAGATCCACCTCCTCACCGAAACTGCCCTGGCCGACAGCAACAAATATGAAATCCTCCCCCAAGAAGAGGTCGACAACCTCAAGAAGCAGTCCCAGCTCATGATGCAGCGCATCGAATCTACCAGAGCCAACCTCGCCATCCAGGCCAAGTACCGAGATGCTGCCCTGTCCATGGCAAAGCTGTCTCCCGACGGTTCGCAGGACCCGCAGGCTGAACAAGATGGCGCCGAGTCCCAACGAAAGTGCGAAGAACTCGCTCTCGAACTCTTCAACCTCGAAAAGAGTCTCATGATTCCGCAAAGGCGCATCCTCGAGCACACGGCCGGTATTCTCCAAATCACCCACAAGGCTTCCAAGAAAAAGAATGCTCAGCAAAGTCAAGTCGTCAACGGTATTCCTGGAAGCCCCGAGAGCCTATACACCTACTCTCACAGCCGCAATAGCCTCGATGCCGCCGGCGACGATACCTATTTCGAGGACGGCATGTATCCGCTCGACTCCGCGGGTCGCAAAAACGCCATCGAGATTCCCATGAAATCGCCCAACAGAGAGCGCGGCGAGATGGACCGAGTCAAGGAGGAAAACCTCATTCTCATCAGGTCTGTCAGCGACTTTGAGGAGAAGCTCCGTGCCCTCAACGGGTCCCTGCGCGACACCATTGTCCGATTCAGCCCAGATGTCAACAAGGACTACATCGAGCCCCCTCGCAATACGTCAAATTCCAAGCCGTTGGAGATGTTGCGACAGCAGCTTGATTACCTCGAGACGGGTCTGGTCGCTGTCCAGGCCGAGCAGGAGTCTTCTTCTCAAACTGGCCCAAGTGATGGCGCTGAGAGTGACGAAACTGTCCGTCACCTATGGGGTGTCATTCAGAACGATTTTGCCGGCACCAGACAGCGACGAGAGGAGCGCCGCAGAGCACGTGTTGACAAGGGTCTGTCCGAGAATGACGAGGACGAGGGTTCTGACGATGAGTTTGATCACTCTGAAGCATACAACATAAAATCATTTACAAAGCGGGTGAACTACTTGTCCTCGCAGACTGCCACACTCAAGGACCAGCGCACAGTCCTAAAACGACAGATCAAGCAACAACGAGAACTCAACAACAAATCCGATGCTGAAAAGGACGAAGAGCTCGCGCGACGCCAAGAAGAGATTGAAAGTGCTCGCCAGGCTGTTGCCCGCGCGGAAAGAGATGCCATGGATGCTCAAAACATGCTGTCAGAAGCCTTGCAAGACCTGGAACAGGCCCGCGCCCTTGCGACTTCTGCCGGAACTGCCCAATCAGATCTTCGGGATCGCGAAGAGACTATTGAGCTGCTAGAAAAGAAGATCAAGAAGGTCGAGGCTGAAGGAAAGCGTTCTGGCGAGCTGACTGCAGAGCTAGAGAGGGCGGTTGCTGAAAAACAGGCTGCGGAAGCGGCCGCCGAGGCTCTCCAAGCCGACGCGAAGCAAAAGGACAAGCTACTCAAGAACAAGGAGAACGACGTGGACGAGCTGAACATGACGATTGCCGAATTGAAGACTGAAGTCACCATCGCCCGCGCCGAGCTGGATGGAGCTTATGGAACTCGCGCCGAACGCGCGGCCGATGTGGCGGCTCTTAAGAACAATGCCGAAGTACAAAAGCTCAGCAATCAGATTGAAAAGCTCAAGAAGGAGCTGGCTGGCACCGCCGAGGACCTCGAAAGTATTACCAAGGAGACCCTAGGTGCCGAGCGAGAAAAGCTGGAACTCGAAGGCAAGCTAGACGAGGCTCTGCAAGCCAGACAGCAGGCGGAAGTAGGAGTAGAAAAGGCACGTGAGCAGATTGCCACGCTCCAGGAAGAGCTGGACGGCCACCGCCTCCGCGTCGGTGGTGGCAAGGGCGGTGGTGCCGGTGCCTCTATGCTCAGCGAGCAGTTCCGTGCCACGATGAGGGAGGAGAGGAAGAAGTTCCAGGAGGACTTAAGGGTATGTCTTAACGCAACTTTTGACATCTGCAGGACGGTCACCTTGCTAACATGCTGATGTCAAAACAGGAGGAGCGAGGCCGAGCCCGTAAGCTCGAAGAAGAACTCGCGCGCTTAAAACGGAGTCAAGGACCTGGCAAGAGTCCGTTGAGTCCGCGGTAACAACGAATAGGCTCTCCCGCGCCGTCTCCCTCACTCCTGACGCCAGATTATGGCACACGGTTCCGCCGACCATCTTTTGTCTAGATCACGGGTCGCGCAGCTGAGAGGAGCAGCCTTTCTTATTTCAGCATTTTCACGGTTTACGCTGGTCACCATCTACCTGTAAATAACCAAGCACACATCACCAGCGCCAACGCACAGCGCTCCCTAGGCGACAGTGACAGGGCCGGCGTCCCTTTGGTCCGCAGTCACCACACATACACCGCCTCTAACGATTCACGGCCTCGATTACACGGACGCCAAAGGAGCATCTTTGGCCACCGGGTCGCTCCTTGTTTCTCTCTTTGCGTACCCCACGATTGCGTTTCTCTCGTTATTCTCCCTGCTTTGGGGTCTTTTCTTCTCGATTCACTACACCCATTTTCCGCCTGGACATTTAACCTTCTCCCTTCTTGAATCATTATTATTACGTTTACATATCCTAGGGAGTTCAAGCTCCATGTTTCTATGCATTGGGATCTTACAAGGATAGACTTGTCTTTTTATTTTTATTTTTTTTACCGCTCCGCGCTACTTTTGGATTGTTTTCTTCTTGGGCTTGTGGTTGGGGGAGCTGCTTGTTTTGGGCATTTATGAGGAGCGAACTTTTTTTTGGGGGGGGGGCCTTTTCCAGCACAGAAAGAGAGAGAGCAAAAGCAAAGGACGAAATACCTGGAGCGGGAGGGACAATTGGATTTTTTTTTCCCTTGGAAGCACTACAAGGAGAAGGGGTTGCTCCAAGTGACAAGACGCAGAAGGTCTACATCGTTCCACATACCCGTTCTTCAACTGTACTCCTTCTTTTTTGGATCTCCCCCTTGTTTATTTTTGGATGGAATAAAGAAAAGGAGGCACACAGTATAGAGAGGCCTTGTTATTCCATTAGCAACAATGAACACTTCTTTTTGTTCATAACTAAGTATCACTGCATCAGCCCTGGTTGGTCATATGATGTTGGCTCGTAGTGCCCGCCGTTGTCAGCTACGGACACTTCCCAACAGAACGTTTGCATCCGTCGCCCCAACCCCATCTCTCCGTCTCTGAAATTCCAAAGACTCTGACCCAAGGGAGCTTCTGACAAAACCTTGCTGAAACCCCCACGACCCCCAGTCCTCCCGAACCAACAACGGGGTTCTATTTCTAGAATGCGGTCCGTCTCAGCCCTAAGCTGCTGTTACTGGTTCTACTACGCAAGGCAAGCAAGGGCAGGTTATGATCTAGACACTGCGTTGCTGCCACCCCTGTCTATCTATGTACGTCATCAGTATGCAAGAAAAAGAAACAAGAGTAATAGGCGCGACCAACACCTAATGAGACGCAGACAGAGAGAAGAAAAACAGAGACACAAAACAAAAAAATCTAAACCAAGGCAAAACCAACACGATTACAATCATACTTTGACTGCATTTAACAACAAGGACAGTACGCAAAACTTTGCATTTACGTTCTTGACCTCGATTCGGACCTGTACCTGTACCCTTGGCTCGACCGAGAATCTACACAGGCAAAATGCCGTTTATTCGCTTCACTTGGGTAATTGTTTCTTCTTGCACGAGAGGGAAAATTATGATACAGTAAATGTATATTCTTAATCGTCCTCCTCATCTGACCATCCGCAGCTTTGGGCTTCAAAAATCTTGATGCTGGAAAACCAATATTCCCTCCGAGGGCATTTCTACGAAAACAGATCAAACAACCAATGTATCCCCTATTCGCCCCTATCCGAAACGCCAGCCCATAGACAATCAACAGTGCTTGGGTAAAATAACACAAAGACAGATAGCCTCGCACAGAAACAGTGGGTGTGATACAGTACAAATAGTAGGCAGTGACCACCTCAGAATAGGTGGCACAACAAGGGCGACATGCCAATCGTACACCTTGCGTACACAATAAAAAAAAGGTATCTCCTCCTCGTTGGCTTCCGTAATGAAACCGACAGTCGACATTCGCAAGCTTGCAGTATCCGGCCAAGCTGCACAATGTCATATTATTAGTTGTAGTAGTTGTAAATGCAATGAGTCGAAATGAATAGCAAGGTGCGAAAAAGTATGCGATGCTCCGGCAGCTTTAGTTTTCCGAGTCGACGACCATATAATCCTCCTCATCCACGTACGCCATCTGAGCCCAGACACGCCAGTGTAGAACGCCGAGGTGTGCCAGACGAACAGCAATATCCTCCACCACACCGGCGTCCTGGTCGTGGTCGCGAGACTGGGTTCGGGCAGTGGTGGCAGCCGAGAAGAGGCAGACGCCAGAGAGAGGGCGGTATTCGCGAACACGTGCGGTAAGTTCGGCCAAGAGGCGGATATGGAAAGACTTTTCCACCTCCTTGTAGATAGCTGAGTCCATGTCGCAAACATTGGTAGCGAGCTTCTCCTCAAAGGTGGCCAGCATGCTGATGGGAGCTTTGGTGTAGCGGAATATTTGCAGGGCAATCGAGGACGAGATTGACTTCCAACGAGCAGTTTGGCGCAGACCGGGAGTGGCAGACTGGAGCAGAGCCACGAGAGAGTTGTAGAGGTCACGCGTCTTGTTCTTGACGTCGTTATTCTCGGGAGCGACGTAGGTAGGAAGGTTGAGAGACGAGCGAGCGGATGAAGCCGCCTCAGAGCCAGAGGTGCTGAAGTTGAGGCTGGCGGGTCGGGAGGTCTCGAGGGGCGTGTTGAAGTTGAATTCGGAGCTGTGCGTGGGAGGGCGACGTGTGCTGTCCCCGCCGAGGCCCATGCCTTCGAAGAGACCCGTGGCGCTGTAGCGTCCGATGCGCTCGAGGTCCTCGTACATCTTCATGCAGACCTCGAGGTTTATTGCGTCGAGCATGTCGGAGCGCAACTTGAGGATGCGCTCCTCGTCGAAGAGAAAGGTGTTAGGCAGGCGCTTGTCGGGGCACGATGGCAAGACGAGACGAGCAAGGGCGTGGAAGAAGACTCCACTATCGCCAGAGTTCGAGGTCGAGCTGGCCATAGACGCGGCACAAGCAGCGTTGGCGTTCTTGTACCAGTCCTTGGAAGAGGCTATGTCCATCTTGCGTGAGGAGATCTTTTTGAAGAAGAATTTTTGCTCAAAGTGAATAGTGTCTTCGATAAGGACGGGGCGGAGGCAGCGGATCTGGTGGTTGGCGACATCGAGTTTCATAGCCTCAAGAACACTAAGCAGACTGCGCATGCCGTTGACAAGTTCATCAATGTCGCCGTTTTTGTTGCCGTTGCTGAGCTGCTTGTACATGGCATCAACCCAGTCGTCTCGCATAGGGGCGCAGTGAGATTTGAGGACCTGAGAAAGCCATTGGGCGAGCTTCTCGAGATCGGCGATGCCCTTGTGAAACTGCTGCATGAGCAGGTCAACATTGAGACCCTCGTCGAGGAAGTGGCGATCACGTTGAGGGACAAGAGTCTGAATAATGTCCTTGACGGCCTTGAGCAGGGTCGGCAGAGTCCAGTCATCACCATGGCCATACTTGGTGTAGAAAGCGGGCCGGTCGGCTACGAACATGGCCAGCTCTTTCTTAAGGGAGCGCCAAAACTGGTTTGCGCGGTCCTGTTTCTTGCGGCCCTTTTCGCCATCTAGATTCGGTCTAAAGTGCAGTTCGGGGTCGAAGTTGATGTCGTGACGGAGCTTGGGGTTGTGGATGATTTTGGTCACGTCCAGCTCGCTCAGGGTAGCACGAGTGACCGGGGGCTCTATCGGGTATGTAGAAGTCGCAGAGCTGACGGACGAGCGGCTAGATCGCCTGTGAGACTTTGCGGACTCGGGTTGAGGCGTCGAGGTGCGAGAGTCGGCTTGGCTTGGGGTGAGGGCTGTGGTGGGTGAGGTTGCCCGAGGCGCGGAATCGCACCTGCGAGGTGATTCTTGGGAAGGTTGTGATTGAGCAGCAGATTTCTCTTCCTCCTGATCAGGCTGCTGCATCTGAACATCAGCCTCGGGTACCGAATCACCACCATCTGAGCTGGGGCAAGGAGCCGATGTGGAGAGGTTTCGTCTAGTCCTCTCCAGAGGGCCGCCGGCGCCTTGTTCTGGTACCATTTTGAATATTGCTTGAGATCTGTGGTAGTGGGACGAGTGCTGCTTTCAAGGAAGAGGAAGTACGACTACACGAAGGTAGCGAAAGGAAGTGACAAAGGTCCGACTGACTCCCTGACTAGAACGGTTAGCAAGATACACAAAAGAAGGATTGGGAATGTGGTGCGAGGGCGGAAGGGAGCCAGTGTGAGGGAGGATGGCGAACTGCAGAAGGGGGGTTTGGCAAGGAAGTAACGGCGAAGGATTTGGCGACGGGCAGGGCAACGGCGGCAGGACGAGGCAGCCAGAACGTCGAGGGCGAGACCGGACAGACAGACTCTGACGCAAAAGGCAGTTCTCCGGTTACGAAGCCAGCAGAGGCGATGGTGTGGCGGCAAGTAAAAAAAACTTACCTTTTGTGAGTTTCTCGTCTTGATCAAGTTGAGGCGGATCGAGGAGTCGAGACGGACTTGGCGGCTGTAGACGTTGCGGTTGGGCACACTAAGAAGGCGCCTGAGCGTTGGCGGTGGTGGGCGTTGGTGAACGTCGGGTATATGCACCAAGAGGTCGGCGAGGATTAAAGGAAAAGACAGAAGCGGTCGGCTTGGTGGTAAATGACGAGAGATGTCGCAAGGAACAAAATATGTTGTCGTCGGGTTTGATTTGTTGGTTCCTTCTTATTTTTTTCAGGGTCGTCGAGCGAGGCAGCGGAAGACCGGGATCGGAAACGATGGACGAGTTGGCGGTATAAGAGAGTTGACGAGAGAAGACGTGGTCAAGAGAGAGAGCTGTGGCCGAGAGATATGTAATGGAGAGGAAGAAGAAAAGAAAGCAAAACAGACAGGCGGGTATTGAGAGAGTCGAGTCGAAAATGTACCAAGGGGAAGAACGAGAGGGAAGGAAGGAGTGAGAGAGAGGGAAGAAAAAAGAAGAAGTGCAAGGAGATCGTAGATATGGGGATGGGTAGGCCAAGAAGGGGCCTGAGAAAATGGGGAAGGAAAAATGGGCTAAGAGAAAAAGGGAAATCAAGAAGGGGATTTTTGGCAAGATAAATAATGATGAATAATAATTAAAAGAAAAGGTGAGTGACTGACTCCTGTCCCGGACACCCCTTTGCGCCTCTTGGGGGGATTTTTGGTTGGGGGGGGGGGGCCTACTGAGTAGGAGGAAGGGGGAGGAGAGAAGTGTGTGTGTGCAATGTGAGCAGCAGCAACAGTGCGCAGCTACAGGAGGTACAGGCCGAACAAAGGGGGGTGTGCGTTGGAACAAACGGAAATGGGGGTGTGGGTAGACAGGCAAGGGGTGTGGATCGGAATGACCCTTTTTGGACTTGTGTGTTGGTGGTACAGACAGACAAGACCAGACTGAGGACCTTTGTAAGGTACTAACTCAAGGCGGGCCAAGTCAGTGCAAGTGCAGCGCAGCGCTGCGCAGTGTAGTGCAGTTGGCTGTGCTGGCTCTGGCTGTGCTTTCAGTGGGTGCGCTGCAAGCTTCAGGCTGCTCTCAGCTCGGTGCGCCCAAGCACCTGACAAAGACTGCTTGGCCGGTTGCCTCTAGGTCAATGCCTCTTCAATGTAGTATGTCTCGATGTACATACGTACCTAGGTTACAGCGCACTTCCCGAAGTTGCAGGTGGTAGCAGGCATCGCAGCGCGTAAGCCGGGCAGTTACTACAGCAGCACTCAGGTGCAGGCAGCATGTACCGGCCATCTGCAGCTGCAATCGTGGCCGTCATCACCAGCATCGGCATCATCGGTGTCCAGTTTCTACGTGACTCGCCGTCTGAGGCAAAAACCCTCGGCCTCGGCCCTGCCGCTGCACCCGGCGCAGGAGATAGGGCTTCCTCCGGCGTGGCTACAGACTAGTACTGCTGCTGAGCAACTTGGGTTGCATCCAGCGTACCGACTGCGTACAGCGAGCGCCTCGCTAGCATCGGCTAGTACAAAGTTCAAGAACTGACTTTTTGGCGGCCCCGGCCCCGGCCACGGCGACAGCCCCAGGTTGCGGCTGGGCCGGCAAGTATCTTTCTCCGATGTGTAAATTCATCAGAGGGAGGTGAATGCAGGTAGATGAGATGACTACTCACAATACTGGCCATGGCCCTACTAAACCTTGGTACGCTCAGTGATCATGGCTCGGAAGGGAGCTTCCTCTCTCCCTCATAATTTTACCACAGCTGCACGGGACTCGCCGCAAAGAAGGAGAATGAGCCAAAAAGCAAACATCGTAGACTCCTTACGCCTCTTTTTTTTTTTTTTTTCCTTCTTCCTGCTTGTCGAAGGCCATCTCCAGAACTCCCTGGCCCGAATCAGCAGCCGACCAACCACTAACCCGGTAGGCCACGCGCCGGGTCCACTGGGGTAGCTCCACAGCTGCACACTGCTGCAGCTCGACTGGTGCAGCAGAAGCAGTAGAAGTAGCAGAAGCTCTCTCACACAGGGCACTTTGCCCACTGCTGTTCCAGTCAGGCACGTCCACCCCTCCCCTGTTCAGCTGGCAAAGGCACACCCAACGTCAGTGACATTCCCTCCGTCATCCCCCAATGCAACATTCACCCTCTTTTTTTTTTTCCTTTTTTCCCCTTTTTGACTCTCTCACCCACTTCCTACTCGCTGCAGCCCGATCATCATTCGCCGGCTGGAACTCACTCGCCACTTGCCGAGCATCTTCGTAACATATCTAATCTTCCCCCCCCTCCCCTCACCGTCACCGCCCACCGAGCTTCCCTCCCCCGCTCATACCTCCCGGACCGCCGCCGAAGACGCCGTTGTCCGCCTCAGACCAAGACGCAGACTCGGCGTCGTCTGCAACTGCATGACTCTCTCTCTCTCCTCCCCCCGCCGCGAGAGGGAGGCTTGGCTTGTACCAGTCTGACAGCCTGACTTTGCCGGCCCGCCGCATGATGCCCTCATGATTTTCCCTGCCCGCATCATGCACTCTCGTACCGTAGTTTTTTTTTTCTCTGACTGTCTCGGGCCCGGCTATTGCAAGTTTGATGCGCCCACCGGTTTGGTTCCATCGCAATGCCTTTTCGAGCTGCCTCCTTCCAATCTGCAGTAGTGCATCTCATCTCTCGCCCCCATCCTGCATAACGAGCTGAGCGGAACGAATTCCAAAAATAAGTAAAAGAAAACCGATTAGCAAAAATCCAAGAGTCACGCACTCCGGCCTCTTGTATCCTCTTTCATCTCCATCAGGCATGGCCACTCTTGCCTTCAATTTACTTGTTGCAAGCTCTGTTCCACCAACAACGCCCAGCGCCTCGCGCAAGTCGTTTTTGTCTTTCGTCACACCAGGCTCCAGAAAAAGGGACCAGAAGGCGACGGAAGAAGAAGAACAAAAAGAAGACTGTGGCTGTCTCCGCAGCACGTCCGGCTCGGCACCAGTAAGCAGCCATCTACAAGATCCTCGGCCAACTCCATCAAAAGCCCGCCCATGTGTACATAAACGGACGGTCGACAGTCTATACTTTATACGGCGTACGCAGGGAACCTTTTTTTTTCTCGGCAATCAGCCGAAGCCCGTCCCGGGTACCTAGCAATGTCTAGACGGTGGACAATTCGCAAAGACGACCGCTTTGCTATCCTGCTTCCGAAACCAAGCAGACGCACAAGCACAAGTGCAAGTGCAAGTGCAAGTGCAAGTGCAAGTGCAAGTGCAAGTGCAAGTGCATGTACATAGCAATCAAGAGGATGCTGTTGCCTCTGCAGTCATCCGGAGGTGCGTGTGCGTGTGCGTGTGCGCGTGCGTGCGTGCCGCTCGCAACTTGTAACCGCCTGCGCCTGCAACTTACATATAATATGCTGCCTGCCGCCGCCGCTCGTACGCACGATACCCCATGACGCACAGATGGAGCCAACATCTGGGTATCTACAGTACATCATACACCCTGCTGGCAATGCATCAGCTCTGTACTCGGCCACCGGTCGCCTGCTTGTCGCTTGCTGCGGACTTGAAAGCCGCCACCCGCTGCAAGTATCAGATGGACCAAAGAGAGAGAAAAGAAAGACGTGTCCTCCTTGACCGACTCCTTTGCTTTCCCAATGAGCACACACACACGGTAATACACACGACGGACGGCTTTTTACGTCACTCTACAGAAGCAAAAACAGGTATGGGGCGCTGTTCCGCGTACCTGAATAAGAATAGAACCATCAACAATCGGCGTGCCCACCACATCACGGACAAACATGCCCAACTGGGGAGTCGACCGCAGTTGACTAAAGAGAATTCAAAAGGCAAAAAGGCAAAAAAGGCAAAAAAAAAAAAAAAAATGGCCACTGTCGAGAGTCAAGAGTCAGCTGGGCGCTGGTGAATGATCAACGGTGGGTGGTGGTGTGGCTTGAGTCTAAACTCGACACCGTATCGCTCGCGCGGCGACCACGACTCAGGCAAATCCCATGGCCCCTTATTAGCACTTGGTAGTATTCGTAAAAGTAACAAGTTACGACTACACAAATAACTAGTGTCGGCCATCGCTTTGCGCCTTTGCCCCCTCCTCCCTCATCGCGCCATCTGGCCTTCCTGGGTGATTGATCTCCTCTCGGCTCGTGTTGGGCTCGCTCCGTCGCTCTTGCGCCCATGGCGTCAAATTTCACACCAGCCAGAGCAAAGGTTCCCAACTAATTTGTATGTACGGATACCACAACCAATATCAAACATCATATCCATGTCCCGGTGTACCTGACAGACGTCGTATCTCCCTCTCTCCCTCCCTCCTCCCTTGCCGTCTTTGAGGCACATACCCATCAAGGCCGGCTTGTTCCTTGTGTGCTTTGATGATACGACCTTGTTGTTGGTTCTGTGCCCCAACTAGCGCCCGCCGGTGTGCAGCGCCGGCACTTCCCATCCTCCCATCTGAGCCGCTGGGACCACCGAAAGGGATGTTCAATGCCCCGGTTATGTAGGTGCTACATGGTAGGTACAGTACAGTAGGTTGGGATGGGCTGCCGAATGAGGAGGGCGTAGGGGCATGCAAGAGTAGCCGGTGTGGGAAGAAGAAGCCGGCCGACATAACAGATCGA